AAGAAGCAGCTTACCAGCCTAAATAGCCTCACCGTTAATAAAGCAAGAGAAGTATTCCAACATGAGAGAAAGAAGAATAAAGCAATCTATATAAAGAGTCAGCAGCCTCGCCGTCAGGCACCTCCCCGGTGTAGTAACTGCGGTGTTCTGGGCCATATACATACAAGATGTCCTAATCGAGGAACTGGGTGAAAAGATATTTAAAACAGTGTAATTAAGGCTTCAAAACACCATATTTTTGTATACAAATCAGAATTCATGTTGGGGAGGCATTTGGTGAGGCATTTGGGCGGTTTGGGTGGCTCGCTCGCTTGCGTGGCTCGCTCGGTTGACGATTACGTTATCTCGAGTTCCATTGCGGCCTGAGATAGTCTTCCTGGTCTGAAGTTTCATAGCACGGCTCACGACTTTGGTGAAAATGACTGTGCCTCTGACATTGACGCTGAAGAAGGCGTCGAATTTGCTCAGGCTTGTTTCGGATACCTCTGCGGGATGTTGGACTCCAATCTATCTGGAATAAGTAAAGGTCCAGAATGAAGCACATTGATAGACTTTCACTCACCCCGGCGCTGTTCACTGCATAGTCTATCCTGCCAAACGAGGCCACCACCTCGGACATCATCTGTTCCACACTCTGCTCGAGAGAAACGTCCACTGGGAGGACGAGGGCCCGGAAGTCTGGGTTGGTTGCGACGGCCTTGCTCTCGGCTGAGACTCGTTCTGCGTTTTTGAGATCGATGTCGGCGAAGGCGACACCTGCTGCTCCGGAAGCTGCGTAGGCCAGAGCGATGTCACGGCTGATGCCGCTGCCTGCTCCGGTGACAAGGGCGAAACCGTCGAGTATCATGGTGGTAGGAGGGTAAATCGTAACCTGAGATAGAGGTAGTATCACACTGTTAGGGCGAAATGACCCCTTATAACTAGTATTCGCAAGCTCGGAAAAGTTGGAGATAGATAGATATGTGATTTTACCCACTTCAGTACCTCAGATGTCAAATACCGAAGTATAGTGTTTTCAAAATGCGTGGGAAACGCTAGGCTGGCGCTGGCGATCCCGCAACGCCTTAAGTCCGGGGTCCGCCGCCCCCACCCGTAGCCTAGCGTAGTAACACTGCGGCATCACATCACCATATCATCTTTTCTCCCTCGTCCTTCAACAAGCTACGGGCTACTGTATCCGAGGCTACAATGACAGTGCTTATCAATCGCACTCATTAATCTTGAAGCCTTCCATGGGGGTTGCCAACTCTCACAAGCATGACATTACTAAGCTCTAGCTGAATTGAATTGTCTTAAAGACCCTGCACGGCTCCTTTTCAAGATGCTTTCTGACAATTCTTACTATCTCGTTTCGTTACTCTTGACTGGTTATCAATGACTATGTCTAGGACTGCCTCAGCTCAGTGGGAGCTTCAGCACCCACAGCCGTCCGCAAGCTGGGCTAACTCGGAGACAGTAGCAGGCTCAGAAAGAGAGAAACATTCCGACGAGGAGAAGCAAACACGTCGTGATTCAAGCTTGAATGAAGTCGCGCCGGCATCACCACCCACGCCTTCTGTTGTGCCTACACCTCCTCCACGGGATATACACGGCATCAAGTGGGCTTTTGGCGGTATGTGATACTTCCGTAAGCCGGTCGAATTGCATCTAATAAATATACTCTAGTGGTCGCCATTTTGTCAAGCGTGTTTCTGTTCGCGCTTGATCAGACGATTGTGGCAGATGTGCAACCGAACATCATCAACGAGTTCGATTCCATTGAAAAGCTTCCATGGCTCTCTGTGGCGTTCCTTCTAGGGTCCGCGAGTACAAACCTTTTCTGGTACGGCATTCTTCCGGCTTCGTTCTTCAATAATCTTACAATCACACTCCAGGGGACGTGCGTACGGTCAATTCAACCCGAAATGGATATACGTGCTCTGTGTTGCTGTGTTCGAGATTGGGTCTGCTGTATGTGGTGCCGCTCCTAACATGGACGCGCTCATCATCGGGCGGGCGATAGCTGGACTGGGCGGCGGAGGTATGTATCTCGGCGTCATGATGATGCTGTCAATCTTTACCACTCCGGTAGAGCGCCCGAAGTATATTGGGGTCATTGGGGCAGTTTTCGGTATAGGCACAGTGTGGGTGCTTCCCAAAACAGTCCAACCATACCAAGCTAATCATGCGCGCAGACTCGGTCCTGTCATTGGTGGCGCCTTTGCAGATAATAAATCCGCAACGTGGAGATGGGCCTTCTACATCAACCTTTGCATTGGAGGTGCTTTCTCTCCAGCATACTTTTTTCTGCTCCCTTCCCGTGATCTTCGACCAGGGGTGAGCTTTCTAGAAAGGCTGAGAGCCATTGATTGGGTGGGAAACACGTTCATGGTTGGGGCCTACGTCTCGCTTCTCATGGCCATCTCTTTTGGCGGCGCAACTTTTGCCTGGAACAGCAGTCGCGAGATAGCACTACTCTGTGTCTCGGGAGTTCTATTTATCATTCTAGGGATCCACCAGGTCTGGTCTAATCCTCAGCATAGGATGTTCCCCGTGCACTTTCTGAAAAGAAAGGATCTGGTGGTGCAATTCCTGGTAGGGGCAGCTGCGGGAACTTCATCCTTCGTGACCATCTACTTCGTCCCGCTCTACTTTCAATTTGTCCAACATAGCTCATCCTTGCTGGCTGGTGTACGGTTACTGCCGTTCATCGGTGCGTTAGCGGTATTCACTCTCCTGAACGGCCATCTGATGGTGCGGCTAGGATACAGCATTCCCTGGTACGCTGCCGGGTCTGCGCTTGTCATTGCTGCCAATGCCATGCTGATGCACATTGACCTTCACACATCCAAAGCTTTTATCTACGGTGCTATGGTTATCAACGGCATTGGTACAGGAATGTACCTCAATGCTCCTTTTGCACTCGCGCAGTTCCTGGTCAGTCCTAAAGAGATCTCCAGCGCCGTTGGCTTCATCATGTGTGCGAGGGGTGGAGGACTTGCCATTGCGTTATCTATTGGAAATTCAAATTTCTTGAACCTGGCACAGAGCAGAATTCAAGAACTATTCCCCTCGATGGATCATACCCAAGTCCAAAGTCTGACCTCCGGGGTTGGGAGTAGACTCTTAGAGAGTCTGAGTCCGTCGGAACAGCAGCAGGTCTTGGGGGCGATCGTGTATGCAATCAGTCGGGTGTTCATCGAGTCCTTGGCCGCTGGCTGCTTTTGCTTTGTCCTGACTCTGTTTATGGACCGGAAGAAGATCAAGATCAATTGAGTTGTGGTATATAGCGGCTCACTATACTTTGCGAGGTGACTGAGGCAATGTTTCTGGGGCTTTTGTGGTCGCATTATACGTTGCTACCACGTGAAAAGCATTGGTATTGGATGATCTTAAAGTTCTGGTTTTGGTGTCTGTATATCTTGGGCGAGATGCCACCATCGTTTTTTCTTGTTCTTACAGAAATTACCATTATAGTCTCAGTTTGTTTCTGGCACTGCCTTGTTTGAATCCATACAGCATTTGTCCAAGATTCTAGAGCCGCGGTCAAAGCATTTACTTTGTTGTGGCGTGAAAGAAACGCCTGCAGTAGATACCTACACATGATCGGGCACCAATACATCAATCCCCTGCCTTCCCAGCTCACTTGCTAAACAAAGAAGCGTCTCTCCCAAGGCACACGCTGACATGTACCGCAACTGCACCAGATAAACCTAAATTGATATCTTTCCCTCGAGTCAAACTGGCTAATTGAAACGTTGTACTTTGCCACAAACCAACTGTTTTCTTCCCAGAGAGCTGGGAAAATCGATGCCTGAGAAAACAGTCGGTATACTAATCGTCCGTCCGTATATATCCGGATCTCCCTGCGGCTTATTTTCAACGCATCCACTGCTGACGGCATCGACTGAATGATCAAGCTTAACCGTCACTGCACAGGTAATGTCTCTTTGTCTTCGGAATTACTTCGATTCGATCGGAAGGGGTGGTTGCAGCGTGGGACGGACAGGCCTCCCTTGGCAATATCCCTCTGATTGTGCTGCTCGTGCTGAAGGTCTGCTGATGAACTTGTAGAATAGTAATGAGATCCTGGAGTGACGAGCGAAACATGCAGTCTTTTTGAAAGAACCTAACGTTGACGTAACCCCAACACACACGTGGAGTTCACTATCAACGGTTCTAGTGGGGTTGTAAGGAGATTTATGGATTTCTTAAAGGGCTGGTAAATCTGTATGTGCGTCCTTCATGCAAGAGTGTGTTAATTGTTGACCTCACCAATTATGATTCCCTTCCTAACAGATGCTGTCCATCTTCTTCTCCGGTTCGGTGGCTGGAGTCTCTTCGCCGGGTTTGTCTACGTGAGTTAGAGGTTGAGTGCTTCAGTCGCTTCTCGTTTCTAGGCTACTCATGGATGTATAGATATCTTGTATCTGCATATACCGACTGTACTTTCACCCACTGGCCGAATACCCGGGGCCACTGTCAGGAAAGCTCACTACCTGGCGGGCTGTTTGGCACGGCAGGTCTGGGGACTTGCACGTTGATATCTGGCGCTGTCATCAGAAATATGGTTACTTGTCTCCCATATGTGTTTCTCTAGTCGGATGGCTTGCTTATTTTTACAATAGGACCTATCTTTCGATATGCTCCTCACCGCGTCGTCTTCGCCTCCAATACCGGCTTTCATGGTATGGATATTTTACCGAATTCAGTCCAACGTACTAACCCAGTCAGACATTTATGAATTTGGCAAAGTTGTTCAGAAGAGCCAGTCCTATACAGCATACCTCTCATCAAAGAAGTCTACAGCACCCTCAACGTCTTCGACAAGAAAGTGCACGGCAGAAAACGCCGCATCCTAAGCCAAGGCCTCTGCGACCAGAACCTGAAGCTGCTTGAGCCTCCATTGCTTCGGGTTGTTGACCACCTCTGTGATCGCCTGGGCGAGAAGCAGGACAACTTCAGTCCGGCTGTGACTGATGATGAGGATGGATGAACTTGTCCGAAGAACATGGCCGAGTGGAGTACGTCTTCACACATATGATTGAGGCTCGTAGACTGATACCCTGAAAGGTGACTTCTACACCTTCGATGTTATGACCGAGCTCGTCTTCGGTCGATCTTTCTACACACTTGACTCCAACTCCCACCACTACATTCTCGACGGAATTATGTCTCAGATGAGACGTATGAGTCTCCTCACAGAAGAGCCCATGATCGAAAGGCTCCAGATCGGTCGCTTCCTTCACCCGGGCGCCATGGCTAAAGCCCTCCGTTTCTCCCAAGCCGGACGTTCCATCATGGAAGATCGCAAGCGGAACCTCAACCCCGGGGCAGCGGACATCTGCAGCAAGCTTCTGTCGGCCAAAGATCCGGAGACCGGCGATGGATTCCCGTTTCAGGAGCTGTGGGCGGAGAGTAACCTGTTGATTGTTGCTGGTGCGTAGTCATTTTTCTTTCCCGGCGTGCCTTGCATGCATGCTTCACTTTTCACTTTTCAACAAGTGGAAGCAGACCTAGCTGACGATTCCATACAGTTCAGGCTCAGATACAACCTCCACCGCAATGGCAGCCGCCTTCTTCTACCTCTCCCGCTACCCTACAGCCCTGAACAAAGCCACCAACGAGATCCGCAGTGGATTCACATCCATCCATGACTTTCGACCAGGCCCAGTCCTCTCCTCCTGCACCTACTTCCGCGCCGCATTGACGTAGCCATGCGTCTGACCCCCTCTGTTGCGGGCGCTCTCTGGCGCGAGGTCCTCCCGGCGGGATGGTGGTGGGCGGTGAGTTCATCCCCGCGGGCATGGAGGTTGGAGCGGGGATCTATGCCCTCCAGCACAACACGGAGTACTTCCCAGATCCGTTCGTGTTTCGGCCGGAGAGGTGGTTGCAGAGTAAAAGCAAGGGTGGTGATGGTGGCGGTGGGGTGGATCAGAGTGCGTTCGCGCCGTTCTCGACTGGGTCCCGCTCGTGCGTCGGGAAGAGACTGGCGATAATTGAGTTTACGGTGGTGCTGGCCAGGATTCTGTGGCGGTTTGATCTGGGGCTGCTCCGGGTGCTCTGGGGAAGGTGGGAGAGGGGAAGGGCGTCAGACAGGGCGAGTATCATACTGATTGGTGCTTTACTAGTAAGAAGTATGGGCCGTATATTCAGTACCGGGGGAGGAAGGTCGTGGAATGAGGCTTAGGTTGGGGTTTGCGTGATATAGGGAGTAAGTTAGCTGGAGGGAGAGGTCAGGGTGTCGTAATGCATTGTCTTCAAACATTCTGCAAGCAATTAATAAGTATTTCATGCAGAGCGGCCATGGAGGTAGGGGCAGAATCTGGTACCTGAATCGAATTTTATCGCAGTATATCGGGTGTTCCATCAACACCCAAGACTTCTCTGTATCGGATTGGAACTTGGAATCTTGTAGCACCTGCCGTGTTTACCCATGGTTGCGGCCTCATCCCTCAAGCCCCCGCTAGAGATAGTGTGGTCTCCGTGGCTCGCGTTACAGTGACATTACTTCTCATTCGATCAAGGATCAACCTATTCGAATCCCGAAAATTGCAAATGACATTGTCACAGCTCTATTCACAGCACAACTGAAGCTCTAATTTATCTCGAAACATGCTCGTATCTTACACTCGCAGCATACACTTCAGGTGCCCATCTCTAATGCAACCTTTCACCGAGCGGCACTCTTGAAGAAGGCGAGGGCTCTGTCCACCGCATTATAAGCGAAGAGTATCTCCTCCATTGCGGTGCTGCGCTCAATCAAATCTCGTCCTCGCGCTAACATGTTCTCCTCGTATTCCACCCGAGCACGATTGATTCCTTCTCCGTTCGATACGTCCAAGTGGGCGCCCTCACCGCAATGCTTGAAGATGCTATCAGCCAAGACCACAGCATCATACATACTGCAGTTGACCCCTTCTCCCACGAATGGCGTAGAGACATGAGCTGCATCGCCCAGCAATGTCACCCCAGGAGGCTTTCCACTCCAGTGAAGCTTCTCTGGCTCCATCCGATACAAGGGCCAAGCACGGAATGGCCCCTCAGCATTCTCAACGAACTTCCTCAGTTGCGGGGCCCACCTAGCGAAATACGCATCCGAGAGCAGCAATTTGCGCAGCTCTTCTGTCCGGTTGATAGGACTATCATCTCCCGAGCCGTTGCTTTCGCGATGGTGATAGAAACTTTCGGGGACAGTCAGCCCAAAGTAGGCGCGATACGACCCGTCTGCAACTTGTTGCACTGCGATCTTCTTGTGTTGCCCGGCGGCGAACATGCTCCCTGGTCCAACGAGCTCTTTCGCTGTGGCGTAACTGGGATTGTCCTGTGATAATCTGCCTTCGATAAACATCTTGCCTGAGTATACAGGCTTCGCCGACGTGATCTGCAGTAAGGGAATTAGCTGCCTTTCTCAAAGAGACGTTTCTCAGCTAGAAAGGTTATACACGAACTTACCAGATATGATCAACCCGTTGTCGTCGCCTTCTTGGCTTTCATCAGCTCTTCTTTCCACTGCTTTCACAGCATGGCCCCAGCGGATCTTATGCGCAGGGATCGACTCAAGCAGCAGCTGACGGAGCTGCAGACGGTCGATCTCCGGCGCATCTCTTTCCTGGTCAAACCGCACCGCAGTGGTCCCGTTGGGGTAGAGCACATGGAAGCATGAGGCATTCCAGCGGGCGAATTCGTTGCTGAATCGATCGAACAAACCGGCACGGCGGAGCGCCAACTGGCCTGAGGAAGGGCGGAGGTCAAGTGTGCCTCCTTGCTGCCATGGCCCGAGGACTGCGGATTCGTCGCGCTCATAGACGACGTAATCGGTAATTCCGTTGACCTCGAGAAGGCGGGCGAAGAGTAGACCACTCGGTCCGCCGCCGATGATGGCAATGGATGGGTTGGAGTTCATGGTCTGAGTAGGGGATATGCGGATAATGTGGGAAAAGTTAAGTAGCTCTGTCTCTCGATGGACCAGGGCTGATTAAATGATTATTGACATGCTATTTATATTTGGATCTTTCAGAATGAGTATAGCCCTCATCCCATAATTCGGCATCTATGGGATGGACCCGGGGCCGCGGAGCGTCCGGCTGCACGCCATATCATTGGCTCATTTCGGAGGGTCCGAACAGCTTCCGAACCATAGAAGATCATCTCGGACTTTGTAATGCCGTGGCCATCGTTCATTCCTCCCTGTACAGTCGGCTCGTGGTTCTTGGACATTCCCAACCCTCAATCGTGTTGGAACTCGATGTAACTCGCTATCTTGAAATTGCAACCGGCATTCGGTAGGCCGGTGACCAGCCCCAACAGCAATGCAGGACCGTCTTGCCCAGTTTGCGGTAAGCTGGAAGCTATTCGGTGACCGCGTCGGTCTCGCCACTGACATGAACAGTGCGATTTTTGCCGACAAAAGAAGCTAAAGTAGGCTCTCCTACTCCCATACGCTTGTAACCCGATTTATAAGTGACAGATGTTCCCGGGAGCTTCCGAAGTGCAATTCCTGCAAGCCATGGCCCGGCGACTGCAACTATTCGCGGGACAATGTCAATGTCATGTCAGTCACCATAATTGTGTCTACGTAACATGGTAACTGAGTATCCAGATCTACAAGGTCTTTAGACCACAGCTCAGCCGAAGAGCGTACCATAGTGAATCGAGTACAGCACCTCGAGCAGCTGGTACAGCAATTAACCCAGTCCGTCGACAAAGCTTTACAGGCCATCGGCTCAGCATCTGCTGGAAGAGATAATTCGAGAACACCAACAGAGTCACATCAGGAAATCGTGGCTAAAAAGAATCATTCCAGTCCGAAGCTCTACATTGGCTCGTCGCATTCATTCTCTTTCTTGCGAGAGGCATCAGCCACCATTGAGAGGATCCCTCAGCCACAGAGTGATGCTACGTGCCAAAGCGCCCATTCTGAGCTTCGTTATCTCCAGAACCGGTTAGCTACAAATCAGGCTGAAATAGCCGAGAAACGTCCGAAAGCTTTCCATGTCCCTCATAAAGCAATGGGCTACCGAATGATAAGCCGTGAGACCACCCACTCTGGGTTTCGTCATTTGTATATGCTTCGTGACTAACGCCGAGCCAACCAGGATTTCTTGAGCTGGCTGAGCTTGGCACACCATTCTTCAATATTCCCTCAGATGATGAGATCTTGAAAGTGGTGTTTGAGCCACACAAGGTCCGGGAGAAAGCTTGGGTCGTATACTTTAACTATATGCTGCTATCTGCCATTCCCGCAGAAGATGGCACTAACGAGGCGTTGCTTCGCCAAAATGTGCAGTTGGCTCTCAATGAAAGCAGCATCTTTCTTGAACCGCGAGAGGCTAACGTACAGGCGCTAGCCTTTCTGGCTATGCATGGTGAAGACTATGCCGCCCCCAACATGTCATGGATGTTGCTTGGAAACGCATGCAGGCAGGCTGAAGCTCTGGGTATGCATCTGTCCAGTAAACACGAGTCACAACAACAGCAGTTGTGTCTCTTCTGGCTTCTTTTCCTAATGGATAAATCCTGCTCTCTGGCCTTCGGGCGACCTGCATTCTTACCCACTGCCTTGTATCACAATGTCCCCCTACCGGGTCAGCAGACTTTGCTCATGTTCCAGCCGCATACTCGTATAAACGGCGTACCGACGCACCCGAGAGTATCCCAATTCGGTGCTCAGCTGCTTCGTTGCTCCATGGAGTTAGCGAAATTGATGGGAATCTTAGCAGATGTTCTTGTGAACGGCCAGCCAGCTGCCCCGTGCATGGAACTCCGTTCTAGTGTGAATGCTTGGTACTCATACACAAACCAGGTATATGGCTATCCTATATTGGAGTTCGAGTCACCCTTCTGATGCATAAGGCAGCGTTTGACAGATATCCTGGAAGCTGAGAGGGCTTCATCCACCGCGGACCAAGTCCGGGAAATGACTCTGGGCATCAACAGCATGAAGTTTCAATACTTGCACGTGCTCATACTTCTTTTGAAAGGCGATGGCTCCGCGTCGAGTCTGCGCCTATCCTCTGCCCGCGAAGCCATTTCTCTCCTGAAGTCAATGGTCTCCAATTGGCATTCCGTAAACAATGGGGTCATGTGGTGAGCAACCTTTCTCTGCCGGATCTATTCATCCCTGAGACTAACTAGATGTCCGAAGGCATCTCCTCTATTATCCGTTTACCTCGTTCTTCGTCATCTTCGAGAACATTGTGCACCACCCTGGCCCCGTGACACCCACGAAAGAACACGATTTAAACCTTCTAGCAACAACAGTGACGTATTTCGCAAGCATGCGCTCGCAGATGCGTCTCCTTGCTACGCTATGTACCAGGCTTGAGCACGTCGCGAATACGTTCCTGCAGCTCGCTCGCAATGTCCATTGCGCTTCCTCCAAAACCATGCAGCGCAAATGGCACGGTTACGAGGCCACCGGAGTCGATTTGGAAGGACTAGATGTTGCCAGCTACCTTGATTGGCTTCCGGCTGATATTGAGGCCTTACCTGGTGGTGAGGGTCCATCAGGTAAGGAGGCGCGGCGGACATTTGATAGTGTTTTTGACTGGTTCTCGTGGGATGCGTATTATGGAGATCCTCAGTAAAAAGCGCTTGCCATAAACAAAATCCTCTTATCTTGGATTAGACTGTATCAGAATATACAATCTCAGAAAAGTAGTCTATATAAGTCATAATTTCCAGGCTCAGCTGGGAGCTTGCCTTCCTTCCCGTTCTTGCATCCGGCGGCTGGTAACTCCGTGTCCGACGCAGACATGCAGATCAAGCAGGCTGCTCTATCGTACTAATTTAACTCCTCTACATATTTCCATTCAGTCAAGTATCTGCAAGCAGACGCAATGACTCCGTTCCTTCGAATCGGCCAATCTCTTCAAGGCCAAGCAGGATTCTACACAATTGGAAAACAAATCCAGAAGACAGTCTGGCTTGCTAAGTACGAAGCTCCTGTATGTCCATCCGGGACTCAATTTGCAACAAACCTCCAACAGAGACAAGCTACATCAGCCCGTGTTCATTAAAAGCGTCCATCATTTCCGTCTGCAGAATGAACGTGACGTGCTGAAGCGCTTCCAACACATGACCCCTTGATACGACCGCTGGTCGCCGAGATCATGGAGCCATCCGATCCACCAGCCATTGTCCTGAAGCATCTGGATGACAATCTCCTGAATGCCTCTACCTTCCAGAAACTTACCAGGTCGCAAATCAAACATGTCGCAAAATCTGTCCTGGAGGCCTTGAGTGTCCTCCATGCGCACACTTTCGTCCATACAGGTCCGTACGTGCCTGCCTCAAAGACATCCAGATCGCAGACTTCGGAAGCACCGTGCCAGCCAGCTCAGCGTACGCCAAGGACGGTAACATGATCGGAGCGCCCATATGGCGGAGCCCCGAGGTCCACCTCCGCATCGGCTGGGGTACAGCGCCGGATATATGGTCTTTTGGCGCCACGGTAATATCGGGATTTATAGGCAATTTTCCTTTGGACCGTAGACTGACTGACTGACTGGTATTCACAGCTTATCTCCTTGCTCTACGGGAATAACTTTTTCCTCTTCAAGCCTGATGTATCTGCGGACCACGAGGACTACGATCTGAGAATTCTGCAGAGGCAGTGTGAGTTCCTCGGGCCGTTTCCTCTCTCCTATCGCGAGATTTGTCCCCCTGGGACGTTGGATGTTCTGGCGCGTATCATGCGGGGTATTCCGCCCGAGAGGAAACGGCCGTTTACTAGGATCTCGGAGAAGGAGCTCCGCAGGGGGGATAAGGAGTTTATTGTGAGAATTATGAGGCTGGATCCTAGGGAGAGGCCTTCGGCGGTGGAGCTTTTGCGAGTTAGGTGGTTTGAGGTTGAATAGGTGATTGGGGTGTGGTTCGTATGCATGTCTATCTTCGATCTATGGACTTCGGTCATATACAGCGGGGGGCAACCGAAGGGATAGGCTCGAGATTTTGGTGAATGTTGTCTGCGGAGGGGGAATTCTTGCTAATGTACAAGTTACAGAATAATGCTAGTTCTCCAGGGGCCCGACCTTCACCTCCGTCCTTCGTTTCAGGTCTTCAACTGCTCGGGCCCTATTTACTACGGCCTGTCGTTCCTTCATTTGGCGGGCGAACCGCTTCTTGCCACCATGCCTCAGCTTCGTGATAATATCCGCCGCCTGCCCTCGCGTCATATCCGTGGCTTGGATTTTCCCATCGCGGATCTTGGCTTTGTTGAGCCTCTCGACCTGGGCTGGTGTGGCTGGTTGCTGGCGCCATGGCTGCCGAGCAGAAATGTATCGCTCCTCGAATTCGGCGGCGGCGAATGTGTCCGCGGCGCGGATAGCCGCTTCGAAGCCCTCGGTGGTGGCGATGAGACGAGGTCGAGCAAATTTCTTCGTCTTGAGTGATGAGCCGTACTGCATAACGTGGTGGACAGTCCAGTGATATTCCGGTCCCTCACGCTCCTCTGGGCTCTTCGATTCTCGGGCAATCGTGAGCCATCCCATTGATCCGGAGAGGATGTATTTATGCTCGTCTACTCGGACCCAGGCGTAGCGGCTCAAGGAGCGGATATGTTTGTCGGATCTCATGTCGCCGATGAGGTCGTAGATCGTGTCATACTTGGTGAAGGTGAGCTTGATATCGCCAGCTTGAGCAGGGTCCTCGGCGTAAGATGCAGGGAGCTCGGAGCCAGGTTTTTCTTGGTGATGAGTTTCGTCTTCCTTCTTGTCTTTGAGGTCCTTCATTGTTGTCTTCTCCAACAACTCGTCGGGGTGGAGTCCAAAAAGCGTTGGTGTGGAGATGACGCCAGTTTCCAATGTTGCTACCATATCGATTATGTGGCAGTCCTTCTTGCCGGGGAACAATCGCAGCCCTCTTCCAATCATTTGGATCAGCAGGTTCCGAGAGCGGGTTGGCCTTGCAAGCACTACGCAATCGATATTGGGTATATCTGTGCCTTCTGTGAAGAGTCCACAGTTCAGGAGAACTGGGTACTCCAGGTTTTTGAAACTGTTTAACTGCTCATCGCGTATATCCTTGGGGGTCTGCGACGTGATGTACCGTGCATCGATGCCCAAGCTCCGGAACTTCGCGGTGAGCTCTTTGGTATGCGCCAAGTCAACGCAGAACACCAAAGTAGACTTACGGCCTTCTGCATTGGCTAGCCATGCTCTCACGGTGATATCATTGGTTTTATCCGTGTTGACTGCTTCGGAGAGGGCGCCGACGGCGAAATCACCAAATTTGTCTTTCCTGACTTTCGTCAGGTCGGCTTCCGAGCGAACAGTTGTGAAAACGGCATTAGAGAGCCATTTCTCGTCGATCATGTCCATGTAATCCTTATGATACACTATGTGGTCGATCGCAGCGCCCAGCTTGAGGCCATCGAAACGCGAAAACGTAGCCGACACCCCGACAAGGACAGGAGAGTTGGATGACGCCTCGTTGAGGCCGAAGTGAGCCAAGACAGTTCGGTAAGTGGGCGCGACAATATGATGCGCCTCGTCCACCAGGACTAGCTTGAAGTGAGCCGGGTTGAATTTCTCGATCCGGTCCTTCGAGGTGAGACTCCGCACCGACGCGATAATGATGTCCCCATGTCCCGTCGCCACAGTATTCCCCATCTCAATTTCAACGGTCCGGTCGGGGTAGGCAAGTCGACAATGCCGGGCAGCTTGTTCGACCAGCTCCCTTCGATGTACGAGGATCAGCGCTTTGTCGTTCTTGCCATCGCGAGGGGGAATGCGTCCGATCAGCTGTGTGAAAATAACCTGAATGGTGTCAACTCTCATCGCCCGCTCACTCCGTCCTCACTACGTTTCCGTGCGCACCGTTTTTCCAGCACCTGTGGCTAGTGAGATCCCTAGGCGCTTATGACCTTGGCTCAGATGATCCAGTACGGACTGGATACATTCCTCCTGGTATTCCCGAAGGACAATCCCCGGCGGTTCGAGAGGTGCTGCGGGAAGTGCTTCATCTGCGGAAGCTACCGCGGACTTGAAACGCAAGGGTGCGAGACGTGCTCTAGGCTTCCAAGGGGCTCTGGTTGCCCTCGAAGCAAGTGAAATGGGAATCAATCCCAATTTCCGACGAAAGCAGTCCATCCAGATGCCATGGAGTGAAGGGAGGAAGCATTTGGACCGAGCGGCTAACGGAAAGAATTCCGAGCCAGGAGATATCATTGGAACCAAACAGTGCAAACAAGTTTCTTATCAGAAATCTTTCCCGATAAAAAAAAAGTTCCAACCGCGTCCGACGAATCTTAGACTTGTCACTCATCCTGGTCGTTTTCCGATGGTCATCTTACTGGTTTGGATGTGACTCTGAGGAGATGATTTGGACCGTTTCTCATCTATGCATTTGGTGCGAGTCAGTCGATCATGAGCAATTCAATAGATGATGATCCATCGGACCCCGTTTCTACCACCGACGAGAACAACACCCTAGCAGCATCATTGCTGGGAACTACGGACGATGCGAAACCATACGCGGGACCCTCAGGGGTAACACGTAAAACCATCACACGAGCCTCGGCCCTCGAAGACTTGCAATTGTCACTTTCACGAGACTCGGTGGATTCCTACGCTGATGTGTTAAGACGGCTTACCGACGACAACGCGCCTGTTCCGGAGGATTTCGATACTGAGAAACACAAATCCACACAGAATGGAGTCGTATTCTGGAGTCCCCAGGAGAAGGAAGTCCTATATCGCGTCCTGGACAAGAAAGGAAAGGAAGGGATTCGCGACGCTGTCCGCGCCCTCGGCTCAAAGTCCGAAATCGAAGTGCAGGAGCATCTCAGGCTCTTGCATCGGGGTCTGCAGCGCCAGCACCTGAAGGAGGGTCATAGTCGAACCATCATTCTGGCCGACGTCCCCGCTGCCGCTGAAATCAGCGAAGAGTGTAACACGACTCTCGAGAATTACGCCGAACTACTTCGCTTGGAGGAGCAACAGCATGAAGATGTTGTAGGGAGGCAGAAGCACCACAATTTCTGGGTCATTGATCAGGCGACAGCTACGGAATTGGATTATCGGGCCAAGGTTGACAAGGCCGACAGTCATACGAAATTAGAAAATTCAGATGATCATATGGCACAAGAAACTGTCAATCAATTAGCGGAGGGATTGGATGGTCAGGGTGCAGAGGGTTTGAAAGTAGGGACATCGGATGGACAGCTCAAACCTCAGGATGCGGGTCATGACCATCGATCTAGCGTGCATCTCACGGCTAGCTTGTTTCGGATGAAGAATTGGGTTCATCTTTCGGAGCGCTTCTTCATGAATTTTGGAGGCACCAGATTGGAGGATAATTGGCAGACGTCATCCTTCAGGGACGAGAGCCCGTCGTTGACGGCCGACGCTTTCGCCGACTTCTACGCGCTGGCCGTGAGTGCCACCCGCCGCCTGGTCCAGTCGTCGCTCTTCTTCGCGGAATCGAGGTTGCGGAAGATGAGAGACGCGGGCCACGAGAGGGCGCTCGAGGTCAAGAGCCGCGATGTTAGGACTGCGCTGGACGTGCTTGGCATGAAACGCAACGGCGCCGAATTCTGGATTGGTATGGCGCGCAGACTATCCCTCGATGTTGTTGACAGTCGGCATATGAAGGACTGGAAACCAATCCAGATGGATTACGATGAGGTCGAAGACATTCTTTCTGGGAAGTTGCCGTTACCTTCTCAAACGGAGTCGGTTGCGAGAAGTATCTCCCGAGGCAGACAAAAGACTGATGGTCAGGAAATGACCGCAGATGACGAATTCGAGTCCTCTCTCTCCGACGAGGATGAACCAATAGATTACGAGGATCAGTATGCCGGATATGTCGATCAGGAAGCAAGTCATGCCGAGGAGACTAATCTTCGGAGATTGATTGGCCGGTCCGCTCATACCACTGAGAGTGAGCGCGATAACGAGGAGGAAGCCGCTCAAAATGCGCCTCGGGTGAAGCTTGAACGACTAAAGAGGCCGATTGGAGAACGCAAGGCAACAGATGACTTGGTTGATTGGAGGGACCGATTGCTATTTAGGAGTGAGTGGGAGGAGTATGGCCAGGAAGTTTTGGACTTGCAAGATGAAATCTCTGAGAATAGGAGAAAACGGCGCCGTCTAGGCAAAGATGATAGCTTGCCTTCGGTTCAGAGTCCCGATGGTTTTGCCCGTGGAGGCACTGATATGGTGTTTGATGAGCCGTTGCATGAACAGCAAGACATGGTCTCTGATGTTGACATTTAGCGTGGTGGTGGTTCTGGTGGGTTGTGTATATATATTATGACTCTTTGATGATAGCATGGTTGAGCGATACCCTACCTAGCATGGAATATATTTTCGCAAGTTCCTGTGACATGAACATCGTACCTAGCATCCATAGAACAAGAGACCTGACTTAAATCTTAACACAGCCGGACATCATATAGACATGATGCCAGTCAACATGCACTACCACAATTCAACAACAGACACAGATAAAAAAAACCAAGGCAACATAACCTCCAATGGGATTGACAAGCACACCAAAACATCAAAAACGAAGAAGACAAGGGCCGAACGCGATTTGAACGCGTGACCGTGAGATCTGCAGTCCCACACTCTACCCCTGAGTTACCGACCCTTGAGTGTGATTGGCGGCCGGATCTTTTAACTTATAAGCAAGAACAAAACTCAGATGCAAATGTACCCAATTAAATCTTGGGGCCAGATGTATCTATGCGTGCGGCAGCCGGCAATCTCCAATGTCACTGCTATACCATGGCGGCATCATCATCATCCATGGCGGCGTGAGGTAGCCCAGAAAAAGGTTACAGATAATGTCCCGACTAACATCTACTAAGTACTCACTACTTAGCGAAGCGAACAAAAAGAAAAAGAAAGTCAATTGCATCTGAAAAGCCGTGCATGCCATGACAACCCAACGGGAATTGACATATGCAAAAAGGAAAGCTTTGAGGGCCGAGCGTGGATCGAACACGCGACCTCGAGATCTGCAATCTCTTGCTCATACCACTGAGCTACCGACCCTTTTGGAGCTGATAAGTAACTCAGCTTAAAGCATGTTAACCTGAAATCATCAGCACGTCAGGAAGGCACTATTTGGCATTCTCCGCTACCTCCTAGCACGGTGGCAGACAATGTCCATTTTCTTTGTCTTAAGCTGTCTCCCAGGCTACCGTACTATCGTATGGGCGCAATTTCTGTGGTATACAAGCCCCGTATAAAAAAAATGAGTAACTTAATTATTGTTGACTCATGTCTGTTGTGATATGTAGCGAACGCAGATAATTCAAGATGGCATAGTAAGCTGCAGCGGTTCTGCCTAGTAGTGGCTGACCACGAGGCATCCTGGACCAAGTGGCTTATTGCCTGTATTGGAGACGATTGAGCGAGCATCACTCATAAACACTCATTCACCTGAGTGGATTTCTAATACAACACTCCCTTCGGACCTTCGGAGTGCCGACTTTTGAGCATTGACAAACTCACGTCTCCGCTCAATCGGACTAAATTACACCTAACACCCCGCTCCCTGACAGATGGATTTATAAGCCTGCCATATGGAGATACCTAACCCCTTACCTTGATTGTGCATATGGCTATTACACAGTTCCACTGATTACTACTTTATTCTAAACATGTAGATCACCTAGGTGATAACACTCAATGATGCGCATTTGTCAGCGGGTAACAGGTCCGGCAATGGAGCTCTCCACCGTGGACCAACAGCCGACGACTTACTCGCATCGACATTGACAGTTGCAGTGTGTTTGACTTCTCGTTACAGTTGGGCCATGACAGGCTGTAAGACGTCTCCACAGGGATGTGTAGTCCTGAAGTTCGAATGCTTCGTGTCGGGTACATAAGCAACGCGGGGCCTATCCAGAAATGAGCTTCCGTCACTACAAACAGCTTCACTCCTTCTCTGTATAACTCCATCAACTACATACTTCAATCGATACGACCCCGCAAATACCTCTCCAATACCTCAAGATGTCTCTCAAGCCAATCATCCTGCACGGCCACCAGGGCGGGCCCAACCCCTGGAAGGTAGCCATGGTCCTGGAAGAGCTGGAAATCCCGTTCGAGCACGTCTACGTACCATTCGACCAGATCAAGAAGGAGCCCTTCATCTCTCTCAACCCCAACGGCCGCATCCCCGCCATCGAAGATCCCAACACCGGCATCACGCTCTGGGAGTCCGGCGCCATCATCGAATATCTCATTGAGACCTACGACAAAGAAAACAAGATCAGCCCCAAGGCCGGCACCCCGGCCTCCTTCCACGCCAAGCAGTGGCTCCATTTCCAGATGTCGGGCCAAGGGCCTTACTTCGGCCAATACGTCTGGTTCACTCGCTACCACCCGGAGAAGATCCCCAGCGCGCAAGAGAGATACCTGAACGAGATCCGCCGCGTCACCGGTGTGCTCGACAAGGTACTGCAGGACCGCGAGTATCTGGTCGATGGTAAGTACAGCTATGCGGACACCGCCTTTGTGCAATGGTACCAGAGCATTCCGTTCGCGACGGGCGATGTCATCGACCTCGAAAAGGACTTCCCCAATGTTCACGCTTGGCTGCAGAGACTCCAGGCGAGACCCGCCATTGCGAAGTGTCTCAAGGCGTACAGGGAGGCAATCGCTGCTCTGTAGTTGCGAGGAATTTGTCTGCAAAGTGCGCAGGCGCTGCGACTATTGTTCTAATAACGATTGTATATATCGAATCATATGTCTGTCTGTAACAAAATTCTTGCTGTAAATGTCGCCGTGATGTCGAGTTAGTAGTTTGTATGCTCTGTCCATTGACGGTGTTGTGATCTTGGTTACCGTTATCCATATGATAGCTTGCATCCAGTAGCATAGCTCTAATGCGCAGTGGGCGCTGATGAGATGCGCGAGGAGCAAGTATTCAAGGTGAATATGTGGACCGGTGATTGAAATACAAAGTAGATTGTCAAGTTGATGACATAGATTGGAGATACAATCGAGCTAGTATGCAATAGGCCTAGCGCCTAAAATGCTCTTGGCGCGAGTTTTTGGAGCGACGGTCCGTGTCGCGACAAGTCGCTCTGCTCCCAAGCCACCTTTCTCCCCCACGACTTGTTGCTATCTTGGTGGCCATTACCACCCATTTATCTCCTTCCATATCTTTGCTACCTCCAGGCTCCAGATCACAACTGCATTAGGGGTTGCACCGGCACCTCGTCTATCCAATTCTCCGACCCTTAAGGAGCGCGAAGGTCCCTTGTTCCCGTTGCTTGCGACCTCAGCCGTCATCCCCGGCCATCAACCCAATAAGATGGAAGACAACTCTATCATTTCTGGCGGTGCCGCCGACGATGTCCAGACCAATAACGTCACTGAGGATGCTCCGGGTGATGTGATCAGTGCTTCCGGTGAGTGTTGCCTCCCTCCGCCCGCAGCGAGCTTGAGCACGTCAACCTTCCCAACCGTGCGCTGCAAGGTCGCAGTCGCGTGAAAGATCTACTGAGAATAAGATCTCCGCAGCGCCAGAGACTGATAACCCGCTAGATGCCCCTGTCTCGCCAAAGCCCCAGAATGCCGACGGCGAACCCGAAGATGAGGAGATGGGCGGCACAGAGCCCGAAACCAAGAAGGAAAGCGAGGGTGACGAGATTGCCGAAGTAGCTGCGCAATCGGGAGCTGAGGGCACAGCGGGGGAGCAGCCTGCACAGGGCAAGACTTCTGTCGAAACTTCCGCACGCTCACATCTCGTCTCACAAACACATGCCATCATTCTCCCTAGCTATACGTCCTGGTTCGACATGCACCTGATCCACCCAATCGAGAAGAAAGCTCTCGCCGAATTCTTCAACGGTCGGAACCGCAGCAAGACTCCCGCCGTCTACAAGGACTACCGTGATTTCATGATCAACACATACCGACTAAACCCCATCGAATACCTCACAGTCACTGCGTGCCGCCGCAACCTTGCCGGAGACGTATGCGCAATCATGCGGGTTCACTCTTTCCTCGAGCAGTGGGGTTTGATCAACTATCAAGTGAGTATTTGACGCGGAATTTGTTGCACCTTTCGTGCTGACATAGTGCCCAGGTTGATCCTCAAACGCGCCCTTCGAACATCGGTCCTCCCTTCACAGGCCACTTCCGAGTGATTGCCGATATGCCGAGGGGTATGCAGCCCTTACAGCCCGGTCCCAATCACTTCGTCAAGCCTGGCAAGCCTCTTCCCGCTACCGATCGCGCAGCCTCAGCTACACCTACATCTAAGGCCGATCTCAACCTCGAAATCCGTCGCAATGTCTACGATGATAAGGGCAAGGAAATTACCCCTGCCACCGAAGATAAGGAGAAGCAGACCAACGGCGAGGGCTCGGCCGCCAACGGTACCCCCACCGATGCAGCGACCAAGGCACTGGAGAGCGCAAGCAAGGAGCCAAGAAAGAAGTTCCATTGCTTCTCCTGTGGTATCGACTGCACTCGCCTTAGATTCCACTACGCTAAATCGACGCCGGCGACTGCGAACCCCGCTCCTGACACCAAGTACGACCTCTGTCCCAATTGTTTCCTGCAGGGCAGGATGCCTTCTAGCCACAATGCCTCCGACTTTGTCAAACTCGAAGAAAGCCCCTACACAATTGCCCCCGACAAAGATGCTCCGTGGTCCGACTCGGAACTCATTTTGCTCCTGGAGGGTCTGGAGAACTTTGACGACAACTGGGAACAAATTGCCAACCATGTCGGATCGAGAACCAAGGAGGAGTGCGTGATGAAGTTCCTGCAGCTCGAGATCGAGGACAAGTACCTTGAAGACACCCCAGAGGTACGGGCGTCGGCTGGTCGCGATCCGATCAGCCAGTCTGAGAACCCTGTTCTTTCGGTGGTCGCGTTCTTGGCTCAGATGGCCGAGCCCTCTGTGGCTGCTGCTGCGGCCGGTCGCTCAGTGGAAGAAATCCGCAAGGAGCTCCGAAAGCAACTTGAAAAGGGTTCCGGGTCCGAGAAGTCCCAGGAGAAGGGCAAGGAGAAGGAAAGTGCCGTGAAGGCAGAAGACTCCATGGAGCTGGATGCTACCCGCGAGGACGCTGCCGATGAGGTTACAGAGAGCACCGATGCGAACAAGCAAGGCAAAACCACCCTCTCTACTGTTGCTCTCGCTGCCTCTGCGGCCCGCGCCGGAGCCCTGGCGTCTCACGAGGAACGGGAGATGACCCGCCTGGTCTCGGCTGCGGTCAACGTGACGCTGCAGAAGTTCGAGATCAAGTTGCAGCAGTTCAACGAGATGGAGGAAATCATCGAGGCTGAACGCCGCGAGCTCGAGCTCGCTCGGCAACAGCTCTTCTTGGACAGAATGGCCTTCAAGAAGCGAGTCAAGGAGGTTCAAGACACACTTCAATCGGTTAGCTTGAGGGGCCCCGGCGAGGAGACAAATGCTCTGCTCGCAGATGCCGCCACGGTGGGCATTGGAAATCGGTACAACTTCCAGCCTACGGGCGCCGATGCCAGCCGAGGCGTGCAACCGTTGAGTGCAGAGGCAGGTGCCGACTACAAGGCCTTGGACTTGTAATGAAATTCTAATTCTTCATAAATCGCCATGCATCGTTGGACACGTCTTTTGAGTGGCGAAGAATATCTAAAGAATCTTTGTTCTTTTTTTTTTTTCTCTCTTAACTGTTGTCATGACCTGGGCAGGAAAGCTGAGATGGCAGGGGTTATCTTCTTTCATAATATCCAATTGTATTTTGTTGTACAATATCATAGGGGCCGAGCAGAAGCCCAAGAGCGCCAGGAGGTCAGGATACTGCCTGTGACAGGGGGTTTGTTGGAGAAGGGAGGCAGAGCTTCGGTAGAAGCGAAGCGGCTTTGGTGATGAATGATGGATGGGTTTCACTATGGTTTGATTCTTCGATCCTCGTTTTTCTTTTTCTTTTTCTTTTAACTAGGTAGGAAAAGGCGCACATGTTTTGGAGTTCAGAGCTATTCGTGCCCGCAAGTCAATGAATACACTTCTTTTTCAGGTAGAGATGTATACCTTATGGGAAACGGTAGCCAAGTAGGTAGCTGATCTACTGTATGTACTGTACAGTAGTATCTAGTGATCATGCTCTCAATCTAGGCAGCACTGTCCCATGGTATTGTTGCCTAAAGACACCAATACTCTTAGATTCTCCATCTGCTGCAACCAGCCGAACAATCTACTCAGGTCGGTGGTGGATCGACCACTTTGCGATACATCATATCGACTAGTTGACGCGTGGAGGGCTGTCAACTTCAATTGGCATTCGCCCGGCGGGCCCAGGCCACCCAGCAATTCGAATCGACCACCCTGCAATAAACCCTTCGTCTACAAACGCCAAAAGACCTACTGTACCTTCCTGCAGAGCCGTAAAACGAGATTGTGCGACACCACATACCATTATTGACTGGATCATGCTGTAGGTAGTGTACAATACAGTATCTATCCGTGTTGGTCAAACGATGGTTCCACCCAATGATGCAAAGAGCGTATGCGTGGGTGGATGGGCGGGTGGCCGTAAAGACCGTAGGAAAGTGATCGGGAAGGCCGTGAAAGTGATCGGGACCCCGTACGCGTTTTCGACTTCGAGAGATGGACGGGGCTGTACTTAGTGGATTTCAGATGTAAACAAAAGAAGAATTTCGACGCGACGATTTCTTCTTCCTCTATTTTCTTGATCCCTGTAAACTCTACTCAGTTCAATTGAGGTTGGCTCTTGCTTTGCTTTCTGGTTCTACCTCGCTTTCTTTCTACGCGTACACAACTACACCCGTTATCAGTTACGCGGAACCTATCAGGAGATCTGATTGTACTTCGTTACATTCGAATTGCGCACAACTATCCGGTCTCATTTCGATTAAAGTACATTCGTGATAGAATATGGCGCCCACGAAACGCACCGCCGCCGACGCGCTGCTCGACCAGGAGAACCTGGGCAACAGCAACACGCGTCCTTCCTCCACTGCCTCGACTACCACCAAAGACTGCGACGCCATCCGCCACGATATCCGCGCTTTTATCGACTCCAAGCAGATGAAGGTTGGCGAGTTCCAGCGTGCCATTGGCGTGTCGTCGCGCTCGTACAACGATTTCCTGAATCAGGTCGGGCCCGAGAAGGGGTCGCGATCGGCGACGTATCTTAACGCGATGAGGTTCTTCGCGAATCGCGGCGCTGAGTCGATGCCTTTGGCCGACGCGTCGGCGTCGGCGGCGAATATCGCTTTGCCGGCTGCTACGGCTACGGCTGCGGCTGCTACGGCCAAGAGGGCGAGGAAGGAGACTGCCAATACGGCGAGCAGGAGCGGGAGCGGCAGTCGTGCAGCAGCAGCGGCGGCGGCAGACGCAAACTCGAAGTTCGATGTTTCTGGTATTGTTTTGGAAGGGGAAAACGAGATGAAGGTGCCTGTGTTTGAGACGTGTGATCGCATCCGGAAGAAGATCCGCGCCCATGTCAAGAAGCAAGGGGTCACTAAGTCTGGGTTCCTGAAGGATGCGGCCAAGGCGGCGATGCCGGGCAGCGAGAAAAAGATTAATCCCGGTTCGCTGGACACGTTCCTCAAGTACGACGGAGCCCTCACGGGGAACTCGGGCATTGTGTTCTATGCCGCATATGTCTTCTTCGAGAAGTTGAGGATCAAGGAGGGTAAGCCCAAGGATGATTTTCGTCTGACCATGGAGAAAATCTGGCCGGCCGGTGTCGACCGCGAGAGATCCAGCAATGGGCCCTTCTTTTGCCATGTGAGTGAGCGGCCTTATATCAATGAGTTTGGGCAGTTGGAGATCATCAGTAACTCTCGCGTGCGGAAGTTCAGATGAGCGCTTTGGGGCTGTAGAGACGTCTGACAATGCCCGTTTGTCCGGGTTTCATGCCGCGCGAGTGTGTAAATTCAAGTCTCCTTTATTATGTCTTCAGCATCGTGTACTTCAGTCCGAGCGCTAGGTCCGGCTTTAGGTTGGCTGTCGCCCTTCCGCTCTTGCTTGGGCTTGTTTGTGAGCAGCCTCCCTTGAGAATCGACTCCTTCAAATATATCAGCTGCCATATCCTCTCTCACCGGAAGAGCTACCTTGGCTGGTGGACTCCAGTCCCATGCAAAACATGGCTTCCGAGTCTCAACGCCAGTCTTGGGGTGGATCTTAGTCACCATGGACAAGCGAGGTATGAGAGCAGATATGCGCATCCAAGTCCTAACCATGAACCGACGTGTGAGCACATGAGGTCGCCCGTCGGTATAAGGCCTGAACGTCGGACCCTTCTTGGGACCATCCACCAGGAACTCGACATCGAGGTTGGTCTCAGAAGTAGGAGCAGGGGCGGCTCCGATGGCCTTCCTTCTCTTGGGCGGCGTCCATGGCAAACGGCCCGAGATCAGGCCTTCAAGAATTTCAAGATCGTCGTGGGGAAGTGGTGGAAGACAGTTGGATAGCACTTTGCGATACCAATCCCTCCTAATGTTCCTTCGTCGGCAATTCGGAACCGGCCTGGCCCAGGAATTCTGTTTGGGGATAATGCGTTCGAATTTCTTGATTTTGAGGGCTCCATTCAGATGCGGGATCATGCTGTTGACCTGCTGGGCATTGACAAGTTCAACAATGATAGGAGGAGGCTTCCAGTCCTCCGTCAGTAGTTTCTTATCCAGAAGATCCTGCAAGGATTTGGGCGGAGTCTCAGACGACGGAGTGTGTCCAGCAATCAGGTCTCGAACAAGTTCCAATCTTCGAGTCCCACTGCGACCATATGCCATGCGCAAGACCTTCTCTAGTGGTTTCGGGTATCCTTCATTGGCTCTTTGTAGCAGCGACAGGCTCTTACTGGCCTGCTTCTGCAGTTGCCAGCGTCGCCACAGATCCTCCTGCCGTCTGAATCTGGCATTGTCCGCATATTTTCGGAATCGGTCAAGGACATGGCATTGCATGTAAACTTTGGCGACTGGATCCGGGAGATAGGATGCCTCGCGAAGGAGGGATCGAAGAAGCTGCCGCCATGTCGCCGCGGAGATTTGGACCGGTGATTTGGGGGAGAATGTCTTTGGCATTGTTTTAGACCGAATTGTTTGGCGGAGCTCTTTCTCCAGCGTGTCGACTGACTGATTGGCGCTTATTGTTCTCATTCTTTCTTTCCGCAAGGGTAGGCGGAGACCAAAGCGGTCTAGAAGGCGGAGATCCCAAAAGGGTGATATCTATGGATGGAAGGCAAAACGCGAAAACGGGTTTAGCCGCGGACGCGACCAGAAAGGACGATTGACGGACGGACTTCAAGTTGACTTCTCTTGCCAACATCTCAATACTCAGCTCTTTTGATGTCGGTATCTTTAATCATGTACAGCTTGAATCCTTCTTAAAGACCTGGAGCTTTAGATGAATACCATTCGAAAGTGATCGGCTTTACATGCTGTGATCTATCCCTGCAATCGAACACCACGAACCGGCCCTTTCATCCCTTCACGGTCGGAGCGCTAGCCACGCGCCTCCCTTCGATTTCGCGCGACTTCCCGCGGTCTGCTCCAACTGAGTCGAAGTAACGTCGAAGTAACTCCGGAGGCCGAGAGGATCTCCCAGCATAGGTGCAGTTCCCCACATGCTTTTTACTCTTTTGTTTGACATACTGAACATGTCATGCCATTGGCCTGGACGGTTGCAATTGGACTTCCACTGATATCTTCCCCTCAAGCAGTCTTCTGCAGGTTTCATGTTCGACTTGGGATTACACCCTACTTCGCTGTGACCGGGACACCATGGCTTCCAACAACCGCCACCCACCGCGCCCGAGTCTCCAGGTGTCGTACTCGCAGAGCAGCATGGGTTCGAACAATGGCATGGCTTTCTCACAATCCCACATGGGCTCGTTCAACGCTTCCCAATCCGTAGCGTCCACCCCCAGAGCTACTCCGCCTCCGAAAGCATCACAACAGTCGGCCATTTCTTATAGCTTCACCAACAGCTTGCCCCATGGCCCAAGGGGTAGCTTCAGCACATTCGAAGACATGAACGGGTATGGCACCATCTATGAAGAATTCAAGCCTCAGATATATCGGGTAAGTCCCCCATCACATGCACCTCAATGCCATCCACTCTCTCGTCCCGCTAACCGGTCATTACTCTTCTCTACAGGCTGTTTACTCTAATGTATCGGTGTACGAAATGGAGGTCAACGGGGTCGCCGTCATGAAACGCCGCGCGGATTCTTGGCTGAACGCTACTCAGATCCTCAAGGTTGCTGGTGTGGTCAAAGCGAGGCGGACGAAGACACTGGAGAAGGAAATCGCGGCTGGAGAGCATGAGAAAGTACAGGGTGGCTATGGAAAATATCAGGGCACCTGGGTGAACTATCAGAGAGGAGTGGAGCTTTGTCGCGAGTACCATGTTGAGGAATTACTGCGACCACTCCTGGAATATGACATGGGACCAAATGGAACGACGGGCAGTGCGCAGGATTCCTTGGACACCCCGACCAAGGAACAGGCAATGGCGGCCCAAAGAAAGCGACTCTATAACCACATGGACAACCGTGGCATGTCCCAGCCTCAGCAGGGCACATTCTTCCAGAATATTTCTCGCACAGCGGCTACTGCGGTCAATGCTATGAGCAAAGCCCGCTTCGACTCGCCGGCCGCACGTGGAGTCGACGGGAGAAAGTCCAGTGCCATACGGAAACCTTCGCAACAGCTGAGCAGCCAGGATACCCAGATTCCCTTCAGCAGTCAACAGAGCATGTACAGTGTTGCATCCGACAGCGGTTTTGCAAACAATGCTCAGAGGAACGGCCGATACCAAGCCCATGTCGGTCCCGGCTTCGAACCCGAAGAGTCGAACGAGCCTCCGCGCAAACGCATCAGATCTACTTCCAACCATGCGCAATCCTTCGGACTTCCGTACGAGCACTCGACTTTATCAATGAACGAGCCTACTCCGACTGAGCCGAATGACTCTTTCTACCAGGATATGGATGTCTCCAACTCCATGGTCGATGGCACCAAGCGCGGGTGCGAGCCCTTGCAACCTGCCACGACTCCCGAGAGATTCCAAAAGATGAAGCTTATCATGACATTGTTCTTGGATAAGAGAACAAAGGACTTTTCGACGCATCCTGCTCTGATGCAGTTATCTGGCGATGACCTGGAGATTCCATTGGATGAATATCGCAATAATGCTCTCCATTGGGCGGCGATGCTTGCTCGCATGCCCCTTGTGTATGCGCTAGTCGAGAAAGGCGTCAACATTTTCCGGCTGAACGGGGCAGGTGAAACTGCGTTGCAGAAATCAGTGGGAACGAGGAACAACCTCGACTATCGGAGCTTTCCACGCTTACTGCAGGTTCTGGCTCCAACCATTGACATGGTCGATTACAGTGGGCGAACAGTGTTACATCACATTGCCGTGATGGCGGCAACTGGCGGGGGCGGCCATGTATCCGCAAAACACTATCTCGAAGCTCTTTTGGAATTCATTGTCCGCCACGGTGGTACCTCGGCGGGCCAGCCGGGGTCTACTGGCGTCATGGACAACGGGCAAAACTTACCACAGACCGGAGAGGTCATAACGCTTGGTCGCTTCATATCTGAAATTGTCAATCTTCGGGATGATCAAGGCGATACTGCGCTAAACTTGGCGGGGCGCGCACGTTCTGTCCTTGTACCCCAGCTCCTGGAAGTCGGTGCAGATCCTCATATACCGAACCATACCGGTCTACGGCCGGCCGATTACGGTGTAGGTGTGGATATGGTTGAGGGCAATGGCCAATCCCAACAGACTGGAAATAGGAACGACTCTTTCATGGACCAACTAGCAAAGACCAAGAAAGAGATTCTAGATTGTAAGGATCCATCATGGCGCGTGAGAGTTACTCTGGCTGACATTAGTCTAGCGACATTGGCACAGATCACTTCATTGGTGCACGAGACACTGGGCGGCATTGACAGGGAGCTGGCTTCGAGCTTAACAAAGAAGCAAGAACAGTTTGACCACTGGCATGCTAAAATTCGTGAGTCAGCTAAGGCTCGGCAAATCGAACAGAAACACCTGGACGACCTGAAGAGTAGATCTTCAGAGCGCATCGAGCTCGGCCGGCGATGCAAGAACCTTGAGAAGTCATCAGAGGATCTTCTTGTAAAATTGAAAGCGACCCAAGGAGGATCCTTCGATGCGTCTAAGAAGTACTTGGTTGGTGACGCCGATAAAGAATTTGGATTAGACATCGCTGCATTCGAAGCGGTCTTTTCTGAGAACTTTGACCCATCTTCTGGGTTCTCCGAGCAGCAAGCTGCTTTTCTTCGTTCGTTTCCACCTGCAGAAAGCATACAGCAACGAATAGAGGGATACCACAAGTTCAACGATGACATACTGGAGGAGGTGGAGCGTCTCCGATCTAAAAATGTGGTCCTGGGGCAAAACTACCGTCGAGTGGTCATGGCTTGTACAGACTGGACTGCCGAACAAGTTGACGAAGCGGTCGAAGGACTCACGCAATGCGTCAAGGACCTTAATGACAATCCAGTCCCCGAAGATGAAGCTATCGAGATACTGATGAAGGACCGAGGGCAAGACTGGTGATGGTCTTGCGTCGGACGATCTTGACGAGCTTCCATGGTACATATATCACGCTTTGTTTCTGAACATTGGCACTAGCGATTGTTTACATTTTTCTATTCATTCTTGTCTATGGTTCACACCTGGTCGGAGTCGGCCAGCCACAAGGAAGCATTGTTCATATGAAGGAACTACGGTGTTTGAGCATGTTTGATTAGATGTTTTTATGCATTCATGTCTGTACCTCCAGATACCCTCAGGACACATGTGCTGGATTTATAACGGCTAATTTGATTGTGGCATCTACGATTCTCATGACCCTTGCAGGGTGGCTGTCCGTAAGTCGGTAGCCTGGTCTATGCCAAGCTGGATTTAAGCGGTTGCACTGACTTGAACGAGGATCTGGTGAACTAAATGTGCCACCAATCGGCAAGACTATCCAATTGATGGAATTAAATCAAATCCTTGGCTGCGAGAGAGGTTCGGTTCGCATAGCCTAAAGTGCTTCATTTATCCGTCGCTGAGCCATCCAAACTCCCACTGGGAAATGACATCCTCAGGATATGAACAGCTTACCCCACCCTTTGGTAAAGTATTTGAAAGCAAGCAGCTGCGGTATTCGAGCTTGTCTGAGCTCATACATTCAACCTTTGTGTAAATCCGCACCAAGACCTGCACAGCCAAGAATCAAACACCCCCCAACGAATTCGCCCTCGATCTACGTACCGAATTGAACCCTGTACAGTACATAGCCGCTACGACAGGATGTCCACCGGGATTCTGAAAGTCAAGGGCAACCAGGTAGTCGACAGCAATGGCGACGAAGTGCTCCTCCGCGGAGCTGCCCTAGGCGGATGGGCCAAGTAGGCTTCCTCTGCATGCAACTCGTCTTTCATCATCACGACTTATCATAATCTTTTTTTTCTTTCATTTGTCTAGCTAACTGACTAACTTTCCCCCCTCTCGTCCAGCATGGAGAATTTCATCACCGGATACGCCGGCCACGAGTCCCAGCACCGCACCGCCATGCGCAAGGTCCTAGGCCCCGAGAAATACGAGTTCTTCTTCGACCGCTGGATGGAGTACTTCTTCACCGAAGCCGATGCCAAATTCTACGCGAGTCTCGGGCTGAACTGTCTCCGAATCCCGTTCAATTTCCGGCACCTGGAGGATGACATGAACCCTCGCGTGTTGAAGGAAAGTGGCTTTAAGCATTTGGATCGGGTTATTGATCTTGTGAGTATTTCTGTCGGGATATTGCATTGAGGGATTGAACTTTGTGTGTGTGTTTCATGTTTGATAAAGCTAATGGGGAGGGTGTGATAAGTGCGCCAAACAAAAGATCTACACGATCCTCGACATGCATACCACGCCCGGCGGCCAGAACCCCGACTGGCACTCGGACAACCCCACCAACTATGCCGCCTTCTGGGACTACAAGGATCACCAGGACCGCACCGTGTGGCTGTGGGAGCAGATCGCGGCTCGCTATCGAGCGAATCCCTGGGTGGCCGGGTATAATCCCCTCAATGAGCCCTGCGATCCGGCGCATGTGCGGCTCCCGGCGTTCTATGAGAGGATTGAGAAGGCGATCCGCCAGGTCGATCCGGAGCATATCCTGTGGTTGGATGGGAATACCTTCTCCATGGAGTGGAAGGGGTTCGATCGCGTGCTGCCGAATTGTGTTTATTCCATGCATGATTATGCGGTATGTATCTCCCTCCGCCTTTCTTTGAAGGATTATGGGGGTTCGGGGACTCGGGAAGGGCTTGATTATACTGGCTTGCTGCGCGGTGCTAGGGCTAATCGTCATGTCATTGCGTGACACCTTCTAGTCCATGGGCTTCCCAACCGGTCAACGGTACAAGGGCACCCCAGAGCAAAAGGAGTACCTCGAGCGCGCGTACCTCCGCAAAGTCGAGTTCATGAACCAGCACGGCACCGCCATCTGGAACGGGGAGTTCGGCCCCGTGTACGAGAATCCGCGGACGGAGGTCGAGGCCGACGTCATCAACGAGGAGCGATATAACCTCCTCGGCGAGCAGCTGCGCATCTACGACAAGTACCGGATTCACTGGTCCATCTGGCTCTACAAGGATATCGGCCTGCAAGGCATGATCCACACGAATTCCGACAGCAGATGGAACAAGCGCATCCAGCCGTTCCTGGACAAGAAAAGCCAGCTCTGGCTGGATGCCTGGGGCCGGGCCCCGTTCCCTGAGCCCGCGGCCGCCCTGAAGCCGCTGGTCGACTGGATCGATAAGGTTCATCCTCGCGCGAAGGAGGCCTACCCGACCCCCTGGGGAACAGAGCGCCATCTGCTTCGTGCGGTGTTCCAGACGTTCTTGGCTGCGACGTTTGTGGATGAATTCGCGGAGTTGTTCCGCGGGTTGGATGAGAAGGAGTTGGACGAATTGGCTCATAGCTTCCATTTTGATGAGTGCGTGAAGCGCGATGGGCTTAATAGGATCCTGCGGGAGCATGCCCAGCTGCCGGTGCAGTGAGCAACGGATCATTCCTGTATATACTTGCTGCTGCCGAGGGCGTGGCCATAGCGTTGTAGGCGGTATTTTATGGGTTCAGCTTGCGGGGAGAATGCTAATTGCCACGCCCAAGTCGCTTTGTGCCGTCACCGCCCGAGGTATCCTTATCGATAAAGTCGGCAGAAAAAAACCCCGCCATTTTTTCCCACTTGTGCCTGTCCATCTCTTTCCTTTGCTTTCGTTGACACGGTCGTGCTGGGGATTTAGGCTCATCGTGTGCTAGCCTCCTGATCTTTTGAGAACGCATAGCATGCGTCTGTGATTGATGATTGTTGCATTGTTCGCATAATATCTAGCCACCTGCCAATGTGAAGAGCCTGCTCTGTTTCTTCCTGATTAGCATTCTTTCATACCTGAATTCCCCACTTTGCGACTACCATAGATCATCGCAGGATTTCTTTCGCATTCCTCCAATTTCCCTTCTACGCCAGACATAACATCTCGTTTGAAACCATCAACATGGCCGATACCGCTGATACCTACCCCGCGTCCTTAAGCACCGCTTTCGACGAGACATCCTCATTGAGGGACCGCTACGACCCCATTGCGCTCGCAGACGCCGAGATCGTTCCTATACTGCAGCTGCCGCTCGCGAAGGAGGTTTTTGGACACAATGCCGATGAGAGTGTGTTGAGTCGCGTTGCAAAGGGCGAGGTATCCTACACCACCTTTCTGTCCGAAAGGGTACAGGCGGTCACGCAATCGCCTTTGGAAGGCTTGACGTCCGAACAACAACGCTCGCAGCTGCTGCACATTGCTCTGGCCGCGCTTTTCGGATTCCTGCAGTCCAACGTGACCGGCCCACCCTTGACCTTCGGCCCCGCGGACATCATCATCCCCGCCGCTCTGCGACCCGACGCAGCCACTCTCCGAGCCGTTCGTGCCCATGTCATTCGCAACCTCTCCGTCGATGGTGAGGCAGCGTACAAGCTGACCCCCAATGTCGAGCTGTTCGCTGTCGCCAAGGCCCTGCTGGCTGATACCGATGTTCTGGTCGTCAACGGTCCCCTGGTGGCCCGGACGGCAAGACTCCGGGTCAATTTCCTTCACCAGAAGATGCTGTCGGAGGTGACTGGTACGCTGCAGGATTTGATTTACAACGAGCTTGAGGACCTCAGCAAGGTTATCTTGAGCGCCCAGTGCACGGCGCAGGAGCGAGGAGGGTTTTTGCTCGAGAGAGCAACTATCCACACCGTTCACGGCTTCGATGCAAAGGCCCGCGCGGACCTCGAGCAGGCCGCTAAAGAACGGAAATTCGAGTTTGCTTTGACGGGTAAACTGGGTAAGAGAACTAAGTTCCAGGAGCGCGATGTCAGTCAGCTTGTCATCCTGGCCAAGAGCGCCGACTCGTCGGAGAACAACGGCAAGAGCGAGAACGCGTCTGGTCCGAAAAACCTTGATCTCAACGATGATACACTTTTGGAGTCTATTTCTTTCGCCAAGGCCGACGGAGAAGAGTCTCAAGGAAAGCAGGTGACTGTTCAGGATGAAGCGGCGCTACCCCCGGCGTTGGCATCTCTCGACCCCGGCGACCAGCCTAAACTCGAACCCGTCGACTCCGCCATCCTTCTTGCCTTGGCATCGGCTATCACCAATACCGCACCCGAGAACGGTATCACCCGCGAGGAGACGGCGCCCTACGCTACCCGTGTCCTGGAAGGAGGCAGCTCGAACTGGCAGATCTACACTCAGGCTTTGTTGGTGCGTAGTCGTGTTGAGGGCCACAGATCCAGAACTGTCGAAAGAGCTGTTCTGCAGATGCAAGCACTCGTGGACCAGGTCATCGCTGATACTGCCACTTCTGATGAACAAGCCGGTGTTTCTGTCGAGGCACCCACAACTTTCCTGCCGCGTCCTGAAAAGTCCGAGTCCGCATCTGCCGCAGAGCGTTTGCAATACGTGTGGCTTATGAACTTTTCCACCCGATGGGACCTCGAGGCCGAGCTTGCTACCAGATGGGTCAATCTCGGCGGTCTGCGCACGGCGCTTGATATCTACGAGCGTCTTCAGATGTGGGCCGAGGCTGCACTCTGCTACGCTGCGACGGAGAGAGAGGACAAGGCCAGACAGATGGTCCGCAAGCAGCTCTACCAGCCTACCGGTCAGGACCCCGATGATGACAACGAGAAATTCGAAGGACCCGAGCTGTCTCCTCTGCCCGCTGATGCTCCCCGCCTTCTCTGCATCCTGGGTGATATCGACACCGACCCGGCCATGTACGAGCGGGCTTGGGAGGTTTCTAACCAGAGATACGCTCGCGCCCAGCGCTCCCTGGCCCGCCACTACCTCACTCTCAAGCCTCCGGCTCTCGAAAAGGCCGAAGAAGCCTACCGCAAAAGCTTGGACATCAACCGTCTCAACCACGGCGCCTGGTTCGCTCTGGGATGCGTGCAGCTCGAACTCCACCGTTGGGATGATGCCATCTTCTCCTTCACACGCACCGTCCAGCTCGAAGACACCGACGCCGAAGCCTGGAGTAACCTGGCGGCCGCGATCCTCCGCTCCCCCAGACCCGACGAAGACACCCCCTTTATTTCCGAACAACCACCCAAACCCAAAGCGCCCCTCGCCGACGATGAGGAAGAAGGTGAGGACGAAGAAGCGGCCCCAGAGGACCCCTACAAACGCAAGCGTGAGGCCCTGGCCGCGCTCCACCGCGCCGCCTCCCTCAAACACACGGACGCCCGCATCTGGGACAACATGCTCACCGTCGCGGCCTCGATCCCCCCGCCCTTCACTCCCTTCCGTGACGTCGTTACCGCGCAGCGGCGCCTCATCGAGCTCGTCGGGTCCAAGAAGGGCGAGAAGTGCATCGACATGCCCATCCTGGGTATGCTGGTCGACCACCTGGTCCGGGCCTATGATTACCAGGACCTGCTCATCCGCGTGGACGACAGCCCATCGGCGGAGAAGATCGTGCGCAGCGGTACTGTGCCGGGTCAGATCATCTCGCTGATCGACCAGGGTATCGTGCCGCTGATCACACACTCCGCGCCCCTGTGGCTCCTCGTGGCGAGCGTGGAGGAGTGGCGGGACCAGCCGTCCAAGGCCTTCGAGGCGCATGAGAAGGCCTGGCGCGCGACGGTCGCGTCGTCCACGCAGGGCGCCTTCCAAATGGGCGACGAGAAGAAGTGGCTGGAGGTTGTGCGCGCCACGGAGCGGTTGGTCCGCGATGGATACGCTCGGTACGGTCCCATGGACAAGGAGGGCCAAGAGGGTGCTGCAGAGGCGGAGACGGAGATGGTGGCTAAGGATTGGAGGTTCAAGGCCCGCAGTGCAGTGCGTGGTATCCTGGGTAAGGGCAAGGATTTCTGGGAGGATTCCGAGGGGTGGGAGCGCCTGAAGGCTTTGCAGTCTGAGGTGGGAAGTGCATAGATTCTGTTGTTGATTTGCATATATAGAGTGTGGGCTCGTAGCATTTGAAGCTGGGTACCAGTTTTCAAGAGAAGCGGGCCGTTCTAGTCACGATTGTTCATGTTCCGAATTGAATTTCGTATTCTTTTTCTCTTTTTCACTTTTTTGTTTCTCATTCATCATGCCCATTGTTATTATTCTACTCGTCCGATCGTGTTGGGGCTGTATCAGATCGTTGCTTGCTGTCTATCTTCCGTTTTAGCATGCCGCAGAAACTCTCGAAGAGGACGGTATCTGTTCCCTTGATCCACCTGATGATCACCTTCAGCCCTTTCTCGTCGATGGCCTCTTTCTTGACCTGCACCCTGAACCCGAGGGCGGCCTTACTTTCTTCGATCGGGGCCTGATCGGTCATTGCTTCTGGATTGCGCATCTTGCGGCGGGCCTGTCGAGACCAGACATTCTGCATCGCGAAGCCCACGCCCATGGCTAGGTCCTTACGCCAGACCCATTGGACGGAGAGGGCTTCGAGTTCTGCATTGATTGTGGCAGCTACGTCGGCGATAGACTCGGTGGTGGTTGTGAAGGTGTACTCGGAGGGAAAGGGGAGAAGGTGCTTTGGGATTGCAGGGATACCTCGGGCTACGGCCTGGTTATGCGGTCAGGAGTTAGTCCAGCGCCACTGGTGGTCCGCAGAGAAAGGTACATACCACTGTCGGACGACGATCAGTCCAGGACCAGGCTAAAGCCCATCGTTTGGTCTTGTTGCCTTGCACAAACTCTGTCACGGCATAGTTGTTGTTGCCGTGTTCGATCAATCTTTCCACCAAGACGGAGATGCTGCTCAACTTGCCGCACATCGAGGTGTACCAACGTACTCTGTCGCGCAGCTGGAGACTCTCTTCGATCATTCGGGAGATGAACGCGACTTCTCCACCTGTTGTCACCATCTCGACCTCTGCACCTGTGCATGCCTGAGGGGCTGAGTGAGCGAATTACCTCGTTAATGGAAGGCGGTGGGTCATACCGAGAAAGGCGGCCTCTCCTTGGCTTCTGCTGACGCTACCATCTCATCTCGAGAAGTGTAGAAGGGGGGATTGCACATGGTGAAGTCTAGTCTTCTGCAGGTTAGGTAGTGGATATACGAAAATGAGCTGCTGAACGGACCTGTCAAGCTTGAGCTTCGTGCCTAGCGGAATGAGCTTATCCTCTGGGTCCGTCTTGTAGATTGTGATGCGCGAATCGAGCCCGTTTGCCGAAATGTTCGCTTGTGACGACTCGATATTGCCCTTGTCAATGTCTTTATGGTACGAGTGAGCTTGGTATGTTTGCGGCGACGAGGACGGACTAACCTGTCGCTACAAAATTCCATTGGGGCCGCATGGAACATCCTAACAAGGGGTAGATGCTGCAACATCCTGTCCCTCTGTGGCTTCTTGGTTAATGTTCGAACTAACAATGGAGTTAAGTGACGTACATGTCAAGTCCCACGACTTTTTGATCGGGATCATAGCTATCCCGGTAGTCATCGCCCGTGGTATCGAGGAGATCTTGCAGCCAGAGGATATAATTCAACCTGCCATTACTGTATCAGGACCAAGTGGGAACTACTGGTCATTATGTGTGCCTTTTGCTTACCTGTTCGGGACCTGTACCTGATTAGCAAGCTAAGCATTGTATTCTGTAGTCAGTCAAGATTGCATACCGGCGGACAAAGTCTGTTGTCAGGAATGTCGACTTTCAGGTCGAAATCTCGCTGCAAGAGACTCGTGGTCAATTGTCTATATCTGTCAGCGGTGACTTGGACATTCTGTCGGTTCGCATCGTGGACCCACCTGACAGCACCGGGGTCGGTAAAGTCCAATTGCCCGTTGGATTTTAGACTAGATTTTTGACTTCTGAGCCTTTGCAGCTATGGCGAATCAAGTGGTGGGATGTGTGGACTCACTACTTAGCAAAATCCGGGGATTGGAGCGCAAGGGTGGTAAAGTCAATGTCATCCTTGTAGGGATTGCGTGATGCGCTCATAGTGTAACTGCCAATGAAGAAGGATTCGGGGGTTATGGTCATGTGCGAGACATAAGACGACGAGGATGACGATGGTGACGATGATGACGGAAATGTGTAGCAGGCTAGCAGCAACTCCGGTGGAAAGCACCCAGTGGATGACGGTGGAGTCTACCCGAGGCAAATCCACTGACACGCGACAGGGACATGCAGAAGTCGACAGAATAGTCGGAACTAGACCAGACTGGGGCTCTTTAGTGTTAGTAGTTTGTGTGCAGTGTGCAGGATGCAGCAGTGCCGATGATCCTGGAATGGAGGAAAGAAGAAGTTCTACTTTTGGATATGATACCTGATGATGCCTGGTCTGCCTGCCTTTTCCGAGAGGTTCCACACCTCAGGCCGCAACTCACAACCTTCTAAGGCTGGAAATGATGTCATCCCACACACGGTGTGTTGCGCCCAGGACTCAGGGCTGGCTTTTGATTGCTCTTCCGAGGTCTCCATATTACAATCTGATAATATTACCTCACTTGACTCTATCTCACTGGTCCCTGCCTCATGCCGATCGCCTTGGCGAATCTGGAACATTTCCCAGGCAGAACCGTGAACGGGCTCGTCCATTTTTTATTATCTCCTGATTGATTTCCGATCGTCGGTGGATCCCCTCCCCTCTCCCCCCTCTTTCTCTTCCCCATTCTTTTTCTCTTCAGCTGCAGTCCATCTGTTGCTGCAGTTTTTGCGCTGCCCCTCCTCATAGCTATTCAAGAGGACCTACTTCTCTATCGCGCTGGATCACGATGGAGAAGTTTAAGAACAAGATCGATCACTTGGAGGAGCATCTCAAAGGTTAATCTTTTCTCTCCCTCTGTGGATTCGACTAATTACCCGTCGGGGCACAGACACTCATATCGAGAGTTTCGAGGCAAAGGCATCGCATTTAAAGCACAAAGTCGGCAAATTCTTCAACATCATCAATCCCAATCATCGCCACGATGAAGCGCACGAGCAGGAGACAGACCGCAAGAGAACCGCCATTTCCGAGGCCAACCGCTTTCAATCATTCGCTCCCATCCGCGAGGGTAACAGGGTCAAATGGTATGTCGATGCGTTGGACTACATGTGGGCGGTCTCCATCGCCTTAGAAGAAGCCCAGGAGGTCATCTACATCGCCGACTGGTGGCTCTCCCCAGAGCTCTTCCTCCGCCGGCCTGCGTTCATGGAGCAGGAATGGCGGCTGGATCAGGTCCTCAAGCGCCGCGCCGAGGCCGGTGTGAAGATCTACGTCATTGTGTACAAGGAGGTTCGTTAGCCGCCACGGTTGCACGGTTGCCACAGTCGCTGACCGAACATGCTTAGGTGAATCAAGCATTGACCTGTAACTCGGCCCATACGAAGCACGCTTTGCGTGCCCTCTGTCCCGAGGGATCTCCCGGATACGGGAACATCAAAGTTCTCAGACATCCGGATCACAACATCTTCGAGAATGCTGCGGATATGACACTGTATTGGGTATGTCTGCGCCCACGCATGCTTCGGGAGTGAATTAACTTTGGATCTGCTAGGCCCATCATGAAAAGTTCATTGTCATTGATTATGCGCTGGCGTTTATTGGAGGTATCGATCTGTGCTTCGGAAGATGGGACGCCCATCAGCACCCCCTCGCGGATGTCCACCCGTCAAACTTGAGGGACGAAATCTTCCCGGGACAAGAATTCAACAACAACCGGATCATGGATTTCCAGAGCGTGCAAGATTGGCAGCAGAACGAGCTCAGCAAGGCGGACTACGGCCGGATGCCTTGGCATGATGTTGCCATGGGTTTGATGGGTGACTGTGTGTATGACATTGCCGAGCACTTTGTTCTTCGCTGGAACTTCATTAAGAGGGACAAGTATAAGCGGGACTATGGCGTTGATTGGCTTATGCTCGAGGGTCGCACCGGGGAGGACGAGGATCTAGTGGGAGTACAACGCCCGAAATACCCCTGCGGCGACTACGTGCAACATCCCCTGAAGCCTCTTGACACGAAGCCCCTTGGCAAACAAGGGTTTGCGCGGGCACAGATCGTGCGCAGCAGCGCTGATTGGAGCAGTGGTATTCTGAACGAGCATAGTATTCAGAATGCCTATAAGGAGGTTATCGGCCAGGCCCAGCATTTTGTCTACATTGAGAACCAATTCTTCAGTAAGACGGCATAATTTTCTCCTAGAGTTGCAGCTACTAATCATGCCTAGTCACTGCCACGGGAGACAAGCAAGCGCCCATTCTGAACACAATCGGGCGCTCAATTGTGGATGCAGTTGTTCGAGCGGCTAAGGAGAGAAGAAAGTTCCGAGTCATCATTGTCATTCCCGCTATCCCCGGATTTGCAGGAGACCTCAGACAGAACGCAGCGACCGGCACCCGAGCGATCATGGACTATCAGTATAAGTCCATCCATCGCGGAGAGCACTCCATCTTCGGGCAGATCGCTGCCCAGGGTGTGGACCCGAGAGGTAGGTCGAGCTACGCCATCTGCGACAAACTGGAATCTAACATGATCAGAACACGTCTTCTTATTCAACTTGCGTGCCTTTGACCGTATCAACAAGACCCCAGCTCTTGAACACCTGGAAAAAGAGGCAGGCGTGACGTATAACGACATCCAGCGTGGAATTGCGGAATCTATCATGAGCGACAGTGTTCATCCGGCCATTGACAACGAAGGAGACCGGCATGAAGTTGGCTACGATAACGCCCAACAGGAGAAGGAGGCTCGGATCGCGCAGCTGCGCAAGTACGAAGAACAATTTGAACGCCATAAGGAGCAAGAGGGCCTGAAGGGTAATGACACCGTGGCCCACACCACGATGCTCAACGGCGGCAAAATGTCTGACGAGCCCTGGGGCGGCGACCCCGAAGCCGAGAAGGAAAACATTGTCCAAGAGGAGCTCTATGTGCACGGTAAGGTGTGCATTGTTGATGACAGAATCGCCATTTGTGGAAGCGCCAACATCAATGACCGGGTAAGCCCTTTTTCATCTCCCCTTGCAGTCACCTACATTAGCCCCCTGCCAGCAAAGCAGCTAACTTATTCCACCTACTCCCCACAGTCCCAATGCGGCTATCACGACAGCGAATTAGCCATCGTTGTCGAAGACCAAGACTACATCGACAGCACCATGGACGGCCAGCCGTACAAAGCCGCCCGCCTTGCAGCAACCCTGCGTCGCCAACTGTGGCGCGAGCATCTCGGCCTGCTCCCTGCGCAGGAATACGATGCCTCCCAACACCCCAATGCCCAGCCCCCGTACACGTGCATGAATCAGATCCTCGAAGGGCCGGAGAACGACTTTGTCACGGATCCCATGAACGACGCACTCTGGGAGATGTGGACCGGCCAGGCTACCACCAACACGGATATGTACCGGATGCTTTTCCGTGCCGATCCTGACGACAACATCCACACCTTCGAGGACTACGACAATTTCTGCCCTAAGGGAAACAAGCAGGGACATTTGTTCGATCCCTACCAGCCCATCAAGGAAGTGCGCGAGAAGCTCGATAAGATCAAGGGTCATTTGGTCTGGATGCCGTTGGAGTTTTTGAAGGATGCTAATATGGCTGAACCTGGTTTGCAGGTGAACCAGATCACCGAGGTGAGTTTATTTTTCTTTTGAATGGGTAATGATCCCAGTCATGATGTATACTGACGCATGCACACAGAGTATTTACACCTGATTGTTTTTGCTTGTGATATCTATGGCCTCGCATCTATTCCCATAATAATCACTTTGTATCTGCGATGTACATTCGCAATGGTCCAGTTTCGGCAGAGTAAAGGGCACGCGTGTAGATCTAGATACTATAATCTGGTGTGTAGCCTGTGGCCGTGTATCCAACCGGTAGAGATACCAGACTCCGCTTTGTCTCCATCCATGATCCCCATCCAGCCCCTAGGTGTACCTATACCAGCACCATACCTGCATCTTCCCTTAGAAGCCAGTACCTAGTACCATCTACTCAGAATAAGCATAACCGATCCCACAGTCCTCAGCATCCATCAGGATCATCCAATCTGCACACCGACCAAAAGGGTAATGCCCCCTCCCAACTGCACTGCAATCTCACACCCGACACCCAATCAGTCCCGCGCGCATCCGCGAAGCAAAGTATAAAGAGATCTACCTAATCTTCAAGACCACGCAAGGGAGCTCTGTCCGCAGGATCGTTGTCTCAGGGGGAGGGAGGGAGGATGGAAGACACCCCTACACACGCTCACGCAGTGCTGGAGCTGACTTCCGTCCTTTCCACTAGTAAGTCTATCACACCTCGGGCTGGGCTGGCTGGGCTGGGCTGAGCTGTGTCGTGTTGAAAGGGTTGGCGTACTCGCGCTATAGATACGCGGCTAAGTTAAACTGCCATGGTATCTCAGGTAGCTTCGACTTCGATCGAGGTGTGTGCTGCGCTTCACTGGGGTGTATCTCGTGTATAGTACTGGGTTTGATGTAGAGACATGATTTGGAAAGGCTGTGGGGTGCTGTGTGTGTCTCAGGATTGAGCGAGTGGGGTTGTGGATTTAGACTTTCGGTTTGGGTCCACGATGTTCTGGGTGTATGTCGGTTTGGCGTTAGTTTGCCACTCTGTCAGTTGGTTAGGGTGGGGTGGGGTGAGGCGGGAGAAATGTGGTATTCAGATCGAGGAGAGCTTAGTGCATATAAATAAATAGGTAATGGACAATCCGCAGGGGGCATTGGTAGGAAGGTGTCTATCTAGCCCTTGGGCCCATAAGGGAAATGTGATACGCTGATTGCATATAGCTTAGTGCAATGATTGATAAAGATGTCTCTGTCAGAAGTTTGGAATGCCAAATACATCTATACCCGGCCGGATTGTCTTGGGTCGATGTAGAATTCAAGACTTGATGCCTTATTAGATAAAAGTGGTGGAAGAGATAAATCCAGGATTAGATGCGTCGCCGCAGATGATACTTCCTCCGAGGGAAGTCTAAGATAGTCTTCTAATCTAAAAAAGTTGGAGCAGAGGGTCACGGAACACCAGAGAAAACAAACGAGCATCCTGACAATAAGGACACAGGAAACAAACACCCGGGCTGAAATATGGCATGGTCGTCAATCAAAGACAATCCCTCCTCCGTTTTCCCTACTCCTGAACGCCGGAGCGATGCGATTTCTAGAGCGAACAGCTTTGTGTGGACAAAACACGAAAAAGCAGAGGATCGTTTTGCGAGACAGGCTGAAATCAGACAAAAAGCAGTCGCTGGAAACAAGGATCGGAAAATGCGCGAGATCACTTTTGTTGGAGATCGCAGGAGACTGCGAGTCAGAGACAATGCAGCTCCTGGTTGTTCTGGAATGTGAAATGCTCTCCCACTTGCAGTGAGCCAGAATCGGAGGTCGGATCTCTCCCTTCAATCATGATCTGTTGAACATGAAAAGTGCATCGAGGAGTCTCTCCGATTCGCAAGGGGTAGATGGATAAGATATCCGGGGGTGTTGGTTCGTTTAGAAGCGACGTCCGGAGTAAAAGAATGCCACCTGCGGTGGGGTGGTACAGGTGACAGGTAAGAAATGAAGACCGGAAAGGGAAGAAATGGAACCTATTAAGGGGGGAAAAAAAAAGCATGAAAGTGTGGAACGGGTGATCCATCATACGACAGATTTGCATGGGGTGCTTTTTGTTAATCGCAGATGCAAGTCATGCATTGAAAACAACGCTGTGGTGGTGTCGTCAGATTTCCCGGAATCTGCCCAGGGCAAGCACTAGACAATCCCGACGTCAGTCTCCTTTTTGTTCCACAACAGGTGCACAGTATGTTACTGTGAGCGGATGGGCGTTGTATCCAACCAGTGGCACTTACCGATCTTTCGAGGCAAGGAAAGCACTATGCTTTGGCGGTGTGGCATGCATTGCAGCGAAAATGGCCACAGATCTTGCATTGCCAGATGGCAACGAAGGGGCCGGAGTTGCAGTCAGAGCAGCGCCAGGTAAGGATGTTGCCGTTCGTGGCCTGTACAATGGCGAAACGGTGACCGGAGCATTGGTTGGCCATGGTGTTGTATTCTAGTCGCATCGATGTCCGTCAGTTCATCAATTCGACTACCGCTCCTCATGTACGAGACGCAAAGATTCGGATCAGAAGGTCTCATGCTCTTACCTGAACTTGTCAACGGGATGTGGGTTGAGAAGTGGTTTGTCGGTGACTTTCGACAGTCTAGCTTGGGGTGTAGGGGCAATTGGTGTTCCTTTAACTACGTAGGACTGAAAGAGATGTTGGATGTTCTAGGGCAAGGGTTGGTTCCGTTGAACACGGTTGGTTCGAGGAAGGAATGAAGGATGGAGGAGAGGAAGGGGAAAAGAATTTCTTAAGTAGAAAGGAGCGAGGATCTGAATTATGCGACGATCCGGAGAGTAGAGAAGGAGAGCTGCCAATGTGTTGTTTGTGGTGTTGTAGAAATAATGAAGAACGGAAGGGCAACGAATCCATAGTATATATAGGGTTGAGAGCTGGAAAGGAGGTAGGGCTCTGAGATCTTTGCTTTCTTTTCTCAACAATGGGCTGGCTGCATAGCTTCGGAATGGTCGTGTCTCAAAGAGCAATTCCAATTACCTACAGTCCCTGTCTGGAGTACGAGGTCCAGAAGCACTCAGGCGAGAAGCCTTCCAGTTGCATGGAACCCGCTCTCACCGTCGGCAGGCAAGCAAGCACAATGCACGTACCCGGCCTGCTTCCTGGTCGACGGATCATTAATTGCAGTGGAGTCGGCCACAGCACCACGGTATGATGAATAGGATCCGACAGGGGCGATGGGGACGGAGAAAGTGTGCGATCGAAGCAGATAGGTCGATGAGCAGCCCAAGGAAGAAATTCCGTGGGAATGGGGACTAGGAGTGGAGAGTGAGAGATCTAGAGATCGAGAAGGAAGAAGGAACCATGGGGAAGGATGATTGATTATGCCTGCAGAGAAAAAGAAATCGCCAAAAATAAATAAATTCTATCGAAAGCCAAATTGACCAAGGTACAGTCAGTCCGTCACTAACTACCGAGTAATCCTACCCTTGTCAAAAATATCTGTCTAGTCAATGAATAGATCCGACTGGATGGTCTGAAGGTGGAGGTTCTACAGGGAAAAAAATGATCTGTCGTCGCTGGTGGGGCCCCAACTAAGTGGATGACTGCAGTACAGACTACAGACAGGAGGAGGACTATACTAGACTGAGACTGAGACTGACCGAGGATTTCCTTTTCTTGGTTGTTCATTTAATTTAGGCTTTGAGTTTGGTGTTGGGTTGGGGTTGAGAACTTTCCCCTGAATTGCATCATCATCATCCTAGTTCTAGTTCAAGTCCAAGTATAGTAGATGTCAACTGGTCTAACAGCCAACTGGACGGACAGCTCCCAGAAAGAAGGTCTAAAAGGGGCAAAAATTGACTTTGTTTGGCGTGTTTGGCGTGTTTGGCGGGTGTCGATCCGATCCGATCTGCTTCCTTCCTTCCTTCATTCCTTCCTGTCTGTTCTTTCCTTGTCTAGTCCCCCGAGCCCCGGCCGCCTCCAAGCTTTCCCTTTCTCCCTCCCTCTCTCTGTCACTTTTCTCTTTCTCTATCACTCTCTCTATCACTCCCCTCCATCCCTACCAAATCCTTTCGAATCCACTTCCTTCTGCTTCCAATCTATGCATCATCATCCATCACGATTCAATCCTTCCGCCTTGTTCAAATCCTGGTTCTTGGAATTCTCGATCACTCCGATGCGTGCTTCCTGACCAATCCTTCCCCCTCATCGCTCGTTCTTATCGTCCCCGTCGATCGTCTGCTGCTATTAATTGCTCTGCTATAGTTGCCTTCCCAGGGGGGCTGCTGGAGCTAAATCCTTCCATGACCTCGGCCGAACGTCATGAATCGAGCCCACTTTTCTAGAACCTCCTCCATCGGCACTTGTGCATCTCAAATCCGGACTCTCGCAATTAATTGCCGTGCCTCCCATCATTGCCCAACCCAGTTATTTGCCCCGAATGTATCATCATGCTAAAGCTAGCAATTGCAAAGAAAGTTTGCCTTTTGTTTGAACCCGACTCCAGCTCCCATTAAACTTTGGCCTCTCGGCCCACGGCAGGAAGGCGATGTCGGCCTGCCGGTGCAACCGATCCTCTTTACATAGCAGGGGTTTCCCAACCCAAGACAAACAATCCCAAAGAAGCGACAACAACATGACGCTAAATTCTTCATCACCCCATTATCGGGTGTCAGTTTGGCCTGAGCTCCACCCGATGCGCCGAGTAAAGCACTGAGATTTAACGTTCATACATCCATGGTTTCGGAACCATCCCCTGCAGCTGTTCCCAGCCCGCCTTTGCAGAGCTCAACGTTTGGGGGCGTCGTTGGCGGTTGGACAAGCAGGCCAGATCCTTGTGAACGTCACTACTCGATTCACTCATGCTTGTTCCTGTCTTCCCTTGTCGATCGAAGCCGATCGCGCCGTGCTTCTGCAGGCGACCCGCACCCGCCAACCAGGTTAGTTCCTGGTGGCTTGCCGGCAGGCTCTTGGGGACATGGAGAACAAAAAGTCCTCGAGACTCCGTACTATCGTCTGAGCCTACCTACACTGCCTTGCCCACATTAACCGAAGACAAGATTACCCCGAGCCAGGACGGTGAACGACCTGCCGAAACTACGTATATGAAGTTGCTGGACTGCCTACTCGCCAAGACACCGTCTTTTGTGATTTTTTCAGGCCGCGAATGGCTGAAGGCATGCGAGGTGGAAGCCCACCGCCTATCTACCGTTTGTTTGGGCATGCCGATCTTCCCGTAGATGAGCACCAAAGTCCAAGCTGGTGATCCCGCCAACGATAATGAAAAAGAGCTCAACCACAATTTGGTATTGAGCCGAGATTTCACTCCTCTTCCTTCTTGGTGATCTATTTCATTGCGGCTTCGAACAGAGTATTGTTCGGAAGGAAATGCACATGCAGTCCGGAAGCCGACACGCGGTGCTTCTAGTGCTCCGAGCGTTCCCTAGTTCTCAGGCCTAAGAAAGAACACGAGAGGGCTGGACTTGACCCAACGCTAGGATCAAGTGCGGTGGGTATCGCTTGACAGGCGGGTCGATTCCTGTCAGCATGGCGGGGACACAAGAAGCCACATTGCTTCAGCCGCTATCGAAATCGATTGTGGTTGGACTAAACATCCGCCAAATAAAAATCATTAGACGCTCCAGGGTTGGACCTTGTCAAATCCATGTCTTCAGCGCCTTGAAAGTACCGAGATGGTATCTATAGCATCCTTCTCATATGTCGAGGCCTGAATTCACCAATGCCTTGGTCAAAGTACGTAAACCACTTGCGCGCATCCGCAGCCAATTCTTTTATTTCAGGAACCATGGATTACTACTGGTCATCTAGCCGCAAAGCTTCCCTGATCTACCGGGGATGTTCCCGGACATGAATTCTGCGCCATCGTGCTTCGGGCTCAACTGGCCCCCTAATTCGCTCCATCCCCCACAGTACCGGGATCGAGCGTTTGCTCTTGGTCTAGGTGACGCAAGGTACTTTTGCCTGCTTGATACGTCTTTTCGTTCTGTCCTATGCTCGGGACCACACCGGAAAAACCGCCCCCAGTGATTCGGCGCTCCCCACGCGCTTCACTTTAGCGCAGAGCCCAATTCTTCAGCTTATGCCGAAGGAGCAATTTGGAAAGTGGCGCTCCCTAAACGAGCTGTCTGGACGTGCCGCTCGACCGGGCCAGAACAACGGCATTCTCTACACTACCATGTTTTATTGTGATGCATGAAGGGCTTGGCCAAAGTTTAGCATCACTGTTCTCCGTTCTTCTCCGGATCAGTAGCATTCTCATCTTCGCCCGCAGAGAACTCGCATCAAGGCGAAAGGTAAATCCCTTAGAACCTTCGGAGCGATCCACCCTCCGATTCGAAGAGTCGCTTCGCCTTGCCAAACGACGTGCATGGGATTCTTGATCGCGAGATGTCTCAGGAAATGAAAGGGGCTCTGGGTTCGACTTTGTCCAGCGTCGCATAGCAAACGAGCCAATCCTGCGTTCGGCTGTCGGGCTCATGCACACCGCCATCCCATTCTTTTCAAATGTCAATCGAATTGAAAACCGATTCATTCTATGCCGGCTGGCAAGCTGCACGCCGCTAGGCTACACTGTCGTGGCCTTGTTGAGGTCGTCCTGAGATGAGACACACGGGTCGGGAGATTTCGATCAGGATTCTGGCAAGGAAGACTGCATCGCTCACCGAGCGCCGAAAGAGAATCGGATGTCTCGCTGACCCTACTTTTCGGAGTCAGGTTACCTGCAGTCGTGTCTATTTCTGCAATCGGTCGCGAGTTGCATCTGATACACGGTTAACAGGGCGCATGATGCAGACACGCGATTTTCCAATCGAGTGACGATGTAGACAGACTGGGATCACGGCGGATAGCCAGGAGAGATTGAGTTTTTGAATTGATCATATTCAGCTAAAGTGAAGGGGATTTCTTTTTACAAAACTGCTGTGACAGGTACGATGGTGTTCGAGATGTTCTCTTGCACCAGTTCCACCGGCCGAGGCCATGAGGGCAAACCCCCAAAGAAACTGGTGCCTTCGTTCCTCGATCGATCCAGTGCAATACGCCTACTTCCTACAAGCTGGAAGGCTTGCAGGTCATAGACGTCCGCAAAGGACCGGTATTTTGCTCTCCCAACGCTCCGTTAAGGACGATCCTGTGAGCTCAGGTCCAGAGAATGATTCTCCTTTCCAACAGGACGCCCCTGCAGTACCCAGAGTGGACTGCATCGCTGGTTTGATTTGATAGATGTTGTGGTCGATTGCTCGAACTGACCGCCCTACGAAAGAAAATGTGTGAAACACACTGGTGAAAGCATTGGACCTGGTCCAACTTGACAGTGAAACAATTTCTCTGAAGAATTAGAATCAGAGCCAATGTTCCCGTGCTTGGGAATAATCATGTCACCCAACCCCTATAGCCGTGAGCCCGCCCGAGCAAGACATCGATGCTCATATGGTTAATGGTATCATTCAGTATTTAGGTGCTGATAACAGAAGAGGTATCCTGCCGTGTATCACCACATAGACTGGTCTTATGTGCATGCATGCATCATCATCAACACAGCAAGTTTAGAAAAGAGTCACCCGCTGCAGAGAATATGGAGAAGATCATCAAAACACTCGTCATCACTGTCTTTAGTCATCATCTTATCCGATACCCAGCTCGCTTACGCTCGTGATATGGATGATTGGGGGGAAAAGGGGAAAGGTTGTAAAAGAAATGTCCGCTTGAATTGAGATGCAATACTCAGGGCATCTAGTCATTTAGATGAAACAAAGCCGAAACACTTCGGTGGCCGTTAGCAAACATTTCTGAGAATTGGGGGATGTGGACTGAAAACTGACCTCTCGCCATAATGATGGCGCCTGATGCTCTCCGCTAAAAGACTTGAGATGTCGATGACAATCAACTTCTGCGACTTCTTGGCGACTTGCGGGGCAATAGGGAAGGTGTTTGTGACGACGATATAGTCGATGGCCTTGCATGCTTCCATCTGCTCCAGAGATTCATCCCCAAAGAGACCGTGGGTGGCAATGCAGTAGACCTTCTTCGCACCGCCCTTCTTGACGACCGTCTCCGCGGCAGCAATCCATGATCCGCTCTTGTCGATCATGTCATCGACGATAAAGACGGTCCGGTTACGTACGTCGCCGACAAGAGTAATAGTTTTCTCTTGTTCAGCGTGACGTCCAACGCTACCCTCCTCGTCGGAGGACTCAGCAGCATCAAACGAGCCGCCCAGAGCGTGATCGCCGGGAAGGGAAGGGGTGGTCGAGATCAGGGAGTTGACCATCGACTCGGGGACCGCTTCCGAGGGCTCGCCGCTGGCATTCTGACCTGGGGTTGTTTCGCCTGAAGCAGGTACAGAAGTGGGACCAGTGGAGGGATAGTCATCATCGACCAGGTGACCCTGGACGAGACGGCCGGTGATCACGTCCTGAACGCGAACATCGGTGTACTCATGTGCAGCTTCCAACTCCGACGGACGGCGAGCGCCTGTCGGGGTCTCTGGACGCAGGAGGTTGGCCGCCACGAGAGATTCCATGTTGGTGTTGGTCTCTTCTCTCAAGTCTTCGCCCTGGCCGTTATCACTGTTTGCGCTTTGGATGTGCAAAGCGAAGGGATCTTGGTCCTTGGACGAGGCGGTGCTCTCTTCCTCAATCGAGTCGAAGAAGACGGTGCTATCCGTCATCGACATAGGGACCTTAGGGCGCCGTCTGTCTGTCGTGACAATACCAAAGTTGAGCTTCAAGGTATCGGCGAGGGACGTGACACGCTTGGTGCCACCGGCATTCTTGCTCACAACAACGGCCTCCTTCCAGCTGGGGACGTTCATGCGAATCCATCGGGCAATGAAAGGTTCGGCAAATAGGTTGTCCACCGGCTTGCCAAAGAAGCCCTGCATTTGCGATGCCTAGATTCAATGGATCCCGGTAAGAATTCCATTCGAAGACGGCATATGAAGCCCCCGGGTGAGGGACGGCGATCAGACTCACATGTAGATCCAGGGTGATCACATGGTCCACTCCAGCGACCGAGAGGAGGTTGGCCAACATGCGGGCAGTGATGGCGCCACGATGGCTCTTCTTCTTGGATTGGCGAGAGTACGGGAAGTACCTCGTGTGAGTCAGTATCAGATGCGCAGGAATGAGCTAAACAGGACCATACGGCATGACCGCTGTATGAGGAAGCGACCAGTCAGCCCATTGAACAAGGTGGAACAGAAAAAAGGGGAGTAGAAATGAAACAACTGAGAGGTAAAGAGAAAGAGTTCTCAAACGTACCTGTGATAGATTTTGCGGAGCCACCCTTGCAGGCAGAGATCATAATCAACAGCTCCATCACACTGTCGTTGATCTTTCCGCTGCCACTCTGGAGGATGTAGACATCTTGGTTCCGAACAGAGACGCCAATGTCTACTCTGGTCTCGCCATTGCTGAATTTCCCGAGGTTGGCTCGAGCTGGCTGGGTGCCCAATCGCTCACAGATGGTCTCCGCCAGGGAAGGGTGGGATGTGCCAGAAAAAATCTGTACTCCCCGCATCTTGATACTTGCTTATGACTGGCAAGGCATGGACCGGTAATAGTAGGAATGAAAAGCTAGCGTGGGCGGTGGAATCATTTCAAGATTACCGGCCCAGAAGCAAGGAGGGTTGAAAGAGAGGAGGGAGAGGAGAAGGGGAGGAGGGAAGGGAGAAGAAATAAGGGAGAGAAGAGAGAAGAAGGAGAGAAAAAAGAAAGAGGGAAAAAGGCCCGCACAAGGAAGTGGGCAGAAAATGGCAGGCGGAATGTCACGGGGTTTGAATGAAGCTCAGCTGTAAGAAGTAAGAATGAATTGATAGGCAATGCGGCCGCCGATTCTCCCCGCGCCCGGACAGTCCGATAGGAAATCCCGCCTGTGACTGACACGACCAGACACCACCACCACCACCACCACAATAATGTCGCAGAAATTCCCAGAGGTTCAGGGAGGAGGCTCCCTCATCATTGCCTGGCAGGCGAAGAATAAACATATCCTGGTAGTCGGTGGAGGAGAGGTATAGTTATCACCATTCATCTGCCCCTCCCTCTCTTATCGGCCGGCTCCTTACCCACAGATATATATCTGCATCTCCCGACACACAAGCCCCTCCCCAACCCCAAACTACTACACATAGTCCTAGCACGCATCAAGCAAACTAACATCTCCATGTCCCCCAAAACCAGGTAGCAGCCGGCCGCATCCTGCACGCCCTGAACGCCGATGCCCGCGTAACCGTCGTCAGCCCAGCAGCGGGCCTCAATGACGAAGTGGCCTACCGGGTGGCGGAGGGCCAAGTAACGCACATCGACCGGACGTTCGAGCCGGCGGACCTCGACACAGCGGACATGGTACTCTGCGCGATCGACGACCCGGAGGCCTCGACGCGGGTGTGGCAGCTCTGCAAGGAGAAGCGCATCCCGGCCAACATCGCCGACGTGCCGCCCGAATGCGACTTCTACTTCGGCAGCATGCACCGCGATGGACCGCTGCAGATCATGGTCAGCACCAACGGCAACGGGCCCCGGCTGGCGAGTCTCGTCCGCAAGAAGATCGCCGCCACCCTGCCGGGGAACATGGGCGCCGCGATCGAGAATGTCGGGCGGTTGCGGAAGAAGTTGCGCGAGTTGGCGCCTAAGGTCGAGGAGGGCCCGAAGCGGATGAAGTGGTATGTTCTCCCCTTTGGGTTTCGTGGACGTGGGAGTTGAGTGGTGTGGGCTGATTTCTGGTGCTTCTGCTTCCCTTGGGGTAGGATGTCGGGCGTTTGCGAGTCGTGGAGTTTGGAGGATTTGGTCGAGATGACTGAGCGTGATATGGATGGGTTGCTGGCTTTCTATGAGTCTGGGGATATCCCTGCGCTACTGGAGATCCGGGCGAAGGCGATGGGGATTTGAGATGGAAAAGAATCTTGGGATTGGGTCTTTGGGGGTTGATATCACCTTGGGCGCTCGCTAACTGGGCAGTCGAAGTGCTTTCTTCGCCTTAGGAAGAAGCCGTCAGCCGGCCGGACTCGCGACGGCGCACAACCGAACCGCTGGCGTCATCACGCTGAGCAAGGCCGGGTCACTAGGTATGGACTAGAGAATTTCCGGCTTACGACCTCACCCAAGGCTACAGCTGAAAGCAGTTACGCGGCGAGTTGACGGCGAATTGACTGAAACAGACTCTGCAACGCTTCAATAAAGATGGTATTTTGTACATACATATATAAAGCCCGCTTGCACAGATATCGATAATAATGGAATTTGGGAGAATCACAAATAAGAGAAGTAAGGGGGAGAAGAAGAAGAAGAAGAAGAGACGAAGGCTATGATGGAGAATAAGTCTAATACATCCAATGACCTTCCAGAACAAGCGAAGCCTTTCCATTCATGAAAGACGAGGATATCCAAGAAGAAGGAAAAAAAAAGGCACACAGACAAGCAGATCAATATCGAGAGGAAAGTTTGGTAATTGGGAGAAAGAGAAACCGCTCCGGACAGTGCATTAACGTCCGCCGCTGTGTTTACGAGAAAGCTGGCTGGACACAGAGTTTCGATGACTGGCGGGTGATTGCGGGCGAGGAGGGAGACCCAGTTTGACCTCTCCGACACGGCGGAAGAGCGACTGCACGGCGAGGCGGACCTCGGGGTTCATGTCGCGGCCAAGCAAGTCAACGGCCAAGGGGTAGAAGGTTTCGATGTGTTTGTTGAATCCTTCCGAGGGGAAGTTGGTATAGCTCTCGATGACATCCACCACGACAGGACGCCAGGCTAGGACGTTCCGATGCTGCGAGTCTTCGTCCAGACGGACAAAGCTGCGAATGAGATCCGCGCACAGTCTGCATTTGGTCAATGTTAGTCTGGTGTATGTGTTACTCGTAGGATACTAGCAAGTTACTTACGGGATGAGAGCGGCTTCCGTCTCCGCCCGGCTGCTCTTCCTCTCGTCTCTCTCGTCGTGATACATACGGAACAGGATGTGGACGTAAGTGGCGGCACTGCCACTTTCCTGCTTCAGCAGATTTGGAGGCTGTTTCATGAATCCCTGACGCCATAGTTGCATCCGTAGTTCCTTGTCTTCGTTGAATTTCTTCGCGAATTGGTAACTTTTCTTCAACAGGCCCATGAGCCGGAGGAGCTCGTGGCTGGGGATCTGCGAGTAGACTTTGTCATTGGAGAACAACTCATGGACCGTCTCAATCATGAGCAGCTGAAGCACGCAGTTGGTGATGATGCGGTTGAAGAAACGACGCCGTGCAACAGTGACCGCAGCGGGTTGTTGCTGCGCCTCCGTTTGAGGCCGGTAGTCCTCCAATGCGGGGTTAGAAGCGGTCGGCATGTCTCCCTCTTCGTGCTCCGACGCAACGTTTTGGGATCCATTAATCTTGGATGGATCGACACTACTTGTCTCTTGGACCGAAGATGTATCGGCTGATTCGTTGGCGCTGTCTTCGCTGTTTGCTGCGTCCCCGTTTGCGGGTTTGGCCGGGGGGGAGGGCTTGGAAGCGATGGAAGCCGCGGCGGTGAACAAGTCATAGGCTGTGGTCTTGGTGAACAGCTCGACGAACGCACCGACGACCTTGTTCCAGTGCTCCTGCTGGAATTTGGTGACATTTTGCAGGATCAATTGCTGCAAGCAGTTACTGCCGATCCTCGCAATGGTGTCGTTTTCTTGACAGATGCACAGTGTCAAAAGTTCGAGAATGCGATCGAGCATGTATTCCAGCGCATCGAAGTAGTGTGTGAAAAGTGTGATCATGTTCCTCAGAGCCTGGATCATCGTTGTAGAAAGCCACACAGAGAGCTCCTCGTGGTTAGGTACTTTAGACATCTCGGATTTAGACTGCAGCACCACGAAGATGGGGTAGAGAAGCTGTCGCCACAGGACATCCCAGAATTCCTGGGGGAATCCACCGCCATGCCGAATCAGAGTCTCGAAGAGGTAAGTCAGTGCCTGCGAGCGGACTTCAAGATCATCACCCGTCATGAGAACGTCCTGAAAGGCGATTAAGATTGGATACCAGAATTGCTCCTCCTTCGATTGGCGAGTAAGTTGTTGCGTGAGGTTGGTGGCATCCTCGTGAGCACCCTCTGATGCGTTACCACGATTGGAAAGCGGGCATTCTGGCGTTCTCAGCATCTTCGAAACTGTTGACTTGAGGGTTTCGATCGCCTGTAGCGACTTCTTCTGGAACCTCGAGTTCTTAGAGAACTCTGTCAGACACACAATGAGGTCAGGGAAAGCACCCTGCGTTATCACGACCCCAAAGCGAGTGTTGTAAATCTGCGTAACATGTTCGAACGCCATGTTAACAATGCCTTCGTAGGGCTCTCGAGCAGCGACTGTGAAAACACCAAACATCGTTTTCCAACCAGAGCGGATATTGTCGCCCCTCGCTTGGATCATCTGAATGAGACAGCGGAGAATCATATCCTTGACAGTCACAGCGCTGCTATTTGCCATGACATGTTCGAAAGGCTTGAGGAAATCTTTCTGGAACTTGAAACCTGGCAGCTCCTCGATCTCCATGAATCGCATTGAGAGCTGGCGAAGAGAATCGAGAGCGAAGAAGACCACTGTCGTGTTCGAGTGGCAGCCCACCTGATTGAAGTGCTGTCCAAGTACCTCCCAAATCTTCGACCATTCAATTCTTACTCGAGTCATGTTGTAGTAACTGATCTCAACCAACTTCTGCAAGCTGTAGGTTCGTGGAGAGTCGGTCTGCCCAGACGACTGGATCTCCTGCCAGCTAACTTCACTTAGCGCCCGAATAAAATCGATGATGGCTTCATGCGACAGATTGGCGGTGTTGGTGAAGATGCGATCAACTCCCCTGATCATTTCGACAGAGCGACTTTCCATGGCGACCTCGGTGCGGAAGGCAGAAGGCCCGTTAACGGACCGAGGACGAGGGCGTCTCGATGCCTGCATAGACTTTCGAGAACCATCAGAGGACGGTTGTGTCACAATGCGAGCTCGAGAGACGTCTGGTAGAGAGCCTTCATCTACGCCATCGGTGAGGAGTTGGAGCCGATCAAGCTGACTGACGCACGTAAGGATCTCTCTCCAGGAGCCCCTAAGGTGGTTCCCTTCCGTCAGAGCAACATCAAGCAATGCCTTCAGTGCCTCCACATTCTTCGCCACCATTTCCCTGACATTTCCCAAATTCGTGGACTTGGCAAGTGCTGTCACGAAAGCAACTCGGGGTGTCTCCAAATCGAAAGCGCAGCTGATACGGATGGCCAGCTTCATCCCCTCCATGCAAAGCTTGATCAGTTCAAGGTACTGTGTATCTTGCATAGGAGCAGATAACCCCGACAAAAACGACATCCATGTAACATTGAACATGGAACCGACGTGGCGAACCGAGGTCGCTGGGATGAAGCGGGAAAGGGCCTCCTTGACTGCTGTCTTACGCTGCGCCCGGATCAAGCTGCGATAAAGCTGCTCGGTCTTGTTGGCCATTTCTTCCGAAGCCTGCGCATACTTCTCACCCTGAATATCCCTTCCGACTGTCGCAAAGACCTGTCCGGCTCTGGTCGCCAAACCGGCAGGCGCAGAGGCAGAAATACCAAGGTTTGCTGCATGCTCCCGTTCAGTATCCAGTACAATCTCATTTTGTGCAATTTCATCGAAAATCGAACACAGGTATTCATCAGGCAAGTCCTGATTGTCATTGATACCCCGGTTGTTCTTGATGAAATCTTCCTTGTTCATACGACGTCCCTTGATCTTGGCACTGTGCTGATCGGTGTTCAGCATGATGACAGAGTAGGCGAGAACGTATGCCGTGTCCGCGTTGGCAAAAGCGTTAGGATTTTGAGTTACGTAGCGCTCAGCAAATTTCAGCATGAAGCGATCGATCTTTTGTGCCTCTCCCGGCAAGCGGAAATGCTGTAGAAATTGGCGAAGAGCGTCAACGAAGCGCCGCTTTGAGAAATCCATCATGTCGACAAAGGCATGCATGATAGCAATATTCTCGGCATCGCCTTCGCCGAGATACTCTCCTATCATTGCTTTATCTAACCGGTCATTCCGGTACAAGAAGGCAGCAATATCCTCAGGGGATTTGGAGCGCACGAAACCCTCCTGGATGAAAAGTTTGATCCCGCGCTTGGCCTTGAAGTTGAATTGTTGCACAGCATTTGTAAAAGCAGTCTTTCTTTGCTTGACCTTCTCAATTTGGCTTGGATCATCCTCTGCTACCGGAGTGGTAGTGCCCTCGGTACCCTCAATCCGTGGCGACGAAAGAAACGACGCGGTGTTCATATCGATCGAATCTCTGGGGTTGTCGATCGACTTTTGAGATGATGAATGAGGCACTGTTGCAGACTGGTCAACTAGACGTTGCGAAGCCCAGTTGTCCAATGATTGTAGAATCTCAACCAGACACACGACCGCCTGATTCTTCTGCGTATACTCGGGGGGTACGTTCTGTAAATTCGGTTGTTGGACATTGGCTACATTAGCCGTAGTCAGCGAAGGGGGAAAGCTTCCACTTTGATGCCAGTCACTCCCGACGGACGAGATCTTGATATGGTGCTCCTGATATTGCTGCTGTTGAGCATGAGTGACCGCAACAGGAATACTTGCATAACGCGATAATTGCTCGATGACACTGGTTGTCGCAAATATTAGAAGAGCTCTCCAGTTGAGGATTGAATTCACCTACTTCTGGAAAATATTCTCCAAAGCTGTTCGATCGCAGTCATAATTGAGGTAGATCTCAACAAGAGCGCGCGGGTCCGCGGCCAATCTCTCAAGTACTTCCATGAAGTATTGTTTCTGGAAAGCGGGCGAATTGCGCTTCTCGAGAATAGTCAAGTAAATCTCTTTTAAGAAGACCTCGAGCTCTTTCTGCTTGATGTTAGCGTATCTTTGCGTAATGATGTCCAAGGAATATACGAACCTTCATCATTACTCTCATGTGCTTCAGCATAAGCCAGAAGATTTCGCAGCACACCTCGAAGACCCTGGGCACTGAGCTAGATCCGTTCCGGCTCAGACTCAGGCAAAGATGAGGCTTGACAGCTTGCAGAAATGTCATCGCATCCGAACTACCCGAGCTACTGGAGCTGTTCCTGATTGTCAAGAGCGGAGATGTGAGGGCGTTGACTTGATTGTTGATGAGGTAATGAATAAGATGCAAGGATAGCAACTTCGATCTCATGTTCTGAGATTTGAGGTCCTGCTGTTGATCATGATTCAAATTCTTGTGACTCAGCTTGCAGAGAGCTCTGAAGACGAGGAAAGCATCTTTGACGTAGATTTCATCTTCGTCATCGTCAGCGGTGCTGTCACCATCCTCTGTGAACGTCCCTGAAGAGGACCGAGCCGGTCTTTGATTGAGTCTAGCGCGAGTGACCATCGTTGGGGCATTGTCGTTGACTGTGGTAACCTCCTTGTTCGATTCGAAGCTTTGCAGAGTGAGCTTCTCCCCGGGCTCTTTCGAAACAGGGTGATCAGAGCTTGCATCGTGAGGCTCGTCAGACACATGTTCATCCTCATGAGGCGCGTCGGCCGCCTCCAGCGTAACATTGTCCGAAGAACCACCTTGCCCTTTCTCTCCCTCTCGCAAACGCAGCTCCTTCAATTCAAGTCTTACGTTGACTCTATCAAAGACAGTGCTGACCATTTGTGTCAATGACCCCTGGGCTATCTGCTGGTTCTGAGATGACTTGGAGTATATGAAGATGTTGTAGATCTGACGGACAGCTTTGAGGAGACCCGCTCCATGTACCACAATCTTGTCGTTGAGGACCGCCGCCAGCAGTGACTTGATAATTTGCTGCTGGATTTCGACTGGTGTAGCTTCATTTTCGAAACAATCACATATCGCGTCGATGGCTCGTTCAATCAAGGGCGGTTGCTCCGGGCTGGCTTCGTCCTCTGAGGTCTTGTTCTCATGAGCCGATGGAAATGCGAAGTAAGAGTATGTGATAAGCTTTCCAATGCAGTCAAGCGCTGTGACCTGTAGAGGAATGCTGAGCGACTTGGTGGCGAGCTGGAGTGGACGAAATATGACCTCAGGGTCGATCGGCTGGCCATCCGACTGTTTGACATTGCTGAGCGCGCTCTTGACAGCCTCCTCCAGTTCCCTGCTCCTGCGCGCTTCCTTCGAAGCGCCAATCGCATCCAAAGCACTGACTATGAAGACGGTGGAGCTGAGTGTTACAGAGCGTTGTGTCGCAACCGTGGCCGTAGTGGACCTCGAGTCCGAGCGCATTCTTGTATCCGGACCAGGCTCATCGCGAGGAGGTATCGAGGTAACATCGTGTCTTTCGGCGGGGGTTTCCTTCTCGATGTTGGCGGCGGCATCTTCAGTTTGACCCCCGAGAGCTTCTTCCTTCAGGTTTGACTCAGATTCTGGTTGGTTTTCGGAAATCTGGGGTACGACGGCTTCCTCTGGCGGAGTTGCGATCTGGTCGGCTGACTCCGGGTTTGCAGTGGACTCTGGTTCGGTAGTTGACTGAACATTTTTCTCCAACTGCTCTGTCTCAATCTGTTGACGCTCCGACTCAGCGGGCAGGTTTGGTTTGTCTTGTAGGACGGAGTCGTCCGACTGTGTCAATACAGCAGCCGCATCCTTGTTGTCTGCCTGCGGCACGGCTGGGGATGTTTGGGCGGGCTCATTGACAGAGCCGTTTTCGACTTCCGCCATTTATGCGAGACTCCGATCGGAGTGTTCGAAGATCGACAGGGAGGGGGTCAACATGGGACTAAAGGAGGGACGGGAAAAAGAATCTGCAGGTTGAAAATGAACGCCGGCCCAACCTCGTTACTGACAAGCAGTCCATTGGAATTGAAGCGTGTTCACTCCCGCGGACGACGGAGATACCGTACGGAGGGCGTGGTAAGCCACAGCCGCTAGACCATCATTATATCACGTGATTATAATCTGCTGAGTCAGCTATTACAGCCCAAACTGCAACCTAGTAAGGCTTCTTCCTCGTCCAGAGGGGCTGAGCTTGCTGAGATAAGGCCGGAACAGCAATTTGCGATTAGAAGACAGCACCATGGAGGTACTGGGAATGTCTGGTTTCACGAGACGGGGTCCGAACTAGGCCGGCAGACAAGCGAGGTTGGTCTGTATAGAGGGGGTCTGACATAATAGTTCCAAACAACTTTCGGCAATGCCTAGCATCAAAATTAGGACGCATACGGGGATGTAGATAAGTTTCCGAAGAGCACTACGATGGGTACGCTGTCTGTGAATTAGATATCTGACGAAGGAGCTCTTGCATGGTTAACCTGATGGCCCTTGCAGTCAAGTGATCAACTGGCGCCAAGACAAACAACCATGGCATCGCCGTAACAGCTGCAGGAGACTCAAATGCCGAGTCTCCGGCATCATGGCCCGTGAAGGAGAACAGGTGCGATTCCCGCAGTTGGAAGTCTCCTGTTCTCCGAGTTTTGTTGTTGAAAAATCATCATTTTTTCCAAACTGGGATCGATTACCTTCACCAAATGAAGTGCAGGCACGCGTTAAGGAGCAACAACTCGCCGGAGTGTATTCCGACCAAGAGGGACCCCATCCGATGGCAGCCCCATATGCGTGCCAGCCACCTGCCAGTTTCGAAGAGATGGGCCTATTTGTCAAGTGGGGAGGCTCTGTCCAACTTTCCGAAGCTCAGAGCCTATATGCCATCCGTCAATTCCTCAAGGGCGACGTTCCGGTGCCCGAAGTGTATGGTTGGCACACCGAAGGAAACGTGAGATACATTTACATGGAGTATGTGAATGGAACATCTCTTGAACAAGTATGGCGGATTATGTGACATGAGGACAAAGCTGGCATCTGTCGCGAATTCAGGACAATTTTTCAGTGCCTACGACAGGTCGAACAGCACCCAAAGGACCCATTTGTAGGTAGAATATCCCGCAGACCCTATGGATAACTGGCTCCGTCAGCTAATCTCTCTTTCGTAGGCAATGTCACGAAAGGACCACTTTACGACAGGGCTTTTCATGTGAATTATATGCATGAAGCAGGCCCTTTCGCTACAGTTCGTGACTTTCACGACTGGTTTACATCTCTTCACCGAAGACCGATGTCAGATCCGTACTCGGTCCCAGTGGAACCATTCCGCTATGACCTCCCGGACGACTGTGCAATCAAATTCACTCATGGCGATCTCCATCGCAGTAACATCATCGTCACACCCACACCCCCATACCGTATTCTGGCGGTTGTCGACTGGGAGCAATCTGGTTGGCTGCCGGAGTACTGGGAGTCTCGCAAGGCGCAATATACCGCTGATAGAGGTGAATCATGGTCCACCACCTACCTGCCCGAGATTCTGGACCAACGTGCTAGTATTTGGGAACCATGGGACTACTACACGTCGTCAATGGGTTGTTGAGTCGTTACACAATGCTCGGATGTTTCTTGCGCTCATCGCCATTGATGGCTAGTCAGTGTAGTTTTTATCTAGCAAGAGAGAATCGAGGATCATTTATACCCGTCGGATCAGTTAAAGCAGACTGATTTGTTACTTCATATAGTAGGCTTCTAAATATGAAATAAGCAATCCCCCCAAAGTCCTTCTTTCAACGATAGTTATCAGCACCACTCAGAGGATCCAAGTAAAAGGAACCCGCAATGCGACACCCAGGTCACAGCAATCTTGGAGCATCCTGAACAACCGAGCCGGCGCTGCTCGCAACCAGGCCTTCGACAACAAATCTTTGGATATAGTCTCGCATCCAAACCTGGCAGTTGGGTGCTTATAACACTTATCAGTATGTACGGTCGTTCCAATAGTGACCCTGGCTTACCGGTGGATCAAAAGTATTGGCGCTGCGTACTGGAAATGGCACAATTGTCGCAACTGACTGTTAAGAGTAAAGAACTAAAGTTATATAGATAATGTTAGGGCAGTGAGCGAATAGGTTAAAATAGTAAGATAAGAGCAAAGAGAAGACTAAATTAACTTTAATAAGTACTATATTCAGCTAATAGATTAACTGTGGATAGTACTTAGTAGATAGTGGTGAGATAGTAAGTCATGGTGGTTTTTCTAGCGCCCTGTTTACTGTCCATCAGAATACTGTGTACATGAGTAAAAGTGTAATATAAGTTGATCCCTTTACATAGTGAAACCATGAGATAGTAAAAAGTCATGTGGTTTTATCCTGCTTACTAAGTGGCTTGGTGTTGTGAATCGGTTTGAATCGGGTTGAACCTGCTTAGCTAAGCTATCTCGGGGCGGCCGGCGAGAACTACTCCGGAGAGTCTCACCGGTAGCCTCAACAGAAAAGTTCCTGGAGCTGCAGTCCTCAACTCTTCGATACGGGCCCTTTCATCTGCCAGACCAGTTCCTAGCCTCTCTTCCATCCTCCCTCTCTCCATCCTTTCCCGTCGCGGGCTCTCTTCTCGACCTTTTCATAGATTTTTGGCGCCATGGTTGCCTCTGCTGTCCGGATGCGCACCCCCAGCGCCATGTTTCTCTCTAAAGGCGCCCTTTCTCTGAGGCGGCCGCAGACCGTTCACAGATTCAAGGATCTTGCTCAGTATGTTCTATAATCCCTGTTGGGCTCACAAAGGTTACTGATCGCTCATTCTGTTCTTACAGATCTCAATTGCCCTCCCTATCCGCCCTTTCCCGCTACTATGCCTCCAAGTGTATGTCGCTTATCATCTTTGTTGATCCTTGTTGCTTCAATATGTGGCTTTATCGGAAACTGACGGATCGAACTTTGCAGCCTTCCCTCCTCACACCATCATCAGCATGCCTGCTCTGTCGCCGACTATGAACGCCGGTAACATTGGTGCCTGGCAGAAGAAGGCCGGTGATGCTCTGCAGCCCGGCGATGTTTTGGTGGAAATTGAGACCGACAAGGCCCAGATGGACTTCGAGTTCCAGGATGAGGGTGTCTTGGCCAAGGTTCTGTCCGAGACTGGCGAGAAGGACGTTGCCGTTGGCTCTGTTCGTGGTCCCCTTCTGTCGATTTGCCACCTGCAAGATCAGGCCTATTTCAAGGCATTTACTGACCACGCACTAGCCTATTGCTGTCTTGGTTGAGGAGGGTACCGACGTCTCCGCTTTCGAGGAATTCACCCTGGAGGATGCTGGCAGCGAGAAGCCTGCTGCTGGTGCTGCGGAGAGCAAGCCCGAGTCCAAGGAAGAGGCTGCCCCCGCTTCTTCCACCCCCGAGCCTCAGCCCGCTGCCATCGAGCCCGAGACCTCGGGTGAGAAGCTCCAGCCCGCTCTGGACCGCGAGGCCAACATCAGCCCTGCTGCCAAGGCTCTTGCTCTCGAGAAGGGTGTGCCCATCAAGGCTCTCAAGGGCACTGGACGTGGTGGCCAGATCACCAAGGAGGATGTTGAGAAGTACCAGCCCGCCGTTTCCGCCACCGCCGCCGCTGCCACCTACGAGGACATCCCCCTTACCTCCATGCGCAAGACCATCGCTTCTCGCCTTCAACAGTCGATCCGCGAGAACCCCCACTACTTCGTCTCCACCACCCTGTCCGTGACCAAGCTTCTTAAGCTTCGTCAGGCTCTCAACGCCACCGCCGATGGCAAGTACAAGCTTTCCGTCAACGACTTCCTCGTCAAGGCCTGCGCTGCTGCCCTCCTGAAGGTCCCTGCTGTCAACTCCAGCTGGCGCGAGGAGAACGGCCAGGTTGTCATCCGCCAGCACAACACCGCCGACATCAGCGTCGCCGTCGCCACCCCCAACGGTCTCATCACCCCCGTTGTCAAGAACGTCCAGGGTCTTGGCCTGTCCAGCATCTCCAACCAGATTAAGGACCTTGGCAAGCGTGCTCGTGAGAACAAGCTCAAGCCTGAGGAATACCAGGGTGGTACTTTCACCATCAGCAACATGGGCATGAACGCTGCCATCGAGCGATTCACCGCCGTCATCAACCCCCCTCAGGCCGGTATCCTGGCTGTTGGCACCACCCGCAAGGTTGCCGTCCCCGTCGAGACCGCGGAAGGTACCGCTGTTGAGTGGGATGACCAGATCGTCGTCACTGGCAGCTTCGACCACAAGGTCGTCGATGGGGCTGTTGGTGGTGAGTGGATCAAGGAGCTGAAGAAGATTGTTGAGAACCCCCTTGAGCTTCTTTTGTAAGCTCTTTCCCGCGAATGGGAAACCTGACCGGCACAGTATCCTAGTTAACTACGATCGGAGTCACCTTTTCTTTGATGTTGGTGTAATATGTATCAAAACCATCTGAACGTTTCTCATCTCCCTAGACCACGATGGTCTTCCCTTAGTACAGTTCATAACCCTGCAATGCATCTCCTATGTTTTCCTTATCATTTTAGTATGATTCATATAGTAGACTGAGTGTTCATTCTCTTTCCTTCTCATACAAGCAGATAGAGGGATAAAAATGAAAGTTAATGTTTTAGAGCAGACTGCAGCTTAGAGGTCCCAGTTTGTCCTAGCCAAGCTGAACAATGCGTTAGCGGAGCCTCGGAAGACCGAAAAAAACACAAGCGCGAAACAAGCCATGGGCGAGATCACAGACCGGGTCTTGGCAGCGGGCGTTGTCGCATGAGCCCGTCTATGACGTGATGTCATTCTCTTTCCCCCCCAGCCATGGCCGCAACCATAAATACCATCCGACTTCCATTCCATCCCCTGAAACTTTACTTACAATTTCTTTCTCTGCAAGATCTGACCTAGTTTGAGTTTCTCCATATCCACAACTCTCCCGGTAAGTGTTCGATCTTTGTCGCTGTTTCCTGCCTCCTCGTGGCACCTAGTATCTCCACCTTTCTTATTCGAATGGCCGCACTGACCCTGACACATGACGTCGCAGACCTCACCAATTCTATCACGCACCGCCTCTTGTGACATTCAACAAGTCATTATGTCTTACGCAGAAGCTGCAGCCAAGGGTCCCAAGCAGTCCCCGGAGGAGGTATGTGCAATTCTCCCTTCTGTCTACGCAACAGCGCACCTGTAATGATCACAATTACTGACAATGCTTCTAGGCGTAAGTGCAACAACAACAACCACCAGCAAACATCGAGCCTTCCACATTGCTAACCAGAATTCCACAGTCGCGCTCCCGATATCAACCGGGTGTACCGAGATGAATCCGAGAGCACCGCTTCGCTGATCGACGTTGACTCCCCCCACGTGCAATCCGTGGATGCCGACTTTTTGAACCAGGAGGTCAAGACTACGACGCAGGCCGAACGGCTAGAGCGCGAAGAGCAGGAAGCCATTGCCGAGCGGGAACAGAGCGAGAAGGCCAAGGCCAAGGCGAAGGCTAAGGCCAAGGCTAGCAGTGTGCGCCGCAACAAGAGCAACCCGGTCTATATCGGAAACGCTGTCATCCTGGCCCTGACCGGAGCTGGTCTCGGCTTCGGGGCGTACAAGAAGCACGCGCAGGGCAGACTCTCATGGCAGCTTGTTGGACTGTGGTCCGGAATCGTCGGCGCTGTCGGCGCCGTTGACTACTTTGTGAGCAAGTGAGTCATGCCCTTCTTTACCTGTTTTTGTTTTGAGACGCAATGGGCATGTCCTTGCTAACATGACTTCTAGGTGGCTTCTCCAGAACAAGTACCCTCCCAAATAAGGGTGCGACACGAAAATCAAGTACTTGTCTTGCGTGGTTTGATAACTTGATATCCTGATGTTTTCTTTCTACCTGTTTCTTTGTAATTTCATATACCGCACGGATCTGAGGATACATGGCGTTCTCCTGCTGTCCAGGCGTTTGTGATCGGTGGAGACTTAGTTAATTCCATCTCAATCTCATTCAACCTCATTTTGATTGTCCATTCGGCTTGTAGCATGCTTATACAGTATTTGGCCTTGATTGGACGCTGACACAAAGGTAGAGTTCGTTTCGTGACCAAAGGCAATGATAAAAAGTGGTAGATAATGTTATATGACGAGTCTCCGATCGCTGCATGATTAGAGTTGGAGAACGGACGATCGATGTCGGTTGAGTATGCATGGACTGCATTGGCGGGAGGCGGTCAGCAGTGTCAGAATCGTGGCCTCTGCAAGAACATGTGGCCTTGGCTAGCATCATTATTATTAGCATCACTGGAACCGCTATTTCTCAAGGACACGTCGCTGCCCTAGCACTACCTTAACAAGCAAGCGTGCTGCACTATTTCAACTCTATACCCACGAAAAGCCTTGCAACATCGTCTGTCTGTGCTCGAGTGTTTGTTATTGCGCTGCACACTGCTTTCCTAGCCGTTGTATACAGTAGTGTTGGTCACACCGCAAGAAAAGATGGTATGACGCCCGCGACCGCAGATCGAGAAGAATTCTCGCAATTTAAACGACATTTTGAAACCAAGGGGGAGACATATATGCTGATACCTTTGACCAGAACTCTCTTTTCAATTCCGCCCTGAAGCAGTCTTCTGCTATCCGTCGCGATCTGGACACATTCTCGCAGTCGCCGGCCACATCATCCGCAGCGCTCCAAGGTGCGATCTTCCGTTCACATGGGGTACTTCTAAACCCAGACTGACCGAGCTACTCCGCTCAACCGACAGGCCAAATCGCGGCGTCGCTCGCATCACTATCCCGCACCATCGACGACTACTCCGCACTATCTAAGAAGGAGCTGATCCCGGAGAAACAAGAGAAAGCCTTCGAGCGAGTAAAGAACTTCCGCTCCGAGCTTGCAGATTACCGGGTACACTTTGACCGACTGCGCAAAGAACGCGAAGACGCAGTAAGCACAACCTGAGGAGGCCTACATGTTTGCGACCGAATGCTAACCACCTCTGTGTCTCTCCCCCGCTAGCAATCCGTAACAAACCGCAACGAGCTTCTCGGCCGACGTCCGCACAACACCGCCACTCCCGAGAATCCCTACGCGCAATCTTCCCTCCCCAATCCATCCCCGTTCGCCAATCCGTCCTCGGCCCGATCGGGTCTAGGCTTTGGAGGCTCAGCTGCCGACTACACCCGGGAGACACATGCGCTGCGCGAACAGAGCTTCCTGGCCAATACTGGGAATCAGCTGGATGAGTTTCTCGATCGAGGTCGCGCGGTCTTGGCTGATCTCGGGCAACAGCGCGAGGTGCTCAAGGGCACGCAGCGAAGACTTTACAGTGTCGCGAACACGTTGGGGGTCAGTGGGGAGACGATCCGGAAGGTGGAGCGCCGGGCGAAGCAGGATAAGTGGATTTTCTGGGCTGGCGTGCTCATCTTCTTTCTCTTTTGCTGGGCTGTACTACACTTTCTGAGGTAGATTTCGGAAGGCGAGTTAGGGTGCATATCTGCTATTTCGGGGGCATTGGCTTTGCTTTGTGTTTGCGTTACTTATGGGTTTTGATTGGCAAGCGCCGGCGTTGGGTATTGTATTGGTTGAGATATCAATAGCTTCCTCTTTGATTGATTGATTCATTGATGGAGAGAGGGAGCAGGAATGCATGTTCCTTGTTTTGTATGTATACCACCAGGTGATCATATGAGATGAACTCCGGAGTTGAATGACTTTACTTATTAGTCCCGCATGTGGAGTTGCTCGGATGGAATCGCGTCGACAACAACAGCAGCAGCAACAGTAGGACCGATTCATTCTTGGCCATCGGACCAGATGGACGAAGTGCAGCCTAGGTGGAAGTGATTGATTGACACAACAATGACCATAATTGAACAAGAAGAACATATAACTACTACCCAGTGTATTGATGGGGGATTCTTCGACGGTGGCTGGCGTGGAGATCGGATCCGGAAAGCGTTCCTTTTAGCCGCTGCTTTTCCCGTTCCGTCTCAGCCTTTCTCACCGACGCTCTCCTCGTTCTTCCTCCCCGTCCCGACCAAACTCCACTTCCTCTCCTCTTCTTCCTCTTCCTCTTCTTCTTCCTTCCCTCCCTCTCTTCTCTTTCTCCCCTTCTTCTTCTCTCCCCATCCCCCCTCCCCAATTCTTACTTTATATCCCCAGATAGATTATTCTTCTGTCTACCCTTCCCCACAGTCAAGATGTTCGCTGCTCGCCAGTCTTTCAACCTCTTCCAGAAGCGTGGCTTCTCCGTCTCTGCCAGCCAGGTAAGCTAAAAGAAAAACATACCTTGATGGCTTGAAGCCTCGGCTTAACCATCAACATCTCAACTAATCAATTCAATTGCAACCTGTAGCTCTCCAAGGTTGCCGTTCTCGGTGCCGCTGGTGGTATTGGCCAGCCTCTCTCTCTCCTCCTCAAGCTCAACCCCCGTGTCTCTGAGCTTGCTCTCTACGACATCCGCGGTGGACCTGGTACGTCGCACAGCTCGCGGCCGAACGCGAAACTGAGTTCATTCCGACCAACGGACCAAAACGCTAACCACAACCCATTGCAGGTGTTGCCGCTGATCTGAGCCACATCAACACTAACAGCACTGTCTCTGGCTACGAGCCCACCGCCTCTGGCCTCCGTGATGCCCTCAAGGGCGCCGAGGTCGTCCTCATCCCTGCCGGTGTTCCCCGCAAGCCCGGCATGACCCGTGATGGTACGCGCTCAACCTCGAGCTCGACACAATGAGCACCAGAGTACTGATTGCATCACCTCAGACCTTTTCAACACCAACGCCTCCATCGTTCGCGACCTTGCCAAGGCTGCTGCTGAGGCTTCCCCCGAGGCCAACATCCTCGTTATCTCCAACCCTGTATGCATTAACCTGGTTGCCCGGTCCCGAACTGCCCGAAGACTAATTGCCTCTACCAGGTCAACTCCACCGTCCCCATCGTTGCCGAGGTCTTCAAGTCCAAGGGTGTCTACAACCCCAAGCGTCTCTTCGGTGTCACCACCCTTGACGTTGTCCGTGCCTCCCGCTTCATCTCCCAGGTCCAGAAGACCGACCCCGCCAACGAGGCCGTCCCCGTTGTCGGTGGCCACTCCGGTGTGACCATCGTTCCCCTCGTCTCCCAGTCCAACCACCCCTCCATCGAGGGTAAGGTCCGTGACGATCTCGTCAACCGCATCCAGTTCGGTGGTGACGAGGTTGTCAAGGCCAAGGACGGTGCCGGTTCCGCCACCCTCTCCATGGCCATGGCCGGTGCCCGCTTCGCTGAGTCTCTTCTCCGTGCCTCCCAGGGCGAGAAGGGCATCGTCGAGCCCACTTTCGTCGACAGCCCTCTCTACAAGGACCAGGGTGTCGACTACTTCGCCTCCCTCGTTGAGCTCGGCCCCAACGGTGTTGAGAAGATCAACCCCGTCGGCCCCGTCAACGACTACGAGCAGAAGCTCATCGAGACCGCTCTCGGTGACCTCAAGAAGAACATCCAGAAGGGTAAGCCTGATTTCTTGAACCAGTCACTCACAAATTCAGTGCTAACAAGGGATTCTCCAGGTCGTGACTTCGTTAAGGCCAACCCTTAAATGATTTGAACTCTCATCTATCATGAATATGAGCAAAATCTCTCCTGCAGCCACGTTCCTCCTTGTATAACAGTCTATTCATTATTCCTCTTTCTCTCCCTTCTTCACATTTCCCATCCCACCATCGGCTTTTACATCGGAGGAATGTCGCCGCAGCAGCGCGGAAGCATAGAATCCGGGCTTTGAATTTCATCCCGAGAGCCTCGTGGGACCTGCGATGGAGGTGGGGGGAAGTGGACATGACGTGTATCTCGTTTTCCAATACAGACCGCAAAATCGTGTTAATGATAACTACCCTTACGACAACAATGGTTTCATCTTGATCGTATGCAAAAAGAGGTAACGTAGATCTTCAGTAAAGTAAAAGAGGAAGGCGTTTGCTTCAATCCATCTCGTATCGACCCATCCATCCAACCCGCGTCCGTAGTCAGGGCAACAGCCCCGGCCCCATCCGTTTAGTTCCGATTACTGCCCCCTGGCGTACAGCACGGGCCGGGCAGCACAGCACAACCACACGAGCAGATCTGGACCCTCAGAACCCGAACCGCAATACCCGTACTCGCGCAGAAGAGCCGAATCAACAGCCCATCATACCATATCCCAAATTTCCATTTCACTTCAACTCAATGCAGAAATAATGAAATAAACTCGAAAAACGAAATACATGCACCTCAAAAAAAAGCATTCAATCAAATCAAACAAAAAAAGACAAATAAAGGACCGCGGTACAAGAGTAAAGTAAAATCAACCCCGACCGAACCCGCGCGCCCCCCCCCAACTATCGCGGAACACCGGAAAGGACAGACCGTAGCGTTGTGCGGGTATTTTCTTTCCAAACGCCAATCAATGTGCTCTTCTTCTTGTTCTTCATCTTCTTCTTCGTTACATTCATTAGAGTCAGCACAGCATAGCACTGTATTCATGAGGAGAGGAGAGGAGAGGAGAGGAGAGGACAGGAGAGGAGATCATCAAGTCATAAAAAAAAACATGTTGAAATGGTTTATATTCCAGAGATGGCATGGATCATGAATGTAGAAGTCAAAAACAAATAGGGAGAGGGACGGACGGACAGAAGAGAGGAGTGTGGTTTGTTTTTTCTGTAGTGCAGTAAAATGCTTTTTCTTTTTCTTTTGCTCTTCTTTTCGTTCATTCATTTAGCTTTCTGTATCTCATGCTCACCCATACCATCATAAAGAACACTAGCGGCACCTTTTTCAGGTATAGCTTCTCATGGCGTCTAGGTATCCTGTTCCGCCGCGGAGGTCGTGATCGAATGTCTCGGCTACGTCGAGGACACGTTTGATATGCTCCATCGAGAGGGGGGTCTGTTCGTTGACTGCAAGGGCTTGAGCTGTGCGGACGGAGTTCTTGATCTAAAGGGAAGAGAAGGGGGTGGTTAGCTTATGATCTCCAGAAAGGGTCCGCTAGGGTACTCACCTGGCGTCCGTTCAGGTTGTGACGGGCAAGAAGATCAAAGTCCTTGTCGGTAAACGTGGCAGTCTGCACTCCCTCCATGGCCTGGACTTTCTCCAGGAACATCTTCCAGACGCTGCGCTTGGCCTTGGTGGTGAGATCGCCGTAGCGGAGCGCGACGTGGATTCGGGACTGGAAGGCATCGTCGAAGGTTTCGACACGGTTGGTGGTCAGGAACAAGATACCTTGGAAATATTCCAGGAGACGCAAGAAGATGCTAACCAAGGCATTGCGGTGAATGTCCTGGATAGTACGCTTCTCCAGGAAGATATCTGCCTCATCAAGTAGGAGTACGGCGCCCCAGGAGTGCGCGATATCCAAGATCTTGTTGAGCTCGGCTTCAAGCGTACGCGAGTCGGTCCCCAACTCTCCCGCGCTGACCATGTACAAGGGACGCTTGAGCAATTCGGCAATACCTTCGGCTGTGAGCGTCTTGCCTGTCCCCGGAGGGCCGTGGAGCACGGCGACCAGCCCCTTGCCTTTGCCTTGGATTACGTCGTCGATGTTCTGGGCTGCCCGGAAGGTGTGGGACTCGACCAGCGCCTTGACAATCGACTTCTGATTGTCGGGTAGCACGAGAGAGCTGAAAGCTTCCTCGTTCCATTCGATCTCGCTGATCCCAGAGATGCTGAACTCGAGCCACAGTTTCTCGCTGAAGGCGAAACCCAAGACGACCGGGCTCGCGATTAGCAGCTCCTCCTCCGTGAACTCCCGTTCAGAGGGATCCTCCACTTCGTCCATGTCCTCCTTCTGCACCTCGTTACCGTTCTCATCCAGCTCCACTTCGACCACATGCGGCTTGCCCGCCTTATCTCGGACCACCTTGTAGCGTATTCTTGGGGTGTCCGAATCCCGCGATGGCCCGCAACCCTGATCCGAGTCTGATCCCGACACGCCACAGCAGCAACCGTCGTCACTCCCGTCATCGTCCGACCCATCAAGATAGTCCGGGTCCTTGGGACGAACGGTGCTGATGGGATAGTTAGGGTTGATGCGACGGTGGATGGCCGGATCGATCATTACGCGTCCGTTGATGTTGACTTTAATGACGGAGCGCTTCTTCTTGTAAAAGCCCATGCCCTTGTGGAAGCGGTAGTTCATACCACGTAGAGACACGAACTTCTTGCCCCGTTCTAACAGCTTGATCTTCACTGCCTCCGCTTCGCGATGGTATTTCAGTGGATAACAACCAAGACTGGTAATCTTCCGAGCGCCCTTGAAGGACTCAACTTCGGCGGCCATAGTGCCCATTCCGAATGACTTTCCATCGTATTCCAGGTAACGACCTTCGATACTGTACCACTGACCCTTCATGAAGGACGACTCCTTGGTGGCATACTCGATCTTGAAGGCACGGGGCTCATCTGCATTTCCATAGGTAGACGAGTAGGCAATCGTGTTAGGCTTGAAGATGGCCCACAGCAGGTCGAAGGTGATCATGTTGGCGTCCAGCAACGGATACAGGGTCTTCTTGGTCTCGGCATAATCGGCGTCAAGATACTTGATGAGCACCTTCAGATGAGCAGCCTTGAGCTCGGCTGTCTTGCGGGCCTTCTTCTTCTTCTCCGTCTTGGCCAGCTGGCGGAGATCGCGCATGTACTGCCGCGTCTCTTCCAGATACAGAAAGAGCATGTTGGGATCGACGACCGCGGTTTCCTGCACCAGACTGACGCCTTTGACTCCGTCCATAACCTTGGCCAGCGCATCACGAATGTACTTGCTCTTGAGATCGACCACCGTCTCGGTATACTTGTTGTCCCAATCGAACTTGCGACGGACGGTGAAGAGGTATTGGTCCCATTCGTTGGCTCCAGGATCGTCGACGGTCTCGGTCAGTTTGTAGTTATGGATCGTATTGTCCCATACTAGATTAGCACGACAGTTAGTGATTAGAGTCATGAATCCACGGCTAAAAGGCAACTATTGATCAGGGAGAGGTCCGAGCCACACGTACATTGATCCACCCGCTTGAAGGCCATCTTGGACGCCGCCTTCTTCCGACTCTTGGATTTTTGGGACCCCCCCTTGGAACCATCTCCGTCGGTTGAGCTCCGTTTGCTGCGGCCTTTGTTACGCCGACCGTCGACCAGCTTTAGCCGCAGTGCCGCCAACTTCTGTTTGGCCAGCAGCAGGGCCAGTTCATCGGAGCCGTCATCCTCGTTGTCGTCCTGCTGATCCTCCGACGAGTCCTCCTTGGAGCGAGTCTTCTTGGACGATCGCTTCGCCTTGAGCTTGGCGACCAACTTCTTCAAAGTCTTCTCGTCGAGATCCGAGTCTGAGTCCTCACTGTCCTCCTCCGAGGAATCCGAGTCAGAGTCGGACTGTTGGCGGGAGCGGGTCTTTTTCTTGCGACTGCTCTTGTTGAGTGCTTTCTTGGCTCGGGCCTTGCCGCGTTTGCGACGATGCTTGCGGTCTACTTCGGAGTCGGAGGCAGAGGAGCTAGACGAGGACGAGGAAGCATCTTTATCTGCAGCGGAGTTATGGGTGGAGTCATCGTCATCGTTGGTGGAGGAGTCGGGACCGGAGGAGCTGTCATCGCTGGGGGTGACGATGGAAGAAGTCTTAGTGGAGCGATGGGGCTTCTTCTTGGAATCGGCAGCAGCCGCCGCAGCAGCAGAAGAAGAAGAAGAAGAATGTTTAGCACAGACGGGCTTTTTGGCGGCGGGTTCGGGGGCGGGGACGGGCGGCTTGGCCTCTGCTTTACCCGCATTTGTCTCCGCAGTGGGCGGGTCACATTCCAGCTTATTGTTGTTGTCGCCCGGAGCTGGACTGCTGTTGTTGGTGTTGGTGGTGGAGTTACTACTATTGCTGGTCGGAGCACCAGTATTATCTGCCATGATGAGGATGGTTCAAATTGCTAATGATGTGTGAGTGTGAGTGTGTCTGCGTGACTGTCTGTGCGTGTGTGTATATGTGTGTTATGGTCTATCGTGTAATCTTGGTCAGTGAAATCGGATAGCTGTAGTGAGGGTAAATACAAGCAGGAGGGAAGAGGTAGTAAGAAGAAAGAGGAAAGAGAGAGAGAGAGAGAGAGGAAGAGAGAAAGGAAGAGAAGAAGAAAAAAAAAAAAAGCAGAAGCACGACGCTGACCAGCTCCCTCTCACACGGGACCAGCAGGACAAACAAAAGGGGGAATAACCAACGAGAGAAGAAGGGCCAGCCTGTTGATGCCTAAGAAAGAAGAATGAACAAGAGGCGCCTTGCCTTGCGTGGTGAGTTGGACTTGGTTGGCACTCATCAAACCCGTTCTGGCGGTGTGCAAGCTGCAAAATAAAAGGTGAGGCGAGGATGGATTTCAAAGAATGAAGGACACCAAAAGAAAAAAGAAAAGAAAAGAAAAGCAAGTTCTATGGCCACGAGGAAGATCAAAAAGAAGAAACACAAAGTGATCAGCAACTGTAGCTCGGGACCAGGGATGGTGAAGAAGAAGAATAAGCAGAGAGCTGGGGAGAGTTAACTACTCTAACTATACCGTCAGTCACGGAGGACAAGGCTGGCGGGACAGGCAGTCAGCCAGCAGCAGCAAAGCACCAGCAGTTTCAGCCGCAGACAGGCAACATCCAGGGTGATTAGGGATTGAGTCAGATTGTGAATCACTGCTCCTGCACGGCAACGCACCATCCTGCAGTCCGTGCAGCGCTTGGAGCTGCGGCAAGAGGAGACCTCCAGGATCTCCCAACCAACCCCCATCAGTTTGTCGAACTACGAGCTACAACCTTAGCTTTGACTCCTGCTATCAACATTGACGTGAGCTAAAGAGCTGTAGTACCGTACTCCATAGTTCATACGCCCCTCGGACCAGTCAGAATGAATCAAGTTGTGAAGAAAGCTAGTCAGCAAAAGTAGTTATTTGCTGCATAATCTCGGCGCGGAGAAGCCAGCCCTAAGTCTCGTCATCCACAACAACTTCATCTCGTCCCAAAAGGGAAAATATACTGTTGAACACCCAGGTCAGAAAACACAGCAACAAAGCATAAAGTACATGCAGCCTTTGCAAATGGGGACCATGTGCTTGATTCCACGCCCCCTTGACGACCGTATACCGTGTGTTAAACCGAGAGATACCGAGGATCGAGAGCTCCGTATCGGGTCACTTGAAGCTCATACCTCAGACTCGATTAGCTGGGAAAACACCTCTAAATCCTGGGATCTAGATCCACCCCAGCTGGGTCCTTCTCGTCAGTATATCGGTAATTTCCACTGTAATCACTCTCATATCCCAAGCCTGTGTTAACAAGGTGAATGAGAGAGGGCAAAGTGAAGCGATAATGTCGTAATGACGAGGTGTTCAGCCCACACAACCCAGGGATAAGTGAATGAGTGGCCCTGGCGACGACGAGAGCCAGTGAAGCTACCGTGGATTAGAATCTCTTCTACCTCCCATTTATATCTGGGATAAATGTCACCTCAAACCTCACCAATCCACCTCTTCCTCCCACCACCCCCTCCATACATCAAATCCTCTGCATCGTCACCACCCAATCCTCAACCCAAAAGCATCGAGTCAAACACCATGGAGTCGAACGGCCAATCCTCAGATCAGATGGGCTCACCCCACTCATCCGGATTTACTCCCATCAACCGAAAGAGCGTGGACGAAGTGAGTGCAGTGCCCCAGGAAACTCTTTGTTATGATTTTCACCACAACACCCATCGCCGTGACGATAGCCACCAGGCCCCCATCGCCATGACGATATCTATCACTAAAGCCCTCAATAGAACATGCACTAACCCTGAATCCGCAGATCTCGCGCAAGCGCAACGCCAACCCCTCTTCGAGGTCCGCTTCCTCGTCCCCTACCCCTCCAGCCAAGAAGACCAGAATCGAGTCCGCGGGCGACACCGAGCACGAGCACGAGACCGAGACCGAGATCACCACCGAGGATGCGGGCGGTGCAGCCAAGCTCCAGCCCAAGCCCAAGCCCGAGGCAAAGACAAAGGCAAAGTCCAAACCCACCGCGGTCCTCAAGCCCAAGACAACCAAGGCAGCCCTGAAAGAGGAACCGAGCTCCCCAAGCACCAGCTCGAGCCTATCCTCCGCCTCGGAAGGGGAATCCTCCTCCAACGAGGCCGAATTCCTCGAGAATGAAGACGAAGCCTCCTCGACCGACGAAGCTCCTACCACCACCACCAAGAAGAAGAACAAGAAAACCGCAGCCCCCAAGACTACCACTACTAAGAAGAAGCAACCCACAACCACCACCACCACCAAATCCACCCCTAAGAAGAAACAGCCTACAAAGACCGGAACAGGGGGAGGAACACCCAGCAAATCACCCAAGACCAAGCTGGACCCGATCCCGACCACCCTGGCGGCAGCCTCATACTCGGACCGGCTGATCCTCAACATGCGCGACTCGCAGAACAGTACCTGGGCGGACATCAACAGCGCGTGGAAGGCCGAGACGGGACTGACGGTGGGGCAGTCGACGCTGCGCATGCGGTACAATGCCATGAAGGCGAATTTCTCGGCGCTGGATGACGAGGATGTATGTTTTTCTCAAACTCCGAAAAGACAATAACCGCTCCCTTCCCCTTTCACCCAGATACAAACACATACAATCCCAAAAGACAAACCCCCCTTTCCCCAAAAAGAACTCACACTAACGACTAAATAAACATAACCAGGAAACCCTCTTCCGCCAAACCAAAGACGCACTCGAAGCCAAATTCGCGCAGGAGAAATGGCGCCAGATCGCCGAGCAGATGGAAGCCGTCAACGGCAAGAAGTTCCCGCCGGCGACACTGCAGAAGAAGTGGAAGGAGTGGGAGAAGAAGAAGGTGACTTCTCTTCCTTCTTCTTCTTCTTCTTCTTCCGCTTCTTCTTCTGCTGCTGCTGCTGCTGCGAGCTCCGTCAAGGGGTCCGCGTCGTCCGGGGATGCTTCTGCCGAGGGAAATATTGAGGATGGCGATGAAGGCGAGGATGAGGATGAGGTTTAGGCGTTGGGACTATGTTGCTTCGCCTCGCCTCGCTTCGGTCTTCTATTCGTGATCGTGTGGGGATGTGTGGGGATCATCCGTGTGATACCCGTTCTGTTCTGGTTCTCATGCACTACCCAAGTCTTTCTAAGTTTGAAGAGGAGAGAGGAGGGGAGGGAGAATGATATCTGGTTGTTTCATTTTGTATTTGCTTTCGTGGTTTGTTGTTCATATCTCCAGGAAAACGGGGCGATGAGATGAGATGAGAAGAATGTTCTATCAAGATAGCGAGCGGTGTTCAGGGACCCTGCTCGGACTACGGGTTACCCATGATACTGTGTCATACATAGCTGTTCCCGAAACAAAACAAGGAAAATGCAATGCTACTCTGGTTCTAGAATTGAGTGTAGCTGGGAAGCTGAAGGAAAGGGGGTCCTGGGGGAGAACCCCCAAAACGCGATTTACAGTTGTAGCTCACATAAAGTAAAAGCCATCATTCATTCAAAAACTAAGTCCCAGAACCAAAAAGTGAAGACGCAGAAAACTACCTACCTACCAACCAACCAACCAACCAGGCCACGAATCCCGAACACCATCCATGCAGAATGCCATCGACAACGCACAAAAACACACGAACATACAAAAAAGGTATCAAACAGCAGTTCATTTTGTACCAGACAAAAACCTCGAGTTCCTTAGAAACTCATCATCTCCAAACGCCCGTCATGCAGTCGCGAGTCCAGATGGTCCCCATGCCCGTGCCCATGCCCGTGGCTGAACTCCTTCATGTACTCGTCGCTGTCGGCGCGGGCCACGATCGCCGGCCGGATTTTCGTGCCCACGAACCCGCGTCGGTCGCGGCCGGTGCGGCCCCGGCCTAGCCAGTTGTGCTTCAGGTCCTTGCCGAGGGCCTCGACCTGCTCCTGGGCCTTGTCACCCGTCTGCACGCTGGCCAGGACGCTGACGCATTGGAGCATGCGGCCGACGGTCTCGGTGATGATGTGCGAGGTGTCAGCGGCTGCGTTGGCGCGGTGGATGATGCTCGGGCGCTGCGGGGGCGAGGAGAGGGACTGGAAGATGAGCTGGTCGGGGTTGGAGGAGGTGTTGGAGGCGGCGCGACTGCGACTGTCGCTGGGGTTTTGGTGGCCGCTCAACGAATCGGAAGAGTAATTCTCAGACTGAGCGTTGAGGAACGTCGAGGACTGGGAACTGTAACTCCCAAACCCGGCGCCAGCGCCACCGTCGAGCGAGGCGGCAGTGGGGGGCCGGCCGCCGCTGGCGGAACTGCTTTTGGTGGTGACGCTGAGCGCGGCCGTGCCTAAATTGATGCTATCGAGACTGAGGCGGGAGAACGTCGACTTTAGACTCTCGTAGCGGCCCAGGATGACTCTGTCGCGGAAGGCAACCAACACTAAATTGCGCACGTCGAGCTCGCAGCCCGGATTCTCGGCGTTGCGTGCGAGACTCCAGAATTCAGTGGCTTCGCGCCGATTCATCACAGACCCGCACCCCTTGATCTCCAGATCCAGAGGCAAGAATACGGCCTGGATGAAGGGTAGGATGGTTCCGAACACGAGCATCCACACCTGCACCAGGTGGGGGACCAGCTTCTCGTCCGGTACGCCGTTCAAGGTGTGGTTCAGCGAAGCGAATCCGGTCTCCAGCAGCTCCCGCAGATCGTCGACCACCGCCACCGGAGTGCGCTTTTGTACGCAACGCTGAATGTGGACCAGGACCAGCTTGTTGAGGTCCTCAATTGCGATGCGCACATCCTCGCCGTCAAAGATCACCATCAATTTCGCCTTGAGAAAGTCCCACGCATCCTCCGGTGTCATGTTATTCAGACCAAAGCCTTGCAAAGTCTCCCGTATCGCAGCCTCAGCCATGAGTCCGGAGGAACTGCCTAGTGATGACGGCCCGGGGAAGACGGCCGGCGAACCAGTCGGTCCTGTTGAGCTAGCTGCCCAGTCCATCTGCTCCGACTCAGCCTGTGCCTGCGCCTGCGCTTGCGCCTTCTCCTCCTTTTTCTTCTCGCGAAGACCGTGCAACAGATCCAAGCCACTGACTGACTTGCCAAACGTCGTGCTGACCGCCCCCGGCGACGCCGGGGTGAACGAGTACAAAGACTGGGGCGCACTCGGATCCGAGGGCTTCGAGTTACTCGACGCGGACGACAGCGGGAGATTGTAATGATCGTCGCGATCCTTCAGCTTCAGCTTCTGTCGCGACAGAAAGTGGTGTTTATGTTTCTCTTTATCCTTATCCTTCTCCTTCTCGCTCCCCGTGGGCTTATCGGCCGGCACCACGGTGCTCGCGGACGCGTTTGACAGGTTATAAATGGACGAGTTATTCGACGGGAAGGTCTCCGCCAAGCTGGTGGTCGAAGCGCTGACGATCCGGGACAGTCCCCCACTGGGGAACCCCATCTTGCTTGGCGAGGGGAGCCCCCTCTCCTTTCCGGTGCCGTCCTTGTCCCGACTGATCCCGATATGTTTGGGTTTCGAGAACAGCTTCATCTTCGACTTCTCGCCCTTGTGTTTGTGTTCGCGCTCTTGGGGGATCTCTAGCCCGGGGGGCTGAAGCCCGGGGTTTCGGGGAAATACCACGTTGGCAGCTGTCGTGGCAGCATGGGCGTGTCCGGCCGCGGTGCTGCCGCCATTTGCGTATGTTTGCTGCCCGGCTGAAGCGCCAGTTGCGCTGGCTGTTGAACCGGGGGGTGCGAAGGTCGGGGGTGGGGGAGGCGGGGGAGGGGGCGAGATGCTGCCGCCGCGTCGGGAACGGGAACCGTCCTCGGAGACGCCTCGCACGGTCGGAGGTCGTTTGACAGGATGTTGAGGGTTGTTCGTTTGTTGATGAAGGTGGTGGGGCTGCTGTTGTTGCTGCTGCTGCTGTTGTTGTTGTAGCTGTACCTGTTGTTGTTGTTGTTGTTGCTGCTGCTGTTGTTGAAGCATGGCCGTCTGGGCCGCGATACGAGAAGCTGACAAAGAGGCCTCGGTCGAAGAAGCGGTAGGAAGTGAGGGTTCAAAGAAACCCTGGGAGTGGTGACGAGAGCGACGCTGTAGTTCAGCCGGGACGACCCGCCCTGAGGGCTTGCGGCTCAGGATCTCATTATGCGGCATGAAGGAGACGGGGGATCGCCCAGAGGAGGTTGGAATTGAAGTGGTGGAAGAAGTGGAGGTCAGATTGGCGGTGTTGAGAGAAGAGATACGCGGTGGCCGCTGCGAGGCAGTGCCAGGCGCAAGCGCAGGCGGCACAGTAGCAGCAGCAACAGCAGCAGCACTACCGGCAGGGGGGAAGTTGGATTGTTGTGGGGAGATGGTCGTCACATTGGAGGTAATCGACGAGGCATCACTTCCGGAGGAGCCAGGACGGTTAGAGTAGTAGGTGTAGGAATCGTCAAAGGAACGGCGAGGGAGTGGAGGGGGAGGAGATTGCGAGTGAGGAGGAGGGGGAATCGGCGACCGCGACGAGACTCGCTCCGGCGAAACCGGCGAGCGCAACATGGTCTGATTGACTGTATGAGTGAGTGGGTGCGTGCGTGAGCGAGTGAGTAAGTGAGCGATGAGCGATAAGTGAGCGTAATCTACTCTTCAAGAGAGGAAAGCCTCCATGATCAAGTAACAGAAAGCAAGTAAGCAAGAAAGCCCAAGCAATGAAATGAAGTAAAGTAAAGTAAAGAGAGATCGATCAATTGCAGAATTGGATCAGTCGAGAACCACACTAATTACTCCTCCTGCCTGGAGAGAAAGGATCAGCGTCAATTGAACCATTGATTGCATCCCCTCCCTTCCTTCTCCGTGCCGATCCCTCCTCTCTCTCTCTCTCTCTCCCTCTCTTTCTCTCTCTCGCCCCGCCTTTCCGAAAACGGAATTTCGCCTCGTCTTTTTTCCCTCCATCGGTCGTCGTCTTCTTGCTTCCTCTTCCCAAACATTCCGCGAGCATTTGCCCACCACAACCCAACCTTCTTCACTTCCAAGCTTTCAAAATCCGTCTCATCCTTCTACCTCGAAACAAAGCTAATAATCGACATCATGTCAACCACCACGCCCACCCAGCTCCGCGCCGTCTACTCAGCCCCGCAACAGCAATCCCGCACCTTCGAACAACCCATCGCTGCCCCTCTCCCTTCTTCAGCCGGGTCCTCCTCTTCCGACAACGTCAAAGCCAAGGTGACGTATCTGGCCGAGCTGCGCAAACAGGTGCCTACTCTACAAAACGAGATCAACGTCTTCCTGACCGAGAAGATGGAGGAGGACAAGAAGGCCGCCGACGCCCAGGGTCGTCAACTGTCCGAAAAGGAAGCCAAGGAGGAAGAGAACTACGGCGAGGAGGTCGTGGAAGAGGATGATGCTTGAAGGATGAGGCTGAACGAAAACAAATCACGCCAATCGTCCGATAGGCTCGTTGGGCGCGCACACCAGGTGCATTTGCCCTGCTCCGCGACGCGCCCCTAATACGTTATCGACATGACAGACTGACTATACGAACAAAAGAGGGCAAGGGAGCATACATTGATTGATTGGGTTATAACGTGTAGAGATGATGCAGCATGAAAGAGATCGCTATCCTTGGGTATCATCGTGCAGGAAGCGTCCGCCCACTCCAGATGGAAACATATGTGAACATGAGATCGAAGAAATATCAAACAGAATGAGACGATGGAACGCGAAAGTACGGCATCCAATGAGAAAGAAAGAAGACATCCTTCTATGTACACCGACCAGATTCAGGAAAGCGAATGCTTGCGGTTGGCGCAACCAAGATGGACAACTGTATTACTGCGGACAAAGTCAGCAATCGCCTTCACACACACGAATATGGAAACGACTTACTCTGGATACACATTAATGACACTGCCCCCGATTCGCTTGTGGCAGATGCCGCAGACTCTTTCTTCGGTGATGGTGACGTGTCTGGATCGCGATGACGTGGGGTCGATGCCCTCGCCCACCAGCAATTGGGCTTGGGTCTTGATGTTCTCTGCTTTCTGCAGGCTGGCCACGATCCGGCCCTCGTTCAAGATCGAGTTGGCGGCGCGCATGCGACCCTTGAAGTAGAAGTCAAGCTCCTTTACAGGGAGAGTTTCGGGGATCAGATCCAGCGCTGAGCCGGGGGGCAGGCGAGACCCGTGTTTGGCCAGCACCTCGAGTGCCGGACCATACCGTGGCTTGTATCCGTGTGGCGGAGTTAAATAGAGAGCTAATAGAGTCAAATAGATCGATGGCTTGTCTTCCTCGTAAGCCAGCAAAGCTACACAAGGGCCACCTTCGGTAGACGCTAGATCATCCTGTTTGTGGAGATGGTTGCAATATCTGTAGGGGAGTTAGCGATTGAAGAGCACTACTCTGGTGTGACTGTGACGTACTCCTCGGCCTTAGCATAGTCCTCAAGCCTAAACACATAGATCTCCAGCGCCTGCTTGTGCTGTCCCATCTTGCTGAACACGATTGCTCTTGCTTCAAAGAACTCGGGATCTATAGTAAGTCAGGTTAGCGGGAGCACAACTACAGAAAAGACCAACAGGGATACATACCGTCACGATTGAGGCGGTCCAAGATCTTTGCCGGAGAATACTGCGTGCTTGACCTAAGCATGGTGAGGAACTTGTTTCGCCACGCGACGTGATCCTCTTCACTAGCGAATTCCCATTCTTTCTTTCTGTATTTCTTCAGACGGTCCAAGTAGAAATTGAGCAGCTGCTGGTGGAGGTCCGGCGACATGTCATTTAGCTCGCCAATAACATGCTCCAGGTATCGCACGGCCAGATTGACATCGATCTCTCGCAGAAAGTCCAACACGCGATGCCGGGGTAGAGTCTCTGCATTTTCCGTGTCCGCCAGGAAGATCTCCATGCCCAGCTCGGGGTCTTCTCGCAGCGGCCATTCTGCAAATTCAAGGATGAGATCAATCCGATCTGGTGGGATATTCTGCAGGTAGACGACGGTTCGCTTGGGCCCGTGCAGCTGCGGAGCCGTCTCTTCCTCTTCTTCAGCCTGTCCGAACCTTTGCAGAAGCTCCAGCGCCTGTCGGTGCAGCTTCTTGCCGTACAGGAAATCAATCAGATCATTGTGTCGACCCGTCTCCTCAAGTTTTTCCATGACCACATCCGGGTCGCAAAAGTTCGCAATACGGAAGAGGGATCCTGCCAACGCGGGAATTGCATACATGTATGCCCGGAAGAGGGTGGTATCAACGAGTTTGGCCTTCTCGCGGAGCTTCTCACCGAACTCAGGGTCCTGAATATTCTTAGTGCTGGTCTCGAGCAGCTTCAACACGGAATCAGTCAGCTCATCCGTTGCTCCGTCAGTCGGCATATCAAAGACTTTGAGAGAGCCGTCAGGGTTAAGGAAGCGCTGAAACCGCCGACGGACATCAGCCAGATATCTCTGCAGCTCACGAACAGCCAACTTCAGATCATTTCCTTCGAGAGCCTTGTCAGTCTTGGCGTCTTCGGTCATTCTCGTCCGGATACTGGCCGCATCACTAAGGTCATCCGTCTTGGTCCGCAGTAGCGACATGACCGAGGGAGCATGCGAAAGCGTCTTGGCTGTAGCTGCAACAGCAACATCCGAAGTATGATTACCATCGACTTGCTTTTGGTTGTCGGGCGTCTTAGAGGGACTCTCGGTGGCACTGTCTTCGGATTCTTCCTGATCCTCAGTGACCGACGACAGCTCTCCAGCCACAATCTTCGGATAGAGTCTGATGACAGTCTCGGGTGGGGCCGATATTTCGGTGAAGATATCCATCGAGTCCGCATACTTGCGCAACCTGAACAGTCCCTCGGCCTTTTCGAGCTTGATCTCGCGTAGCCGGCCCTGTTTATCTCTCAGGAGAGCGTCCTCAAGCATGCTCGCAAGACTGATCGCCTCGTCCAGATACCCTTTCTCCACGAGCGAGTCAATCTGGGTATCGTAGCTGAGCGCCTCCATGCGCCAAATCGTGCGATCACTCGCCACCAAGAACCCCTTGCCCGCATGCGCCAAACTGATAGTTGGCTGAGGAATGTGCAAGATATTGGCGGACGGCAATGGCACGGATTGGAGTAAAGACAAGGTCTCCGGGTTGCGCACCTCCAAGACGCCCTTCGACGCATCATGTAAAGCCAGCAGAAACGGATACGAATACCCGATATCCGCCGGACCATGGCTCCAAGGAATCTGCCGCCTCCCCAGCGAGGCGCCATTGATATCGATGAACTGCGTATTGATATCCTTCGCCAACAGGACCTGACCCTCAGACAACCGCGTCGCCAACGGCTTCGGCGCAGACCCCCCGATACCAATATAACTCATACTAGCAACCCCGACGCCCGTCAGCCTCCCAGTTTCCTGACCCCCAAGGCCACCAATACTCCCCGGGCCCACCAGATCCGTGACACTAGCCTTCTCAATATCCACCATCACAAAGCTAGACCCCAAGCCCGCCACCAACCTGGTCCCCGACACCCAGGTCAACGTCTTGATCCCACTGACCAAACTCATCTCGACCACCTCCCCCTCAACCTCCATATCCCTCCAAACCCACAACAAAATCTTCCGCTTAACCGCAACCGCCAACCGAGACACAATAGACGGCACGCCGGTCTCCGGATCATTATCAATATTCGAGGTCACCGCAAAGGTCGACGCGCCCTTGGACCGCGTCAACTGCTCCTGCAGCGCATACGTCTGCAGATCATGGATAGAGACATACCCACCAGACAGCGAGACCAAAAGCTTCGCCTCCTTAATGAGAGCCAACTGCTCGACCTTGTACCGCGAGAACTTCTCCACCTCGCGCAGCAAATCCGTCTGCTTGATCTTGACCGGCGGTAGATGTGCCGTCGTAGCCTGCTCCGTGTTCACAACCGTAGCGGTATTCGTCGTGGCGGGTTTATCCCCCCCTCCCCCGCCGTTGTTGCTTGTTATCGTCTTAGGCACAACCCCGCCATTCGTAGTATTACTCTCCCCATGTGCATTCGCCCCCTTGGTATCGTTCGTGTCGCCGCCGCCGGACGACTCATCCTCCACCTCGTTCACGCGGTAGATCCGTAGGCTCCCGTTATTCAGTCCTACGAGGACGCGGTCCCCGTAGGCGAGGACGGATTCGATGCGCGAGCGGTCGCGCGGTTTGAACTCGACGAGCGGTCGAGCCGTGAAGGCTGATAGCATTGTTTTTGGTGCCCCTCCCGTAGGAAGTGAGAATGTGGTAGGGTTCGTAGGGGAGGAGCTGTGGATGAGGAGTTGGTTGCTCGCTCGCTCGTTCGCTCTGGTTGCGGTGAGTTGGGGCGGGAGGTTTCCTTTCTCTTGGAGTGTGCACGCGTGGGCTCCGACTGCGTACCTAACTACCTACTTCTAAATTCTATCAAGCGTGGAGGTAGAGGCATGTCCAATGGTGTGTGGATTTGGGTTCCAGAGGAGATAGGTGACGTGGGATTAGCGGCCGGAGGTGGTGGTCACGGCCATGATATGTTGGGTTGGGTGTTGACGACGAGGTGAGAGATAAGGGCGAGGATTGTGCTTGGGGGAGAATAATGTCAGAAAGCCGCTCCAGGCGAGGTAGTTGGCAATAGGCACTGCGTTGTTGTACAGTGTATATGGAGGCTGGTGTAAGTTGGCTGTGGAGAGGTATAACTCACCCAAGGCAATAGCTACCGAGACCGACCAGAGCTGCCCGGCCGCGGTCCGGACCTGCCAAGCCCACTACGGCGAGCTACAGCTGCCATTCGATGAAAGACATCTCTCAAAGAAGCGCGAAGTCTTTTGGGTTGTTGTATTTGCAGTGACCCTGGAAGCGAAAAAAGAGCCCAGTCATATGCATGTTACTTGCGCAAAAGTACTCCTCATATCAGGTGCACTGAGGCAAAAATCACCAGCCTGGGATATTACCAGTCCATGTCTTCCGTCATCGACAGATAGATAGCCTGAGGCGCTCACCGCTATCACTTCCTCCGGCCGGCCTTAGCTTATCCGCCATTGGCGCATGCTGTCGAAAAATCCACTTCACTCACCAGTTTGACCCACCAGGCCAGAAGAAATGCAAAAAAAAATCAAAAAGTGATGGGGCAAGCCGGGCTTGAACCGGCCACCTCCAGATCTTCAGTCTGACGCGCTCCCAGATGCGCCATTGCCCCTGGTGGTTGAAATGAGGCTGCTTAGGAAGTGTCATGTCCAGGTATTACACACACGAGGTATACAGCCGCGATTGATCTCAGAGAACTCAATAGAATAGCGGGCAATCAGACATGTTGGTAGAGAGATGCGCGATCTTCACATTTCTAAAGGCTAATCGTATTATCCTGCCATTGGCATCAACCACAGCTATCCTACCTAATAGCGCCATAACCTCGGGGTATACCACCCACACATGAATGCTGGATGCAACAAGAATCCACAGTCTGCGACCATTGTACACAAGAGGTGCAGACCCAATCCTATCTCGATTTAATTTGAGAACAGGTCGAAGAGTGCCAAGAGAGAGAAAAAAGACCATTATGCAAGTGTACAGTAAGAATGTTCGGTGGGGACTGGCAGAAGTCAATCAACCCAGGTATGCCAATCAACATGCATGTTTCACTAAGCGCCCGATATGTCCAGATGAAGAGTATAGTCTCGTAAGTTCTATTTTTTTGTGCCTTGCAAATGCTCATGCCTTGATTTCCGTCGAGTATTCCTGGTGTTTCGCCGATGTGCCCTTCGCACGCCAGGTCGACACAGCAGGAATGTCGGCCTTGAACCGTTGTTCCTCCGTGCCGTATGCACGCGGTGTGAGCTTGATCAGCGTGTGGAGGGGAACTTCCATCCAGGGACTCTGCTCCTGTGGTGTATTAAGGAAGTAGGCGTATATGCAGCGCAACACGGCCTGGTGGGTCACTATGATAACGTTCTCACTGCGCTCCAGCTCCATAATAATAGGTTCCAAGCGAATGACAACATCTCGATACGATTCTCCACCCCGGTAGCGGTAGTTGTACTTGTCTTCGTCGCGGGCGGCAAAATCCTCGGGGTATTTTTCGGCGATTTCCTCGTAGGTAAGTCCATCACAAACTCCCGAGTCAAGCTCATCCAAAGCCTTCCACTCCAGCTTCTCGAAGCCAGTTTCGGCAGCCAAATGACGAGCTGTCTGGATCGTGCGTTTTAACGTAGAGGTCCAGATCACAATCTTCGTATTCGGCGGTACACCGGACTTCTTTAGAAGACCCGGTAGAGCTTTGGCGTAAGCCTCTCCACGTTCAGAGATGTTGGAGTCGCCTCCAATCTTTCCCGTCAAGTTGTATTCTGACTCTCCATGCTATAAAATCATTAGTCCAGACTCGTGATTGTATGCCACTCGCAGACTTACCCGAGATAACCAGATCGAGCGAGGCTTGATATGAAGGTTCTGGATATAATAGACCAGCCGACTAGACAGATAATCCTTGATCTGGTTGATGATGACCGTCGAGCCCACGTTGATGAGTTTTACGTAGGTATAACTCTTCTCGTTGTCATCGATGGTCTCATAGATCTTCTCGTAATTGCGGATTCGCTCGCGGAAATCCCGAGCAGCAAGTTCCGGGTCCTGCCCCTTGTAATCCGGGGATGTCGTCTTGACCTCGCGGATGTTGCTCATGATCAAGTCCTCTTCGTCACATATCGACTCGACGTATAACGTCTCGATGTTAGCCTGTCGGCAGCGTTCATTGATCCAACGGCGGCGCTCTTTCGTCGAGTTCGTCGCGTCCAAGATCGCGACAACGCCCTTGCCAGCTTCGAACCACTGGATCATGTCTGTGATTGCGGCATCGGCCGCAGCACGGCGCATCTTCTCGCCCTCCTCGTTGTGAGGGTCAAAGAAAGTGGCGTTGGGCTGCGGCGTGCCCTGTCGACGATAGCTGCCAACATTGAATACGCGAGCTGGGATACCGACCCACGCGAGATATCTCATGGCTGGTTAAACGGTCAGTTTGTTCCTCACGGACATGGGGTCTTGTTCCTTTAACACACCTTTGCCAGCTATAAGACTCTTGCCTCTGGCTGGGAGGCCGACCATGACCACGCAGATTTTGGACTCATCTGACTATTAAGCGCAAATAAGCATTTGATGCAAGACAAAAATAGAGAACGTAGAAGATGCCATTGTGATCAACTGCTGGACAAGAAAATAGCACCGGTGCCGGTGGCGAGTTGTGCCAACCCGCCGGAGCCCAAGCTTATATGCGCGCAGGCATTTTAAGGGGAGGCCGATTCCGCAATGAGCCCAAAAGCAGCATGGCACTGATCTTGTATCACCGACCACAAACCAGACACAATGCGACGTCGTGGGAACAAGAATAAAATATTCAACAAAGCTCGGCGAATCAAGGCACGTGCGATGAAACACCCGACAAATAAAATGCATGACAACTTACGCTGGCAAAGTAGTGAGTTTTGTGGCCATTGTCCCGACGAATTAAACCCGACGACATTATGAGCAGCGATAATTGATTTCTCAAGGGACTATGAGGGTATTGTTCAAAGCAAACAGGGGAAGAATATCCAGGACCTCGGTCACCAGGATGTCCGAGGAGGCAGAGGACGAAGGCAGGGGAGCAGAACAGATCGAGTGTAACTCCGTATATAGAAACCCTTTTTTCTTGGCTTGCCTGTAAGTGAAGTTGGGAAGTTTGTCGCTAACCACTAAGAAGCAGACAGGTCCGGCTGTCTCACGAAGAACTGTTTAGCAGGAGAGAGGCGATCGCGAGCAAGAGTCGAGTAGGAGCAAACAGTAATGAATTGATCAACAGATGACTCTGGTTGGATGCCATGAAACCCAACGGAGGGGGGAAGTCGATGCGGTGAGGGAGAAAGAAAGGCAAGCAGGCAATTCAATCGGTTCTGAGTGAGGGAGTCAGTGAAGAGCACAGACGTCATGCCGTGGGGCAGTTGCCGGCGACACTGGGTGGATTTTCTGGTTTGACTATTATTGTCTAGGCAATGATGATTCAATAGTAGGTAAGTAGATAGTACTTCGACCTAATATGTAAAGTCAGAAATAGAAAGAAACCCCCTGGTAGATCTGGAATTCTTCCATCCGTGGTAAGAGTAATTAATCTGTGAAGAAAAGAAAAGAAATGGTCGCAATTTCTTCAAAGGATTGTAAATAAAGTCTGGACTCCTCCTAACTATTATTTCTTTTTTACTCTCCCCCCGCCGGTCCCCTTTTCCCCGGTCGGATTGTCCGTCAGTCAATCCGTCAGTCAATCAAATCGGCAATCCCAGAATTGCCTTAACCAAAACCCTCCCACGTGACCCCTATTGCGTTTTCGTGTCGGGTAAAATCGTAACCTGTTGCAATGGCTAGATTCAGAGTTATTACCCGACTAGCCCCAATGTGACTCACGGTCGCCTGACTTTCGCGCGGTTTTTCTTCGCAATTTTGAGCCTGGGGGCGTTGAGCCGCGGGCCTGGATGGGGCTTCGCAATCATATTATTCCCCCGCTAATAAGTGACTACTGGAAGGACTGCCAGTTCTCTGCCGATCGGAAAGGGAGTTCCTTGCATGTCCTCCTGCCGGTGGGACTAAGGGGTTGACAGCAGTTCTCCATTCAATGAGCATCTCTTTTGCTCATCGTCCCATACCACACGCGCACGCATCCACGAACGAGCGATAAAATCTTTTAGTTTTGTTGCCGTCAACTTAGGCTTCGGGAAGAATGATGATCACGAATTTTATCCGCTAACTTAAAAAAAGTAGCTAAAAGAACCTGGGGTTGATCTCATGGGATCAAAAGTTACAAGAAAACAGGGAAACTCCGGACGGTGAGTAGTCTCTAGATTAATCTAATCTCAGCCCTAAAATAACTCCTTTTGGTCGACTCTATTGTCATTAAATCTGGAAGCCTTCCCTCTTTTAGATTTTTTGGTGCCTGTTCTGTGCCTCGGATCTGCACAAGGATGAGGATGCCTCGAAAGATGGGGGAACCCAGACCCAATATGCATACGGATGATGTATGCCTTGGAATGGTGGTAATGCCGGAAGAAAGCGCGGCCTTCTTCGCTGCATCCGTGGTGTGTTTTTCATTTTTCGATAAGCCTCCCGAGCCATGGGTTGAGGACCGGACGTAGGACGAGGCAGAGAATGGAGGTCATGAATCTCTTGTGGGAGAGTATCGGGGTAGGAAACACCACCCCCTCCCTTTTTATGGTTTCGTAACAAACGTCAAGCATGTACTTTTGGCTTTTGAGGTGGTATGCAGGAACTTTTTTTTTCGTAGTCATGAGAAAGGGGTTGATCGATTCAGCCGTATAGCTTGGGAGCACAACTATACGCCGACCGCAACCTCGGCAACAGCATTAGCGTCTTCGACAGCAGGAGCTGCAGCATCATCCTGGTTAGACGGCCACTTGGGGCGTCTTTCTTGGGAGTTGGTTTCTCCGCGAGCTCTCTGGACGCGCAGCATGGAGCCCCAGGGACCCTCCTGGCGGTGCAAAGCACCCATGGCGTTCTCGGCCTCTTCGACGCTGTCAAAGTCGACGAAGAGGTAGTAGTGGTCACCAGGCTCAAACCGCTTGGCGGGGTGAGGCGCGAATTGCTTGCTGACATTCTCACTATCAAGGAAGAAGAGTTAGCTGTGAATTGGTGGGCCGCACGACCTTGGGTTTGCCTTACACATTGTATCCCTTGAAGAAGTTGCGGATGTTGATGTTGAGCGCGTCCTGATCGGTCAACTTGGGGAGGCCACCAACGTAGAGACGGCGGCTGGCATCGTTGTTTGCAGGTCTGGCAGGGGAAGAGGGGGCCTCATCGCCACGGCGCCACCGGTCAGCACTGAAAGGCGAGCTGCGCACATCGCGAGGAGAGCCATCTACGCGCTGTTGCTGCTGTTGCTGCTGCTGCTGCTGCTGCGACCGCTCACTGGGAGACTTCACGACACCAGGCTTGATCTTGACCGGACGGCCCAGCATGTCCCGGCCATCCAACTCGACCATGGCGCGCTCGGCCAGCTCCTTTGTCTCCAGATCCACAAAGCAGTATGAGGGGTTGCGGCCCGTGAAGGGGTCAATGGCGATATCGATACGCTCGCTAGGAAGCACTCAGTTTGGGGGCTCATCAACAGACAAAAGTCGTTTCGCATACATTGTGAACTCGGCAGCGGTAAAGAGTGCTTGCACATCCTCCGACTTGGCCGTGTAGGGCATGTTACCCACATAGAGACGGCGTCCCTCAGAGATGGCCTGCGGCACGTGCGCGCTGGGTCTGCTGAAGGCGAGTCTCGAGGTGCTGGTCTTGGGGCCCGGGGACCCGGCGCTCTGCGCACTCGGGCTCTCTTCACCCTTCATACGCCAGTTGGGGGAGTGAAAGGCGCGGCCCGTGGTTCGGACTCCATTCTGGTAAAAGTTCTTTTGAGGGGCTAATCACTCGTCAGCGACAAAAGCCTCGAGAAGTTGTTTGGCATCTAGCCCCCAGAAGAGGCGCCCAGATGCAATCGGCCTACACACTTTGTTGCTGAGGAACAGGGCTTTCAGCAGCGTCGACCATTGTGACGGAGATATTCGAGGACTCGGGGTAAGACTCAGGATCGATAAGGACAGGATAAGCGACTCAGAAGCCTATACAATCGAGGGCAAGTTAGCACGGAATGGTCGCTCACAATACACGGATTCCCTAATTTGACAAAAGATGATCAGAGCAGAAGGAAAGAAAATCTCACCTTTGATTCAGGCTAACACTCTACGCAGTTGTAGTAGAAGTGTGACAGACAAACCAAACACTCTAGACCTCCGGTCTCTCCAGACAGATCAAAAATTCTCCGAGAAACGAAAGGGAAGCGACAGACCAACAACACAGAAATACACCGGTGCTGAAGCCTGCATCAAAAAATTGATCTGGGGCGAGACCAAACCAGAGCAAACCGCGCAAACCGCGCAAACCACCGCGGCCTGGGTCGTTGTCCCGTTGCTTGTGATTGGTCACTTAGCGAACCAAACGCGATATAAAGACGCGAAATCATTTCTTGCCGTTTTCTTTTTTCCATCTTCCTTCTATCGTCGATCGGCTTGAAATTCAAAGCAAACAGAAAGCATAAGAGCTGAGAGTATTCGCAGGAAGCTCACAATGCCTGCTTCATACTCATGGGCTGCTTTCAGGCCTGCGATCAGCTACGCTCTGAGTATAATGTGTTGCTCTGGCTATGCAAATCTCGCGTCACAGGTCTCGACCTAACAGACCTTCCAAGTCCTTTCATTCACATCCCCTTGCACATTTTTCACCTCTCCTATGTGTTCACTTCAATGATGAAGCAAGATTCACACAGACCTGTTCCGAGTTATTATACATGCGGATCAACAATCGTACCAACTGCTGTCTGACAAAGTGAACACTACCCTTGCCCTTGCCCCTACTCTGCTTTTGTCCCGTACACTATTACAGAAATAGAAAAAAGAAATGAACATGATTATCACGGACTTTCTTCTCTCAGAGCTCTCTGTAGACACGCATTGCCATTATGCAGAAGGTATAGCTACAAAGCATCCTTTCCTCCTATCTACCTTTGTGTTATTACACATTAAACATGCGAAAACATCCTCCGATGGACCATCAAGCATGGTCATACCCCGTGTCGGTCACAGGGGTTCCATCGTCTCTCTCATACAGGATCTCAGGACGAACATTCTGGCGTAGGATGTACCTTCTTATGAAGTAAGGAATCTGACGCAGCCCGTACCTGACATGGAAGCGCGTGGGCACCGAAAACACCTGATCCAATTCCTCGAGCGTCTTTCCTTTGGTCTCGGGCATCAACATGAGAATCAGGAACCAGCCGACAATACACCAACCGGCGTACCAGCTGAAAGCTCCTTGAGGCGTGAACGCGTGGCGGAGGGAAGGCCAAGTGATGGCTAGGGTGAAGTTGAATAGCCAGGTTGTCGAGGTAGCTAAGGCCATACCGTAGGAACGCACGTAGAGCGGATAGGCTTCGGCCGAATAGGTGAATGGCACCGGTCCCTCCCCGAAAGAATAAACAATTCCGAAGAGGTATGTACCTAGAGCAATACACCCCATTCGGGCATTCTTTGTGTCTTCGGGTATCCAGAAGCTGAAGCCGGTGAAGAACATCGACAATGCCATTAGAGGAAATGTGGTGAGGAGAAGGTTGCGGCGGCCGAATGTGTCAATTGTATAAACGGCGGGAATGGCAAAGAGCCAGTTGATCATCCCCCACCCAAAAGACGCTGCCAATGCCCTCAGTTGATTCTCGACCGTCAACATATTTTCCGGCCCCGAGGATTGCAGGAAGATCTCCGATGAATAGTAGGCGATAACATTCACACCTAGGTAAAACCATTAGTCTTCTGTATTCTACATTCAGAAAATTGATTAAACGCACCGCAGAACTAGTTGAAGAAGTTAGCAAGTGGACCTTGAGAGTGGACGCAGATGAACATACTTGTTGCATAAACATCACTAGTTCCGATGCAATCATTGCACGTCGGTTACGGGGTACCCTGATAAGCTCAATGATCTTGTTCTGACCAAGCTTCATACTAGTCTCGGCCTGCAGCAATGTATGCATATAGTACAAGTCGCGCGCTGCCTGGACCTTGTTGAAGCGCAAACTGCACATTGACTCATACGCTTTATCATAGCGGTCCCTCGATATGTACCAACGTGGAGATTCTGGGCAAGTGAAGACAAAACAGCAGACTAGGAGAGCAGGGAACATGGCTGAAGCCATCATCATACGCCAGTTGAGGCCGACAATCCCCGAAGAATCAGGCACTTGAAAGAATGCGAGGTCAGCGGCGTAGCCGAACATAATTCCGAATGCTGTCCACATCTGCCATTGCATGACTAGAGCACCACGGATGACAGGAGGAGCCGTTTCGGCGGCGTAGATGGGAACAGTTGCCGACTTTGGACCTATCCCGAAGCCCAGCGCAAAGCGAGAGATAAACATATGCCACCATGTGTTGACGAATCCTTGCCAAAGACAAGTAAGTGCAGAGAAACAGCATGTGATGAAGATGGTTCCCCGACGGCCAAACCATGCGTTGAAAGGCACCGTCAGCCAGCAGCCGATGACGGCACAACACAGGTATGGTGCTGAGTTAACCAGTCCGAGCAACCAGTTGGAACGGGAGTCCGAGCCGTCGATGCCAAATTGATGTTTGTAGAAGATTTGGGCGCCGTTAACCACGGTTTCATCTGCAGGTAATAAAGAGTTATGGTCAAAACATCGAGATACACAGGCAATAGCATGACGATGAGGCTTACCCATTCCTTGTACGGCAGCAGAGAGGGAGCACAGAAAAATGACAAGGTACATCGTCCATGGCTGCGACCAACGATGAGCAAATTCATTCCTCAGGACCTCTAGCTCCTGCGGCGTTAGACCAGGAACCTCTGCGTATTTCTCCGGCTTTTGAGCGAGCATGGCCCCCATGGCAAAAGCACGTATATCTTCTTCGTCTACCATGTGATGGTTAATGGCGAAGTCAATTCCTTGCCTGCGCAGCTCTTCTAGAGTATAACCAGCAAGCGGATTGGCTAGCTTTGCGTTTAAATGGCGCCGGGCTCGCTCTGCAGCGGTGCCAAACGAGCGTTGATGGATGGAGTTGCCTTTTGTATCCGCGCCATAACTGATAGCAGTCGCTTGCGATGTCCCGACGGCGGGAGAATCTTCCTTGCCGAAATACATCTTCGCGTGCTGGAACCTCAATCGCGCTGGTGATGACTCGCGAAGGACGGGCTAATGTAGGGGAACGAGACAGCTAAGGAAAGCTGAATGTCAGTAGACTGTCAACATACCCAGACCTGAGCGAAGGGGAATGACCACTGATCCTTGGTAACTGAAGATTCCACCAGCCAGAGCAGGCAGTCTATGCCACACCATGTGCCCCACAACAAAGAAGAGATAAGCTTGATAAAGAAGTTGAGGTTGAACCGTATGGCTGGTAAATCGCTTGGCTGAGGGACGAGCCGTTTTAGGTAATAGTAGATGTGCAGATACAAAGAATCCTCTCCGGCCCCCTGGACCATTTCCAAAGATTAGGATGAGGGATGAGAAGTAAAGCACCGCCAGTGAAGAAGAGACTCAACTCACTCAGCCTGATGGACCGGCAGAAGAACTGCACCACTAAACTTGCCAGTCGACATCCCGTGATGAGAACTGCGATGACAGCCCTTCGGATAAGGCTGAGACCGGCGTTGAGTATGCTAGACTCTGATGTTCTTCTATCCTCCCAGGATCTACTTCTAGAGAATAAACATGAAGTGGCCGTGGAATGGTTGACGGGAGGCCAGACAAAGGGGCAGTGAGGTGGAAGTGAGGCTCGTATCCCACCCAATGAAGACCCGAACGATAATCTCACTCGGATAGCCTGGGTTTTGGGCCAAACTAGACGATTATTTAGATGTTCCGGGTCTCAGCACGTTCCAAAGGTTGAGAGCTACGCAGACCTTCCTCTGCATATTTTCTCGAAATGCATGAAGCGCGTACAACGTTGCACCATCCTACATTGGCAGCAAGTGCACGAATCCTTCTCTGTTAGCCATGACAGCACATGAAGACAACTGTGCCTTGTTTCGGATCAGCTGACAGGCGAATACGAGAGTCATCTTTTTGTAGACAATGTGTTGATCTGCACGACTGTTGACAACGTGTTCGAGGGTGCGACCCCGGATTTGCATCGCTTGGGTTTCGAGCCGAATGTTCTGGATGCGGGGGTTGCCGCCTGTCCGATGCGGAGGAGTCATAAGCAGTTGACGTTACTTACTTTATTTATGCTATCTACATACATGATCTACTACATCTACTTAGGCTATTATAACCTCTGTCTTGATCAGCTGCAAAGAAGAGATGCCTTGCACTATACTATTACATCCTGTGTTATCTCAGCTAACAAGTAACACTGTCAATCTTATACCTCCGCAGATTTGGTTATAGGCATTCAAGCAAACCAGCTTCAATCGACCCCTGATGAAGCAAGTCAGAGCAGAAATCATATGAATCGTATTGTAGAGCTACATCCAAGTTTCATCGAAGCCATTTCTCAGTATGGAGGCCTTTTATAAAGACCCCAATGACGAAATGCTCTATCCGACCCATCCAACCTTCATCGGAAAGGTTCCCGCAAGTCGATCAAACCTGTTAGCATCACATCCGAATTCTCCAGGTAACCCCTTAAGATGACTTAAAGTATGTGGGGATTGAAATGCACCGTCATTTCTATTCGACGTGAACCTGGGGCGGCAAGGGGACGATGAGGGGAAGGAACATACCCGCTTCCGACCCGCCTCTATGAGAGGGAGGGAGTACTAGGTATTAGACTCCCTCTTCTTTACCTGTAGCTATATAAGACGTCGACCGTCATTCTAATTCTCCCTGCAAATAGTCCAAGCCTATTCTATAGTCCTTTTTACCATACTCAAAGATCATAAGCCATGCTTGGGAAAATCGCTCTTGAGGAGGCCTTTGCACTCCCACGCTTCGAGGAGAAGACGCGCTGGTGGGCCAGCCTGTTCTCCACTGATCCTGAAACCCATGTCAAAGAGATCACCGACATCAACAAGATCCGCATCGAGCATGCTGACAAGCATGGAGTGGGATACCAAATTCTTTCTTATACAGCCCCAGGCGTGCAAGACATCTGGGACGCGGCCGAGGCGCAAGCTCTCGCCGTTGAAATCAACGACTATATCGCGGAGCAGATCCGGGACCGACCTGATCGATTCGGTGCCTTTGCGTAAGGACCTACATCTCCTCTAAAAGACTTCCAACCCTAACCCAGAATTCAGAACTCTATCGATGCACAACCCCGAAGAAGCCGCCACCGAACTCCGCCGCTGTGTCGAGAAGTACGGCTTGAAGGGTGCCCTGGTGAACGACACACAGCGCGCTGGCCCCGATGGCGATGATATGATATTCTACGATCAGCCCAACTGGGACATCTTCTGGCAGACCTGCACGGAGCTGGACGTGCCGCTGTACCTGCACCCGCGCAACCCCACGGGCACCATCTACGAGAAGTTGTGGGCGGACCGCAAGTGGCTCGTGGGCCCGCCGCTCAGCTTCGCGCACGGCGTCAGTCTTCACGTCCTGGGTATGGTCACGAACGGGGTCTTCGACCGCCACCCCGCGCTGCAGATCATTATGGGCCACCTCGGTGAGCACGTCCCCTTCGACATGTGGCGCATCAACCACTGGTTTGAGGATCGGAAGAAGCTGCTGGGGCTGGCCGAGACGTGCAAGAAGACCATCCGCGAGTATTTCGCGCAGAACATCTGGATCACCACCTCCGGTCACTTCTCGACCACGACGTTGAACTTTTGTATGGCAGAGGTGGGTTCGGATCGCATCTTGTTCTCGATTGACTACCCGTTTGAGACGTTTGAGGATGCCTGCATGTGGTTTGATAATGCTGAGTTGAATCTGGTGGATCGGGTGAAGATCGGACGGGAGAATGCGAAGAAGCTGTTTAAGCTGGGAGCTTATAAGGATTCGTCGGCCTGATGTGTGTTTCAGCAGGTTTCCTGATTTGTACTTACAGTCCGTCAATGTTTATCATGTTTATATCTCAAATGAACTTACGATATCGATATTTGAATCTTATGTGGAATGTCTTTGCTTGAAGAGCGGTCGCATGGAGCCCTGGCCCTTTTGAGCAGTTAGATCACTACCAGTGCTCTTTCTCCTACACGCAAACAGCATAGGGTACAGTTATCACAAGGTCATTATAGTAATGACTTTGTGTAAAGAGACAACCCGAAAAGTAATTCTCACTATCGTCCTAGATCTGCAGAGTCGATTCATGTATAAACTAACATCAGTTTGGCTACTTGATATCTGTGAACAAACAGCTTGAGAGATGAAGGCTTTCACTAGTTGAGTGTTAGTCTGGTCGATGTGGAGATGGGCTCTGTGTCTTGGGTCAATGCATACAAACACTCAGATGTGTTAATACTGGTGCTTGAGACTACCACAACTCTTATTGAATAATGCCATGTGAATGCTTCACTTCCCTTCTCAACACGAGCACCTTCTCAACACTTTACTTATCAGAGAGCAGTTTCTCTTTCTTCCAAATCTCTTTCCAGTCGTACAAGATTGACATCCAACTTTCAAAGAGAGAACAGTCTAGTCACCATCCACAAAAGACATCAACTCAACACACATCTGAACCATCATCACACCGTGCCGTGACTATGAAGCTCAGCCAAGCAGTCCAGCCCTCCAATGACTTCCATCACGCATCACACATAGTCGCAGAGCAAGACCAAGACAGACACGACTCAACCGAGCCGTTCCCCGAATACTTCTCATCGTGCGAACAAGAAGACTCGCACGTCGACGACGCCCAGGAGGAAGCCTACCGGTACGCCCTGTCGAAAGTCGTCGAGGCAGTCAAGGCAGGCGCGCGGTCGATCAAGCTGGACCCAACCTACATGACAGCGAGGCTTCTCACGACCGAATGGGAGCTGCCCAGCAGCGACACCGGCCCGGAGACAGCCCCCGCGAGCCCACGAGACGAGACTACCGAACCGCAGCTAGACAACTACCCAAGCCTGGCACTCTGCGCAGGCCTCAAAGTCTCCGAAGAGAACAAGAAGAACATCCTCGAGGAGATGCGCATCCTGACCAACTCCGCCAGCCTAAGCCTGCCCCTTCGCCGGCGCTTCATCACAATGTGCAACGAGATTCTACGCATCCACATCCTCCTCTTCCGCCGCGCCACAATCCCAGGCCACCCCATCGACACAATAACAACACGCCAATTCCACCGCGCCCAACAACTATCCAGCAAGCTCGTCGCGCACCTTTCGGCGCTGGACCAGCTCCTGCAAACCCAGCACGAACAATGCCACAGCGCCCAGCAAAGAATCATGCACATCTCAACGGACCAAGCGCAAACGCCCATCGCGCGCTTCAAAACCATCGCAACCATCCTGATCAAGTGAGTCCATTCCCTCCATCCCGATCCCATACCCCATACCCTACCCTAAACCCCTGACCCCAAACCCAGGCCAAACTAAGCGAAAACAGCACGCTCCCCCCACCCCGCCAAACCGAACAACGCCTCCTGCTAATCCTGCTGGACCTCTACGACGCCTACCTATACACAGACTACCACCACCTCCGGCAGTGGCCGCAGATGCTCACAGAAGGCGAAAACCCGGCGCGTTTGAGCCTGACGAACACGTTCTTCCGCGCGTGGAACCTACTCACCGGCGCCATCGAGCGCTACCAGGCCATCGCGGCCGCCCACGCCGACCTCACGCACTGCTTCATCCGTCCGGGGTATTCGCGGCTTGCACCCGAGGCGCCAAGGATCTGGTTTGATTTGCACTTGAGGCGGTATGTGGCGTTGCATCGGGAGCGGTTGCGGGTTAATCAGCTGGAGTTTTTGGGGAGGGAGTGGGGGGTTGTAAGGCGGGAGGGTGGGGGGATGGTTTCTTCGGTGGCTGAAGAGGGTGAAGGTGAGGGAGAGATGGAGGTGGAGGTGGAGGATGGTGGGTGTTGTTTGCAGGATAATCTTCGCTGGGGGGCGTGGAATCCCGGTTTTGTGGGGGTTTATGAGGGCGTCGGATTTGGGGTTCGGGGTATGAATTCTCGGGATACCGATTGAGGTTGGTTGGTCGGAAGGATGTTATATGAAGGACAGGGTTCAAGGGTCTGAACTCATTGTGGTTGTCGTTTGAGATTGCTGGTGGTTACGCTTGATGACTTATGATTCATGATTGAGGATCTTTAGTGAAGCAATGCAGGTTCTGTATTCGTTGTTTGCTCAGTTGTTGTTGATGCCCGTGTCGATGACGTTGCCCGGCCATCGGAAGTAAGCATAGCGGATCAGCTCGATGGGTGGTACAGACTAGCCAGCAAGGATGTGCTCCATAACATCAGGCACCTACTATAACACCATCTTGCTACGAGCATTGAAGCCAAACATGCTTGAAGCGGTATCTACTCAAACAACTGAGTCGAACACGAACCCACTCGAAAGCCATGCATTTATGTAGCGATCCAAGAGGATAACCCTACAACAAGAACATTAAGACGGATGGAAAAACAGGACTGAAGAGATATTGATTATTTATTAATCGAGTATAAGCATGTCCAGCACCTCGATCGAAAACGCCGTAGAAGAACCATAGCGCCTATTTGGATCGAGAGAAGTGCAGGTCGACCCTCCCTCCGGGCAAGTTTGACATAAGCGAGCAGCTCAGACAAGGCAGTAGAACAAAACGTTCGGCGCCAGGCCCGGATCCACTCATCAAGACGAGCCTCGGAAGTTAACGAGGGTCGGGGGCATTCTGCGCACATCGACTAATTGACACCTCATCGTGAAAAGGAGAGTGGCAACTTAAGTAGTGCGGGAGGAAAGGTATCACGGAACTGTGACTGAGAAATGATTCGCATCTTGAACAAGAAACAAGGGTTGATTACGATGGCTCGAAAGATTATCACAAATTAGTGGGAAGGCCTGGATCATTCGTCCTTCTTACTCGCATCCGCGGGCAGGGGATCGGCTTCGTCCTCGTCATCCGGCAACGGAACATCCATCACGCGCTCGCCCGCTGTCTCCAAGACTTTGCAACTCCAGGTCCGCACGCCCTTGTAGACAGCCTAAGACGAGTCAGTCGCTATTTGAAGGGACCGCTGGGGCGAATGTGACTCACCCACAGGAATGTGCCCACGCCGATGACGATGATGAGCCACCCGACTCGGTTGCGCCCGGTATTCCGGCCGGAGCTGCTGCCGCCGAGGAAGCGCGAGGGGCGCAGTGTCAGCCCGTGCCAGGGGGAGAGTGCGAAAACAGACTTGATGCAGGACAGCAAGCCCAGCGAGGCCACGCCCTTGAGATAGTGTTCAGTCCAGGAGGCCTTGCGGTCATCGGCAAGGATGTTGGCCATCGGCTTCACCGACCTGGCATTAAAGATCTCGGGGGGTACAATGGGATCCACAGGGTCCACGAAGATATTCAAGATGGGGTCAGCAATGAATCCAAGCAAAAATACAGTAAACAGCAGAATGGCGAGTGTCAATGCGAGCTGCATGACGGTGCTACTAATCCAACGCGCCCACCGGAGACGTTCTAGCCGGTAATGAAATCCGCATGTCGGGCAGTGCCAGTAATTGCGCTGACCGTAGCCGGGGTCAGAATGCCGCCACAGTTGCAGGCATCCTTCGTGCACATAACGGGAGGACCCTTTGCATTTGCAGGGCCGAAGTAATCGACCAGACTCCGGGTCTGACGATTCGTAGACGACCCGCTGGCGGGACTGGAGAAAGCCGGGTATATGTTCGGAGGGAGGAGGAAAGGTGGGATGGACCGTCTCCAAGCAGATGCGACATGTCCGGGGCGAATAGTGCCTTTGCCGAGCCCCATGCGAGGAACCGCCGGACTCGCCCTGTAAAGGCGTCTCTGTAGAGTCTTGCTCTGTTTGATTCGACTGGCCCGGCGCAGACGATCCAGACGGCCACTGCCAGAGCGGCTCACTGCGCAAATCCATGCTTTCCCTAGTAGTTTGTAGATAGTTGGGGCATAATCTGAAAATTGACAGATCTACCAGCGACCTGACATTTAGTTGCGATTGGTGCTGCAGTTGGTGTAATTGTTGTACGGGTTGCAGATTGAGATGTGCGAAAACAACTTCAAGGAACAAAACAGGGAGGATGGGAAAGAAATAAAAGAGGCCAGTTTAAAAAAGAGGGAAGTGGAGAGAGTGCAGTGTCGAAGCGCGAAAAAGCGCACTAGCCGCTCGCCTACCGTCACCGCCCCAGACGCGGCTTGGCACCCTGAACCAGCTGTGGTGGTTGCTGCTACTGCCAACTGCGTCAACATCCTGCCGCCTGCTGAGTTAGTCCGAAGGGAAGCTTCACGTCAACCCAAATCCCTCCCCCCCCACGACTCCCCATCTTCTCCATCATCCCCTTTCCCTTCCATCTATCTTCCACCACACATACTCACCAGCCTCCGGAGCTTCTGGAGGTAAAATATCGTCACCATGGCTGATCGTTACTCTTTCTCTTTGACTACTTTCTCCCCCAGGTAAGCGAAGCTCTGCGCTGATCCATCGGTGATATCCAGCTCCAGCTAACAATCAGGATCTAGTGGAAAGCTGGTCCAGATCGGTAATTCATTCCATCCGCTAACCACTCTGGATCTCCCACTGACCACGTCTAGAATATGCCCTCAACGCTGTTAATCAGGGTGTAACGGCCCTTGGTATCAAAGGTATGGTCCCGATCGGCCGATCCTTTGACAGCTGGGAACAGCTACTGACTGCTAGCCTCACCGGACAGCTACCAATGGAATCGTCCTCGCCACTGAAAAGAAGTCCTCATCGCCGCTCATCGATCCCCCCTCCCTCTCTAAGATCTCCCTGATCACGCCCGACATCGGCATGGTCTACGCCGGCATGGGTCCCGATTACCGTGTACTTGTCGACAAGGCCCGCAAGGTCTCCCACACTGGCTACAAGCGCATCTACAACGAATACCCTCCCACTCGTATACTAGTGCAGGATGTCGCCCGCGTCGTACAAGAGGCGACGCAGTCCGGTGGTGTCCGCCCGTACGGTGTCAGCTTGCTGATTGCTGGCTGGGACGAGGGAATCGAGCCGGAGACCGGAGATGCCCAGAGAGGTGACGAGGAGGGTGAGCCGAAGAAGGCGACCGGTAAGACGGGTGGTATCTTGAAGGGTGGGCCCAGTCTCTACCAGGTCGACCCCAGCGGTAGTTACTATCCCTGGAAGGCCACGGCCATCGGCAAGCACGCCACCAGCGCCAAGACCTTCCTCGAGAAGCGCTACACCGAGGGTCTGGAGCTCGAGGATGCCATTCACATCGCTCTCCTGACTCTGAAGGAGACTATCGAGGGCGAGATGAACGGTGACACGATAGAGATTGGTAGGGGTTTTCCCGGTGGTACATTGTGAGTAGATCCAAGCTGACTCTGTTAGGTATTGTCGGTCCTCCTGCCGATCATTTGCTGGGCTTTGAGGGTGTCGAGGGCGCGCGGGGACCCCGATTCAGGAAGTTGACCAAAGAGGAGATTGAGGACTATCTGACCAACCTATAAACTCTCCGTCTTGTTACAGTTTATTGGCGGAACCTTATAGCATAATAGACATCTATCAAGTCTGGCAAGGTTTCAACGAGATGACAGCGTTTTCCTTCCGTCTCCTGGTTCTGAAAGACCGCCGGGTCTTTCTCTGATCCGAGCAACGAGGGTTACAGCCGGGAGACCCTGTGACCACGCAAATTGATGAAATGTATGGGGCGTGTCGACCTCGCCAAGTAATGCCGCAACCGAAAAGAACATTATACTACTAGTCAATGAATGTGATTTGTGCTAAACCCGGCCGCGTGCCTTTTTGTCAGTAGGGAGGTCCCTACCTGCAGCGTCTATAGTACTGCTCGGCACGATATGTTACATGCTACCATGCCCACGAGGTTACTGGACATTGGAAGGACGGAATTTTACCCCCAAGACTGCGCGAGCAAGAGCTCTTCCCGCTTGAGGTAAATGCTAGAATGAGGTTGAATGCTGAAGTCTCCGGCCCAACGGGTCACCGCAGCAAACCAACCACAAACACCTCTTTCCCAGAACACATCACTTGACATCACTTGACTGGCAGTTTTGGCAATGGGTGTGCTATCTATAGTAGATGGGTGCTTCGAGTTCCCAGGGGAATTGTCCCTCAACATATCGCCTGAGCCAACCACCGCCTCGAAGGGATTCCAAAGGTACCCCCGCCCCGTACATGTCTGGAATCGATGCTGGACCCTGAACTAAAGCAGGAACCAGTTGGCACGGACGAGCGAGCCAGAAGCTGTCCGTCATTTACCCCGAGCGGCGCTCGAGGGGCCCCGGAGTGCTGCCTGTAAAAGGGCAAGGGCTGTACTACTTCAACGGCGTGAGTGTGTTCAATGCCCGCGCCCATTGATGCCATGTCTGTTTTAGGATATTGCTGCTCTGCGGGGGGCTGATCCTGTTGCAACTGGCTGACATGGAAGTCCGAGTCTGCTGTGGAAGTTATCCTGGCTGGCTGCTGTGTGTGCTCGATCAAAGAACCCAGGCGGGCTTGTACAGTACTGTTTGTTGATGTGATGATGATTTGATTGCATTCACTTCAGCTGAGACTCTGGCGGTTGTTTGGCCCCCCCACCTCCCTCTGTGGTTTCCCCTCCCTCTCTCTGTCTACCCTTTTCCCCCGCGCTGGTTGTTAACCATCGAATGAATGTCAGAAAGAAAAGGGCGGTCTAACGCCGATAATCCCCCACGAGGTTGGGAGCTAAAAGTGGTATGGTCATCCCATGGTTGGATTTAAAGTTGATATGACGAACAACCCTCCACAACCATCAATCCTCCATGCTCAAAGCTCCCAATCGTGATCGAAAGAAACAACTTGGCTTCAAGACCTGTGGGGAACGTCCCCAGGATAACAAGGATTTAAAGCTTGAGCTTGAACAATTAAGGTAGGGCTCGTGCACACTCACACTCACACATACACGCGCGCGCGCACGCACGTACACACAATTTCCCTCACATGCTCACATGAACTGTTCCATCTTGTCTCTTGTGTCTCCAATGCTAGAATCAGGAGGAAGAGCAGCTGCTGACGATGATGTTATCGTGTCTTTAATAGGAGAACATGTCTAGCTGGCACATCGAAGACCCGATGGACGGAATCTCGGGCGAGCTGTCCAGCCAACACGGGGCGCTGCGGTCGACGCTGCTGTTTTTCATGGCGGTGTCCTGGTACAACGTGATCGAACTGGTGGTGCTGGTGCTGACAACCTTCCGACGCTGGCGGGGACTGTACTTCTGGAGTCTGCTGCTGTCGGGATGTCTGGGCGTGGCGCCATACACGGTGGGCTTCCTGCTCAAGTTCTTCAGCCACGTTTCGTCAACGGTGACAGTGACGGTGCTGACAGTGGGGTGGTGGGTGATGGTGACGGGCCAGTCGCTGGTGCTGTACTCGCGGCTGCACCTGGTGCTGCGTGACGAGCGACTGCTGCACCGCGTGTTGGCGCTGATCATCGCGAACGTCTTCCTGCTGCACATCCCGACGACCGTGCTCACATACGGTGCCAACGTCATCCGCGGGCCCGCCTGGGTGCGCGGTTACAATATCATGGAGAAGCTGCAGCTCACGGGCTTCACCCTGCAGGAGGTGCTGATCTCCATGCTCTACATCTGGGAGACCGTCAAGCTGCTGCGCATGTGCTCCGCCCGCGAGAACCGCAAGATCATGCGCCAGCTCGTCGGCATCAACGTCGCCATGCTCATCATGGATCTGGTCCTGCTAAGCCTCGAGTACGCCAACTACTACGCCATCCAGATCAGCCTCAAGGGCGCCGTCTATAGCATCAAGCTGAAGCTCGAGTTCGCCGTCCTCGGCCGTCTGGTCGCCGTCGTCCACAATCGCCATCCCCCCGCTCCGCTCGACGGCGACCTCCAGCTCAGCCAGTACACGGAGGCGCCTGATAGTCACCACGGATCCGGGATCGTCGCTGCCGGGATCGTTGCTGCGGCCGGTGCACGACGCGTGCCTGTGCAGCGGCCGGTCGGGCTCACTGGGGGACCATTGGGAAGGAATATCGCGCTCCACACGGTTGTGTCGACAAAATGGAAGGACTCGGACCACAACGAGGGTGCGGACTTGGAGAAGGGCGAATCGGATGTCCAGTCCTGGCGGTGATGCCGGATGTCGGTGATGATTCATGACTCTCTGTATCTAACTCTGGTGTTCTATTGGTGACACTCGCATATGTTTGTCGATCTCTCATCCTGATGGCGGGTAATTTCGTGATAGTAGTACATTACATGAAGATGGTTCACGTACAGCAATCCAATGGAAAGCAGTTCAAGTCTCGTCCAACGAGTTCGCATCGATCAACTCACCTTCGGAATCCTCTTCATCCTGGCTATCTGCGATTTCTTCCGCCTTGCGTTTCCAATTTGCTGAACCTGGCGGTCTTTCCAGTTCCTCTAGGTCTTCAGCTCCCGCGGGCTCCTCCGGCTCGTCCAGATCGTCCGGCTCGAGAGTGGTAGTATCACCACCGTCAACAGTGGGCGCTTCAACCTCTCTCTGATCACTCACTCTCACCTCCAAATCTCCCTCTCTCTCGCCAGGATCCCTCGCTCCATCCCAAACAAATAATCCATCCTATACAACCGTCAAGTCAGCCCAGCCCCAAATCAACCAACCCACAGCCCACCCACCATCACAGACCCCCAGAAGAAAAGAAAAGAGAAGAAAGAAAGAGAAAAAACATACCGCACAAACCCCAACCCCAACCAAAAGATTCTCTCCAACACACCTGCCCCTAACAACTCTGCCCCCCCTCTTCATAACCTCCACAACCCTCCCCTTGACCAGCCCGTTCAACCCCTCGAACCCCAGAGGTTCACCCCCAACCCATTCCCTCCCAGAAACAAAATCAAAATAAACCCCCACCCTCGTAAAGACAACCGCCTCCCAAGCCCTCGACCCAGCCAACACAGGACAAAGCGTCGCCCTCACCTGCCCCCGGATCCGGGTATGCGTTTGATTGGTAACGAGCACAGCCAGCGCGTGCACGGTAGCAAGACGCGCCAGCTGGGTGGCGACGTCAGCCAGGACGTTCCATTTCCGGTTCAGCAGCCATTGCGTTTGGGATCTTTCCTTGCTGTGGTGCTGGAGGTCGCTTGGGTTGGGGAAGTAAGGGGTGAAGGGGGCGGAGAGGGAGTCGATTACGAGCAGGGTTGTTGCTGGCGGTGGGAAGGTTGGGGGTGGGTGGGTGAGGAGGGAGAGGAGGTGCGGGAGGGTTGGGGTTTGGATGTGTGTTAAGTTTTGGATTTGGGATAGGGATTGGGGTTGGAGGGTGGTTAGGAGGTGGGCGAGGCGTTTGCGTGGGAGGGGGGGCCCTGTGTCTTTTCTTTCGTTAGAATGGTTTCTTTATGGGGTTGAATTGGGGTGGGGGATGGGGGATGACTTACCTATCCAGACTACTTGCTCGCCCTTGGCGAGGGCTGTTGCTGCTGTGTTGAGGCTATTATTTGGTGTGTTGGTTATTGCTTGATGGTGATGGCAACAATGGAGGTGACAACGCACGCAATGGAGGTCTTGCCTGCGCCTGGCGGTCCAAACACCTCAGCCACATGGCCGCATGGCAGGCCTTTGCTCTGCAATTCCTCCAGGCCCTTGAGCTCGTCGTCCACCGGGGGAGTGACGGCTTCGTCCAGTTCGGGGAGCCCCGTTGATACGGCCTTGTTGCCTAAGGCAGCCACCGCGGTGGACGCGTGAAGGGACTGCGAGGCGGGGAAGGAGATGACTCGATCTGGCGGTGTTAGCTCTGATTTTGATTGGCAGTTGAGGGTCTTGGTGTAAATGATACTCACTGGGATCCTGACTGGACAGGCCCAGAATGTCGAGTCGGTTCATGATGATGGATTCGGATAACAGATAGGGAAAACACGCGTGGCGCGCGCGTCGCGGTTCACATTCAGCAGGATACAGTGAGACTCTCAATGGTATTGCGGTGAGAAGGTGAATTGTTCATGGTCAGGTAGCTCAGTCTAGCTGATCGAATCATTGACAGGTGAGGCGACTCAGACACTGTAATCATGGTCCAGCCCGGCTACGGCATTGGAAGAATAAACGCGATGTTCTGGAAGTTCTGGAACGAGCCGAGATCCGATGCCGCTCCGATCTGATAAAAAAATCGGCTGGGGAAGATCTGGCGCGATATTTACGAGTACTCGTACAACACTCCACTGCAACACCTCGACCATAAGTGTTATACCTAGTCTAGCTGGCCTGATCGCATCCAGATCAAATAACACGGCTGATCCAATTCCCACCAACTCAACAACATATCCCTTTATCCAGCGCAAAACACAACCATCACGTCAATGCACGACCCCAACCTCACCGACAATGTCCACCCAGACGCATCGCTGAACACCCTCTCCCTCCCGTCCCTCCTCCCCTACATCATCACCCTCACCCTCCTCCTCCTCCCACTAACATCCACCCTACGCACACGCGCCGGCCCGCCAAAAGGATGCCGACGCCTCGGCGCAACCAAGAGCAACATCGACGACGAATACGACCCAAAATACACACAGGGGGTGCCGAGCGACAGCGTCGACGCCGACACGGGACTCCCAGCATGGCGCATCAAAGCGCTGTTCACGTATCCGATCAAAAGCTGCAAGGGCGTTGAGCTAGAGAGCGCAGAGGTGATAACCACAGGGCTGAAATACGACCGCCTCTTCTGCTTCGCGGAGTACATCGAATCGAAGCCCAAGCCAACCACCACCACCACCAGCACTGCCAGTCATCAAGAACCAACAGGCCAATGGACCGCGCGCACCCTCCGCGACCGGCACTTCAGCAGACTGGCCCTCCTGCGCCCCGAGATCTGGATCCCAGACCCTGAAAGCGCAGAATACGACCCATCCCTCCCAGAAATCCAATCCTCGGGCGTGCTCATAATCCACTACCCGCGCACCCTACCACCACCACTCAGCAACCTCCCCTTCCTCCCGGGCCTCTTCAACCTAGCAATCAAGCTCGGTCTCCTATCACCCGAACAATCGATCCGCATCCCCCTCACCCCCCCACCAGAATATCCTCTAAGGGCCGTCAAAATCTGGAAAGACACCCCCCACGCCCACGACTACAGCCAACACATCCCGGCCTCCCTCCGGCGCTTCCTCGCCGACGAAACAACCACAACCCAAAAACCACTCGCGCTGTTCCGCGCATCCGACGCCCACAACCGCGTGATCCTGCGGAACGCACCCTCAAAGGAAACGCTGGGTTTCCAGACCGTCACGGGCTTTCAGGATGCGTACCCGCTTCATCTGCTGAATCTGGCCAGTGTGAGGGATGTGGCGCGGCGGTGTGCGGGTGAGATTCCCCGGTTGAGTGTGCGGCGGTTTCGCGCGAATGTGCTTGTGCAGGGGCCTGTGGCGTTTGAGGAGGATGGGTGGCGGAGGATTTTGGTTGGGGGTGACTCTAATAGTAGTAGTTCTGGTGGGCAGGAAGAGCAAGGAGTCGAGATCTATGCGGCGTGTCGGACGCTGCGGTGCCGCTTGCCCAATGTTGATCCCGATACGGGTGTGCGCCATCGCGCGGAGCCGGATCGCACCTTGAAGGCGTATCGGCGGATTGATCGCGGGGATCCTACTAATGCTTGTTTGGGGATGCAGTTGGTTCCTGCTGTTCGGAGTAAGTCTTTCCCCTCTCTCTTCTTGTGTCTGTTTGATTTTCGGGGGGTTGGCGGGCTAGTGGTGGGAGATTGACTGATTGCTTGATTGCGATGGTTGCTCGGATATAGTGCTGACGTCGCCTAGATTTCACGCTGCGCGTCAATGATCCTATCTCTGTCCTTGAGACTGGCGACCATTGCTATATTAAGATGCTGGCGCCTGGTGAAGTGGTCGAGGGCGTTTGAAGGCCCCCAGTGATGTGACGCTTACTTCCAATGCATCAGCGGAAGCCCGGCTCGGTTAAATATCTTTAATATCATTGTATCAACTAGTTGAACTCATATACACTCCAATCAGCGCTATAAGGGTATCCTATCCATCATCTGCCCTCCCAGAGGGTCAAAAGAAACAAGCAAAATATAGTAGTCTCATTATACAGCAAGAGCCCCCGACGAATGCTCCCCTTTCATATACCGGGCATCCTCCGACTCATCCGGCTGCTCCACAGTCCGGGGCTCCGTCCTAGCCTCGACAACGGCCGCCTCCTCACCGGCATCCTCAGGAATGATGAGGTTCAGGATCACGCCGAGTATGGCGGTAATAGCGAACCCGTTGTTCATAACCAGGTCGATCGCATCGAGCAGGCCGGTCAGCCCGCGGTTGTCCCCGCTGTAGGTGAAGAAGTAGGAGAACCAGGTAGGGACCAACGTGACGCCCATGCCGATGGCAAACGAGGCCGTCAGGACGAAGCGGTTGCGCCGCGTAAAGGGAACGGTCGCGATGATGCGCACCCCGGAGATGGCAACGGACGAAAAGAGGAACGTCGTCATGCCGCCCAGGACCGCGCTGGGGATGGAGGTGAGCGCCGCGGCAAATTTGGCAAAGATCCCCATAATCACCAGGAAGAAACAGCAGCAGTACCCGGCCTTGCGGTTGGCACACTTGGTCAAGGCGATGACACCGTTGTTCTGGGCAAAGACGGACATCGGGGTGATCGTGCACAGTCCGGCCAGCAGACACGTGAAGCCGTTACCCAAGACACCACCCTGGACGCGAGAGTCGAAAGCAGGTCCCTCCACCTCGACCTGTGACACGTCGCAGGTGGCTGTGATATCGCCGATCGACTCCATCATGACCACAATATACACGGCAAGGAGTGGGAGGATCAACGGTGCGTAAATCGTGAGAGGGAAAGTGCGGACCCAGATGAACGAGGCCACCGGGGCAGCGTCAATGCTCGAGCGATCGAAGTAACCGCAAGCGGCGGCAATGATGCATCCAACCAGCAGGCCGATGATAACCGCACAGGATTTCATGATGGGAGCCCCGAACCGTTCACACAGAATGATGGTCACAAAGACTGAAAAGCCTAGCCCGATGAACTCCGGGCTGCCCCAAGGAAGAGCATGCGGCGAGTCTGCACTAGGGCATAGCGCACGACTGGCGGCATTTGTAAAACAAGTTCCCGAGCCACCCGCCCAATCCTCCATACTGGACTGGATCAGACTTGCACCAATCAGCAGGATTGTAGGGCCCGTCACCAATGGTGGAAAGATGCGTTTCAGGATCCGGGGGCTCATGAACGACAAGCCAATCTCGAGCAGAGAACAGAGACACGAAGTGCCCAAGAGAGCACCATAGCCCTTGGGACATGGCAGACGGTTTCCATCGCTATCTACCGGGCAATAACCGGACGTGTACATCTGGTTGAAGGTGCCTGACGATACTGTGATGGTTGCGAACGAGGTGCCGACAACGGAGATCAAACCAGTTCCGACATAGAATCGGGTTTTGTAGATGTGGAAACGGGCCATCTGAACGGCGGATAATAAGCCGGAGACGATGAGGGAGGTCGAAACCAGGTATTCGTAGTCCTTCGTTCCGAAGTTGGCACCACCCGTGCCTCCGATCAAGATGGGGGGCGAGATAACTATCGAGATCAGGAACGGGTCGATAGATAGCTCAATGACCTTCAGAACGAACCTCCGCCTAGCATAGCCAGCGCATGCTGTAGTCCCAAGAGCAGAGCCAAAAGAACGGGGACTTTGTCCTCCAGACCAAAGAATGGAGCGGATTTCCGACCCCTGTTGAGGAAGGGGATGTTCGGGGTAAAGAGGTAGGCATAATCGTAATCTCCGACAAGTCCCTCTCTGCAAAGGTCCTCTTAGCATACAGGCCCTCCACCATAGCTTGATTGCGCACATACCTGGTAGTGAAGGTCTTGATGATGCGCCTGGTCTTGTCTCGCCAGGACCGTTTGGGTCGCAAGTCGGGACCGATTTGATCAGGTCCGTCCATGCTAATCGATGTCTGTGGCGGAATATAAGAGAAGATGACCGCCGATGTCCGTGGGGCTTTGCGAGGAACGAGGTCCAGAGCGCTGCAATGGTTCGTGTTCTAAAGAAGATCTCCACTCGTGGATTGAATCTGGGGTTCTAGTTTGAAACCACCCCGAATGGTCCAGGAACTATTGACGTCTATATAGAGGGCCAGATTCCCCAAGGCTTCCGAAGTATATTCGTGCGATCTCAGCGATCGGATGCCGACAATGATAGGAGGCTATCAGTGCCGTTGAGGTGGGTGAATCAATCGAATAATGCCATGAAGCGGTTATCTCTGGGCCCTCAGCGACTGGGAGGCGAGCGACTGGAGACTGGGGAGATATCCAAGCAAAAGCTACTAAAGCAAACTAGAGGTCGAGTCTTGGGTGTCAAGGTGGGGTCGTGGGCGATAAGACTCGAGGTCGCTGACTGTCGGCTCATGTAACGCCTCTCGCCCGCTTATCAGTCACTTTCCCCCATGGTCGGGATCCGCCGACATCCATCCTCCGTAGTGGGGCAATGCTGATTAGTAGTTCATTGGTGGAGAGGTTATCTTCTTGTACAGTTCGAAGTGAATGCGAGCATCAGTTCTCTCATGGGGAGGAACATTCTGGGGTCGGAGTGTGGTTCATATAGAAGGAAGGATAGTAGGATGAAGTATTGAACAGGGACTCAGGTACCACTGCTCCATCACCACAACTGATCGGAAAGTCCGGGGAAGAGCCAGCACCGATCGGGCAATCCATTAGTCACAGAAACTGGGTGATTCGAATCGATGGAGACAAAGGCTGTAACCTAAGCCCGGTCCTCACCTTAGTTGCCAACAGCTGACTCGGACTCTTGACGAGTTACTGCATTTCAGGTAGTCTTGACCTGAATCTTGACTTGAGGCCTCCCGTCAGACGGCAGACGCAGAGGTGTCACGTGGTACCACTACACCTACGTAGCCGGCGAGTTGTGTACCAGGTATGTGGTCGCCGTGCCATGACTCGTGCTACTTGCTATCAGGTTCTTGTTGGCTTTGATCAAACCTCCGTACGCTTCAGGCGAGAGGTTGAGTCGGCGATATACAAGTGTCTGGAATAACTACTAGTATTGCTCATTTCATCATAGCCCGGAGAGTCCAGAATTATCTGATGTGCTCATGCATCGCGGAATAAAGCAACTATCTGGCTGATGCAAGTCTGAGAATATATTGCCTGGGAAGTGACTAGACAGGCACGCTTGGAATGTCTGGGGTAACATGAGTTACTTGGCTTTCTCCATGAGATGTCACCGAATGACCTCAACTGTACGGAGACTACTGTACTGCAGTGGACAGCACCTGGTGTGCTCTTTCGAGCAGTTGGAGGTGTTCACATGGCATCACAGGCAATTGCTGGATACCTGGGAGAATGTTGGCCGACCCGGAGCTGGTCATGTTGGGAGGGGTTCGGGGGGATTTTGGCAGGCCCTGAATCATATGGCGACGATCTCTGCCCAATTACGAGTACGCGGCGGCGGCTGTTCACCCGAGGTGAAAGCTCGTCAGGCTCGGAGCTAGCAGTGGCAAATTGGTTAGTGGTGGTAGGGCTGCATCGGGAATTCTTGGGGGTTCAAGGATGTTTGAAACTCCACGAATCCGATGGTGGCCAAAAACCCTTACGTACTGGATAGTAGAGTCACTAACTGCAGCTCCAGCTTCATCCAGTGACCCCGGAGTTGGCCTCTCCGGGCAGAGATTGATAACGAATCAGCCAGAAGAAAATGAGTGCAGGAGCGGAGAAGAGAGCCACTGGAAGGCGAATCGCACCGCCTTGCCACACCCTAGCCACGGCCGGGAGGCGGTCATCAGCCACAGCCGCCTGCCAGGGCAGAAAAACGTTGGGGATTCAACAGTTACTGGATGACCTCTGATTGGCTGGACGCACCCGGTGTTGCCGAAACGGGCAGAGTCTGGCCGGGCAAAGCTGTCGAATCAAACGCCGCCCAACAAGCTTAGATGCTCGAAACTCTCAGCCTGCAGTGTGAAAGCTGGTTTGCATGATGGATCATGGATGGATTGAATGCATGAATGAATAGTTCCCAACTCCAGGTGCATCTTTTCTATATCCCGTCCACCCTGATTCTTGATTATATCCCCCAATGGTCTGTGTCAGAGCTGCCACTTAAACCTCGGGATCTTCCTTTTTCACTGCACATACTCGGTTGGTCGGTCATCCAGCAGTCAGACCACCTGTGATTCAATCACTTCCGTCTTGCTCTCATTGCCGCATCATCCATCCATCCATCCATTCATCCATCCTCGCCGCCAACCTTGCGTTTCCCCAACCATCATCCCGCCGGTGGACCCTGGCCTCGAGTTCAACTCCGTCCGATTTTTTCCCTCCCCTCCTTCTACTTGTCCAGATCCTTCATTCCTTTGCTGACTCCTCTTGCCTTCTGGATTATATTCCCCACCCTTCTCCTTGCCGCCTCATTCTTTTTTTTTTCTCTTCTTTTTTTATCCTTTGGGTCAATCCTCCCGTCCCTTTCTTTAAAAGCACTCCCCCCCGGATCCTCCCATCCGCATCTACCACATCGTCCTTTCACCCTCATTACCCATATCTTGAAGGGGCAGACGAGTGAAAGATATCAAGCAACATGTCTGCAAAGCCAGCAGAGGCTTCCCGGTCTCGTGCCGCGGACCCTAAGAAAGTTCACATTGCCGATACCGCGATCAACCGCCAGAACTGGTACAAGCACGTCAACTGGCTCAATGTCTTCCTCATCATCGGTATCCCTCTGTGTGGCTGCATCCAGGCCTTCTTCACGCCTCTCCAGCTGAAGACTGCCATCTGGGCCGTCATCTACTACTTCTGCACCGGTCTGGGAATCACAGCAGGTTCGTTCATCCCAGGATTTCAATAGGAAGGTATGGTTTGGATCAGGGCGCTAACCATAGCTCATCAACCAGGATACCATCGTCTGTGGGCTCACTGCTCGTACTCCGCTCGTCTCCCTCTCCGTATCTGGCTCGCTGCTGTTGGTGGTGGTGCTGTTGAGGGTTCTATCCGTTGGTGGGCTCGTGACCACCGTGCTCACCACCGTTATACCGATACCGACAAGGACCCTTACTCCGTCCGCAAGGGTTTGCTCTACTCTCACCTCGGATGGATGGTGATGAAGCAGAACCCCAAGCGTATCGGCCGTACTGATATCTCCGATCTCAACGAAGACCCCGTTGTCGTCTGGCAGCACCGCAACTATCTCAAGGTCGTCTTCACCATGGGTCTGGCTTTCCCCATGCTCGTCGCTGGTCTCGGCTGGGGTGACTGGCTGGGCGGCTTCGTGTATGCCGGTATCCTGCGCATTTTCTTCGTCCAGCAGGCCACTTTCTGTGTCAACTCCCTTGCTCACTGGCTCGGTGACCAGCCCTTCGATGACCGCAACTCTCCCCGTGATCACGTTATCACTGCCCTGGTTACCCTGGGCGAGGGATACCACAACTTCCACCACGAGTTCCCCTCCGACTACCGTAACGCCATCGAGTGGCACCAGTACGACCCCACCAAGTGGAGCATCTGGATCTGGAAGCAGCTTGGTCTCGCCTACGATCTCAAGCAGTTCCGCACCAACGAGATCGAGAAAGGCCGTGTTCAGCAGCTCCAGAAGAAGATCGACCAGAAGCGCGCTAGACTCGACTGGGGTACTCCCCTCGACCAGCTCCCCGTCATGGAATGGGACGACTATGTTGAGCAGGCCAAGAATGGCCGTGGCTTGGTCGCCATCGCTGGTGTTGTCCACGACGTGACCGACTTCATTAAGGACCACCCCGGTGGCAAGGCCATGATCAACTCCGGTCTTGGCAAGGACGCTACTGCCATGTTCAACGGCGGTATCTACTATCACTCCAACGCTGCCCACAACCTTCTCTCTACCATGCGGGTCGGTGTCATCCGTGGTGGATGTGAAGTCGAGATCTGGAAACGCGCTCAGAAGGAGGGTGTTGAGTATGTTCGCGACAACACTGGCCAGCGGATCATCCGCGCCGGCGAACAGGTGACCAAGATCCCGGAGCCTATTCCTACCGCTGATGCGGCATAAAGGACGTCCGTTCATGACTACTTCCTATCATGAATGTACAATTTGCGTCTTGTTTCCGCTTTCGGCGATCCATCCTGTTTTATAATTCAGCACTCTGGGCGTTTGATGAGGTTTTCAAGTGGTGGGAGTTCCCGGAGTTGGCCTTGAGTTTTCCTTTTTCTATCCTGCAGACAGAGCGTGTCTAGTATGATGAGTGGCACTGGCATTTGAATCAGTGACATGATATGATCGAAATTCCACAATGCTGGTTAAAAATAGAGCAATGAAGATATCCACATTAAATCTGGGGTCTTTGTAGGCTGAGCTTTGTAGGAATAGTCGTAGCATGGGTGGAGTGGTGGGATAAGATTTGGAACCCCGCAATCCCAAACCTGGCAGACGCTTGCATACGCAGTGTACAAGCCCGTCATATTCCTGCTGGCACTATTTGACAGGGTGCATATAGTATCGCAAGTTAGCAACGTAGATCAGGTGAAACAATGAGGGTGATGGAGCATGGTGGCTGATGGACGGTGGACTGTGGAGAAGACGACGGTTGTTGTTTTGTGTGTGTGTGGATTTTTGTTGCGGGATCCACCTGACCTCTCTTTCACTTTCTCTCTCTAACTAACTAGCTTAGCTCCGACTGGCAACAGCGACAACAGCTCAGCTCTTGTCTTGCATCACGACCGCATAGCCACGTATTGCATTGTTGTTCGCCGCCCTTTCTCTTTGCCCCTCCTATTCCCCCCTCCCCCATCTGTCATCATCATTGCTACCCCTCAATCTCGCTTCTTTTATCTACCCGCCCTCCTCGTCCTTCTCGTGGGCGTTCTCCTCGTCACCGTGGCTCCTCCGCTTCGCATCCCCTCCCCCACCTACCGACTAGCTTCAGTCCTGGGCCATTTCCGTGGCTCCAGACTCCCTACCGCTTTCAATCCAGGGTTGACGAACCTCCGCAAATCCCTCACAACCGCCAGTATGGCCCCCGAGCACCTCCGTCGGCCTCCTCAGGCTCCGCCCGTCTTCACTGCGACCGCACAGTCCATCGTCGACGACGCCAACCGACTCATCGCCAGATCCCGCAAGGTCCAGGACGATGTCGTGGCCGACGTCAAGCTCGAGTCTGCTTCCTTCGACGGCGTCGTGAAGCCTCTGGCCCAGGATGAGAACGCCATGGCGCTGGAATCCCATATCATCAGCTTCTATCAGGCGGTGTCGACCGAGCAAGAGCTGCGTGACGCATCCGCCAAGGCCGAAGCTCTGATGGATGACTTCTTCATCGAGTCCGTGATGCGGGAAGACGTCTTCAAGCTCGTCGACGCCGTGCTAAAGAAGAACGAGTCGCTCGACCCGGAGTCCCGCCGTCTGCTGGAGAAGGAACACAAGGATTACATCCGCAATGGCTTGGGTCTGCCGGCCGGGCCCAAGCGCGACCGCTTCAAGGAGATCAAGAAGCGTCTCAGTCAGATTGGCATCGAGTTCCAGAGGAACCTCAACGAAGAGAACGAGGGCATCTGGTTCACCCCGGAGCAGCTGGACGGTGTCCCCGAAGATGTCTTGGCTGGCTTGAAGAAGGGTGAAGGCGAGAACGAGGGCAAGCTCCGGCTGACCTTCAAGTACCCGGATCTCTTCCCGACCATGAAGTACGCCAAGAACCCGGAGACCCGCAAGCAGGTTACTATCCAGAACGAGAACAAGTGCAACCAGAATGCGCCTCTCTTCCAGGAGGCCATCATCCTGCGTGACGAGGCGGCTCGCCTGCTGGGATACCCGGACCACGCCGCTTTCCGCATCGAGGACAAGATGGCTAAGACGCCCAAGACCGTGAATGACTTCCTTGGAGACCTGCGCTCCCGTTTGACGGCTGGCGGGCAGAAGGAGCTCAAGACCCTTCTCGAACTGAAGAAGACTGACCTTGAGTCCCGTGGCGAGAAGTTCGATGGTCACTACTACCTGTGGGATCACCGCTTCTACGACCGTCTTCTGCTGGAGAAAGAGTACTCTCTCGACCAGCAGCTCATTGCCGAGTATTTCCCTCTGCAGACCACCATTGAGGGCATGCTCAAGATCTTCGAAGAGCTCTTTGGTCTTGTGTTCGTGGAGATCACCGGTGAGGATCGTGAGAAGGTGGCTCCTTCGGGTAAGGGAAGTGACATTGTCTGGCACGAGGATGTCCAGATCTTCAGTGTCTGGAACGACGAGGGCGAGGGCAGCGGGTTTGTGGGTTATCTCTATCTGGACCTGTTCCCTCGTACCGGAAAGTATGGCCATGCTGCCAACTTCAACCTCCAGCCGGTAAGCTTCCTTTTGGCGTGTCGATTGACCTACACTGACCACGGCTAGGGATTCATCGATGCTGATGGCAACCGTCGCTACCCCGCCACCGCTCTGGTGTGCAACTTCACCAAGCCCACTCCCAAGAAGCCGAGTCTACTGAAGCACGACGAAGTAGTTACTCTGTTCCACGAGCTGGGCCACGGTATCCACGACTTGGTCTCCAAGACGATCTACTCGCGCTTCCACGGAACGAACACCGTGCGGGACTTCGTCGAGGCTCCCAGTCAGATGCTCGAGAACTGGTGCTGGACTCCTTCGCAGCTAAAGTCCCTCAGCAAGCACTACTCGACCCTGTCTCCCGAATACCTCGCAGCCTGGAAGGAGCAGGCAGAAGGCAAGGAGCCTCCTTCAGGACAGATCCCCGATGACGTCATCGCCAACCTCATCCGCACCAAGCACGTCAACGATGCTCTGTTCAACCTGCGCCAGCTGCACTTCGGTATCTTCGATATGACCGTGCACCAGCCCGAGAGCCATGAGCAGATCAAGAAGCTGCCGATCTCCGCCACATACAACAAGCTGCGTCACGAGATTACCCAGATCGAGGGCCCTGAAAGCCTGGGTCTGGGTGAGGAATGGGGACACGGCGAGGCCACTTTCGGCCATCTGATTGGCGGCTATGACGCCGGATACTATGGATACTTGAGGTATGTCTTGTGGATTACTGGTTGAATGGTACCAATGCTAACCCCGTCCAGCTCGCAAGTTTATTCTACCGACATGTTCTACACCGTGTTCAAGGAGAACCCGATGGACCCCGAAGCCGGCCGTCGGTACCGGTACAAGGTGTTGGAGAAGGGCGGTAGTCAGGACGAGATGTCGACCCTGACCGACTTCCTGGGCCGTGAGCCTAAGACCGATGCTTTCTACAAGGACCTGGGCCTGGCTTGATTCGGAGGTTTTATGATGAGACGAATGAGCTAATCCTTTATACATCTGAAATTATATGAATCTCTCTTTTGCAGGGGAGGACCACCCGGGATGTGAAGTATGGCTTCGTAGGGTATAGATCTTAAGACAGTGTCTCAAGACACTTGAAGCAAATCTCGCTCTTAGAATCCGTTCAAGGGCAACTGTTGTCAATTTCCAAGTAGCCTTGATATACACAGAAGATACCAAATAACAACGTCCCGGGGGAGAACCCCCGGACCCCCCTTTCTTTCAGCTTCCTGGGCACCTCAATCCTAATACCAGAGTATAAAGATATCCGGGGGAGAACCCCCGGACCCCCCTTCTTTCCAGCTTCCCAAGCACCTAAGCTTGTCCAAGCAACCTACCGCTGCTTGACCTAGCTCAAACCCAGAGATTAACATGCCGCAGATCTGCTCGCTCTCGTATTTATACTACAACCTATCGTACAGCAAAATAGCCATAAGAATACCCACTAGAAAACTAATGCAAAGATGACGAGAGCATGTTTGCCCAAGATGAATCCTCTTCGTAACCCAATCCAAAATACATAACACCGTTAAGCACTTACGTGCTGAATACTGAACGAAAGCTGGGGGATAGCAGCCCCTGAGAAGGTCTTAAATGAACAGGGGGGTTGATACAGACCGGCGGCGGATTCTTCCGCTCCGCTGTCGCGTCGGGGGCTGCACGCCGTAGTAAGCGTAAGCTTACGCTTCTCCATTCAAGGCATTGGACCAGCAGCATTGGTCTAGATGTACAGTACATACTCACCCTGGTAGAATGGGCAGGAGCTCGTGGCGTGCTCAGAGTTGTCGGACATGTCTTGCACGGAAGGTCAAAGTGAGTATTTGCTTAAGATCCTTGTTGCAATGCGACGCTCACATCACATGGATACAGTGTGACAAGGCGCGGCCAACGTGCTGTCGGTGTCGGTCTTCGAATCGGGAGTGTGGGGGGTACGCCCAGATGCAGGTAACCCTGTACCTATCTAAATGTCTATAACTGAATGAAGCAGAAGCAGTAGTACTACGCCAACGCACGGCACACACACTCTCCTCCACCCCAGCCAGCAATTAATGGCAGAATACCAGAGTCAAACCCAGCTACTCGCGCAATTTCTGCACGATTACCTCCCGCCCAAGACCCGGCGCGCAGTCACCTACCCATCGCCGCTACACTGGGCCGAGACGTTTTTCACCCTCCTGGAGTCCGGATCACCAATCGTGCACGCGTCGCTCGCCGCGCTCACCCTAACGCACACCGCGAACACCCGGCACGACGACGCGCTCGCCCAGCAGGGCCGCCATCAGTACGAGCTAGCGGTACAGCAGATCCGAGCCCTGCCTGCGCTCACGCAGCCGACGGACCTCATCCGCTCCGGCATGATCCTTGCCCTGTACGAGTCATGCACCCACTCGCCAGGCCAGGGCAATGCGTGGCAGATCCACGTGCAGGCCGCCTGTAACCTCGTACGGCAGCTGGCTGCACCTGCGCTGGCGCTGAGCAAGCAGGACTTGCGTCGGCTGCGGACTGTTGATGTATGCCTTGCTTGTATCTTTTGTCGTGTCGATTGACAGCTAACGCTGGCTGGCTTAGTTCCTCCGCATCTGTATCGATGGGCAGATCATCTCCCCGCCGAACCTCGAGCTGCCCGCTGAGCCGGCAACGGATGTATTTGATCGGCTGCTGGATATCTTGTACCAGATCATGCACACGTTAGCTGCCGTGCGGCGGAAGACACGACTGGATGGTCTCAATCGCGATTCTGCCGAGCTATTGATGCGGAGGGCTGTAGTCCATGAAGCGCAGCTACTGGATTGGTACCGGGGACTGCAATCCGAGGACGGGGGTATGGTCATCTCCCGGCCAGCTGCTGTATCGAGGGAAGCTACAAAAAAAAACGCGTTAGCTTTCTCGAACCCTTCAGTCATCCCGCTGATGCTGCTGTACTGGCTGGGGATGGTAGCGGTGTATGCTTCCACAGCCGAGACGCTCCAGACACTCGCGCAATCCAGGCAATTTGCAACATCGACGACCTTGCCTCAGAGACTGAACAAGGCTGATAGCCTGTGTCGCCACTTTGCGAACCGCATCCATCAACGCCACGCCGGATGCGCGGGCCTGGGCCTGGGCACTGCTATCCTGGCCGCTGCAACTGCGGCAGCTGCACGGCAGATATGCGCGAGTCGGCAGTAGGAGCGTCTGGGTGCTCTGGAGGAGAACCCTCAGACCCCCCTTTTCTTTCAGCTTCCCGAGGGGGGCGCAGACACGGTAATGCGAGTAATTTATGGTTAAGGTAGAATAACCGCCGTCTTACTATGGTCATAAGCGCGCCACTCATCGTAGACTCTCCTTTCTTGCCCGCAATTGATCAGCACATCCATGCCGCAGGTAGATGGGACCTCCGCCCTAGTGCGCCGCACGCTCGTTTGTCCGCTAGATCGAGAAATACGGGTTTTGTGCAGGGTGAGTGCGGTTTCGGCGATGAGGAAGGTGTTTTCATTCAGGGTGGAGAGGTTTCGACCTGCGAAGATTAGGAGGGCAGGTAGTGGATTGATGGGAGGGCGGGAGGTGGCGAGGATACCTGGAGCTGTTGTGCTGCTTGTTGATGAGGCTGTTGGGGCTGATTTCATTAAAAGGACTGCATTTCATGAATATGAGTGTCTGCTGGGAGCTTGAGGGGGGATTGTTTTAGGCGATGGAGGGGAGGACGGTAGAGGTTCGAAGATGCGATGAGGAAGGTGGGGCTTACCTCAGTGCTTGTTTTTCTGGATGTGTGCTGCTAGTGCTGTTTGGAAGGCTTCTTTGCTGGTTGTTTGAGGAGTGAAGTTGGGTGGTTGAGGCATTGTGGTTTTCCTTCGGGGAGTCGTGGATGTTCTTTTGGGGTGATGGATAGAGGGTCCACGGTGATTGTAGTACGTCCGGTCGAGCTGGGTCAGTTAGCTGGCTGCGCAAGGGGATTGTGATGGGTTGATTGAGTTGTGTTTTTTGGGACTGTGGTGGTGTGATTTATCCTGACGTGGGCTGTCAGTAAGCTGAGTATGTATGTAGGCAGCACAGGGCAATGCTACAGTAACTATAGTGTAACTACTGTATGTGATCGAATATAAACACGGGGGATTAAGCGTGCAGGCACGACCGGTGACTACCGCAGCGGACCAATCGGGACGGGTTCAAGACCGAGCTCCTTGTAACTTCCCACTCACTCAGCTTCAAATTATTGCCGATGGCGAGGGAGCTATATGTCGACACTTAAACGCGTTCAGAAGGCACGAGAGCGGTTTCCATTGTAAGTGCTCGAGGGAAGCGTGTCGGGAGTAGTATAGGCTATCAGAATATACGTGTCAGCCATGGTAGTAGCAAATATGACTCTGGGTAATCGGAAGCAGAGCGAAGAGGTAACCGAGGAAGAACAGAAAACCGTATTTTGTTAATCAAGACGAATATGGTAAACAATTGTGATGGAACCACCACTCAGAGGCGTGGTAAAGGTGATATTCATGGCTATCAAGGAACTCAGGGAAACGAGGCTATCGACATGGCAACTAGGGCGGTGAGCAGACCTCAGAGAGGCCCCAGGCACGTCAAAATGGCTATGGTGGCCAGCGCCCCGTGAGGATAGCAAGGAAGCGTTTTCAAGGTTTTGACAATCCCTGATGCTAACTGATATCAGCGCCTTGAGGAGGTTTCTGACGATGAGGACTTCTAAATGTGATATGGAGGCCAGCAAGTCGCTGTCTCAGTTCACTAATTCATTAGGAGTTTCTTTTCACGATCAAGACTATTCTTTTAATAAACGTTCAAGACAGTTCTGACGAGCCTGAGGCCTCTCAGAGGTCAGCTCACGGCCCTAGTTGCCATGCTGATAGCCTCGTTTTCCTGAGTTCCTCAATAGCAAGAATCATCCCCATTTCCACGCCTCTCAGAGGTATTCCACCACTTTCCCAGTTCCATCAAGTTCATTTATCTCGAAATTGTTTGGACTTAAAGAGATTAAGATTAAGCTTCTTCAAAAGAACCTACTCTTCCGATCTCAGGACAGCGAAAAGGGTCTCATACAGACTACTAACTCTTGCCTTAGCTTTTTTCATCTCATCCTGGACCTCCCCCAGTCGCGCATTAGCCTCTTCAACTCTCCTCTTTTGCTGGTCAACCTGCTCGCGCCAGATGTTGAGAGCCCCCTAGGGCGCCGTATGTCGAAAGGGAAGCCGGTTGATATTCCGGACCTGGATGTGGATTCTCCACGGCAACGTAACTGAACGCGGAGACGTCGGCGGGGGTCCTGGGAAGAGTTCTCTTTTCTTCTTGACGGCCTATCACCCTGAAATACGTGCATTGGCCTGCTCCACCTTCCTCCTTTGCTGGTCATACTGCTCACGCCACAGTTTGTGCACTCCCTTGGCTTGCTCAATAGACCGATGAACCGCATCTGCATGTTGCCTTTGTATTTCAGACAACTCGCGCCTAGGCGCCTGAACTTCCTCCTCAAAGAATTTGTTCGGCACTTCCTGGCCCGCGGCCAAAGGCTTCTCCTTTATCTATATATTATTAGTAGATACAAAAACAGAAACTATAGCTTATATTACTTACCTGGCGTGATTTTTAGCCACGGCCTTGCTGATGGCCTTATCCATCGCCTTGCGTTCCTTAGAGACCTACAATGACATAAGCACACATACAGCTACCCAAGCCAGTCTTCCAGGAAGACTCTTACCGGCTCAGCTGGTGCAGCGGCGAAGGGGGCAGCGGGGTTGTTCAGATCAAATGGCATCGTGGGAGTGTGGATCTGCGGCACGGGGCCGGCTCAGCTTGGGCAAGCGGCTTGGGCGAACAGCGACATGGGGTACCTACTTTGATGAAGTTTTGTGGTAGATTGTTGGGACAAGGCTGCCTGTGACGATGTTGCAAGAGGAGATGTAGAACACTTGATCGTAGAGATAGGGCTTGTACTGGTGTGAGAGTTCTATTTCTCGGAGCTAATCAGGAACAAAGGCTTTTTGTCCTAGTTGTTAATCGACTTGGATGCTTCTCGCTGCCGAAAAAATCCCTGGTAGGATGATTCTGAAGGAAGTTGTAGCAGGATTTTGTCATGGTGTGACGATAGGGTCAAGAAGGCAGGGCCAGCTGGGCCACAAGCGGCAGCGCAGTTCTAGTATTGTAGTTAGCATATGTGATACAAGCCATCCTTTGCAGATTTGTCAAGCACAGAGCAGTTAAGGATAACCTTGTATTTCTCTGATGAAGCATTGATGGAGAAGGTCATCAAGCTGGGCTCATTCAACTACGTGAGCCGGCGAAGCAGCCTCATGTAGGTGGATCAGCCCAGTTCGAGTGGATCCTTGAACAAGAGGGAGTATATTCTTATCTTGTAACACAAGGATAGTCGAGTTGCGGAGTTCGAGACTTACTTGCCTGGCTAGGGACAGTAACTAGTCAGCTCTATCTACAAGGTTTGAGGATGGAATGATTGCAGTGTGACTTACTCATGATGATGATGATGGTGTTGATGACGATGATGATGATGACGGCGATGATGATGAAGGAGAATGAGAAGGAGGAGAAGGAAGAGGAAGAGGAAGGAGTGGAGGAGGAAGAGGGAGACTGTGGGGTCACGGGCTCTGAGGGCCTCAGGCAAGGCATAGCCTAATACACCATCACAGGGCTCTACTACAATTTGGCGGGAGCTGAGCGCACAATTCTCGCAGAGTTGTCATTTTCAGCAGTTTCCAGCGCGTGTCGAGCAAGTCACTGTTTCTGAGACTTCGTTCAGTTTTCCATGCTTGGACTTAAGAGATTTCATGGTCCCTGGCGATTCCAGATCATGGTGAAGAGGGTATCCGGGGAAGACATCAAAGAACACCAAAGCAATTAACAAGAGGTTTATGGACAACATTTAGCATCCGAGAGTCCTCAAAGTGCTCCAGGTATATCTGGAAGCAAACAACAACAGCAATTGTGTGTAGCATTTGCAGCAAGAGCTTAGGTCCTGTAATGGGGCATAAAAAGCGTAGTTTCTCTGCTTGAACTGTCTCTTCTTATACAGATCCTGAAGGCCATTGAGAAGGACCTAAGCAAGCAACTTTGCCTTCACATCATGGTCTATCCCTACTTTCAATCTCCGGATAGCGTACCATATACTGTAACAAGTCTTGGCCCTAAAGAATATGATACTCTTCCTTTCTTCTGGTCCGTATGCATAAGATTGCTTGTCATTTACCCGTTTCTGTGCCTAAGCCTTCAGACGTCATTGAGACCACAAAACCTCAGCTCTTCACCTTGTTGGTACCCGCGGGCTCAAGCTCAGCTGCTGTGAAGGTAAGTTGGCATTTTCAGGCTTTGATTTCATTCAGAAGCCGATGCACATTGAGGTTTTTATAAAGTGCTGCTCTCTATTCTGCCGACACGCCACCGTTGTGGCGCCCCAGCTTTGGGTCTTTACGAGAATTTTCATCGAATCCATAACTAGGCTACCTTAGTAGGTGAAGGACCTTGAGGCCGCCAAGTTCCACATCATCTACCACGCGGACGTTCGCGATAGCCGCAATACACGAGGGGCCTTCGAATTTGCCACGGCTTTTACCGCGGGTGTACAATGATGCTTAACAACCCGCTGTACAGCGTGTAGTGCATGAAAACGGTGAATGAAACACTCAACGACCAGACTGATCATAGCTGGCTCAAGCGGATCGATGTTGCCTTCGCTCTAGTACGCCCTCTCTCTACCTTCGGTAGAGTTGATCAATGCGTATGTTTCGAGGTCTGCTGAGCGACAGCTGCGAAATAAGAATGCCGCCTCTACCTATGCATTGTTTTGTCTTTAAAGTAAGGCTTACCACATGATCTTCAAGCCCATTCGATACCGCCTGTCGGGTGTCGAGTCTCTCAACGCATGACACGGAGAGATATAGACCCGAGGACGAAGACGTGGACGGAGACAGCAGAAGATATGGTGGTCGAGGCGAGGTAAGAACAACTAAGGAGATCCAGAGGGGAGAAAGAGAACAACGGAACAGAAGGCAACTGACCGAACGAATCCTATCATGGTGAGGACAATCGCCCTGCATGAGAAATATAGCCCAGCCGCCCATTAAAGACCAGTAAAAAGAGCTTCCATCAACTCCGCGAGTAGTTTGTGGCTCACCGGTGAACACGATATAACCAGCCCGCGCTATTCATCGTTGGCAATAAGCCAAGAATATGATGAGACATATATCTCTCCGCTTATCTTAGCCACCATGCGTAAACCGTGTGTGGGCAATAGAAGCCGCAGACGCTTAAGAGGCCAAGAAGGCTATTTTATGTCAAGGTATGGATGGGCCCAGGAGACGTACCAGACGCGCGAGGGCGATTGGAGACGTTCACGAACGTGTGCTTGAGGAAGCAAACGTCTGGCCCTTCTCCGGCCACATACATAGATTGTATGAACAGCATTGTATCGTGTTCCCGGCTGATGGAGCTTGGTGTGTAGGGGCAAGCCTTCTTCGGAGCAATGGGGGAAGATCTGGTGTGCGAATGGAATGAACTAAGGCATCGAAGTCTAGCTATATAATTAGCTTTTACGCACAAGGATTTGAAGAAGATATCTACTTGACAACCCAAATGGACTCGGATATGATGATGCCTGAATCTGCTGGCTTTTCTAGAAACGCGCGCGTACCTAGTACTTGTGGTTCGGAGGTTACATCTCCCGAGTTGGGAGACATCGTAGTGATATTCGAGGGTTGGTGCCCCTGAGCGTGATTATGGGTAAAAAGAACCCGAAGAGGTAGTCTGAGAAGTATCTGTAGAGTATACTTGCACGTCAAGCTAAGGATTGCCCACGGGGGACAAGTCTTGGGGTCGTCAACAGCGGGACAACAGAGAAGAATGATCCGGTTGGTCACGAAGTGCGGCAGAGGAAAGCATCGAGAGTTCAATTTGTACACAAGAAACAATGTAGTATGTTTCAAGCACAGGATAAGCTTCGGCGATTGTAGACATTGCTGCCTTGGTGTCAAGAAACGAAAGAAGAGTTAAATAGAGTATAAATGTAGATACTGGTTGGCCATGCTAACGGCATTGTTCGAGACTCCCCCGAACACCGCGCGCGTGGTATGGGATAGAGCATCCATGGCTGGGCTTGTTGCCATGCGCAAACAACAGACTTTCCAACCTTGTTTGTAATCCTTCCTCACCTACAGTGGTGGAGAAATGATCTGGCCCATTGAATACTTAACTGTTGAATACTTGACTGTCGGTCAACGTTGAGAGTCTGAAAGCGGCGGCCGAAAGCGGTGAGGCACGGCAATATAGTGACTAAGCCCTGAATGATGCCAAAGGGCATCATGGACTCGCAGCTATTACTGCTTATACGTTCTACATTAGTGGAAAAGAGTTGAAGGAACCATGATATCATTGTGCTGAATCATTAAAGCCATTTTGCATTCGTCAAGCAATAAATCTATTGTAAAAATAAGGAAACGTCGGCTAAACACCAACCGACCCGATTTTTGACCTCCTCCACAACTTCCATATCACATTTAGAAGTCCTCATCGTCAGAAACCTCCTCACCTCTCTTCTTCCTAGCCATGCGCTCCTTCCTCTTCTTTCTAAGCTCGCTAGAAGTGAGCTTCTTCTTCTTCTCGATGACGGTCTAGAGACAGATTAGCATCAGGGTGGGTCAAGATTTCGGTGTGGGATAGGAAAGGGGGGTTGGGAGGCCGGAGGGGGGGCGGCGGGGAGACCGGCACGGGGCCGGCAGGAGAGCGATAAACATACCTTGTTACCCATGGCATCAACGACCTCAGTGTCACCGGCGTTCTTGTCCTCCAGACGGGGACCGGAACCCTGACCCTGAACCCAGTTGTGACCGGAGGGAGTCATCTTACCGTCAACGACGGCCCAGACTTCCTCGGTAAGGTTCTCAGTGAACTCACGGGAGTGAGTAATGATGATAACACCACCCTCAAAGGTCTTGATGGCCTTGGAGAGGGCACCAAGGGAGTCACGGTCCAAGTAGTTGGTAGGCTCGTCAAGGACGATGACGTGGGGACGCTGCCACGAGCAGGCGGCGAGGACGACCTTGACACGCTGACCACCGGACAGACCGCGCATGCGGGAGTGAGAGACCAACTCGGCGTCGAGACCGAAGTTCTCGCAGTGCTGCTCGATCTCCTTGCGGACCAGAGGACGGAACTGACCGCTGGCAAGAGCCTCCTTCTGATCGACCTCAGCAACCATCTTGGCGTGGGACTGCATGATCTCGTTACGGGGAATCCAGGCGTTGTCGGTGCTCATCATGGGGGTCCAGCGCTCGGACTTCATGCCGATGTTGTCACCCAGGGCGAACGAACACTCGTACTCGTAGCTGTTCTTGAACTTTCTACGGGCGTGGATACCAATGACACGACGGAAGGTACCCTCGATCTTGTAGATCTTGTCCATGGCCTTCTCGTCCTCCTCGGTCACGATCTTGTTGGCACGGTCCATGGTCTCACGGTCCTCACCGGTCTGGAAACGCCACTGGATGTATTCGGAGGGAGTCTTGTCGAGGTGGTTATCGATGTGAGCGAAAGCGTGCTGCTTGATGTAGGCGATACGGATGTTCTCGTGCTGGTAGACGTCACCAACGGTGGGGATCAACTCACCGGTCAGGACGTTGACCAGAGTAGATTTACCGGCACCGTTGGGACCAATGACAGCGATACGGGAACCCAGGGAGACCTGGAAGCTGATGTCGGTGATCTGAGGACGGGGGGTGTTGGGGTACTGGAAGGACATGTTGTTGACACGGATGATGGCCTTGGCCTTGGTCTTGACACCCTCGAGGAAACCGGGCTCGGGGAACTTGAACTCGAGCTCGGAGGCGCCCAGCTCGTAGTAGGAGCGAGCAGCAGGGACACGCTTGACGAACTCGCTCAGGTTACCACGGTAACGCTTGAGCTTGAAGCGCTCATAGTGAACGACGTGCTGGATGACATTGTCCAAGAACTTGCTGTCGTGGGAGACGATGATGGACGTGCAGGGGGAGGTGCAGAGGTAGTTCTCCAACCAGGCGACGTTCTTGACGTCCAAGTGGTTGGTAGGCTCGTCGAGCAGAAGGATATCGGGGTCCTCAAAGACGGCACGGGCAAGAGCCAGCTTCATCTTCCAACCACCAGACAGGGAGGTGATGGGGCCCTCGAGCTGCTCCTTGAGGAAACCGAACTCCTGGAGCTTATCCTCGACATCGGACTGAGAAATGTCGAGACCGACCTCACGAAGCTTCTTCATGGTCCAGCCAATGACAGTCTGCTCAGTATCGGCAGCGTCCAAGTCGTGCTCGACGTAGACGGTCTTGACCTCGCTCTTCTTGGGGAAGCCCTCAAGTTGCTCGTTGTTGATGGCACGCATGAGAGTGGTCTTACCGGTACCGTTGGGACCGAGGAGACCGTAACGCTGACCGCGCTTGAGGCGGAGGTTGGTCTGGTTCAGCAGGATCTTGGCACCATAGGCCAGGGAGAAAGTGCAGTTACACAGATCCTCACCCTCCTCCTCATCGGAGAGGACGGCATCGGCCTCAGCAGCGAGGGGAGAGGCCTTCTTGCGGAGAGTCTCCACGACGCTCTTGGCATCCTCCTCACCGACGATGGCGGCAATGTAAGGCTGAGCGTTCTGAGTCCAGCTGGTGACCTCAGCGTCCTTCTCGTCAACGAGCTGACCAGCAACGGCACCAACGTAGTTGATGACGTCCTCAGCACCCTCGGCCTGAGTGCTGTGCTTCTCCTTGAGGATGTCCTTGAGGATAGCAGAAACGGTGGAGATGTCACCAGCGGTGGAGATCTCGGGGATCTTGCCGTCCTTGACATCACCGACACGGGTAAGAGTCTCCAAGGCCTGCTTGGTCTTTCCACGGGCCTCGGGATCGGCCAGGGTATCGAAGTTCTTCTCGAGACGGGGCATCAACTTGGGCAAGAAAGGAGCGACGATCTGGGGGTCCTCCACGAGCTTACACATGTTGTCGACGATGACAGCGGACTTACGCTTGATGGCGGTCTCACGCTCAACAAGACCACGGTCAAGAAGGGGAACCATGATCGCGAGAGTAGGGCCGGTGACATCGGAAACGAAAGTGGTGGCACCGAGCAAGTGAACGGTCTCGGAGACGTTCTCAGGCTTGGCGATACACTTGATGAGCTCGGGAATGAAACGCTCAATATCCTTGTTGACGATCAGACCGCAAACCTTCTCCATGGTGGCGTAGGCAGCCTTCTTGATCTCAGCCTTGGTGTCCCACATGGCCTCGGAGACAACGGGGATGAGGTCGGGAACGCGGAAGGAGAGCTGAGCAGGAGCCGACTCGACGAGAGCCTCAATGCACTCGAGAGCGGTGGCCTTCTCTTGCCACTTCTGGGCGTTCTGGAGGGAGTTGAGGATAGGGGGGAGGACAGCCTTGACGGCGTTGCCGTTGATGCCCTTGACGATGGCGATGGCGGCAGCGGAGGCGGCGTTCTTGACGGGGATCATCTTGTCACCAACAGCAGCGAGGACATCGCCGAGGAGAGCGACAAGGTGGGGCTCGACACCAGGAGCGATAGTGGAGTGGGAGGCAATGGCGCGGATGGCGTTGCAGGCGCGCTCACGGGCGTTGGCATCCTTCTTGTTAGAAAGCTGCTTCTTGAACGCCTCGACAGCCCTAAGTCACGTTATTAGTCCGCCGTCCCGCGTGCAAAAGTTTTCCGGTCTAGCTTAGCCAAACCACACAAGGTGCAATACGTACTTGAGGGGCAGAACCTGCTCAGGGATGGGACCGCTGAACAGGTGAGCCAGGTTGTCGGTGGCAGCGTTCACCTCATCCTGGGAGGTGGACAGGTTGAGGTTCTTCAAGAGGTCCTCGAGAACAGCCACGGACTGGGCAGTCTCCTTGCTGGTAGCAGCAGGAAGCGAAGAAGCGTCGGCAGCAGGCATTTTTAGTTGTGAAAGAGACTCCGAAGAATCGTTAGAAGATAAGAAAGGAGGATAAAAAGCGAGAACGTGTGAAAAACGTTCTATGAGGGTATCTCGATAAGAGGGGTGTGGCCCACGAAAGTTGCGTCTGATTCACAAAAAGACGCAGCGAACGCTCTAAAAACGGCCTCTATTTTTTTTTTTGTCTGAACAGAAGACAAAAAGTAAAACACAAGAATTTTAGAGGACCAAACCTCTTAGAAAAAAGAGAAGATGGGAAGGATGAGGGGGGGAGGGAGAGTAGGAAGGAGGAAAAGGAGGGGAAGAGGCAGGATGGGGGGATATGATATTTATCGCTTTGTGGCCTTCTTTTCGCCGCCCAACAGCCGCGCCGCTCTGATAAAAAATTTTCCTTTTAATTTTTCTCTCTGTTCCTTAGAATGGGCCCGCACTAAGACCGGAAATAGCTTAGAGGCGATGGCAGACTCAGCAACAACCAAACCCAATAGAGTCGGTGGCTACCACTCGGGTCAATCACGCTTCGTCGATTGGCTGGTTGGCGGGGGCTGCAACTGGGATCGGCTTAGTCACCACCAACTTTCTCGCCCTTCACCACCACTGCGATTCGGAAGCCCTGAGGTGAAGTGAGTGAGTCTCTGTCTCTGTCGCCTCCTTGTCATCTCAATCCTGATGGAAGTCGAGATTCCGAACTTCTGCCTGCAATTATACCAGTAGTCAATTAAATCAAAGTAGTTCACTGTGGTTGAACATTATTGATTCGCTTGGTTGACCCAGCCAATCTACGTCTCTTACCTATAGTACAAGAATTCGTACATAATAAGTCCGTCCCGAGCAGACCACCAGCTCGTCTCGTCTCCGGAGTACTTTGTACATACGAGATACAGTGCCCCTTTCCCGGCAGGGCTGAGAATCACGGGTATATCAGAAAGGACCAGCTATTGTTCTCCTTGTCGTGATGGTACCCCGGGTTATTTTACGTTGCAGGTCCATTTAGCGGTATAATGGGGGCCCTAACTACCGTACCCCTCATCATAGCATAGACGCACACACCCCTCCAAAACAATCAATCCTCCACGATTGTCAAGCCAGTTGTCCCTACAAGTGATAATCCCGGGGTGCAGCAGTCACTCATGAACCGATACGTAGCGTAGCGGTTTTACGAAAAACTGTATGTAAGGGATCTCCGCCCGGGTATGATGCCGCGCCTGGTTGGTCTTGCAGATGCTTGGGATGGAGGGGTGGAGGGAAGGGTTTATTTTCAGTTGCCACCCTCAGATCTTCCCGGTGGCGCAGCCCCATTCTAGACGGCTCAATGTCCTTCTTCTTCTTCTTCCTCCTCTCTCGGAATGGTCGCCGGGATGGGTGAGAATCGGTAAAAGATGAAAAATGACACCAGAGGAAAAAAAGTTTTGAAAGATTAGAGTTGCTAAGCGCCGTGGTTTGGAGCCAAGACCCCGTTTTCGTTGTTGCGCATCCCCCCGAGGATTTCCCTCGACTGCTCATTGCGTTGACTGCTGCTTTGTCGGCACACAAAAACACATAACCACTGCTGAGGAAATCTGTTTGCTCCGCCATAAGCGATGCATACAGGACTGCACGGTCGCATAAAGTGACATGATACTTGATTCTCCTATACTGTCAGCGAAGTATCTAATTACTGCCCTGTGAGGTAATTCCCAAAAGGTAACCCGATGCTTACTCATACCCTTCATACTGACCTGTGTTTCATGTGATTGGCCTCTCCTGATAAGCTTGTCCTCGAAAGAGCCCTAACGAGCAGACTCGAATCCCAACATCCAAACCGGAGCACATTATTCTTAGATACGAGGGATGAAACGAGCAACAGTCAGGGCTAAGCATGGGTTTGAGCACTAAATGATAAAGCACAAACATCTTGGCCGAGCCTGTCTGAAACAAGAACCGTTGATGGGTGAGATTGTCAACACCGCCATTTGAGTGACTCAGGCATCCGGACTCACCGCATGAACTCGAGGGCTCAGACAACTTGCAGGGATCTTGCTGTCGTACTGTATTAACCATTCTACTCAGCTTGGGATAGAAATCCAGCCCCGCAGTGTCAGCCTAGTCGTTCATGCCCCTTGCAAAGAGTAGGCGGGTGGTTTCCTTATCGTGCTTATCGGCCACTATCTAAAGTTCCTATCGTGCTTATTTTCCGGGTTTCCCCATCATTTTTGCTGCTCCTCACGAGATCGCATGGGTTTGATCATAGAAGGATTTGGTTGTGATGTCGTACTGTCGAGTGCGTTGTAGTTCTTTTTGAGCTTGATCTACCTCATTCCTCGACACAACTCTTTGTTTCTTTGAGAATCACTCGAACGACGACATCGAGATAGTATTGCAGAATAAACATATAATTCGGGGGAGTCAGGAGACGTAATACTGATGATATGTTCCAAAATTGATCGATAGATGTCAAATTACCTTTCATTCTTTCGTGCTTTGGTTTCAAAATCTTCTTAAGCAAGAATGAGAAATAATATTATTCTTCGAAGCATGGGATACTAATCATTTCCATTCAAAAACATTGCTCTCGGGTCCATGGACTCGCCCGGACTGGGCTCAAGGGATGACTACAATACACCCTTGACTCATACGCAGCAAAGACCTTCTTGGACAGTGTATATATACCGCTGATATAATGAGCCAGAAGACTCCAAATTTTTTGACGGTCGAAGTTTTCGATTTAGAGTATGTTCGCCACCACTGCTTCTTGATCATATGATGCTGATATTAATGCTTACTCGATAGCGGGTAGCGAGCCTGAAGTCTACTGGAAACTGGGCAATATTGAGCTCATCGAAAAGACAAGGAGCCGACAAGCATCAATATGTTTTTCCAATAATTTGCCTAGACTTTTGCCCATGAGCGTTGGAACCCAGCCTTGCCACACTCACAAACTCGACCCTCGTCCTACTGAGTACACATGCGCGACTGCAAACAGCCAACTAAGGGCGAGTTAACCAAAGTAGTAGACTCAGACTAGAATGGCCGAAGGAAACTTGTTCCACGTTTACACTCATATGGTTGCGGGAAAGCACCCATGGTTGCAAGGCGCGATGACAGCAGTGGCGAAAGATGACGGAGAGCCACCCAACAAATGACAAGCTTTGGGAGCAAAGTAGCCCTTAAGAATAGCATTGTCGAGCAGACTACTATGAGTCAATGCTCATTGATTGCATCATGAGAAAGAATACCACTATCGATAGAAAGCCACTTCCATGACCAAGCCCAAGAAACCCGCCCGGAACCCCGGCTTTGATCGTTTCTCGTAACGCGAACCTTTCTTATCCATTGGGCCCACGTTAATCACTCTCGCTCGAAGAGCTGGAACTTGAGCTCGAACTCGAGCTAGAGCTCGACGAACTCGATTCTGAGCTGCTCTGCTGCCCTTTACTGCCGTGCTTGCGACGATGTTTCGCCTTGATCTTCTTGCGCCTGCAGATTGATATAAGAGTCAATGCACGTGGGTCAAGCAGGTTATGTTGAGCCTGGAAAACCTACAGCTTACTCGCGAAATTCATCCCAGCAGCTCCTGCCAATGCACCTCCGGCCGTACCCAGTAGCCCACCCCCAAACTTGCGGCCCAGGAATCCACCCGCTGCAGCACCGGTGACCGTAGCTCCAAACCCTTTCTCATTTGCTGGAGCTGGAGCTGGCCCCGATGGATTCGGCGGAGCTGCCTGGGAAGCATAGTACGATGCGCTCTCGCCTTGAACAGTTTGCGGTTGCGAAAAATAAGGTGGGTTATTATTGCTTCGATAGTTCATGTAAGGTGCATTTGGTTCAGAATATCCAGACACTTGACCTCCATTGGCGTTCAGAGGCATCTGTCCTTGATGGATGTACGGGGACAGATTATGATAAGAGGGATTGGGTTGCTGATCGTAGTTATACTATTCATTGGGCCAAGTCATCAGATTCCGAGCGTCTCGCTCTGATGCATTATGGGTCCACTTACAGCGGGCGGCTGATACCCTGAATGGTACCCTGGTTGAGGCTGCTGATCATGCTGGCATTGTCCTGGAGATTGATATCCTGCGTGAGTTCGAGGGTCATAGCCGCTGGGCTGCTGTTCATAGTATCCTTGGGATGAATCGTAGCGATTGTTGTACTTCGGTTCCGACATAACGATGGCACAATTACCGCCGGTCCTCAATATTCTAGACCTTTGGATGCGTTGATAATTTTTTGAGTGACTAGTGTTTTGAGTTGTGGTGGAGATGAAGATAGTAGATTTAGTCTAACTGCGAGAAGTATGAGATGATCAGCTTCTCGAGGAAGGAGGGTAGGTCGCGATTGCCTGGATAGTAATGACTACAGGTTTGGATTGAACTGGGACTGAAGGTACCAATAGCATCCAATGAACATGAAATACAACCTCATGGATGGCATGGGCAGACTATCGTTTGGATCAGGCCCTTGAAGTAGTGATCAGATGACTGGTTAGCGAAAATGTTTGCTTTGTGTGTCTTGATCCTCCTCGTCATCCTCTTCACTCTTCCCCCACGCCTCATGCCGACACTCTCTCCCATCATTCTCCCCATCCTCCACCTCCTCATCATCATGGTTTCATATCCCGCTCACTGCATCGTGTGTGAAAAAAGGCTGACCCCTTAATTCAGTGTAAGGCCAACGCAGTAAGAACACGTGAAGCCTCACAACCAGCCATATACAGCGGCTACGCACCAGGCGTCAACCAGCCAGCGTCATGCTACGATTATCCTACAAGCTAACACGAGATATCCTAGAATTTAAAGTGTATTCACATTGCAAGTATTACCCCAGATTAACTCCAGTGCATCATCTCCCAGATGTCGATGCTTGATGAAATCCACCTAAAATCCAGAATCACCCAACCTCTGGTCTACTTCTTCTCCTTATCGGCAGCAAAATCATCCACATAACGATACTTCCCATCTTCCGGCACATTAGTCGGCACATACACCAGAGTAACATCCCTCACCGCAGCGGCCGCCCGCTCGAACTCTTTATAAGTGTACTCCACGCAGTCGTGCAGGTAGATCCAAGCCTGGCGGGGGATCGTACTAGCGCTATCCTCCTGGTTATCTGCATCGAAGCCGCCTTTCAGACTGATTTCCTGAGCAACGATCGAGCCTTCCTGGATGAGGGTGGCTCGCTTGTGGCTGAGAAAAAGATAATGAGGTGAAGTCAGTTTTCGTGAAACGGACATCTTCGAAATCCAGGAGTATTTGCACCGAAGGAACGAAAGAAAGTGAGAAAGAGAGAACGCACCGAATCTTCTCCGCGACTTTCAGCCCTAAAGGTATATCACCCTTCTTACCCGCCAACTCCAGTGAAATCGCCACGACGGCCGCATCCTCAATCGCCTGGTTTGCCCCCTGCCCAGCATGCGGAAGGGTAGGGTGTGCTGCGTCGCCGATGATCATCACTCGACTCTTGTTGGAAACCCAAGTTGGCAAGGGATCACTGGTGAGCAGCAGATGATTGAAGCAGTTTCCTTGTGGGGTTCGAGAAATCACCGCGGAAAGTTGCTCGCCAATCGGCCAGTCCTTGATATACTCCAAGACCGGGTCAACGCTGCAGATTTGAACCCAACTTTCCGCTTTCGAGTCAGGCGTATCCTTTCGCGAATAACATCAGTCTATCCGCTGCAGAACGAGAGAAGAGGTGAGAGGAGCGTGTGCAAGAACACCAAGCATACCCGATGAAAACAAGTCCAGAACACGAACTCTCCATTTCCAGTCGTCCCCATCACAATCCCAACTTCCTTCCCCATGTACCCTCGAAACCGATCGTTCTGCTCGGTTCCTTCCAACACCCACCGTGCCTTCTCATCCTCAGCGCACAAGCGTGCATCGAAATGTGACCGAAAAATCCCACCGCCACTCTTTCGCAACTTGATGGTGGCACTATCATTCTGGCTTCCATTGTCTGCTCCTGCTCCGTGGAGAACGAACTCCCTGGCCGTACTATGCACACCATCGGCGGCGATAACCGCATCAGCCACGAGCTTCTCCTCCCTTTCTTCTTGTGCTTCTTCGCCGTTGCCCCCTCTTCGAGAAACAGTAACCACTCCCGCCTCTCGGTCAGTCTCCCAGTACTGCTGAATACTCACGTTATATCGCAAATCCACCCCCAGCCGTCTCGCCTCCTGGAGCAGAGCCTCGACGAGCGCATTGCGCCGTATCACAAACCCCTGGGCTGGATCGTCCGGGTCGTACGGAGCAGCACCCTTCAGGTCGCCGGCGATATCGTAGATCTCGAAGCTGGAGTTGTTGGACCGCGTGGCTCGGAGGGCGTGGGCCACGGCGCCGTGGCTCCAGCGGGCGATAACCTGAACGCCGTTGCCGCTGAGGCCGATGAGGTCGCCTGCATTCCGAGCAAATTGTGCGTGTGAGTCAGTGGAGCGTTTTTTGAGAGGTAGAGCTGGAAGGAACGGTGTTGAAGGTGAGATTTCTGATGACCTATTGCCTCACTTACCGAGCTGCTTCGAGTCCGGTTTCTTCTCCAGCCCGATGACTGTAAAGCCACGTCGCTGACATTCAATGGCGGCTGTGAGGCCGGCAATTCCAAGACCGACAATGATGACAGTCGGGCTGGTCGACGGCGGATTCGAGGTTGTAGGTTCAGCCATGGCTCAGCGAGTAAAAAATTATCTCTTCTAAGCTGATTGATGTGTATATTAAGGAAGAACTGAAGCTAACAGGTATAAAGCCTCACGCAGATCTGACCAAATAGTTCACACACACCGAGGATGAAAGACAGACGCGCGATGCACAGAAGAGAGAGGGAGAGAATCCCGCGAGACAGCGCCGGCCTTGCCCTTTCTTAAATAGCTCAGCAGACTGCTGAACAGCTGTACGTTCAGTGATTGACGACTTGCTTACTGAATAACATCATTATACTGACCAGGCCAGGCCCATTCTCTACTAGTCTCCGCCTATCCTGTTAATTACGAGGTCATTAGTGACCCATATCGAACCAATCCAACCAGCATGGGTCTGCGTCTACAGGAAGAAAACATCATGATCACTACTCGTGCAATAGACTGTCTGTTGCCTCAGGCCAGGTTCTCCAATCCATCCGGTCAGCCTATACCCACATCAAGAACAAACCCCAGAAATAGGTCTCTTGCCAGTGAGGCAACCTCCAATTCATGGGAAAGAGCATGTGCAGGACGGGCATATGATCATTATCCACGAAGAACAAATCATAGGTCCGCAGAAACCATATCTAGGTACACAACAACTTCTCCTAACCGGAGAAAGTTCCTCAGGCAACCCCATCCTCATCGTGAGCGGACTTAATCTCCCCAAACGGCGCATAATAAACACTAAGATACGGCTTCGAGTCACGATACGAGAACGAAACGCCCTCGTGAATGAAATTCGTCCGACTGAGATTCGAGCCGGGGCTGTACGGTAAGCACACAGAACCATTAGCTTCGTCACTTTCTATTCTTAAAGTGCTGTGTGATAGTGTATCCCTGCACACGGTATCCCCATGCCTCCCCAGGTATCAAAAGTAAACGGAAGTAAAAGCAAACGAGGCAGAACTCACTAGTACGACTGCACCTTCTCAACATAGGTGCGGGCAAGATCCTCCCAGCCCAGCCGACGATAGAACTCCGACAGTGCCTTTGCCAGGGCCAGATCATTCATGCCAAAGGTAATCAGGTAGATCTGCGGCTCGGGAAAGCGGCTCTTGGGCGAGAGGGTGTAGTTGGCGAAGGTGGTGAGCAGGTTGGCGTCTGTTGGGGGCTGGCCGAACACTAGCTTCGGCCACACGTCACTCCGAAAGCCCTGGGGGATCTGGAGAAGGTCCCAGAGCTGCTTCAGCCAGTCCAGGCCTTCCTGGCATAACTCGGAAGAGTCGCCTGCAAGCCGGCGGCCGCCGATCGTCCACAGATCCGCGGTGCGCGCCCAGCTGACCTCTTGGTCGATCACGTAGTACTTGATGCGGCTCTTGGCGGGCGCAGAGACGTCGCAGGCTAGAAGCATGTGGTTGATGCCGGCAGGGGCCTTGGGCATGCCGTCGTCATGGTCCGTGGAAGAAGAGAGGTAGCAGCGGAGCGTGTGCAGAGGTGCCGCCAGCTCGGGGACCTGGAGCTTCTCGATAGCCGCGAAGGAGAGGTCCCTGGCTGGAATTTCTGTGGCGGTGGCCTTGCGACCTGGGTAAAAGTACGCTTTGGCGTTGACGGCGCCATCGCGACCCAGGTCCAGCGAGAGTTGTTGCTGACCGCGGGCTTTGGCCGGGTAGTCGCCGGAGTGGAGGAGACGCTGCTCTTCGGCGTCGGTGATGCAGAGCTCACGCTGGAAGTGACGGAAGCGATCGAGCTGGATAGATTGCGGGTCGAGACGCGCGAGGTGCTCGATGGCTTGCGCCGCGGTCCTGCGGCTGAAGACGTCGGCGGGGGTGCCAGAGGTCTCGTCGATGGGGTCGAAGGTGACCCGCACGATCTGCTGGGAGACGTTCCAGCTGAGCTCGAAGGGGATGCCGTACGGGGTCAGAGCGCTCCACCACCGCTCATCGTCGTGGCCGGGATCCGGGAACACGCCCAGCGTCGGCACCACCGCTTGCTGCAACAGGTACAGATAGCTCAGCTGGTGTGGGCGGCTGTAGCCCGAGTCGTGGAGCATCTTGACCAGCATGGGCCCGGTATGCGCCCACCATTTGCGCTGGTGCTCATTGGGAAATGATGCGAATCGAGTCAGGGACTCGTAGAGCTCGCGGTGAGGTGGTTGCTGTTGCTGCTGCTGTTCGGATGCCATGGTGGTTGGTGTCTGCGATGGATCCAGGTATCCGGTCGCTGAGTATGAGTTTGTGTCTGTGCCAGACAACTCCGGCTTTTATGCTGGAGATCACCGCCTGTCGTGGGTGACACTAGCAAACAATCTATTGAATGCTGCTCTATCTTGATGTTTGTTCGGAGTATCGGGGAATCTGTCAGGTCCGTCGTTGCTGATCATCCCCGACACCAGAGAGGACTGGACTCATCCATAGATTGATCATCTATGGCAAACAATTGCCGTGGGCCTTCCCCAATAGAGTAAGAGAGTTGGAAGACTCGGGACATCGAGTGGAAGGAGCTAGTTTGTAGATCTTTCAGCTTTGCTGTACATCACATCACAGCATAATTACTTTTTTTTCCCCCACCACGCTATTCAAACTTCCCGCACCTAGACTACATAGCGACTCTCGTGCTTGTATGTATGATTGTATGTACAGTACATAATTGGATATACTGTTCTACCCACGGCTGTGACGGCTGCGACTGCCTCGCGTGATCCGGGAAAATGCACGCTTAAGGCTACATATGCAATGTGACATTTAAAACTCGACCGAGAGGTTTGCTACAGTTCTCGTGTTGATGAATAAGAGAACATCATAATTCTCGCAAAGCTAATCTACCGTGGCCTAGCCTTAGATCGAACAACAACTCAATTGAGCCATGGCGTGATGATCTCCGCTGCTCTAGTGGGACCAAGGGTAGGAAATTGTCGAATGATAGTACACGCTCATGTAAACACCAGTTTGCTTGGTGTACGCAAAGGAAATCCACGACTGCAGACGAGAAGTGGTCGCAATATCCTCTTCGGGACTGTTTGGCAGGGGTTATTCGGTCAGCGGGGGAAAAAAAGCTCGATCGATTTCCAGGGAAGGCTTTCGTAAGAAGTGAACTTACTAGAGGAAGCGCAGTTCATCCACATACTTCTCCGCCCGGTCGATCCAGCCAATGGACCGGAAGAACTCGGAGATAGCCTGGGCCACAAGCAAGTCGTTCTCACCATGGACTGGGAAGTACAGTTTGGGGATGGGTTGATCGCAGCCTTGTCGGATCTCGTAGTTCCACACGATGGGAGTGGCGACGTCCTTGTCTGTGGACTTGACGCCGTCATCCCAAGTCCCCTCGTACTCGCGCACACCCTCCCCGATCTTCAGAAGACGCCAGAGCCGCTCGATGAGCACGAGGCCCTTGAGGGTGGTCTCGTCCAGCAGACGGCCGTCAAGGGTCCACATTTCCGCGACCTTGCGCATGGTGACATCGTTATGCACGCCATAGAATTTCAGCCGCGACTGGGCGGGGGTGACAAAGTCCCACGACAGAAACGTGTACTCGTTGTACCCGCCGTTCTCCTCCATGTATGCGTTCAAGAGGCTGACTGCGGGTCCCGAGCACTGCATCTGGTGCTCCACCTTGCGCACAGAGTCCATGATCAGCTGCCCCACGGGAATGCCGGAGGAGAGGGCCTTCAGGCGGGGGAAGACATAGCCCTTGACGCCGATCTTGCCGTCCTTGAAGTCAAAGCCAAAGGCAGCCTGAGACCGGACGGTGTCGGGCCCGATCCGGTCCGCTGGGAAGTTGTCGGCTTGGTGATCCGACAGGAGAAAGTCCTTGGCGAAATGATGGAACAGGGTCGAATCGAATCCCTTCAGTCCCATCTGGGCTAGTTGATTGCACAGCTCCGCGTGAGCCACCTTGTTGAAGGGATCCTTGTCTGTCTTCGCGAGGTAGCTGATCGGCTCGAACCCGATGCGAAGCATGGGGTTGGTGTTTTCTTGGAAGTTCAGACTGTATTCGATGGCGAGCCCACTGCGCGTGATGACGCTTCTCCATTCCTGCGGATGCGGACCCAGAGCAGGGATGAGAGTGGTGTTTGTGAAACCCAGGTAATAGTCCTGAAGCTGAGGGCTATACCCGGCTACTTGGAGGAATCGACCGCACAGGCGCCCTGTGTCTTGCCACCACTCAACTTGGTCATTCTCCTCCTTGACATCGATGTCGTGATGGAGTTTCTCAGTGGGATTCACGTCTTTTTTGCTTGCAAGTGGAACATGCGCATGATCCACTGGGAACAGGTTCTGTAGAGCAGCCATCTTGCGTAACGAGAATCGAGTTTGGGATGAAAGATATCAGCGAAAGATTATGCAACTGACTTAGGAGAGCAAGAGTCAATCAATAGTACTGATTGAAAAGTGCGAGATGGACATGTTTTCCATCCTTAAAAAAGATCGTATCCTGGCTCTCTCCGGGAAAGTGACCTGTTACCACTGATTGTCAAGACGTCTGAGCGTATCCGACAGGATCTCTCAATCACACAGGAACGACCCCACTTCACCAAAGCACGAAGTCACGATGATGTCGCTTGACTCGAATGTTTGATGTTCGATCCTATATTGCCCTGCAGCTGCAGCTAAGGTCCCCTCACAGCCTAGCAGCACAGAGACCGGTTTTTGAGACCCAGGCCCGCCTGAGATATCTCGTCAGCGGCGATCACCGACGCCGAGCAGTAATAGCCTCATTTTCTCTACTGGCTCTAATACCATGTTCCTTGCTCGTTGGATTAGCCTACCAAGGAACGAGTTAGAGTTGGTTGTGCATCTTGATAGGGCGCACTCTCCACTCCACCCGGCCATCAAACAAGCCGAAGGAATAAGTCCGAGAATGGATGGCGATCCGACGCTCAGCCGTACCTCGTCAGCTGGGCAGGATGGAGATCATCCAATGGTCTTGGATCATCACTCACTCTGCCTGTGCTCCACAGAGCGACTTCCGTGCGAGACCTTGCGATTGCTAATGTGATGCCGCATTGGCAACCGGCCAGACCACCAGGCTCATGCCCAGAGCAAATGCCCTGTATGGATAAATATAACTTTCAATTGCTCCTGGCTATTGGCGTAATCGAGTGTGTCTCTCGTATTTTACATTATCCATTTACAATGTTATCTACCAGCTCTCAGTCTCTTCTGGAGCTTCTCAGTCAAGTCGTCCAGGACTTTCCTGACGACAAGGCAGTGGAAGAGGCTTCAGGCACTTACTTGACATACCGGCAACTCGACCACGAATCTACCCTTTTGGCGCATTGCTTGCGGCGGCATGGAATCCAACCGGGCCAGATAATTCCTCTTTTGACGAGCCATTGTGTACACATGGTGGTCGGCATTGTCGGTATACTCAAGGTTGGCGCAGTTTATGTGCCAGTTGACGAAGAACGAGTCTCATCTGACCGATGGCACTTCATCCTGGAGCAAACTCGAGCGTCCTTGGCTATTCAGACGGGCAGCAATGCTCCGTTTGATGGCGTGGAGACCGTCCGCCTTCCGCTCGATCAGACGAATGAATCCGATATCACATGCACAAGCATAGATACTTCCGAGCATGATTGTTGGGAGGATTTGCTGTGTATCATCTTCACCTCTGGAACCACAAACAAACCAAAAGGTGTCAGGGTCAGGCAGGCATCCGTGGCCAAGTTTGTATCCTCGTCACCATTCAACTATGATCTCCGCCCGCGTGATCGGGTGTTGTTAGCTCTGTCAGTTGAGTTTGACGGTTAGTCAAAGGCCATTTGAATGCGATTCGGAGGCTAATATAGGGACTAGCATGTATGGGCACCCTGTTTAACGTAATCTGCAGCGGCTCGACCGTGGTCCTTGCCGATCGATATAACTTCCAAACAAGAGCCAAGGAGTGCAATGTCATTGTGGCGACCCCGTCCATGCTTCAAGCCTTGGCAAGCCCCAAAGAGGAGTCATATCCAGATGTGACCAAGCTAGTGATCGGGGGCGAGACGCCTTCACAGAAACTGCTTGAGGCCTGGTCTACACTCGGGGTTCCAGTCTGGATTGCCTATGGGCCAACAGAGGCGACCTGTGCTGTATTGACGAGTCAATTGATTGCAGATCCGGCGACTGGTCAATACCGTCCCACTTGGTTCGATCAAGTTATATCCGGCACCACGGTTCTTTTGATGACGGAGAATTTGATGCCTATTGAGGAGACAGGTCAAGATGGTGAGATATGTATAAGCGGACAGTGCCTATCAGCCGGGTACTTGCACAATGAGACTCTCGAGAAGCAACGCTTCGTGGAATATGAAGAGTCTAGACTTTATCGAACCGGTGATGTTGCTAGGTGGGTCAATACAGGGGATGGCCAAAAGGTTCTCGAACTCCGAGGTCGACAAGATCGGACCACCAAAGTGCGGGGGTTTCTTGTCAACTTGGAGCAGGATGTAGACCAGGGCTTGATCCAGTCGGACGCGGCTGTTGAGGCAGTTTTTTCCCTCATGATTGACCAGCAACTGTGCACCGCAGTGGTGGGGTCGCAGTTGGACACCGAGAAGCTCATCTCGAGCTGGAGAGAAAAAGCACCGCCATTCATGGTACCCGACCATATCTTTCAGCTGGATGCTCTTCCTACAACTCTCAATGGCAAGATCGATCCGCGCGAACTAGCACGAATCCTGGAGGCCAAGCTATCCCAATATTCTCAGCTCACACCTCATCCCACAACTCACTCTCTGCGGGATATCATCACGCAAGGCCTGTGCGATATACTGCACTGCGCTCCGTTTCGCATCGACCAAAGCCAGAGTTTTATTGCCTTGGGAGGGCATTCGCTTGCGGCAGCGAAACTCTCCACCTATTTGCGGCGACACGGTTACCAGATACCAGCACATGATATCTTGCTTCATTCCTCGCTTGAATCACTTATTGCGAAGTATGAGCAACAACGGCCAGAGACGGAGCAAATGATCTCTAGAGACAATGTTACCTCGGGAGTACTCTCGTCACTTCAGAGCATAATGGTGCTTGAAACCTTGGAAAATTCGTCTGCCAACGGGATTAGATACACCTCGTACTATCGTACTAAGGATATTGCGAAGTTGAAAGCAGCTTGGCAAAAAGTTGCCTCTGTGGAGCCTCTGTTCCGCACGGTTTTCCGCACGAGCGGCACACATCTCGTGCAAGAGCTAGAACAAGACCCAGCCTTCTTGTGGGACGAGGTCGTTGCATCTAGTTATGAGGAGGTAAATGCACATCTGGAAGCCGTATCGAAGACGACTGGTCTTGGTACTCGATTCTTAGTGTTGCATCTCACAAAAGATGGCCGTCCCATGGGTGAGAGCATGCTCGTTTGGGCTGTCCATCATGCCCTGATCGATGGTTACTCTGCATCTTTGATCTTCACCAAACTGGACGCAGCGCTCCAAGATCAGCCATTTCAAGCTTCTATACCGTACACGCAAGCGGCTATGGATCTTTGTGCGCTTCAAGAAGCCATGGCCGATGACATCGAAAGCTTTTGGAAGGATCAAAACAATCGTTATTCAGCTGCAGCGGGAGATCTCTTGTTTTCCCATGCATGTGGCCCAGCAGAAACGCCACGTCGGAAGGAGCATACGATCGAATTTGATATCAGTCCGGAATTTGTATCGCGTCAAGCTCGACAGTTATCAATCACCCCAGCCACCTTCTTCTATGCAGCGTGGGCTTCGCTGCTATCCAGCTACCTGAATTCGACGACAGTCATTTTCGGCGCTGTGTTATCGGGGCGCAATCTGCCTTTCTCGTGGGCTTCTTCAGTCATCGGGCCCTTGATCAATACTCTTCCCTTCCAATGTCAAGTGAATCGTTCTGTCAATAACTCAGGCTTCCTTCAAGAAATGCATGGTCTCATGCAAGAGCTTTCGAGATTCCAGCTGTCCGATCGTCCCTCAGATGTACCGCGATTCACAACAGTCATGACTGTTCAATATGCAGGCCTTCAAGAAGGTACTACCGCGCTTCCGCCAATACGCACGCCTTCCGTTCAGAACATGACGGATGCTCCATTGACCGTCGTGGTCGATATGTCCCTTAATCAGATTCGATTTCTTTACCAGGATGATCAGTTTCCATCACAAACGGTTCAGGACATAGGTGTCATTTACAATAACCTCTTGCGGGCGCTGACCATTGATTCAGAAGACATGTTGGGCACATGCTTAGCTCAAGGGTTATCTTCAAAGATGCATCAGAGGCTGAGGCGCTGGGGAAACCACGATCTAGACTCCACACATACTTCAAATGAAGGCCACACGTTGACCAGTCTCTGGAAAGGAGTCGTTGAGGCGAATGGCACCTCTATTGCGGTCGCAAAGAACTCAAAGACCATAACGTACGCCGAACTTGCATTCGCAGCAACCAGGGTTGCAAGTATGATCCAGCTACTGGCTGAGCCGGGAGATGTGGTGGCAATTTTCGCTGACCGCTCAATCAACTGGATCATTGGCGTCTGGGCTTGCATGGTTGCGAACACTGTGTATTGCCCTGTGGATGCTAGCTATCCGATGGCATATCAAGCACGCTTGTTACAGCAGAGCAAAGCTGCTGTTCTGCTCTTACCGCACCAATCGTCACTGCAGCACGCTGATATAGCACCTATCACCATCGCCATCGATAAGGTATTGCAGAGTAGCATCCGGCCGGTAAGAGAACCATGGAGGGTACAACGTTCGAGTGATGCAGCGTATCTTTGCTTTACATCGGGGTCCACAGGTGTTCCAAAAGGTATGTGTTCTCCAAAGCCGTCCGTGGTCGGCTAATATACTGACAACTTTCGTAGGTGTTTTGTGTGAGCATCGGGGAGTGGTTGCTTACCACTCGGCCTTGGAAACACGTTTGCATAGCGAGCCTGGTCGCCGAATAGCCCAGGTCTTATCAACGGCGTTCGACGGGGCTATTCATGAGATATTTGCCACGCTCTGTTATGGTGGAACCCTTGTTCTGCGCAAAGATGACCGAGACATGTTCTCTCACATCCGTGACGTGGATGTTGCTACATTAAGCCCGTCTGTAGCAGCGGAACTGGACCCCAATGAATTCCCTAACCTTGAATACGTCTGTCACCCTTCTTCCAAAGTTATTCCCACGAAGACAAGTGGCTAAATCCATATCCAGGTTTATCTGGTAGGAGAACCTGTCCCGCAAAGACTGGTCGATCGATGGGCAACTACGAAGCGCACGTTGTATAATGGATATGGACCAACAGAGGTACGTTAGTCTCTTGCTAATAATGTCAATGAGAACTGCCAATTGATATGGTTTGCCACTCATCTAGACCACCATCATCGTCTGCCAACAGAAATTGCGAGCGGGAGCTCCCGTCAACATCGGACCTCCTGTGCCTACTGCGCGGTTGTATATTCTGAATGATCATTTTGAGCTGCAGCCTCCAGGAGCTATAGGTCATATATTTGTTGCCGGTACCCAAGTCAGCCGTGGCTATTTCAATCTCCCTGACCTAACGGCCTCGGAATTCATGCTTGATCCGTTTGTCCGCGGAGCAGGTCATGAGCGCATGTACCGTACTGGTGATGTGGGATTTTGGGATGAAGAGGGCAATGTGCAACTGTGTGGACGTATTGATCGCCAGGTCAAATCTCGAGGCTATCGCGTTAATCTTGATGATGTTGCCCACGCCGCGTACCAGGCCATGCCCTCCATTCGAAAAGCAGCGGCAACTGCAGAAGACACCAGCATTATACTATTCGTCGAGCCTGCTGATGTCAATACTCACGAACTTCAGACAAGACTTAGATCCACCCTGGCACCTCATGCGGTCCCGCGAAGGATTGTTGCCCTAAGGAGCCTTCCTCTAACTACCAATGGCAAAATCGATGTCAAGGGCTTAGTAGCGCCAGAGTCTGACTCTCCTCAGGATAAGGAATGCCAAACTACGTCGGAACTTATAACCGCACAGTGGCGACAGTTGCTCAAGTTGGACAGCTCCACGGATATTTCAGGGTCGGATGACTTTGTCGGCCTAGGCGGAAATTCCATCCTGCAGCTCAAACTTGCAGCCCGCATCCGAAGTACTTTCGGCATACCTATAAGTATCCAGCACATCATATCTTCACCTACCCTGAAAGATATGGTCGGTGCAGTTGAACGACAAATAGGCATATCAAGCTCACAGAACAACCTGAGCGATGCGGTCGAGTCGTTGACTTTGACGCCTACAAGCGCCTCACCGACTGAAATTTCATGGATCCAGCGTTATATTGATTCGCAGTGCCAATCGTCCTTTAATGTCTCCTACACAGCATCTTTGCCGAAAAGTATCGATCTTCGGAAGATGGGTAATGCACTAGAAACTGTGCTGAATCGACACCACATCCTTCGATCCCGGTTCACGAATCTGCGAGGCCCCATCCGGCGAGAAATCGCACCAGAGCTCATACGGGTGGCCTTCACGCAAGCATTGCCTCTTGATCAAGTCATCAACAAGCCATTCAGCCTTACTTCCGAGGAAAGTCTTGTCACGGCCCTGATCGCGCCAGATTGTATGGTTCTGACAATCTCCCATATACTGTGCGATCTGACGGCACTGAACACCATTCTGGACGAAGTCACACAATGCTATCACGGGCAGTCGTTGGGCCCAGTAGCGCGTGAATATTTCGACGTAACCATCTGGAACGAGCCCATCAGCGAGGATAACAGAACATTCTGGCAGGAATATCTCCACGGTCTAGACATCCACCGCAGCCGGACGACGCAGAAGCGGACCTACCAGGGAACCTGGCAGATTCTGCAAGTGCCGGACTCCACGTTTCAAAAGCTGATCGCTTACAGCACCAAGGAAGGCATCACATTGCACCAATTCTCTCTCGCGGTGACAAGCTTGGTACTCCACGTGCTCTGCGACCGCGAGGATGTCGTGATCGGCTCTCCCTACATGAACCGCCCGGGAATCGAGGATCAAGGGGTGGTCGGGCTTTTCCTCGAGCCACTCCCCGTGCGAATCGCCCGCGTGCCGAAGAATTCGTCCGCCCGTACCATCGACTTCCTTCAGTATGTCCGCTCGGCCGCTCAATCAGCTTTGGCCCACGCCATTCCATGGCATCAACTGATGGAGCTATTCCAACTGCCCTTCCCGTCCGACCGCGACGAGATCTTCGACTGCGCTGTCAGCTTTCTCGACGAGCGAGACCGGTCGGAACATCTAGCCATTGACGGCGTTGTCTCCCAAGACGTTTGGTCGCAAGGTGCCAAGTTTTCCGTGCTTTTTGAGTGGCATGCCAGTGCCACGGGTTTATTTCTGCGCTGCGAATACGAAACCGATCGGTTCTCCAAAGAATACATTTCGGTGCTTGAACGAATGATTCTGGAGTCCCTAGAGCAGCTGCTGGAACCAAATGCTCTTCTTGCAGATGTCAAAGAGGTACTGAGACAAAGTCTGAAGCACGACTGTGAGGAATTGGGCCTTGAAGTCAGTCAAGTCTGTTCAATCGCTCGGGAGTTCATGATGGGGTCCTGAGGTGGGTGGGTAAAGTGGGTAAATTGATCATAATCTCATGATGCAGTTCTTTGCGGTAAGATCCAGAACGGGAAGGTGCTACGTGTAAGGTCACGTGCCAGGACTGGTGACATCGCCGACAACAATACTACAGCACAACAAGACATATCTATCTCGGAGTTATGGACATACTATCATTCTAATTTGGCCTACATATGTCTACTAGTGTTGTTCCTGCTTGTTTGATAACCAATCTTGTAGTCATTCCCGTGTCTAAGTACAAAGGTATATATATTGCTGAAAAGCGAAAGAAATAATTGCTACTAGGCCAGAGCTTCAGAATAGAAGTCGCCAAAGACTCAATTCATAGACAATACCGTGATACTCATCCCAGTATATCATGGAGAAAGAAGCCCAGGAATATGTTCCCCGCATTTTACACGTCAGGGGCTTTCAAGGAGCGGAGGATGTAGATGGATAGCCACGAAGCAATGTATGAATGATGGCAGTACCGAAGATCGATTATCGTCACATCGTTCATCGTCAAGTCGTTAAACGCATCTGACATTTGATTCAGAGCGCTCAAGCTGGCTGGCATTCGCCGCAAACCCAGTGATCACAAACGGTGCAACGGCCAGAGCTCAATGCAGGGTTGTTCTCCGAGCCACAGGCGCAGCAGATCCACCAGTCGTCCATTGACGGTCTAACGACGTCGGAAAAAGTATAGATGGGAGTGATGGATTTGACGACTGTAGTGATGGAGGGGTATTCTGAGGAGCAGACCATTACTACTGGGACGTGGTGATCACTAAGAGGTCACTTGATAGAGGTTTCATTCAAGATTGTGGGCAACGTTATCGCAGTAGAACTATGAGCCAGACCAGCGGACAGGAGTAGAATGACCGTTCTGCCCTCTTCAATTTCTGAAAGGCGTAATTGAACTTCTGACAATGATCGATCTTGAAAATTAACATGCGGTTCTGAGGCGAGGTTCTGATATTTCCAATTAATGAGTCAAAGGCGCAAGACTGTCCTACCTGAATGTATCAGATAGCACCGACTGACGGGCTCATTATCTGGGGGCCATGCACCCGAGTATGGTTGATGTTCGATATAGCAGAGCCCTGGCTAACATGGCAGCTGAGAGTAACAGGTTCATGGTCACCTGAAAGGATCGTGATGCCGGTCTTGCTTGAGCTTTACCACCCAGGCGGATAGCCAGAAGAAGCAAGAGAGACTGAGCATCGGGAGGCAGAATCACTTCGAATTTATGGGTAACACAGGGGATCCTAACACCTGATGATATCTGGCAATTCATGAGTCAAAGGGAGATCGTTCTGGCTTTGCAATGAAGCATAATTCACCGAGGAGCGGATACGATGCAGTAGATTTGAGCCTGCCGAAATTAGGCCCGTAGGGCGGCCAGTAGATCAGCTAGTCCTGTAATGTGGATTGCTCTTGGCTGTGGTTGGTCATTGGGTTATTGGCTGTCACTCTTCAGGGTGACTAGGTAGGTTTCTTGCTGGCTCGTTCAATTCGAGCTCTCTTCGACGTAGTGAGTCCCAAGAGAAAGAGTTCCGTATCCAATTTCCCAGAGAAATACGCATTGTCACTAGGAGGCAGCGATGTCAACGGCATGCGGGATGGTAAGGGAGGGGGTTGATTACATTTCTATCATGATAGATTATCATAATTCAAGATTCCGTGCAGCGAAGATCTCACGGGCATGACTTACTAGGAGGTGATTCATTACATTCTTCTTCCCGGTGTCACATCTGTTTCGAAATGCTTTCTAGCGATGGTGGAGACAAAGGCTTGTGAAACAGACTCCAGTCATCTCGGTTAGTGATGTTGAAGGCGCGAAGCAAAGTGCTGAGGCACACGACATAAATCGCGCACACGGGCCGGCTGGTGAAGCGATTCATGAAGCGCCGGAGGTGGGTAAAAGCGGCAGCCAGGACCATCTCTTGACCAGAGCAGCAGGTAGCCAGTGTTTCAAAGAGACCAATGTATGCCCAAGGCCTGCGAATGTCTGCCCTGGGTGAAGAAGCGTCCAGTGCCCTTAGGTCGACTCTCGGATCTGCCACGAGGCCGACACGACTTCTCTTGCGACCGGGGCCACTACAGGGCCAGCGTACCTGGTTCCCGGGTCTTCGAAGACCAATGTCGGCGTTCGAGAAGGCCTCTGGGGCGGATGCGGGTGCTGTGTTCCGCAATCGACCCAGATCAACTGCAAGAAATATCCATTGAGCAACTGTGATCAAGTACCGCCCCCTGGATCGACAGTACCCAGTGTTAGTGGTGGGAATTCAGCCTAGTCTAGAGGCGGGGCTTGTGAGGCTGTGACTGCTCCAGACAGGTCGCCTTCGTGTCCTTCTAGAAAGCCCACCCAACCCCACTGGCATGAGTCCGGACCACTCACAGTCCTTTAATGTTACTCGGGCTGATGTCGGCTCCGGCATAGGGCCATCAACAGCATGCCGACGGCCTCAGAACTTGCTCGGCGTGATGTCATCCGCTCCTTGCTTGGCGAGGCGTAAGACGGGACGCCGGATGATTAGCCCGGGCACGGGGGGGCAGGACTTGTGAAGGACACGAGAGACGGGAATGCGAGTTAGATCAGACCGAACTTGACCGCTAATATTTGACCCTACAGATGAATCTGCCATGCGAGATTTGCGGTGAGACCCGGAGTGTGAGCAAAGACAAGTGGGGACTCGATACAGTAGCACTGTACTGAGTAGATGGAGACTCGATAAGGTCCTCATGTTCTCGGCTAGACACTCAAAAGTAAGATTCGTCGAGTGTAAGAGAAAATGAAAAAGAGGAGCACATACACTTGGGGGTTCCACTGGGATGAGACAGAGAGTAGGACTGGAATGATCAGTGGACAAGACAAGACAAGACAACAGTTGAATACTCCATAGTGGGTGTGTAATCAAATCAATGGGTGGGCTGAAAGTTGGAAGCATGGATGATGAGGTAAGCTTTGTTGTTTCAAGCCACACAGGACCGTGGCGGGAGCCGAGAAGCAACCGTGGTTGGTCAATTTCTGGCATGCAGTGGCAGAATTGGCAGTGGAAGAACCGGACGGGAAGAACTGGCAGGGCACCGGCTGGCAGTTCCTATCCTGGTCGCTGCCTTAGGTTCTTCATTTTGGGCGCCTTCCCTCGGCTTACTCTTCCTTCCTTCCCTTCCATCATCCATCCAGACACGCCATTCATCTGCTGTACTATAGAGTACATACATTCGAGAGACAACTTCTTGAACTCAAGAAGACTTGGAATCTTCTTCTTATTCTTCCTGCACTTCTTTCTTGTCCCTCCTCAACATCATTTTCTTGGTCAGACAATTGCAAACTTCCCCCCCCCTCCCAGTGGAGATCCGTTCATATCCGCTCCGGTCTTGGTAGTGAGTGGATTGGGAATGGCATCAATCCATCTTCTCTGATTTGTGCACTGGCGACTCCTCCAGTCTTGCGTCACCATCTTCTCAAACGGGCAGTCCAAGGGTCTCGAGACTCCGTCTGCTCATCTTTTGCTGTATGCACTCCGCAGTGCTCTTCTGCTTCAAATCCTCATTCTGATCAACCTCTTGTCTTTCAGTCTGACTCCCCCTCCTTGATCCTCAAACCTTCTCCCCCTTGATCCACTGTCAATTTTGTTTCATCGGTCCGTGCTTACCAGCCTTTCATATATTATTGCCTGCCCTCCCCAGTTGTCTGTCGGGTGGCCTGTGACTTCAGGCATCAAGAACACTCAATTGACTTGAGTTTTCCTCTTTGTTTCTGCCACTGGTGGTGTGTCTTATCTGGAGATCTTTTTCGCCCCTCGGGCTTTATCGTCATCTTCTATAGCTTTCTGGCCTGGTGCCCAAAATAACCTTTTTCTCTTTCTCTCCCCAATCCACCAACCTTTCTTTTTCTTTCTGGTCGTATTTTTCGGCATTGCTTCCTCTTGCTCTGATTGCTCCCAATTTTTGTGTCCACGACGTCACAAAGCTTCTGTGACCACATACATTGTTCATCCGTTTACTTTTCCCCCGGTCGGATCTCGTGCGTTATTGTCTGCAAGGGTACAGAATATGGGTCCCGCTGTGCGTTACCGGCCCATGTCTCCCAACGGCTCGCGTATGATGGATCCGATGCGCGCTTCCACCGGCACAGTGCAGCTCAGCTCTTCCTACGATCCGTACGATCTCACCAATCGCCCGACACACGCAGGCTATCACCCCGATGTCAACTACATCCCATCCTACGAGCCACGATTTGCGCGGGAGCCGCGACTGGAAGCACAGCCAATTTCCTCTACAACGTACCGTGACTCGGGCCACTCGACCAAGTTGAGGACTGAGTACGCCATCCGTCCCAGGCAGCGGAGCAATACCGCATCCGCCGTCGAAATCCAGTATGCTCCCGGCCGATATGAGGCAACTGCATCCCCGTTATCCAGGGCGTCTCCAGTCATAGTTCCAGGTCATCACCGATCCCCAAGCCCGCAGCGAGACCCAGACCGCTACGTGGTGCCCGCATCTTCGCCCAGACACCACCACCCACGTCATCATGCACCCAACCCCGATTATGCAAGCGATACTGGTCGTATGGATTTGAAGGACAGGATGGCTATGGCACGGATCCCCCACAATGCCTACCCTGCCTATGAACACAGTCCTCGCTGGCGGTATCCGCCGACCGGTGGTCTTCGGAAAGGAGAAGACATTGATGATTATGACGCCTATTCTTATACAAACCCTCGCGAACAATTCGAGAAGGACTCGGCTGCCAGGATGCATCGTGTTTATCCAAGGGACAGACCGCTCAGCTTGACTGGCCCGGACGATCCGCAGTTGCAATCGAGGAAAGAATCGCGGGCCCTGGGGCCACCTCCCTCACAGAGAGGGTTTGATCGGATTGAAAAAGGAGGTCGTTTGCGCCGCTCAACCCATGGCTCGGCTGATAGCGATGTGGAGAGCTCTAGTGCTCGACGGCAACGAGTCCCAGTGTCTTTGCACCAGGACCTTGATGAAGGTTACTCTTCTTACCGGTCTGAGCACGAGGACCATCGCCATCGTCGGCATCGACACAGGCGCCACGATGACGATCGCTACTCTCACGACGAACGTTCGTCGCGGAAGTCTTCATCTAAAGCTTCAGTCATTTCCGGGACGAGCACTGGACTGGGAACCGCCGTTCTAGGATACCCTGACGACTTTGATTACGAGCTATCTCCTCGGACCGACCACCATCGGTCTCATGTTCGGAGCGCCCGTGACGATGAGAATAGGCGGCACCACAGTCGGTCCCGGAGACGACGGTCCCGACGTCGTGATGAGAGTGACTCGGATTCTTATACCTCGGACGAAGACTTGAAGAAGTACCGACGGGAACCATCGGCCCATAGAAGGCGAGATGGCTCCGATGCTTCGGCGAGTAGCAGCGACCGGGTGCCTCAGTATCTGAATGTGAACCACGCTTCTCGGCATCGCTCTCACTCCAGACGCCGCCCCGAGGAAATATCGGTCAAAGATGGAAGCAGGCAGGAACGATTCGGCTCTCCGGATGAGCTGAAGAAGTCTGACTCGGCAGCGGCGAAAGATCAGGAGCCACCTACCCCCAAGGGTATTCTGAAGCCGCCACGTGCCAAATTTCCCGAAGAGCCAAACCCTGTGCGAGAAGGTGTTGCCCCTCTGAAAGACGCTCACAAGAAGGGTATTCCTCCCGGTGCTAGGTGGACGAAGATTGACCGGCGATTGGTTAACCCTGCTGCTTTGGAGCTTGGCCGTGAACGATATGAGGAACGCTCTGAATATGTCATTGTCTTGCGCGTGTTGACCAAGGAGGAGATTCAGGCGTATGCCGTCAAAACGCAGGAAATTCGAGGTATGTGCATCGGCATTTGGTTTGCTGATGAGTCTGGATACTGACCATTCACTAGATGCTCGTCATCACGAGTACATTCAAGAGCGACGTCGACGCCGCGAGGAGGACCGTCGTCGAGGACGCAAAGTTGACGACTCCTCGAGCGACGATGAAGACGACGGCTCGGATGGATCGCCCTTGGCTATTGAGGCATCATCCGAGTCCAAATCCATGCCGAAGGTGCCGGCAGATCCCGCAAAAGCAGCGGCGTGAGCGGAGAGCCAGTCGGAAGATTTTCTCATCCGAGAAACCGTCTCCTTTACTGGTCCCTGTGTAGTAATATCTCTGATTACCATGTGATCCCATCCCAGTACCAAGTAGGAGCGACGCGATGGTCGTGAACGACAACGGGATGCGTGACGACAGAACTGTGGATAGGAAGGGCGATTCATGTTTCGACTATTACAGCAGGTGCATTTGGCTGCTTGTACGAGGGCGCTGGGGCGACCAAGCAATTGATACTGTCTCAATGACAACTGGGTCTACCGCATGCAGTGTACAGTCCTACGGTGCTATTATTCGAGCAGAGAGCTGGAGTGGAAAGCTTCAGCCAAATATTTCCAGGCGGACAGACGCCATCTGGTCTTCTGACTATGTGCACGCCATGGTGACACGGTGCCACCCGACCGCATCGCTGACTGGCTCTGCTGCTGCGCGTGCTCAAGGAGACAAACTCCCAAATCGTGGGTATCCGATACCTGGTGCTACCGCCGACCGAATCCGGTCAACCGAAGAGTACCTGCTGAGCAGAGTGTCTTGTACATGTGGCCACGATGGTTGGTGTTGTGCAGCATGGTTGGATTGGAGTTCTGGTCGAAGTCAGAGGGAATGGGCTTTGGTTTGTCCTGCAGGTGACTAGGACGATCCTTTTTCTTGGGTGACATGGCTACCGTATATACATCAGTTTTTTTTCTTTCCACGACTCCATGCAGGTCTCATGTTTGTGTCTATAGTATATTACCGGTGCAGTTTAGAATGTTGCCTAGGGTTTGCGACGCAATTCGACACGATTCTGTGAGATTTCTGTGGTGTGTAGGCCGATCTGGCATCGCCTTACCGAACTATTGGATGCACCTGGATGAAACCTTGTGGTTGTCAGACCAGAGCGACCGGGTGAGGCAGCAGGGAATCCACGGGACGACAGGGGTGGAGGTTGGGGGGAGGAAAGAGGTCTCTTCACCAACCACCCTATCTCTCTTTTCCTCGCGCAACGCAAAAAGCAGTCCCTTCCTTTCCCCCATCCGACACGGACCTCAGGAGGCAGTTATTTTGTCAAGTAAGAAACGCAAACAACAAACCAATAACGCCCCTCGGAAACGAACGGATCCGGAATGTACAACAAACAAAACCTAAGCCTAAGACCCTGATAGTTCATCGCAGCGGCGAGAGCCTGTCCCAAGATTCGCCATCGCCCTGTCTATCTGTCTGCTGTCAGGTTGTTGATTGGCCTGGGTTATCTTGTATACAACGATGAAGGTATGATCTCAGCGGCGCGGAGATTTTCCATTCTTCTTTACGGAGTAGATGGTCAGTGGGGAGGTATCTACCGACATAGTCGAATCGAGAGAGGTATGCACAGTACACTGTGTCTACGTGCTTGTTTACATCTCGCGAGAATAGCCTACCTACCTCTATCGTATTCCATGCATGCTTGTATGTATCTCAGTAAAGATAGCGAGTGTAGTAGCGATAGGTTTGTTTGCGCGGTGGAAACCCGCTTTGTGTTGACGAAGAATTGTTTGCTTCTGCTCTTACCTAGGTAGGTAAGCATGGGGCGGGCATGACAGCCATGAGCGTCGTCTGCCAACTCCATGTTCTGTCTCTGGGGAATCTACCTGAATTAGCTAGGGGGTTTTCTGTGGCAATGGGGAGATGTTTGACGGTTCTACTCTGGCACAATTTGTTGTTGCTCTGGTACAGTACCAGATGCGGGGGTTTGGTGGACTTACAGACTGTATATACCAACTGTATAGTGTTGAACTGAGGGGAGGGGGGAACTGTGTCTGCTCAAAATGCCTTATACTCTCTTTGAGAAAGAGTCGAGTATACCTAGGGGGTGTTGCAATAACCCCCAATCCAGCGGGATAATGTATATGAAGTAAGTCCCTATACCCATCCATAAGAGAGCTAGTTATACCTACCTATAACATCAACACAAACCAAAGAAACCGTTCCCAGCACCCCTTGACCAGTGACTAGACCGACCACCACGAGCAAAAGCGAAAACAATCCCATTATCCTCCACCATCCCCTTCCATCCCATGCCATCCCACCCCTACCTCCCAGTACAATACCCGAAGTATGCACAAGGTCCAGGATCTAGCAAGAAACCACCTATGACTCGCAGCCTTCCCTCGTCCCAAAGAAACCATCAGATCAGGAAGGAAGACACCTACCGTAGGTAGGTACAGTAAGTACATACCTTAACCACGGTAGAATGGAAAGGATGCGGTTGGTCGATAACCCCTAGACCCGACCTTACCTAAGTAAATGCCGCGATGCTTTACCATGCTTGCATGTTTGCATGTGCAATGCTAATCTAAAGCTGACGCTAATGCTAACAGACAGAGACAGTGAAAAACAGATTGACGTTGGCAGTTTGAAGGAGAGGGGAAGGGGACAAGGGGCTGGTTGGGGGTTTGTCCTGTCTGGGAAGGAGATCTTCCTCCAACCAGTCCCATAGATACTTTCTTTGTTGTTATGAGGGGTGGCCCAGTTAGGCCTGATGGTAGCGGGATTTGTACTTATCTTTCATAGTGTTGTGGGTGGTTGGGTGGGTGATCGGGGTTTGGTTGTGTGTTCTTGTCTACCGGGTTTACGTTTCCGGTGGGCTCTATTTTGTGGAATGTATACAGTGTGAAGATACATACCTTGAGCAAAATAGAAGGGAGAAAGGACTGAGTATAGTGGAAGAAATGTATGTCCTCAGTGCGGAAAGTGTTTTTCTGTCCACGGTAGGTGTAGTTTCTGGCCCCGTCAGCGCACGCAGTGTGTAGTCTATCTACCTGATATCTACCCATCTTGGACAAGTAACTACGAGTAGCCTGTAGACTACCGCAATAAGCAGTAGCTACCTAGTCAGTCTCATCCTTACCATGTGCTAACCACAATATTCCCCAACGCAAGACACACTCCCCACCACTAAGTAAATCGTCGAATTCGGATACGTATAACGCAAACACCTAACAGAAAAAGCCTAGACCACCAACTATCCCCTCCTCCTTACGACGGGACCACCCACAATACTAAACCAGGATACCTCATAGTCGAAAATCACCCGTTCCTTAGCCGTCGTCAGTGCGTAGGGATTCGCCCAGTCCACCCTGGCAAGTTGCAACGGATACTAAGGATTAAACCTTGGTCGAACCGCCAGCCACACACAGAAAGGAAATTAGGACCGACAACGCCCTATGCACCTAGTCATGTATGTTCCATGTGGGATGGTCCGCTGTCAGACCGGGGAGGGGAGGGGAGGAAAATAAAGAGGGCGTGAAGGGGGGGAATTTCCATGGATGTCTGTCTGTCTTTCTTTGCAAGAGGAGCGAGAGGGGGTGGTCGGTTTACGTATGTAAAGTAACGGTTAAAACGGGATCTCTAACCGTCAAATGGACTAGCAAGAGAGAGAGAGAGAGAGAGAGAGAGAGAGAGAGTCTGGGCCCGTGACATCCTTCTTTTCTAGTTCGCACTTGGGATCGGGGTAATTAAGTGGAGGGAGAGTGTGGGTTGGGCTAGCAGGCCTCGGACGGTTAACTTCATCTTGTTTGGTTGACATTGAGAGACAGTAGAGTGGATGAAAAGACAGGTAGGAATCGGCGATGGCTCACCATCCACAATTGGAGAACGAGACTCCATTTCCGCGGCGGATGGTGGGGCCGCACAGCCGGTCACTGCCACTAAACTACGAGAACGCCGTCTTAGGGCTCGGCCGGGCTTTCAAACGGCCCAAGGGGTTGCCATGTAGACAGGTCTTGACATGTCGTCTTCATCATGGTTGTCAAGACATAAGAAGAATCCCCGGAACAATAAGAATGGCAGGGAAAAAAAAAAAGAAGAATATGGACCGTATATCGTATCGGTAGAAGCTGAATGGAAGCAGAGGAACGCCCAAATAGGTAGGTCGAAAGCGATGAAAGACAAGGAATGATGACCACTTACGTATCCTCCCTTCCCCTCAATTTAACCTGGAGATTAGTTCACAAACAACGACCCTTCTTCTCCCATCAAAATCATGACGAACATCCCACAGCGGGATTAATCTCGAATCACAGTGCTCGGTTGGAAGCCAGCAGAATAGGCAACTAACCTAGGGATGACGGTCGAGAAACAGCCCTGCAACGGCAATAATCAATAGCAAACAAAGCAGCAAACCTATTCTTCGGATTTGAGCCGGTTTCGTGGACGCAGAATCATGTCCGGACGAAGCTGTAGCCACCACCTGCCCCCCTCCAATCCTGTTCGCAGTTCGCACACTCACCACACCCACACTAAACCTTCGCCGGTTGACCGGGCACGGCGTCCGGACGAGTCCGACTCCGATGAGGGCCAGTCTCGCTAGACTACCTTCAAGGTTAACTTATCCAAGCCCCGTAAGCTAGTCTCACGATGATTGGGCCCCCGTCATCGACAAGCAGGTTGACCTTTCTGCCTACTGATAATCCTCCGATGATCAATGGCACTACCCGGACTGAATCGGCTCCAGTGCGGAGAACAATCCCACCCTCCCGTGGAAGCAGGCAGTTTGGCGTCTGGCTTGGTCCCTGGCACGCAAAGGGTATTCCGTACAATGTCCATCATTCTACCAGAATTGCCTTCTACAGCCAGCCAGGTTTAGTTTGCGATCCGTCGGGGAGGGAGGGGAGAGAGGCTTAAGTGATGTGGCGCATTCGGGCAATAATCGGCCCCTGATGGTCTAGAATGACCCGGTTGGGAGTCTGCTTGCTGGCTGATGTATGGTGGTTGTGGGCGTCGGTTGCCCGTTCCTATCCACGGAAATCTGGGTGGTTTTTTTTTCCAAGTCTCGAGTCGAACCTGCCGCTGAGTCAGGGGATCGTAACGTGCGCGACACGACATCAACAAAGAGATGCGCGTAAGCTTAGTCATCAAACCAAAAGTAGATTCATGGTCGAGCAGTTGCTTCTCCAGGTTAGAAGCGCATTTGGTCAATGGGATCTGTCATTTCAAGCAGTGCGAGTCAAGCGGGACCGGCCCAGGACACTTGATGGCCCTATACCATGTTTGTATAGGGCACGTTCACTTTTTTTTTTTCGCGGCCCTTCCCATGGAAAATGGGGCCGCAGGTATGGAGAATCGACGGAGCCGATCCGGCCGAAGTCGAGACTCGAGCTCTCAGTTGCTGGCAGCTGCAAGAATTAGAAAGACAGACCAGAGCGGAGCTCCAGCGGGAGAAGCCTTCGGTGCCTAGATCGCGATCCACGCGCAAATCTTGTCGGAAAGTATCGGCCCTGTCGAAGCTAAGCAAGCAGCGGCAGTAATGCTGCTGCTGCTTGCTGCTAATCTGGCGACGTTTAGGTTGAGTCGGAAAAATAACTCAGTCCAACACAACAACAGCCTTTCCCTCCCTCCCCCACACCTCTTCCTTCTTTACCCCCACGGAATTTAACTTTGAATATGGTGGTGGTTGCATTCGGGGAGATTAGACATCCGCCATGGGCTCATGAACCATGAACCATTCCCACCACCCGCATCCCACTCCCCCCAAAAGCCCCGTCATTCATCCATGGTCCGCGTTTTCCCTCCCCGTGATTTGAAATCAACAGCAAAGAAAGAAAAGTGAAGTAAACACGATCGGCACGAGATTGCCGAACGGCAAGGTACCAGGTGAGAATCAAATATTCTCCACCCAGGGTGGAGGAAGACCTTCATTTAGGTGAGGTGTCTTTGTTTTCTTGTCCCCTTTTTAGAAACCCGAAAACGGCGAGCACAGCTGCGGCAAGACTACGGCAACTCAGTCGACGACGACAATTTCTAGCCTCTAGGGCTGGTCATAGTCTCCTGCCAAGGAATATAAGCCGATCAAGATTGCATTCATCCCAGTCGAAAAATCCCGGTTCTCCATGGGGGAGATATGGTCATGGATGAATGGGGAGGGAGGTGGTTGTTAGTTTGTTAGTGCTCCATCGCTGAACAAGACATGGTGTGGGTTTGGCTGACTGACAATCGCGGGAAAGCCGTCCGGAAGGGAAGGAGGGGGGAGAGGTGGGAAGGTATCATGGCCGTACTGTATGTACAGTACAATACTATACATACATACGAACATACATACATACATAGCGATTAGTGGGATCTTGTCTCACTATGGATGGATGACGGGTCTGGATGGCTTTAGCTACAGCAATTGATTGCTGCCCCCAACGGTTAGAAAGCCAGTCAGACCAATGAATAAATCGAATTGACACCGGAGATGTAGTGGTCTGAGAAGCTATTCTACATCCAGCTAGTGTTCGTAAGAAGTGACGCTGCGATGATGATTATCTAGTCTAGTCTACTCTACCCTAAGGGAACGGCCTCGACGGAGGCTATCACAGACTACTACTAGCCTGTGGAGACGCAACTGCGGGGCAAATGCCAGTGGCTGGCCCCGGTTGAAGCCAGGCCAATATGTTCTGTCCATTCCATGAAGTGCTGGTCGCTCGTCGCCGGCCTTACCAGAGCTGATCAACAGACCAAGTCAAGCAGCCGAGAGGAGGAAAACAGGGAAGATGATAAACGCACTCTGAACTCTGTTTGAGAGACAAAGAAGGTACCGGCATCTAATTCATAAGACAGCTGACTGCACCCGACAGCTTTGCCCCGGTACTTGAAGCGAGCCGGATGATCCCTCGAGGTTCGGCCAGTGGACAGATGGACTCGCACTACTCTAACCTCATTCCCACTAGACTTTTCGATGTAATTGATGGGTGAGACAGGGATTCCGCCTTAGTATGGCTGTTTAATGCAGCGGCCAACGTGATGTGCATGCCTCCCCCAGCCGCCGATCACTGCCCTGAACCAAGCTACCAGGGTTGATCAGAGGCACGACGAAGGGAAATGAAACAGTGACGGTAGTCTAGAGAAAAGGAAAACAAAGAAAAGGAAAACCAAGGGAAGCTAATCCGGGCCCACCTTGATTTGCAACCGCAGCGGCTACTGCGACCGTTTTCTTAGGATGCATGTACGATCGTCTCTCTTACCTGTTCTCGGTTGGCAGACTCGACAGAGAGCAAAGAGGGGAAGAGCGGAGTGGTTAACACCCGGAATACGAGTCATGGACAGCAAAAAGCTGTCTCCGATTGCACCGTTCATCAATGCCTCAAAATTTCATCCATTAGTATCCCCAACCACTGGATGGCCATGAGAGTGTGGGCGGAGACGCCGAAGGGTCGCATCACCTGCCCTTTCGGAAAAAAAAAAAAAAAAAAAAAAAAAAACCTCCTGCTTGAATTGGAGCTCCTAAACAATAACAAACAGGAACTGATTAACTAGGGCAGGGACAGCCATTTGAGTCAATTAGCGTACTGTAGTCAGTAGGTTGACTGGCCGGTCTCTAAGAAGCTCAACCCCTGGGGAATCTCAATTTTAGTAACGGTCCCGCTGCATCAGCATCATCAACAATCCTAGTGTCGCTTGCTAGATCCGAAATCTAAGGACTGGATCCGCCGGGGCAGTCGATCTGGGTGGAATCCAAGGGACTCGCCAGGCCAGCTTCTGAGCGAGGTTCGGCTGATCCGCCCAGGGGTTTTCTGCTGGCTTGGAGTTTGGACACCTCGCCGGAAGCGGAAGCAGAGCCCCCCGTCGTTTGGTTCAGAAGAGTGGCTCCTGGTCTCTGCTCTAGCGAGCTTGATGTCGTTGCTGCTCCGCTTTCCCCTGTCACTTTATGCGTAGGTGTTAGTTTCAGTTGTTTGAAACCTCCCTAGCCACTCAATCTCGTAACCTCTAACAAGTCGACGCCAGTCTCCTGGAGGCAGGACTGGCTAAGAAAAACCAGGTTTGTTTATTCGCACGCGACAGGCGGTCACGCTAAGGAATCCCGAGCATTTGATCAGGTAAGTCAAACGATAGTTCAAGGTAAAGTTCAGTTCGTTCGCAGGCCGACCGCTGTACCGTATGGATCATTGGCGAAAAGCTAAACGGCATCGCATAGGGTGTCCGTCTCCTCCTTGACAGACAGCTGCAGTTACCTATCGATGCCTGGCCTCCATATCCACTTAGTCCAGCAAACTTCGACCGAAGGGCACCTCACCTGGTCCCATAAATATCATGCTAGCGACTAACCGCCAGCAACTAGTCGGTACTGGTAGTCCGCGCGCTGGGCCGGCCACCAACCACTGCTAATTTCCACCAATGTAATCGACACGCCTGATCGTTTGGGGACACGGCCTCTCCGCAATCTTCCGTACGGGGTTGAGCAGGTCACTTTTCTCGCCTTTGGCCTGAGTAGAGATGTAAAGGGCTGCGAATATAGTCATCCCGGCAGACAACGAACCAGGGAAGAGTCGGGACAGAGGGCCATCTATAAGATCGGATGATAATCAAAAGGGGCGGGAGAAGGGCTGAAAGATAAAGTAAAACAGCAGCAGCACTGACTGGCGTATCTCTCGGGGGCTGTATGTCTCGCGGAGCGGTACTGTATACAGACTGTATTCGTTCTGTAACATATGGTTCCGACATGACCTCGGTTCCGTGTCCCCTAAAGCATTTGTGCACCAAAGCTTCTGTTCATGGTTGCCCCTCTTCTGATGCTCTTTTGCGGCGAGTCTGGGCTTTCAGGTTTTTCGATATAGCGTAGATAATGACTCAGGGGAAGCGAAAAGACAGAAAAGAGCTCTTCTGAACCAATGATGCTTGGTGTGATGTATCTGCCGGAAGAAACAATTATCAAGAGGGAGGTGGGAAAGAAGAAAGCTGGAGGGAAGCTAGAGCTATACTAGCTAATAGTGAAGAATCAAGAAACCGGCCGGGGGCGGCAAGCGACCGGGGCAAGCCATGGCACTTTGGACGCCGTCTCAAACACCCTGCATCGATCACAGTCTGGCATGCCAATGGCAATCTCAACAAAGTCTGACACCGTTGCTTGCGTTTGCGTTCAGGCTAAGAACTCCACCCGCCCGCGAGCATGCCATACACATGGCCTCCCTGAGGATGTGATACTTTCGGAGACTCGACCTCTCAAATTCGGGAGCCAGTCATGCGGAAAACAGAATGCCTCGATCACAACGAGTCTACTAGCGCTGTAGAAAACACCTACTACTTTCAGCTTCTCTCTGTCTGATATCTCTCTCACCTAGAGAAGAACTGTCTGTGAGTCTGTGATATTGTAGTCTCCAGATGAGCACTGACACTGGGGATGCTCCACGGCCCCAGTCAATCAACAACAACTGCGCGGACCTGGTGAGGCACTCGAACAGAAAGAGCTAGTCCTGCATACAAACCATTTAAGGTGTAGTTCGCGACAACGATCTCAAGCCATCGGACAAAAGGAAATCCATATGCGTAGCATAGTACAAGCGATGCTCACCCACTGAGTGCGTGGCGCATATGTTGTGAATGGCTGGTCGAAGAGCACAGCATGGGTTGAACAGCGGTTGGCTTATCATCCGAGACAAAAGGTTAGTTATGACGAGCCCTGACATACATATGTACCGACAGGCTTAAGTGGAATCGATGCACGAGGAATGTTCCTACGGAGCCTGGCTTGGCTCAAAGGGGCAAAGCAGAGCATCGACAACCAGAGAAAGCCAGTTAAGTCTTCCCCGCCCCACTGCTTCGTTTCAGTTTATCATTGAGAAGCACTCGACCATCGGTAGGGGCCGTAGAAGCGTTCGACCTGGGCTTCAAAGCATGCCCTTTCTCCCCTGACCCACGCCAAGCCCCACTTCCGATGAAGCTATAGTCTGATTGTGCGGAAGCCCGGTGGAGCCAAGCCACAGTCTTTGACAGGGCGTCAGGGCCAACTTTCACATCTGTAAAGGGCGTCTGGGGCGATTGACGGGAATCTGGTGAGTGGGTAGATCTAGACAGTTGATGACTGACCCGTGTGATCCTATAAGCCCATCCCTCTTTAATTAGATGTGAACAAGTCTTGGCTTCGAGAAGGACTCGATCCTTTCCGGGAAGGTTCACCTCTTCCCTCGAATTATTGACTAGGTAAGCAGAAGTTAAGGCATGATGCAGAAAGCTAGCTGCCGGGCAGCGGCAGGATCAGGAGCCCACCGAAATGGCAATGATTGATCAGCCGCTTTTCAGTCTCTGGGCTGGGGTTACACAGTCAATCACCTTGCTGGCCCTCTCGGGAAGCGATCGCGGCGGCAGCGAGGAAGTGATGATTGATGAAGTAGTCTTTAGACTTATGAAAGTGGTATGAGAGAATGAATCAAGTTCATTTGACCTGCTCACCGGTGGAGGGTGAACCTGGAGGCTGTCTGATTTTTCTGTAAATGACTTGGTGGTTAAGTGATACTGTGAGCGATGACGGCATTCATTCGCAATACATTAAGCAGTTTCATCCTAGGCCTGAACTCAACGGGATCTGGTCCGTATCCCCTTCTGTGGAGGGTTAGATGATCTTGACTGATGGATGGAAGAAGGCTACTAGTAAGGAGTGGGTGGGATTGAAAGATGTGGTGGTGTGGCGCTTGGAGGGAACTTGAAGTGAGCACAAGGCTGACAGCAGCAAGTCAGATCGGCAGTTTTCTTACCGGAGTGTAACCAGATCGTGGCGGGTCGCGTATGGCGGTATTTCTGTCTCTGGCCTGGCTGTCCCGTGAACCGAACGAGGCCGTAAAGATTGTTAGTCAAGAAAAAATAAATTAATAAATAAAAGAAAATCAGAAAGCTCAGAAATCAAGAAATCAAAAATCAAGAATCAGAGGAAGCAAAGAAGTGATGGGGCTAAGACAATCAATCAATCAGTTCTGAGGGATTAAAATCGAACTGCTGATGCAGGTGTGATTCTCTTATTTTAGTCCAGGAAGTAGGCCATTTTTAACCACCCCCCCAACCACCACCAAGCAGCTACTGTGCAATTCCCTCCGTACATATCTGGACGATCTCATCGAGGCATCGAGGCAACAAAGTGGAGGCAGGCTGTCAGGGCACTGGCCTGGCCACTCCTCAAGGAATATTGCCGGTGTCTATCAACTGCAATTCGGCTTTCCCCTGGACTGTCCAGGTGCGTAAGACATAAGTCTCTGACCTGAGGCCCCACTGGTGCTGCGCTATAGACTTTTGACCAGGCTTTTCTGAAGTCCTGATAGACAAGGAAAAAGAAGGATGAATGGAAAATGGTACTCTGTACAATATGGCAGGTGTGCTGTACTGACTGTACAGTACCTAGCATTTACCAGACTAAAACCAAAATCAACGGCTACTGTATCGTGCCTAATCCTCCCGCCGCCAATCTTCTTCCCATCGTTGTTCATTCCAGACCAGCCAATTCTTGCCTCCATCGCAAACCTAAATGACTACCTTACCTGAGGTGGGGATCGCAGCCCAAACATGCCAATGGGGGATTTTTCAACCCATCTTCTCTGGGTTCTCCTGGGAGGAATCCTCCGGCTCTGGTCAAAGTTGACTGACCTACAGTACAATCCCGAATCGGAAAGATGGAGGCAACACTGAACGAAACAGATTGAATCCTCGATGAAAATCGAATGATAGATAGGTTGTTTGGCCAGCACGATCTATCACAGACACAACGATACTCACCCTCTAGACAGACCCACACCCACCGAACCTTACTCCCATGGCCCCTCCCCATGCGTGTCTGCGGCGTGGGAATAATAATAGACAGTTCTTACTCACTTAGCTGCAGGTTCTCTGACAGAGCTCATTTAAGGAGGACCAGAATGACAAGCAATTCCAGACCTGACTAGATTGCAGTAAGCATTTAAGTCTGTATCATCGGTTCGAGGGGACTTTTCTGTCGGCACAGGTTTAATTGCCAGCCCATAGTTAGTTTATACTTACGTAGGAATTGTCGTTGGCACACTCAATCAATACTCGACTATCCAACAAACAAATAATCTAGGGTAAACGGTAACGTTCTCTGAGCGGCTCATACATCCGGTCTTCTCTTGGACTGTTCTTGTCCTAGTCGAAAGGGCTCTAGAGGATTCAAATGCATTGAAATCTGCGATCATTTCGGGTTTTGCATCGGATGCCGATTTCTTCATTGCTGGGCCTTGCTGGTCCTTTGTTCCGTCTTTGTTCGACCTTTTTCCGTATTCGAGTTCAATGCTTCTTTAGATTCTGCGCTATTTGCCCAGTGTCAAGTACAGTTGCAGGAGTTCCTCCTTTGCATCCCCATCACGCCATCCGCCTACCCACTTCAATAGGATTACTTTTCCTATCAAACAAACATCGAACCCCAAAAAGGTTGTTCGAGGACTAAGTGCAAGTCCAACAGCCTGTCTTAACTGGAAAAGGTTTTCCTTCTTTCTTTCCCTTCTGCCCCTCTCTTTTTCTTGCTTTTCCCATACAGTGCACTGGTCCGATCCTTTTTCTTCCTGTGATTCCGTTAGTGTCGCTGCAGGTTGTGTGCTATGCCTTGAAGGCGTTTGAAGATCGATGTTATCTGCCACGACCAGAATTTAACTCGTTCGTTGATGCTGGCCTGGTAGAAATTCTATCTCATACTTGCGATTGTCGCAATTGCTTGTGGCCAATCTGTCCTGCGTCCATCCTGGTCAATATTACACCACCTTCCCGCTAGTAACAAGCTCGCTCTGATATCTCCACTAACCACCAAATCCCTCTAACGCTGTCCTGCCCTCCATCGCTGCTGTTTTTGATTGCCCTTTTTCTGTTTTTAATTTTAATGTCGCAGGGTATTATTTTGATCGTTTATTTTTCTTCAATCTTCTTATTTCCTTTTTTTTTTTCTTTTTCCTCAAACGTCCCCTCTTCTCCCCTCCCCCTCTCCCTTCATCTTTGTTTTCTCTTTTCCCAAAGATCTTAGTTTGTATTCCATTCCTATTGCGGGAAAGTTGTTGATTGGGAACCTCCTAGCTGTGGTGCTGAAGGATGGGTCTCTTGCGCAGCTAAATAAACGACCCTGGACCCTCCACATTACACTCGCACTCGCATCGCACCGTTAAACTCAGCCCAGGCCTTTGCTTTCTCATCTTCCCACTGACAATTTACCCACCCCCCTCCCCTTCACTTCCCTTCCCCTCCCTCCCCCCCAGTCCAGAGCCACACAGACCATCGAGCCACTACCGTTACTTGCCTTACCCTTCAGCCTCTCTTTAACTTTGGTGGTTTTTACCTGTTCGTCTTTTCCTAGTCAAGATATCCTTCCCGCAAACCGTTGTGGTGCTCGTTCCCTTCCTTTCCCTCCCTCTCTCCATTCATTTACTTCCTTCATCCTCCCATCGGAACTCGACGTGGAAAAATAAAACCTTGTTCGATGTCTTCTTGACTTCTATTTTCTCTATATCATTCTTTACTATTACAAGAAATACAAAGCAAGAACGAAAAAGTCAATACAAGAAGGAAATCAACAAAGGAAAGGAACTGCCTGCGACGACTCAGCACCCGAACGCCCAGACAAGGAAGACATCTACTCCTGAGGCCATTTGAGGTCAGTCATGACCGGCATGGTTCAGACTGACCTGGCTCATCCTCCCGCACCTAAATTCAAAGACGAGCCTGCAGAGGATCCCGTGAGTGCACTCTCTATCTCTTCGTTCATTGCCTTATACTGTGAATTGATTCTCCCTTGCTCTGTCATGTTTCTGTGTTTTACTTGTTCCATATCTTCCCTTGTCATCGCGGTCCTCTTATAGCTTTGTGGCTTGGCCTTTTTTCAAGGGCAACCCAGTCTTGCGCACATGATTCCTCCTAGGAGGCACCTGGTCGAAACTGGCAATATCAACCCCGACCATAGCCCGACAAGCAGACTTGTCATTGTGTCTCACAATCCCTCTCACGACAAGAAGCAAAAATTGTTGTCGGCCAAAGCCTGATGAATTCTGTTGTGCGTTGATCGCGACTGGCCACTCCATCGTGGCAAAAGCTCCAAATCTTTCGCAGCCTCAATCCTTTACTCCACATGCCAATGGTTCTAGGCTGCATCACAAAAGCTTTCTGGAGTATGTTATTGACGCCCATGCATGCGTGGCTTCTGGAGAGTTCTTGGTGAAGCCGCAGATGGCCAAAGCTGAAGTCCCCCGCCTGCCTGAATTCCCATTGAAGATCCCGAGATGCTTCCCGATGTCACACTGGGTGCAATTCTGTCTTTCTGCTATGCGGAATGGCTCGAGGGGCATCTTTATGTGCCTGCCAGTGACCAAGAGACCGATGTGCTTACGGAGGCAAGGAAAATGCAACCAGTGTATTGGACCAGTTTGGTGCTCTTGGGATATGATTGTAGTCCATGGCGGGAAAGTTATGGACTTGTCCTCATTGCTTGAGGGACACAGAGCTTGGCTCTTTCCTTAGATGCTGCCCTTATCTCTCCCACAATTCTTCAAAGTTCCTGAACTGGGTTCTTGTTTCTATACACGGTTTTCTTACTTTACGTCCCCTAGATTTGCACTGGGCAGGGGGTGATCTCTGATAATGACGTTTTTTTTTTTTGCTCCTGACGCATCAAAACTCTTTACGCTGGGACAATATCGTCCACGCCATTGATTAGTGTTTAGGCTAACAAGTTGCTCCCTTCAAGCTTCGACATCAAGGCACGCAACACCCCCATCTTCAGCATCCCAGACCCACAACCCTCATACAACCTCCAAAACACCCGGGTTCTCCCCACCAGCCACCGACTACCTTGCCTTCCGCGTCTTACACTTCTCACACATTATCGAACGGTGTTCTGCATCATCCCTACGCGCACACCCAGGAACAATCGTATTACACGCCACATTCTTATACGACAGCCAGTGCACCGAGTCAGTACCCCTCGAGCGGTGAGTGTACAGCGTTAGCTTTTGACTACATTTTCAGAAGTGACGACTGATCTTCGATATAGGACCCCCCGAAATCATGGCGACCGCCGCGCAAATGCAGAGGCCATATCCTCCGATCTATCACACCCCTCAATCCAGTTCACCGGCATCGGTAGCGTCGCAGACCCACGAGCCGCATAGCAGGAACATCTACACGCAATCGCCGCAGATGACGTCTCAGATCTACGGTTATCAACCCTATTCGCCGATGAACCCAGTTCAGCCCTCACCTTACGGTCCCAATGCATCGCCTCAGCAGCATCCACTCACAACCCAGTCATTGATGATGCCACACCAAACCAGCACCGCACAGTTGCCTCACCATTCCACCCAAACCCCAAGCGGTGCAATCGCCAGCAGCCCCACCACAGCAGTCCAGCAACCGACCCCTCCTCAGAGAACGATGTTGAACCCACCGCACCCCGCTACAACTGCTGCACCAATTTCAGCTAGCGCCGTTCATCACCCGAGCTCAAACGTAGGGGCAAGCTCCAGTGCAGCACCGGGTCCAATCCCTGCGACAACTCCTCTCGTTGTTAGACAGGATAGCAATGGAGTCCAGTGGATTGCTTTCGAGTATTCTCGGGATCGGGTGAAGATGGAATATACTATCCGCTGCGACGTGGAATCGGTGAGCGTGGACAACCTAAGCCAGGAATTCAAGACCGAAAATTGTGTGTATCCTCGCGCATGCTGCAGCAAGGATCAGTATCGAGGAAATCGTTTGGTGTACGAGACAGAATGCAATGCCGTTGGCTGGGCTTTGGCCGAGCTTAACCCTGCATTAAGGTGCAAGCGCGGTTTGATCCAACGAGCCGTGGACAGCTGGAGGAATAGCAACCAAGATCCACGGCTTCGAAGTCGCCGTGTCCGAAGGATGGCTAAGATGAACAGAAGACAGGGGCACCCAGCACAGCCGCCCCCACACATGGCACCCTCGACGCCAGTTGCTCCGGGTATCCCAGCCGCCAGCATGGCTGCCCCGGCTCCACGCCCAAGCCTGGGACCTTTAACCATGGGGCCCCCGCAGCTACATCATCACCATGCCCAGCCCGATGGAGGTGCAGGCCACGAGGAAGTCAGCGGTATGTACCACCACCACGTATGAAGTACTTCTTTCCGCACCTCTGTTCCGAGGCCGATAGCAGTCTCCTTCTCTTATCTTGTTGCGTTATGCAACCTCGCGTCGAGTCTACTGGACAGGATTACCACGACTTGGCCGAAGACGGGTCCTCCCTAAATAATGCATTTTGTATCCTATGTATTTCTATGTGCTGCTTATTTTCGGCTCTTGTCATTCTTCATACCCAATTTGCCTTGTCTGTCTGTCTGTCTGTATATGTGTGTGTGTTCCAGGCCCACTGAATCTGTTTTGCTTTCTCCTCATTCACAGCACGCTGCATGCTTGCGTAGGCTAATTTCATAATTGCCATACTGTCCTGATTAGGTCCCCCTGGATTTCCGAACGGGCTCCACCGTCCACCTATCTCAGACCATGGGCCGCCTAGCCAGTCTCCGACCGATCTTCGCAGCGCTCAGGTGTTCCATGGGTTTCACTCCTACCCGACAGCGGGGAGTATTGGCGGCGGACCGCGAGGCCCCTCGATACCACCGTTGCTACGGGAGAGTGGCATAGGGTCCCTGGGGCGACCCCCGACTGTGGCCACTGCTAGCCGTGTGGAAGAGTTGGAGGACGAGGAGGATGAGCAAAACCCCAGCAATGATGCCCTCTTTGGCACTCCTCCCGGGGGCAAACCTCGCAAGTTCATACTCGTGGACGACACCCAGCGGGGTGCCCGCGTTCGGGTCAAAGTTTCCTTGGACTTGGTCGACATGGATGAGATTCCTGACTCCTATCGGAGGACGAATTCAGTGTTTCCCCGGACCTATTTTCCTGTTCAGATGCGAAGTCCTCGCGCTTCGGTTGTGCCTGGCAACCGATTCATCAAGGACCGCTCCGAGCTGGATGACGAAGATGACGAAATGCCGACCGCGGGAAGAGTGATGGTTCCCGTTCCTCAGATCGACGGTGAGACCGATGTCGCGGTACCTCGGCTGTCCCGAGGTCGACGACGGAAGGAGGTGCTCCTCAATGACCTGGCCTACCGAATAAGCTGGAGCCAGAGCCGAGTCTTCGCAGGACGGATGATGTTTCTGCAGCGGTCCCGTACGTGTCTCTCCTGCGACGTTCGACCCTGTTGATGAGGCGCCATCGCCCCCAGACGTCACCCTGTTGTTGAATGACCGTATTCATGCAAGTGCTAACGCTGTTTGGGTTGATAGTGGATGCATACCGCAACAAGATGCGCGCCGCGATGTTGGCGGAGGGCCAAGAACCCTCGGCGATCCCGCAGCACTTTGAGACGCGGGCGGGCAAACGACGCTTTCTCGAGCGCAAACGAAGAGTTACCCCAGCCCGCGATGCTACGGCCCATACTCTATCCGCCGCCCGGCGTAGTGCCGAAGAAGTTGAAGCTTGAATGTTCGACATGGTTCAACCATCGAACAACAACGAGGTCTCTGTTCTCAGCGGCCTCCCCGTTACGAATTTCCTTTTCTCTCCCTTCATCCACGCCCTTTCTTATGTGACATGACGCCTTTACTGGTCCCTCCCGGCGCGTGTGCCATCTTTCTCTTCATACCTTTCTTTTGTGTTTTTGTTGTTGGAGACATCTATGAATGAGCTCTCCACCGCGGGTCATCATGATGTGCCCCATGTTGTAGATATTGGGCTGGAATGAGGACATGACGGTAGGGCAAAAGTCTGGCGGTTCTCGTGAGATCTGGTGTTGAAACAGGTAATGGGCGGGACTTCTTTCTGTGTGTCTAAGTATATTCGAGATGATTTGCATTTATATTCCAACTGCGACGATTGATGATGAGGTTACGGGCCACCCTGGACGCGCAGGCGCTGCACGAGCAACCGAGACGACATTTATGACCCCGGGGTTGGTTTTTGGAACGAGGGTTCTGAGAGCGTGGCTGTTTCCTGTGGACTATGTTTCGCATGTATCCTGTATGTACGATTCGCCCACTGCGCTGGAGGAAGGTAGGGCGCCATTGTACTTGATTGAGTACTCTGTTGTGCCAATGCATGATTCTGCGTGTTGTTGCACTATTGTCATTCCGAGGAGAGTGTGTGTTCAAGTTTCCTGGGCAGGTCTGAGACAAGTCGGGCCGCTTGCTGGGTTGCTGACAAGGCCATGTTTTGGGGGTTGGTTCTACATTTGTACGTATTGCATGGAATAGGACAGGCTCCTTCAGAGACTCAAAGACTAAGGGAGAAACTTCATGTCTGCTAGTGAGCAAGATACCAGTAGTAGCATAAGGTGATTGATAGATTGTGTGATCAGGATTGAAGAGAGTGGCCGCAATCAGGAATGCTCGATCGGGACTAGTGACAGACGGACTCACGGACAGACCCTGGGGAAACTCAACTAAACCTGATTCGGCCAGGGTGGGGGCCACCCATGGACCCTGGAGTTCTTCTGGACGGCCGCTTGCAACCAACGTTGTCGGGGTCACCAGCCGCCCACCACTTCAGTTCTATTATTATGCTTCCTCCCCATTACCGCATGCATCGTTGTTTTCTCTTGTTGTCTTTCGTCCAGGGAAGACGCATGCTTCTTCTTTTACTTCTTCTTTCCGGCTTGGTTCCGCCAGTTTCATCCATCCCTTCCAATGTCTTTCACATTCACATTGGTAAGTGGAGTATTCCCCATCCGCTGTCTCTTCTTCCCCCTCCCCCTCACCTCATCCATCTGAGACATCCCGCCTTCCATTCCTCGCTACTAGATACGCTTTCGTATGCATGCTTACAGTTCCTCCTCCCCAACTGACCGTTAATTGCCATTTAGGTTTCATGAAATCGTATCACTGCCACCTTCCACTGTTTGTCACCACCACTGTTCCTAGCACTCTCCCGAGGTCACTTGCGAGCCAGAACCGTGGTTCCCACTCACCCGTCGCAACGGTTCTCGTTTCAGTCGCTGCCTCGCTTTCAAGATTGACTTCCTCCCATCCTCCTGCTCCCTCGTTCCTGCCTGATCCTGCTGCTATTTCCAGGACTCCCGCCAAACCGTGCCTCCCGCATTGCCTTGTTTAGAGCTGCGGTCCTTTGTTCCCCCATATATCTCTGGCATCTCCTGCATCTATCTTTATCTTATCTAGGTTTTTCGGTCTCATTCCCTAGGAAGACATCCAGCGCCATCTTGGCGTGACCAGTCGTTTCTTTCACAACCATGTCCGGTCTGAACCGGGTATTTAGTTACAGCGAGGGCGATGACGGGTCGGTACTCGCAGATTCGCGGCAAGGTCCACCGCCAGAAGAGGGGCGTCTCATGGATAGCAGGGACTACAGCGACACGGACGTAAACCGGACCGCCGCCTTGAACCAAAGATACAGCCAGTCGTACCATGACGGGGTCCTGGAGACGGTGCCGGAAGGTCGGAGCTTGGAGCACACGCGCACTCAATTCACCGCAACGCCAGGGATGGACAATATGGGGCCGTCGACCGTGGGGGGAGGCATCAGTGGTATCGCCCTTGGCGTTGCCAATACCCATGACCGCCAGAGTGGAGTTGACGCTTTCAGGGAAACAGCCGGGCCATTGTACAATATCCCCGCAGAACGAGACTATCACACCACCGGCGCCGAGAACCCCTACGTCCCTGCACCACCGCCCCATGCCAAGGGAACCGTCTACGCCAGCTCGGAAACCCCGCGGCCGCGTGACTCCTATGGCTCGAATGTCGCCCTGGGCGCCGCCGGTGCCGCCGTCGGGCAGTCAACCCCGGGGACCACTCCGTCCCAAAACAGTTTCCAGGATAGTCCCTATCAAGGCGTGGGCGCATTCAGTGAGGGACCGTACCAACGACAGTCGGTGTATTCGACGCAAAATTACCCGCTCACGTTTAATCCCGATGAGATCGCGGACGATGGGGACGATGGGTTTGTCAATGTTGCGCCGAAGGGAGTACCGCCGTCGAGTGATCACAGCTTTAACGGAGCAGCAGGGGCTTCTGCTGTCGGTGGTGCCGCTGCAGGTGGGGTCATCGGTGGTTTACGGGGGTTGTTTGGGGGGAACAAAAAAGCTAGTCCAGCGTATGGACCGGTCCCTGGCCCAGGTTTGGAAGCAGCCGAAAAGGGACAGAGAGCCGGCTCGATAGCAGGAGCGAGCCGACGCAAGCGCGCATGGATTGTGGGACTCGTTCTCGCGTTCATCATTGTGGGTGCCATTGTCGGGGGAGCGGTTGGCGGCACACTGGGCCATCGCGATAGCGAGACTTCGGCTTCGGCTTCTGCTGACGGCTCAGGCAGTTCCTCGGACGATTCGTCGGACTCGCCTGATGGTCTCCTTAACAAGGATTCTTCGGAGATCAAGGCTCTAATGAATAACAAAAATTTGCACAAGGTCTTTCCGGGAATGGATTATACGCCATGGGGAGTGCAGTACCCGCTCTGCTTGAAGTACCCTCCTTCCCAGAACAATGTCACACGTGATCTCGCAGTACTCTCGCAATTGACCAACACGATCCGATTATATGGCACAGATTGCAACCAGACGGAAATGGTCCTGACTGCTATCGACCGCCTGGAGTTAACCAACATGAAGCTTTGGCTGGGAGTGTGGATCGACAGCAACCAAACAACCAGCGAGCGCCAAGTCAATCGGCTGTACGACATCATCGACAACTCAAACAACACGTCTATTTTCAAAGGCGCTATCATCGGTAACGAGGCTCTCTATCGAGCAGGTCCGGACATTGCCACTGCCCAGAAGACATTAATCAGCTACATGACCGACGTTAAGGACCACTTCAAGCAACATAGTATCGATCTGCCGGTGGGAACGTCGGACCTAGGCGACAACTGGAACACGGAGTTGGTCGACGCCGCGGATTTCGTCATGTCCAACATCCATCCGTTCTTCGGTGGTGTCCAGATCTCCGAGGCCGCCAGCTGGACGTGGAGTTTCTGGCAAAACCACGATGCTCCGCTGACGGCAGGCACCAACAAGCAACAGATCATATCTGAGGTGGGTTGGCCTAGTGGCGGAGGAAATGATTGTGGAGATGGCGACAACTGTCAGAGCGACACGCAGGGTGCGGTAGCAGGCATCGACGAGATGAATCAGTTCTTGGCGGACTGGGTATGTCAGGCTCTGGCGAATGGGACTGAGTATTTCTGGTAGGTCTGGCGTCTGGCTCATTTGGCATCGTGTCTAATGGATTACAGGTTCGAGGCCTTCGATGAGCCTTGGAAGGTTCAGTACAACACGCCAGGCGAAGAGTGGGAGGACAAATGGGGGCTCATGGATTCGGCTCGCAAGTTGAAACCGGGCCTGGAAATTCCCGACTGTGGCGGCAAAACCGCTGCATAAGAGCCACGCCCTTCACCTTTTACTGTCTAGTAAGTCCTGACAAGCGTCACGGACTTTTCGATGTATACATGAATCTCCGACATACACCTTGTTTGACGATACACGGATTATGGCTTGTTTTGATCTTTTTGCGGTGTTTGTTCCCTGATTATCTTGTTGGACCGATGTGAGGGTGTCTGTGCTGTCTTTGGCTGTCGAGGATAGGTCGGACTGGCATGTTGCTCCATGTTATGCTGGGGGCGTTATTGAGAGTGTCTGTATATAATTTGTTGATAGTGATGATGGTCTTAAGCCATCGAAGAATACTTGCAAATATCATCTATATGCGATGCTGGAGTCAGCTGGGCCTCGCTGTATTCTTAGGAGGTATACTGTATGTTCGAGTCGCGACCCTGTCGCCCAACCCCACTGACTCAGTCACTCCTCAACTCCATGATCATGATCATCAGTCCGGGGATAATAAACCCTCATCCCCCAAAACGCCTCCTTCATCTCCTCAAACCTCGGTAACCGCACCGACTCGGTGGCTGTCACAAACCGAGCAATGTCCCCAGAAGAAGAAGACTCCATTGTCTCCTCCAAGGGTCCCCCCACCACGCACGCCGGCTTCTGCGCCAGCAACAACTCGAGATGCGTCTTCTCTGCTCCCGGACAGAACAGGAGCGATCCGCCGGCCTCCACTTTCTCGAATCCCGTTGGGTGCTCTACGACGGTGATTCCGAGTGTTGTTAGGAGGGAGCGGTCGAGCTCGTTGAAGACGGGGTCTTGGGCGTAGATTGGAAGGGGTGCTTTTCCGGGGATTGGTTCATGTTCTTGTTCTGGTTTTTGTGTGGGGGTTGGGGTCGTTGTGGTGGCGTCTTGGGCTGTGGTGTTTGGGGCTGTAGATGTGGTGGTTTGTTAGTCTCCCTTTCTATTCTTTTCAATTCTCTCTTGCGAGGGGGTGTCCTTGGATGGATAGAAATTAGTCTGATATGGGAGGGGCCAGGGGGGGGTGCAGCGGGGGAGGGGAGGCTCCAGCGACCTAAATGACCAGGGGTCACTCCCACGATAGTATATCCAGAGGAATAGGATTCACGATGAAAAGGAAACAGGATAAATACCAAAACACTCAACCACACTCATCAGCGCGCACAGCTGATACAGCGAGACACTCCGACGATCCACCCATCCTCCGCGGAGGAATCCGCTCGGACTACCCAGGCCGATGCAGATTATATTTGTGATTCTTGGGGTTCCCTGTCTGTGTGATAATGTTGATCCCGAGGAGGATGTAGTATCTGGTTGTCCTTCACGCTGTTGTGCTACCTCCCTTCGAACCGTCCCCCTCAACGTCGCGGCCGTCTCCGAAGCAATCCATTTCTCGAAATGGGCGCGGTATTGCGTTTGCAGGGCGGGTAGGGTCAGTGATTTGGGGGCTTCGGCGGGTTGGAGGAGGGGGTTTGGGTTTGGGATTTCCGTGTTTTTGGTGTTGTTGCTGTTGCTGTTGCTGTTGTTGTTGATCTTGGGTGGAGGGGTAGGGGTATCGGAGGGTTGTGGTGGGTGGTGTTGGCGGCGTGCTCGGTGCGCGTTGCCGGTTGTTGTGACGTGCGTCCAGCCGGTTTCGTCGGTGATTTGGGTGCGTTTGCTTGCGCTGGAGCTTGGGGGTTTCTTTTTGCGGTTCGTGTGTGGCATTTTTTTCTTTTGTCTTGTCTTGGGATTTGGGATTGGATTGGATTTGGGGGAGGAGGATTTGCTGGCTGGGAAAAAAATTGGAGATGCGCTTGCGGTGCGGGGCGGGATGTGGGGGTGATTGTGATTGTGATTGTGATTGTGATTGACTGGGTTGGTGGGGGTGTACGAGTATAAAGTTCCCTTGTGCTTGCTTGCTTGGAGCTGAAGTTCAGTGTTCCTGTAATCTACTCAGATTGAAAAGTCATTGGCTTGATTAAGGGTTGAGATCGGGATCTATTCATATGTTTTATGCTTAATTGACTTTCTTTCGGTGACTGGTAGATGCCTGTGCTGGTTTGCCATGCCGCATTGATCTCGGGTTTATTCTTTCCCCGCGGGTCGTCATGCTCTCCGATGGGACCTTGCAGTTAGTTGGAGCTTCACCCACTGGTCCCTATTTGGGTTCCAGATAGATTAGAGATAAAGCCCAAATAACTTTTCCATTGTTCTCGTTATCGCTGATTGCTCGCATGAGACGCAGTGGACGCACCCCGCCGGCCCTCTGGGTCCATCTTCTAGAAGCTCGAAGGCTCACCTGCGAACTGATGGTACAGGCCGTGGTGGTAAAGAAGCTCTCTTGGTGCCTTTGAGCTAATATGTTAGATTTCTTTTAAAGATATATTAAGTTATTGCCTACTCCAGAATTTCTTGAGGTCTGACCGCTTAGTAATCGGAGCCTTCACCTTCACTCTCCACACAGACTAACCAACTGGGGCTAGTCTACCGGAACTCCGGACTAACCTGAATGATAAACTGGAATCGCATGATGCTTAAATGGATGGATGAACAATCCTTTCACCGTCAACAAACCAGCATTTGCGCGCTCTACCTCACTATACCTTCTTCATCTCGAACCATTCGTCAACATGGCTGAACACCCCTCTTTCACGCTCGCTGCTCTCCGTAAGCACTCCACCTAGGCTCAACAGGGATGTCTACAATAGGTGTATCCGCCTACTAATACTCCCCAAAAAGTACCCGTCGGAGGTATCGCAGGATACATGCGCACAGGCTCTACTCCTTCCCTGATCGCCGGTGTTGGTCTGGGTCTATCTTACGGATTCTCAGGTAAGTAAGCAAGAAAACGCCGCAATGGATTTCCCCAGGGCTAGGACTGACTCTACTCCCAGGCTATCTGATCAAGGAAAATAAGGACTACGGCACGGAGCTTGCCCTGGGAAACAGCATCGTCCTGCTGGGTTCTGCGATCCCTCGGATCATCAAGACTCGGGCCAAGGCCCCGATGCCCCTGGTTCTCGGTGTCACCGGTCTGTTGGCTTCGTTCTACTACCAGAAGAAGGTCCGGGAGTTTCGGTTCGGTGTCTAAGTGCGAGGTCTGGCTGAGGAAAGGTGGCTTCTTGAAATTACGGGATTGTGAAGGCGCCTGTTGGCGCCTAGTGTATTTTTATCGAGATTGAGATGTACGTTCTGTATTCTACGATATTGTTTTAGTACGCGTCTGCGACTAGGTCGAAAGTCAACTTGATGTATGATTACCGGCAATTATTACTTCGAGAGGCATATCCTAGTAAAGCACATCCCTAGATGGTGAGGTTTGTGATTCTGGTCAAATTGATTAGTAAGCGCATCTCCTTATCAAGATACGGGTGTCTGCAAGTTTATTCTTGAGCTTCATGTAGATATGGCCATGGCGCTGTCTGGAGTCGAGAATATCGAACAACTTGAAGTCGTGAAAGTGGTTGAGTCAGGCTTAGATAAGTGGCAGGCGGGAAGCCGAATTTTCGGGATTTCACCCGTCTTTATCAACTCGTATCAACAACGCGCGACGAATCCATCTATCAGCTTCGTCTCGTCCACAGCGTGACACCTTACCGTTATTTTTCGACCTCTTGCAAATGGCGAGAAATCCCACTCGGGCTAGTGCTCGATCTAAAGCAACTGCGTCGCGATCTAAAGTGGCCCGACGCAGAGCATGCGATTCATGCTACAAGAAAAAGGTCCGCTTTATCAATACTCTTCTCAAACGTCCGTGACGAGCTTGCATTTGTCCGCTGCTATGCTCTTCGTGTAGCGATCACTGTTCTCGGGTCTGACGCTTCTTTAGATAAAATGTGATGCAGAATCCCCGCAGTGCAATTGGTGCCTGCACCACAATCTTGCGTGCACATACACTAGGCTTGTTCCTAGGACGAATATGAGGTATGTTGAGGAGCAATTCCGTCAATCTCCACAATGGTCTCATCTGTCTCCAGAAGTGTTCGCAGCACACGCGAGTCGGAGGAGGTCGCAGAATCACCGCCGATATTTATCCACCCTGCTCATAGCAGTCAGTAGTCCCCTACCCCCGAGATCAGAACCCTAAGTTATAAGCTAAATAAAACCCAGATACGCCAGCACGGGGCACTTTGGCCATGGCGTATCTTGATGGGACCTACATGACAGCCGAGGAAGAACGAAATTGGATTGAAGCCTGCACCGGCGAAACTGTCGACAACGCCAAACTCTACGCAATTGAGCTTCCATGGTCAAACACCGCCCACGGCTTCAGGTCACACCCTCCATCGTCAGCACTTCCGCCTCGACCCACGGTTGAGAAGTATGTCGACGTGTACTGTTCATCATTCCAGAGTCGGGTATTTCCCGTGATAAGCAAGACCCTCTTCACAGAGACCCTGGATCTTGCCTATGGAACGGAGGATGCTTTTGGTGCAGAGAGTGCCAAATCCTGCGTCTATGCGTTGCTATCAGTGGTATTCCTGTTCGGGCTCAATGACAATCTGGTCGAAGCCCACGATTGTGAGGCCTATGCCCTTGCCGCTCAGAACTCCATGCCTAGTCTGATTCAAGAGATGACTCTCAGCGGTCTGCAGTCTATCATCATGCTTGTAAGCGAGCTTTTTCTTCTTCCATGAGACGCACTTATCGCCCGTCTCGATCCCCACTGACCATTCACTCAGATTCAGCATCAATATTTCTTAGGTGACTTGCAAGCTGCAGCGGTGTCCGTCTCCATAGCCAGTCGCCTTCTATTCAAGCTTGGTGCTCACGTAGCATCACCGTCTGACAGCCATTATCACAAAAGTGTACCAGAACATCACCTGCGCGATCTGTTCTGGTTATGCTACTCATTCGACAAGGACATTTGCCTGAGGACCGGCCAGCCACCGTGCATCAATGATACCCACTGTGATCTCACTCTACCCGTGGATTACGCGCAGATGCAAGACGCCAACCTGCAACGGGAAACAGTATCAAACACCGACGACACAGTGCCTCTTTTCCCCTTCGACCTGCGCCTCTCGATGATCAAATCGGACGTCTACCAGGCTCTCTATTCGGCAAATACCGCGAGGAAATCGGCTCCTGACATCCTGTCGAGTATTCGGAGTCTGGACCAGGAACTGGAACAATGGAGGCTGAGCTTGCATCCGGATATCCGGCCCCCCTTGTCTTTCAACCAGGAAACGCCCGTCAGTTCGGGGTTGAACACACAGGCGATCATGTTGCGACTTGCCTACTATCACTGCGTAGCCATTATTCACCAAGCTATTGAGAGGTGTCGTGGTGGTCAGCCGAGGGAGATTGTCTCCAGTACTATGCTGGTCAACGGTGCCAATCAGTCGACGCTTTCGTTCCTCGAGACCGCATTGCCTGTTCTCGCAGGGGAGTGCTTCTGGTGAGTTCTTATGTTCGGTGTCTGTGTGAGAAAGGAAACGGATGCTGATGTCCCCTATAGGGTCGCCATATTCTATGCAGTCACTGCAGTCCTGGCGCTATTCCGCAATGTCCTGAAGAATCCTCTCGGGCCCCGCCTCATGACCACTCTACGGGGTGTGCCCAAACTGATGCAGAAGTTCCCCATCCGAACACCTACCCTGAGCGTCATCATCCATATGCAATTCTTGAATAACTTCACCACCGAACTTGTGCGACTCGGTGCTTGTGCGGTGTCCAAGGCTCGGCAGGACGCACGTGGTCCGTAGCTCCAAGCATGGGACCGAACCCTCTCAGATAATACTAACTACCGGCTATCTTCACTTCACGCCGGCTTGATCAAATAATTACAGACTATCAACCAGCCGCAAAACAGCCTGCGCCACCTCCTTCGGACTCTCCTGCGGCGCCCAATGTCCCACACCATCAAGCAGAACCATCTCGCGAAAATCACCACACACCGTCCCATCCTTCATCTTCTCCAGCGCCCCCGGCTCCTGATAAATGCCCCAATCAAGCTTCCCCGACACAAACGAGCAAGGCACATCGATCTTCCTACCCGCGAAAACCTCAGTGTCCCACGTATACCTCCCACCCTCAGCCGTCCGCACGCGGTACCAATTCAAGGCGCCCTGGAACCCGGTCCGACGAAACTCCTCCACATATACCGCAAGCTCCTCATCAGACAGCCACTCACGCGACGCACGCAGCCCATCCTCCGTTTCCTCACGCATATGCAACTCCACCGCCTCCGGCATCGTCGCGTCGACCGGCATAACATAGTAATACGGCATCTGCACGAGCTCGTCGGCACACCAACCCGCCAACACACGCGGCCGATTCCCACTCCACCGCCCACTCTTCAAATGGAAGTATCCGCGCAGGAACCCATGCAGCCCGCCACCACCCTCTGGACCAGAGCCATGGAGCATATCCTCGCTCGCTGAGGGAGTGGAATAGTACCACTTGTAGTGCTTGCGGCCGCGCGCCCGCAGCGCCGAGTGGACGTCTTCTTTCCCTGCCCCAGCACCCCCATCCCCATCCCCGACATCCCTAACATCCCCGGAACCCAGCATCCCCCCAAAAGGATGACTGAGCAACACAACCGAGCGAAACAAATCCGGCCTCGCCACCCCACACATCGCAGCCGTCACCGCCCCACAATCATGTCCCACGACGCATCGCACAGAGGTATACCCCAGCGCAAACACCAGAAGCACAATATCCCGCACCAGTGCCGTCGCGCTGAACGCGTGTAGGTCTTCTGTGGCTGTCTCCCAGCCCGTCGTGCGCCCAAACCCGCGTTGGTCGGGGGCGACAGCGTGGTAGCCTTGTTCGGCGAGGAGTGGGAGGACTCTTCGCCATGAGAAGGAGAGTTCGGGGAAGCCGTGGAGGAGGAGGATGAGTGGGCGGGTTTTTTGATTTGATGTTGGATTTGGGGCGCCGGCTTCCAGAATGTGGGTTTTTAAGGAGCGGGTTTTTATGATTCTTGAGGTTATGGTCTTGGGGAGAGGGAGGGGCTTTGGTGGTTCCATTTTGGGAGGGTCTTGGGTGAGTTGGAGTGGCTCGGTGGGATTATGTTGGTGAGGTTCTGGTGTCAGGTGCGGTGCTATTGATGATGATCTTTGGGTTTTTGTTTTGGGGGTTTATGAGTAGAGCGGATGATTGGATTATAAGGTTCATATATAAGTTGATGGTTTGTTGTTAATGGTCATAGTTGGGTGTTGATGATGCAATTCCTGTCAAGCGGGGCATTTCCTGATTGAGAAGGTACAGTACAGTACTGTTATCTGCAGTGCCCGTCCCATGCAGGTGCCTGTTCAAGCCCACTTGATACTGGCACTGAGTGCTCTACTTTGCCCTTCAATGAGCAGAACTGCTGAGCAGACGCCGTCAATTACTGTATGTACAGAGCAGCTCCAGAAAGTCGATCATTATGAATTAATCCAATGGTCGATAACCATCTATACACAAACAAACCGACAGGTGCTCCTGACAACCCGAACCCAAACAAAATATATATAACCCTAAAGAGAAAGAATAAGAGTCTCAGCCACAGGCTGACTCCAAATTAAGCATCCCAATTCCATGCAATACGTGTTATTGAAACCAAAACTATCGTCCCCACTGGAGAGCTCCAAACACACTCGGTCATTGACGAGCCTCCTCTAAAGCTGGCTTTTCGAGCCCGGCCTCTCGCTTAAGCCTTGACACCACGGGGCCAAACTCGAAAAAGCTGTCGGAGTCCGTCCGCACGGCGCAGGGACTCTGCTTAAGCGGCACGAACCAGTCGATGACCTTATAGCCTAGCACCTGTTGGAGGTTCCTAAACGGGCTGCCGAGGTCGAAGGGGTTCTCGCCCGGGAGCGTTTGGAGGATGGCGAAGATGTGCTGCTCGCCCGCGGGCGGCTGGTAGTTTCTTTGGGCTTCTGGGGTGAGGGGCATCGGGGGTAAAGGATAGGTGATGGTGTTGAAGGTTGGAGCCCATCGGGAGTCGGGGTTCAGTCTGCTGAGCAGGTGATTCGGCACGCGGATGGCCAAGGTCCAGACGGCCGACCGACGGTTGATGTTCTCGATCGTTGTGAGGTTGAGCATGGCGAGCTGTAAGGAGCTGAGGGTCATTCCAAAAGTGAAGAGTCCAAATAGACCGCTCCTAGATGGTACATTAGTGGTGTTTTGAGGTACGCGAAAGGCGTAATGGAAACCCACAATCCAATTCCAACAGCCAAATGAGGATTAGCCCCTCCAGTCTATCCGGAGTATAATCAGTTAGTGGTAGGTTCGGATGAAGCTCGACTGGGGCCGTACCTCGCGCTCTATTTCGGCAGTAAACAATGCACAGACTATCAAGCAAAAAATGCAATAGAGCATAGTATAGAACACGAATTGAATGAAGAACTTGAAGGAGGTTTCGGAAACCACTCCTCCTACCCTGTCGACTAGTTAGCACCAAAACCACACTCTCAACTTTTCCAGCAATCCTCACCAAGGGCAGAAGTGGTCCATCTTGCGAACGCACTGGTCGACCTCCCGACAATGATGCGTCCGATCAGGCTTATAATGACAACACGTGGAGCAGTATAACGGCCGGCCATCTGGCTGGCACACGAAGACGTCTTTGGTGTAGAAGCTCTCCAACCCATTTGTGTCCCAGGGAATCGTGGTGTCCCCGTCGACAGTTGAGTCGGCTTCACTCTCAACATCTCTGTCTAATGTGTTCGTCTTCTCCGCACTTCTGTGCCGTCGATGCCTCCTCCTTCTCCGACGATGGCGACCTGATGAGTGGGGTGGTTCATGCGCGTCGTCTGCTGGCGGGGTAGCCTTTCGCGGCAGCAGGCCGGCATTCCAGGTCACAGTATGCAAGAGTCGCAGATAGGTGGTCAGGACGATTAGGAGGAGGATGTAGTAGATGACGAGGATGGCGACGCCCGCGCCCGTTCGACGGCCGTGATCATACTTGGAAAGGGGATGGATCAGGTAGTCAACTGATTCGGAGAAACGCTTAGCAAAACCCGACACCAACCAACAAAATATCGCTCGCTGGACAAACTCACTGCATAATGGTTTGGTGACCGCGTAAGATGCATATATAAAAACACATAATAGGAATGGGGGGATGGCCCTCGCGACCGCTAGATTGATGCGCCTGTCGGGTCGCGCCATTGCAAGTTGACCGCAAGACGGGTTATGCACCTCCGCATCGGAGAATAGTAGGGGGTCGGCAGCGGTCGCTTTATTCTGCAAATGTATCCATGTTCTTTCTCAAGTCTAAGCAAGCAACACGTATGTACAGTCGGGGTCTGAAGAGGGGAAGAGAGAAAAGGCAATCGCCCTGGCGGTGCCCCGACGATGAACGACGATGAGCCGTGGAGATGGAGTGGATTTCCAGGAACCTCGTCAACTTGGATGTAACCGGGCACGTGGTGCTGCAAACTAGGCAAACACATCCTATTCGACCTGCCTATGATGTCATGCACCCACGGCACGTGAAGATAACGAAAGTTGGCACTCGATAACTCGATAGAGAGCAAGCACCAAAAGAATTCAATCCCATTTTCTGGACAGAATTGATGTTACTTCAAGTGAGGACAGTGGGGTCATAGTGTCTCTACTACTCTACGACGAAAAGATTGAGCTACAATGAATGTTTGGCCCCGAGTGTCGCCCGATCCCTGCAAATACCGTTATCCCGGGGTATGAGTTATGACATCGAGGCTCAAGCGTCAGACACACGTGTCATGCGGCTCAACTGATGGTCGATCGGTACTATGACCCGTCCTCGACCATAAGCCGTCCGCGCACTTCACAAAGGCTTCAATATCTTTTTGCCTGCCAATTCAAAGTCTTCCCCTCACCAGATTGTTTCAACATGAGGGGGAAAGTCCCTCCCAGCTGGTAGCCTATGTAGCTGAGAGCCATCCTCGTATCAACTAACAGCTGGAAGTGGGGAGCGACGAAAGTCAAGTCGCAATGGGCTTCTTGGAACGGCTGGGATCCTGCTTCGCGCGCCCCATTGAAGTCGCCAGCTATGACGCGCAAAAGGGAAATTCTGTAAGGTGTCACACGGGATCAACACAACGGCATACCGGGAGGATGAGTATGAGTAATAGTGACAAGTAAAGCTGAAGTCTGGAGTAAGGCTTCCAGAGCACGCCGGGGCACCGAAAACATCCAACGGGCAAGGTCGAATGAGAAGTGACCACTTGCGACCGATCTGCTATCATGGATGAGAAGAAATGGGGCTGGTCGGTTTCAAGGCCACCAGACACGAGGAGCTATAGCCAAGCGTCATGACTTGAATCGGGGACCCCGAGGAAAAACAGACAGACGGAGAACGGCGACGAGCACGAGAACTGAAAGAAGGAGAAAGAAGGGCACAAATCCGATGAGAAACCGATGGAAGCGTCAACAATAATCAAGCATGGAGAAGTTAGTCAGAACTGCGATCAGTCATCGCAATGGGTAACTTATTTGACCAACGTCATTATTGGAAGAATAGGAGAGGCATGTGCCACAACGGGCAACGAGTGAGTTGAGGGCTTAGGCAGAACTAGCACGGATGCCTGCTTAGACTGACCGACAGAACGTCACGGGCAAAGCAGAACAATCCCCTCAAAATAAAGGGAGATAGACGGTCAGAGTCAGAGCTTGGAATGCATATTCGCATCGCATCTAGAACTCGATCTCCTGGGCAGTGTTGCCTGAATCGAAGGGCACTGGTGACCTGGGTAAGGTGGAGCTCTTTACAAGGCCTCAGCCAGGCAGCATTATCAAATCGGAACACCGGCCAAGAAAGGTTGAGTAACGAGGAAGATAGTACCTGCGGAAAGAATAAAATAATTAAACAGAAAAAATAAATGAGTAGTTACTGAATTGATTGAGTGGGTTTCCTCGATCCGAGACCAGAAGGGGGAAGGGGGAAGGGGGAAAGGGAGAATAATTAGTTAGAGAGTAGTAGAGGAACGGGCGGACAATTTCCAAGCCTCATCGGGTTCCGCCTACTGCGACGATACCCGGTGGACCCTGGCGATTTGACTCAACTCAACTCGACTGGCGCTCATATCTTACGATGTTCCAAGTAAGCTATTCCAGAATGATTCAACTGACAGACACTCGACAGCTGATAGTTCGACCCGCAAAACGGTCCCGGCTTTTCCACCCACTTTCCTTACCCCCTTCCCCATTCCCAAAAAGCAATGGATTGCCAAGCCACCTTGACGATGATCGACTCTGAAATGGCCCCGGGCTCTGATCAGGTATAGCACCTGCTTATGACTGAGATGAAGAACACGCCTAGTTTCCAAGGGCGCTTTTTTTGTGAGATCAGCCACAATGGCAGGTCAGGACGCCTTGTCTGAATCATCGTTAGCGTCTATTCACTTTCTCACTTGTTGCGACATCCTGAGATTGCATAAATACGGCGCAGTCCTCAGGTTGGGGTTGATCTCTATCTTCTACATACAGTCAATCAAGCCAACATCAAGACTCATTCACACCTGCAACTCATTCACTGTCTTCGTTCTACTTCCCACCGAAGCTTGACCTCAACAACATCCACCATATCACCACTTAATTCAGCCATCTATCAAACTACTTATTCCACCATGCCTGGCTTTTGGACCTGCTGCACTTGTCTCCACGGCCTTCACCAGATCGACCTCCACACAGAGTGCCTCCAGTGTGGTGAATCACGCTGCCCCAACTGCCCGGTTGACAGTCGAGACATGGAGATGTCGTTGTACACCTGCCACGAGATGTCGCCGTACCCTTCTACTCCAGCACACTCGGTGTGCGCACACTCATTAGACTCCCTCGCCATGGTGCCGTCGAGACTTAACTGCCGAGCCCCGAGTCCGCAGCCGATGTCTGTCTTCAGTGACGTCCGGCGTCCTCTTCACGAACTCGCCGGCCAGGCACTGCCAGCGGACCGAACACAGACACGCGGCAATCTGTACTTCTGCTGCCAATGTGGGGATGGTCCCAAACTATACCAGAACCAGCCCCGTTGTGTAATGTGCCAGCACGTCGCGTGCGCCAACTGCACGCCGGTGAAATGATTGTTTTTTACGACTTATGTTGAGGTTGAAGGTGCGGACCGCCAACCAGTCTCCACACTCGGTGGGCAGAAGAGCTAACAGACCCATCGCGTTCAGACTCAAGAAAGAGGCTATGCTATGTTCTCGAAGCCAAACTTTTCTCCATTTTTTCTCTCTTTCTCTGACGTCTTTTGAGCGTTTTTCATTTCATCATGAGTTGCATGAAACATGAAACAGACATGACCGGGAGTCACGGGCCGTTTTATCGACATTTTCTTTTCTTTGAATCCGGAATTTTCGAACTGGATGATCTTGCATGAGCGGGTGCATATACCATGATACATCTCCTACTGTCAGCTTTTTTATTTATTATTATTATTACTTCTGTTGTGGTTTGGTCTGATTTGGTTGATTTGAAGAACTGTACTAAATATACGGCTTAGACTGGGGCGGCTGCCCGATTGAGCAAGCGGGACTTGGTCGGTCGTGCAGCCGCGAGGAACGCCTTGGAGTTTGCAATTAGGTGGGCCGTGGGGGTTGATTTTGTTCTGTTTGTTTTGCGGTTGACGATCTCCTTCTCCTCTGTTCTATCTCGTTATAGATTGTTTTTATTACAGATTTGTCAGACTAGAATTTCGGTTTACATGAAATGTACACATTCTTCATCAATCTAACGACTTCTCCGATCGAGTTTGACACCTGATTAGCAACGGATGTATAGTAGGTGGACGATATACTTGTACTTGGGCTAGTGCTGGGACACGGCAATCCAGGTACCATTTACTAGGTGACTCTACTAAGGTACCCGGGGTCCCGCACCGCTGGTAGGCAGAGACGCCTGGTTGCCTGGCGTATCTACTGCCTACAGTGCCTAGACTATACTTCCCAGGAAAACCGAAACCCTCGCTATCTACAGTAGTAGTCTAGCTACATACCTCCTATCCTCGCAAGTCCTCTTGAAACTTACTCCGTAGTCCGATCGTCAATAATAATCATTCAAGAGACTAATTTAGACTTGCCGGACCCCCGGTCAGGTCACGGGCCATGACGACAGATTGACATGGGGTTTTGTTTTAGAGCAGACAGACCTTTGGCATAGTTTGTAAGCCCAGTCAGTCCAACTAATTAATTCACCCTCAACGGTCGTATCTAACATTTGTCAGACCCGATCAACCACTACCGACCGGTCCGAGTTTCGTGTGTATGTGTAATGATCCAGCATAATTATAGCAGCAACAGCACCACACAGCCTTGCGAAAGGAGGAGGAAGAGCCCGAACCCGAACCATGGGGGCACACAGGGCACTGTAGTGACTGCGTAGTGACAGCGACAACCGCCGCACGTGGCTTTGAGGAATATCGAACCCCGTATTTCCGGACTAGACCCTTGAGGCTTGACACAGTCTCTCTCTCGTATACATGTACCTTAGAATAGCATCGCGTGTTGATGATGATGATGATGATGATGATGATTTGGATTTTTCTCTCCGAGCCGCAAAAGTCTTGGTTCGGGATTGCTTCGTCCTAACTGGTTGATTGGGGTTGTCGGGGAAGCGAAAAGGGGATAGGGATCGGCTTTAGAAGAGGCTTAGTTACGGGGTGTGTACTATGTAGTTACAGTCTGTGAGAGAGAGGAAGAGAGCATGGATGATGATGGATTGAAGGGGGGGGGGGGGTACATGCAGATCATGCAGCCACAACACGACTCGGGATCCCCCAAAAAATTAAACATCATCAAAAAAGAAAAAAAAAAAAAATCCCCCACCGCCCTTTCTCTCGGTATCTGTATGCGTTGAACCCTATGAATGGGGGAGAACTGGCGGTCTCTCTCTTTCTCGCAATTGCCGCAGCCGCAGGATTTGTTCAGCTCCGATGACTGGCTGCGCGGTGGTTAACCGTTTTGGAATACGACGCGGGAATAAGCAACCAGCCAGAAGAAGCATGACAGGTGCAGTGGTCGTGCCCCGTTCGGTTTTTTCCAAGCATTCCAAGAGTCGTGGCCGGCAGGGCTGAGTAGTACTTTAGGTTTGGTGGGTTCGAGGTTGTGAGTGGGACCTTTCGTGATTGGGTTTGGTACTGGATTTTCTCCGGGTTTGATGCGATCGCTCGGTCGCGTTGCTGTCTTCCTACGTCTGCCCTCATTCGATTCGCTTGGATAGTGGATCGAGGTTCAGCTTCTGTTTTGAAACTTGACAGACAGACAGTTAGTCTATTAGTCAGTCAGTCGGAGTTAACCACATAACTACCGTCTGTTGTACTATGTACCAGAGCCCGCATACACAGTCGAGGGAGCAACAGTCTTCATTGGTGGGGTCGCGTAAAGGGCCCCGCCATTCAGCTCTCGGTGGCAGTTGCAGTCTTGTTGACATTCAGTCGTTTGGGGCCGTTCTGCTCAATCCAGATTGACTCGGTTCTTGGATCATGCCGAACACGGGTCAAACGGCGTATGTGTCTCTCCGTGCTGGGTACAAGAGGGGTGAGGAAGCCACATGGCATGATCTTGATATGATTAGGCTTAACGCTCCTTTCCACGTTTTTTCTTCCCTCCTGGTACACCATCTCCCCAGGGGGGCCAAAAGGAAACGTCTGGATGCTCACCCTTCTAGTCAGTTTCAGAGTGTTCTTTTGCCTGCGCTGATCATTGCATGGTACTCTGCAACACAGACGTCACTCCCTCCGAACTGGTAAGCATTTCGTTACCAGTGGTCCTGAACCGCGAAGCGATTGATTAATAGCCCCGTATATGGTAATCTGACGGTGAGACATCTGACCTCCCTGCCTCTTTCTGCAATGGCTGCTACCTCATTCGTGTTCCTTGCTCGAGCCTCACTCGAAATGATCCGCCACTAGACCGCATGCAGTCTGACGAGTTGCCAGTTGCTACTATGAATATATCTCCATGTCCATGATCCTTCCTGAACCGCTGCGCCAAGCAATTATACCCTGCCCACCACGTTGCACGCGACCGCAAGGCACAGGGAAAAGTCTTGTTTCTGCGCCGATTTCTCCTGTCAGCACTACTACTGGCACTGGCATTAATGGACACTTGGGGACGAACTTCGTTCCGAGAAAGGGGGAAACAGCGGGAAGGGGAACAGAACGGACAATATCGATGCCCACTACTCCTAGTAATCTGCAAAGAAAACTGAAGGAAGACTCCGCAATAGATAGGGAGTCTCCGCTGTAGAATGGCTTAGCCCTGAGGAACCACCCCACCCTCCGAGTGCGACGACCCCACCGTTATGGACGATAATTTGGGGGCCGCCGCTATGGTACATGAGACGCAGGTTCCGCGGACAGGGCAGTTTCAGCTCCGGTCTACCTCCACCCCATGTACCTACCCGCCCAGCGGCACGTCCATAGCCATCATTGATCCATCATCCCTCATCCATGCTACATGTAGTTCAGTTGTTGCCGGGTTTCTCCATGTTTTCGGTGCTTTGCTAAGCTGCTCCCTTGACATCACCAATTTTAGACTGCATGCTGTGCAGTGCAGTGCAGTGTTACTTCAACATCTCATTTCGATCATTGATTATGGGTCGGCTTGTGAACCACTGTTGTGCTTGGCTCCCCCTATCTTTTACGTGGTTATTGTTGAGGTTATACAAACTTCCAGCATCTAATATCTACAATAAACAATTCTATCTTCAATGTAAACCACCATCTAAGCCCGTGTTACCTAATACACCCGATTAATTATTTTTATCTCAAGACAAGAAAATCCAGCTCATCACCTGCTCGCATGGCCCCAAAACAACAATAACAATGACGCCGATGACGAACACCTTCCCTCTCATGTATCGTACCTCCGTCCCTGACTCAAAGCCCAAGTCACAGGACCAAAGATGACTCAGTCCACCTGCATAACTTAACACATATACCATCCATCCAACCAATCATACTGCTCCTCACCCGCCTATAGCTTCGATGCCTACGTAGCTACGTACCTCCAACCCTAGTTCCCCGATCGAATATTCATCACGATAGTAAACCCAGTGACCTGACCCGACGGGACTGACTCAACAATACCCAGCGCAGCACACAGGTTCTACGGACGCGGCTAGACTAGGCTAGACTAGGCTAGTCAGGAATAGCACCGCAAGTCTATTGAATACCATTTACACTGCCACGATTGCAGACGGGATGGGTCGGATCCATGATGTAAGTCTAGACTACCTAGTATGTGGAAATGGCCGTCGGCGATTCTGAGGTTTGAGTGAGGGATATATGTGGATTTGGGATGAGGTTAGATTGAGGGATATACGAGTAGGTACTGTACCTTAGGACTAGTGGTGGGAATATTTGAGGGATATAGATTGCTTTCTAACTGTACCATAGTTACTAGTTGAGAATATTTGGATTTCGGGAAGGGAAAAATCACGCAGTGCTCCAGCTGGTGCCCCGTGTGCCCGTTTGCGGAGGTACCGTGGTTAATACTAGGTACTGTGCTGGCACTGCTGTATGTATGTATACGCCCCGGGAACCAAGGGGACAGGGGACAGGGGTAGGTTGGTGCCCGGGCCTGGGCGGTTGCGCCAGGCAATGAACACGGTGCTATGCTCCATCCCCCGGGGTATCACTGATGGGCGAGGGGAGGGGTCCGGGGCTCGGGTTCGCTTTGCCTGGGCTTCACTCTGTTTGGCAGTTAGTTCAAGTTTCAATTGCCCTTCACCCGCCGCCCGCCCGGCGGGCTTGTGCAGGTGGACGGACGCCCGCGGATAGTCCACGGTGAAACTAATTGGGCGCGCGACAACTCACTAGATAGACGCTAATTATCTACAACCTTTTACCACTCCATAGACTACCACTTACCGCAGCCCACTAACCGCTAGACGCCCGGCTGGGCAGCTCCACGCGAAGGCGGCTGTGTCGCTTGTTCAGCTTGGAAGGTGGGACTGACGTAGCGTAGTAAGGCTGGGCCCAGGGAACTTGAACTAAGAGGACTAGAGAGATAGATAAAACATGTTTGTACTTAGTACTTAGGTTCAAGGGATCGCTCCATGTGGGACAAGGCAGATTGCATGCCAAGTGCTAGAGGTTTGACCACTCAGGAACTCAAAGGGAGATAAATCCAGGTTTCACTAAACATTGAACGATGTATGTATGATGTATTGTACTCATCCTATCCTACTGCACAGCCCTATTACCTCGACTAGTGTCAAGTGAGCAATATAGCATCTCATCCTCATCCCACTCCATTGAATCTTGGCCAACTACTTGCGTTGCCAACTCCTCGCTGGGCCAATGTCCGACTCCACGTTTGCTGTCGGGTGGTCAGGGGTGTCGCTTTACGCCCGTTGCTTTATAAGGGGAAATAAAAGAAGTTCAAGAAGGAAGATTCCGTCCAACGCCGGGCTCGTGCTTTTATCTGCCAAGTAGCAAAAAAAGTAGATAAGGTAACAGCGCGATGCCCCTGGGGATCGCTCAGTAAGAGATGCCAGACCTCTAACTTCAAGGAACGCCGGAATTGCTAGTCAATAATCGAGGATGGTGATGAAGGGGGGAAGCTTCCTCTTCCTGTAAGAAAGAAAAGTAGGCGACGGGATGGGAACTGTCATGTACAGCTCATTGCTGGTACGGCCAGCGGTGGGCATTTATCTGCACGGCCTTTGCCGGACTGGCTTGGACCATATGTGTATGATTGCTTCGGCATCTCACCTTGTTCATTGAACGAGGACGCCTGACGGATGAAGGCTCCATGTCGTGGGTTACAATGGCAAGATCCGCGAAGGGTCTTGAAGAAAGCGTCTACGGTATGCGGCTATTTCCGCAGCCACGGTGCTAAAATCTTTCACCTTGTCGCGCCGCATGTCGTTGATGATTTGCTTCAACCCGGCAATGTATTCGTCCTTTTCTTCTGGGGTCTTGCCCTCGCGGAGGGATCCCATCTGGACCAGGATCTTGTCATCTGTCAAGGTTAACAAGCCTGTGTGTCAGCATCCGCGCAGTGCAAATCCGACCAACAGAAGGAGGCAAGAGGTGGGAGGACAAGAAGATGACGAAGGCAGAGAGGAAAGAAGAAGGGAAAGGGCCATAAGCAATGAACACATGTAACAAAAGCCACAGAGGACAAAGTCAATGTTCAGGTCATCAGGGAGAAGTGTTCCAAAACATGGTTTGAGTCTGTCGACGCACCGCTAAGAGACATGTCACGGAAGTGTTGGAATTCGCAGGATCGATCATTGCAGATCCCGCCAGCCACCTCAAAAGGACAGAGGTATTTCATCGGGTCAATGTTATGACTATATGTCAGAGAACGATAGCCGTTTGCAACATTATCAACATAGCTTGGGTGGTAGCGGTAAGCCTTGAATTGCTTTAGCGGACTTTCGTACTGGGTGAATGTGGTACGGCTTTCGACGGAATGCCGCTCGTTCTATAAGTCGTCAGCATCAATTTACTCTCTGTCATAAAGGAGCCTCGCACATCCAAAGGGCTGATTCGAGCAAGATTCCGTGGTTGATAAACACCCAGGCCCTGGTCAGTTTCAGTTAGCGGCTCACTGGCCTTGATAGCCTCATTTGAAGGAGACTCGGAGTCGTCCGTCGGTTCAACAGGACCGGGAGATGCAGGACTAAAAGGGGGCGAATAGGTGGAACCGGCTGGGCTTGCAGTCATCTCCGGCTCTGGTGGCTCGTATGCATCTGAAACAGACGATTCACGGGACCCTCGTTCTAGTAATTCAGGCGCTGATTCATCCATGTGCTCATCAGACGCGGTATTGACCTGAGACTCGGGATTAGTCAATTGTGAGAGCTCTAGCGAGGGGTTGTTCGAGTCCAAATCGACCGGTTTCTCCTGCTCGATCTCTCCAGTTTGTTCGTCCAGGACTTCGGGCTCCACAGTAGCTGGCGCAGGGCTTTGTGAGACAGAAGCTTCGGATTCGACGGAAGCAGGATCGTCGCTTTCGCTATCGCTATCGCTGGATTCGTCCATCGAAGAACTCATTGAATCTGACGATGAAGTAGCCATCTGTTCTTCGTGGACGTCATCCATAATGGTGTCTTTTTCGAGTTCGGAGTTGGGAATTGGAGCTTTCGCATGAAGCGCAGAGTCTATTGCAGGTCCGATTTCATCCTGGACGGGCGGTTGAGGATTTGGTGCATCTGCAATTTGTTCTGTATTGGGACGAGGAGGCAGTTCGTGGGTGGTTGCTACACACGATTTAGTCGGCGGATCACCTTCGTCAGACAGTATTCTACCTTGTGAACAATGAAGCGCGATGCAATGAAACTTACCATGAGAATTGGGACCTGCGATATCTTCGTTTTGCGTTTGACGTAGAGCTAACTCTATGTCACCAAGCGTGACGCCTTGCAATTCCTGGCTAAGAGCTTGTAGTTCATGCAGCAGCTGCTGGCGACCTTCTTTGCCCTTGGCAATTTCGGCCACAAGAGCATTTTCTTCCTGCTTCACTTCGACCAGCCTCGCTTCGGATTTGTCTATCTGATGATCCAAGGCGGGAATGCCGGATTCAATCTCCTGTTTTCTTAAGATTTTAGCCCTCATCATTTCCAACTGATGAGGGTCTTTCGGGAGAGGAGATGTGGTATCGATGGGTTGGGATGAAGCCTCTGCAAGCTCGAGCACCTCATGGTCCGGGGTGGCGACATCAGCGGTCATTGGATTGGCAGGTGGAACTGGCCCGTCCACGGCACGAGGGGATTGAGTGCGGCTCGCTGCCAGCTTTGCCTTCTTCCGCTCCTCAAGTTCAGCAATCCGACGGTGCATCGCTTTGATTTCCAGATCCTTTCGGCGTAAATGTTCCTGATGCTCTTGATCGTAGTTCCGTCCATTAGGTGTCACAGACGTAGAGAATCCCTGGCTAAGGGATGTTGCTGGCCGCTGCGGTAATGTATCCAGAGCCATTGTTGGAGTACTTCGAAGAATTGCCTCACCATCCTGCGACACATTGCCTACCAAAAAATCGACCTCCATACTGTCAATTTCATCGTCTCCGTAAAATTCGTCGTCACTGATATCAATGACAAGCCTCGCAGGTTCAGCGACAGCATAGTTTGCACCGTTACTGTATGATTTCTTAGGCATAGGAATTGGCTCATCAAAGTCAGAAGCTCGTGGCCTTTTGCGTTGATTGACACGGGGTTGCGTGTCCGTATCCATGGCATGCTCGACTGGCGTGGCATCCATATCTTCCGTAGCATCAGGCTCTTGTTCCTCAGTCATAAAAAGTCCTGGTATACGGGATTGTGGTGAAGGTTCGGGGTCCGGTGGGCGCTCCGGCAAAGGATGCTGAATCGGAGGCAAGTTTGTGGGTTGCGGAGTCTCCTGACTACTGCTGCTGTTTTGATCGATTGGCTCAGATGGCGTAGGGTCAGACTGCGGTTTCTGCAGTGACCTCATCAACCCTTGTTTCTTGAGCTGTTCAATTCTCTGTCGGGCAAGTTCAGTTTGAGCCTTATTCTTCTCTTTGACACGCGCTTCTTTCTCTTTCGCAGGAGCCTCGCGCGATGGGAGTGTCATTGTCTCGCCAGCTTCAGGGACGCCTGAACCTGGGGCAGCCGCGATCTCTTTTGCAGCTTCGGTTTGTAGTGGCACGGGTGTAGAGGTCTTCGCCTTCTTCGCGGCAAGCATTCGGGCAATGACTTCTTTCCGCTCCATTGGTTTTCCTGTTACAGCCTGTGGTGCCGCAGTTGGAGGAGTGACGGCCTCCCCGAGGTCTTGCTGCGCGGCGGCCTTATTCTGAGATACCATACTATCACCCATTTCTTGAGCTGATTCATGCTCTGCATCATTCCCAACCTTGCTGGAAATAGAACTAGAAGGGGGTGTCGAATCAACATCAGGTTGCGGAGTAGGAATTTTGATTCCAACTTCTTCGTAGAGTTGACGGAGAACACAAGGGTCGATGCCTTCTCCCACCAATTCATTGTAGCGGATATTGTGAGGAGCCAAGCTCAAAAGCGCCCCTTTTGCTTGCAAGCGTAGCTGAGTTGCGGGCTTCCAGTTTGACATTCGGTCCAAGTGAGTGACGGTCGCATCGTTGGTTGTTGTCTCGCCCGGAGAGTTCGAGAGGGGGGACTCAGCAGGCATTGTAAGGGCAGGATTATAAGCTGTCAGATTGTCAGCAAGTTTAAGTCAAAGGAATGAATGGTGAGTCACATACGAGATCCGCTGCTCCGAGATGACGAGTGATCTTCCAACGAGCCCTCAGTGCTTGTTACATTCGAACCTCCTTTTCCGGCGACTTGGGATGATGAGAAAGGCACGGAAGGAACTGAAGTCTTCGGATGTGCGGCACCGGAGAAATTTGATAAACGGTCGCGCATGCTCCTGACTTTTCCGTTCCCTTTTAAGTGCTCTGGCACATCATTCGAATCTCCTGATGAGGGTACTGGGGCCGGTTCGGATTGTCTCGATTGTGATGGCGGGTCATCTCCATCGGTGAGCTCGCCTTCTTCCCGGTCGGGGTTTGGATTGGAGCTGGTTGTGCTAGCCAGCTGCGAGCCTGCTGGGGTGGGACCTTCTTGAGCAAGGCGGGTTTGTGGCTCATTCAAATGGTAGCCAGTCGGATGCACCAGGCCAGGGGCGGAAGGCGCTTGGATGGATGGGTATCGCAATGGTGGCAGCGGCATAGGAGGAAATGGTGGAGGAGGAAATTGTGAAGGCGTAAATGGGGCCATGAAGCCGAATGGTGGCGGGGGTAATTGTCCAGACGCGCTTGGACCGCCCAGCCCCGGCAGATGTGCGTTGGCCATATGGCTGCCTTGATTGTAGTCACCAGGAAGCGCAGCACCATCGTGCGACGCTGGAATGATATGATGGTTCTGGGGACAAACGAAATGATGATGAGGAAGTGAGGAAGGTATGGACGTCGAAGGGGTCGAGCTCGAGGGCCACTGAGGTGGTGTATAATTTTGACCCGCAAAGGAGGATGGTGGAGGATAGTTAGACATGACTAGATAAGGCTTTGTGGAGCATGTAGATAGTGCCACGCTTGTATGTATACTCTGTATGCAGTAAGTAACAGAACAGCTCCTCAAATTGCTACGTCGTAGACTTCAGGCATCGCACATCGGATATGGGGAGACTGATGGGACTTCAGTGATAATCACAGCCGAATCATGAATAAAGAAAAGAGTCAGTCGCGTTGGAAAAGAGCAAGCCACACACTCGGCTATACATGAGTGTGTCTATGCTGTATGCGAAGAGTGCGCGTTTCCTTAGTGATTGGGGAAGGCAAGATGACGCGACAAAGCGAGAGATGCGGGAGAGGATGAAAGCGCGAGACGGTGAAGTGAGGCATGGATCGGAGGAACATGAGCTCCAGCCGAGACCTCCAAAAAAGATCGAATTGCATCTGGCACGTGATGCGGACCCGATGCGGACTAGCGCAAGATCGGCAGCCTGAGGAACGGGTGCCGCAGCGATGTAAACAAACAGCGACAGGCCAGCCGGTGGTCAGTGTGTACTGTTGTAAGTCTGTAACTAAGGTAGTCAGTGACGACGCTGATTGCTGCTAGTTCAGCTGCCCGGTGACGACGCTGCAGTTCTCCCCGAGGTTTACACTTCTTGTTTCTCTTGATCTAATCTCACTCACCTTCCACGTTCAATCCCCTCCCCATCCCCCCTCCACTTCATTCCTCTTTTGCTTCCCTTCTTTCCATTCGGCCTGCATGCTTCGCTAAGAGGCTACTAGACGTCCCATTCCTTGTCCCTTCCTTGTCTTTTGCCTCATATTGCCATTGTTATGATTACACGACCTTTCTGTTGAATAATGTTTCATTGTTGAATTGACGACGACATGCTTCCTTCTCAGTTAAATGGCTCCCCAAAACGAGCCAACCCTTTCGGTCGCGCCTCACCATCACCGTCTGCCTCCCCAAACCCGCAGGCAAGAGGGCTGCGCCCCAAGTCTGCCATCGTTACGTCGCCCAACAGATTCCAAGAGGCTCGAGGGCACTTTCGGAACGCATCTTCAGTTTCGCACGCATCCACTTCTCTAGCTCCTCGACCAGGAGTTCGCCAGAGGTCAGGCTCGTTCAGGAATGACGCTGCGTCCGGGACATTTGCGCCGGAGTTCATCAAGACGGAAGAGCTCCGGCGGGGAGCCGATCAGATCCGCGGTCAGGAAGGCGACAATGACTTCTCCGGAAATAAATATGTCTGGCTACGTGATCCGGAGAAGGCGTTTGTACGTGGACTGGTATTGGACGAAAATGAAGGTGGTCGGTTGCTTGTTCAAACCGACGATGGAGAGGTAAATCTGCCGGTTACCAAGCTTGGGCGTACGGGCTGACTTCATCGCAGCAACGAGAGGTTGATGTCGATCAAGTCGACAAGGTCAACCCGGCCAAGTTCGACAAGGCTGATGATATGGCTGAATTGACGCATCTTAATGAGGCCTCAGTGGTCCACAACCTACATACCCGATATCAAGCCGATCTCATTTATGTGAGTCTTTGAATGCAATCGGATATTTCATGTCCACATCGACTGAGATCTCATCTTCTAGACATACTCGGGTCTGTTCCTCGTCACTATTAACCCGTATTGCCCGCTGCCAATTTACTCCAACGAATATGTCAAGATGTACAAAGGTCGAAGTCGAGATGAAAACCGGCCTCACATCTTCGCTATGGCGGACGAGGCATTCCGAAATCTGGTAGAGGAAGGCGAGAACCAAAGCATCCTGGTGACGTAAGTCAAGTTCTAGTAGGAGATATGGCATCGCTTTGGAAGACCACTCTAACAGCGAAATCAAGTGGAGAGTCAGGTGCAGGTAAAACGGAGAACACCAAAAAGGTCATTCAATATCTCGCAGCCGTTGCGACTACGGATACGCCCTACGCCCGGTCAGGAAACAAGCATCTGTCGACACTGTCACAGCAAATCCTTCGCGCGAATCCAATTCTCGAAGCGTTCGGTAATGCGCAAACTGTTCGAAACAACAACTCTTCGCGTTTTGGCAAGTTCATCCGAATTGAATTCTCTCGAGCTGGTCAGATATCAGGCGCGTCCATAGATTGGTATCTCCTTGAGAAGTCTCGCGTTGTTAAACCCAATGCAAACGAGAGAAACTACCACATCTTCTACCAGCTCTTGAAAGGCGCAGACCCAAAGTTGAAGGAATCGTTGCTTTTGTCTGATTTGCAGATTCAGGATTTTGCGTACACCAGAGATGGTAACGAGACGATCGCAGGGGTATCCGATGACGAGGAGTGGAATATGTTGGTGGAAGCCTTCCATGTGATGAACTTTTCGGACGAGGATCAAATGTGCATCTTGCGGACCATTGCCGCTGTCCTTCACCTGGGTAATGTAACGATTGTGAAGGCCAGCTTGCGGGCTGATCAGGCCGCCCTAGGTCCCGACGCTTTGAACAGTTTAGAAAGAGCTTGCCATCTGCTTGGCATCGCACCGGAGCCTTTCGTCAAAGGATTGTTGCATCCAAGAGTGAAGGCGGGGCGTGAGTGGGTGGAAAAGGTCCAAACTCCCGAGCAGGTCCGGCTTGCCCTTGATGCCCTAGCTAAAGGTATCTACGAGCGTGGCTTCGGAAACCTTGTTGACCGCATCAACGACCAACTCGACCGCAGCACAGTCACTGGTGAAGACAGTTACTTCATCGGTGTTCTTGATATTGCTGGTTTCGAAATCTTTGAGAACAACAGTTTCGAGCAATTATGCATCAATTACACCAATGAGAAGCTCCAGCAGTTCTTCAACCATCACATGTTCGTTCTGGAACAGGAAGAGTACGCCAGAGAACAGATTGAATGGCAATTTATTGATTTCGGGAAAGACTTGCAGCCAACCATCGACTTGATAGAATTGACTAACCCCATCGGTATCTTTTCCTGCTTGGATGAAGATTGTGTTATGCCAAAGGCCACCGACAAAACCTTTACTGAAAAGCTACATTCACTCTGGGATCGCAAATCTCCTAAGTATCGTGCCTCCCGTCTCAGCCAAGGATTTGTGCTCACACACTATGCGGCCGAAGTGGAATACGACACTAATGGCTGGCTTGAGAAGAACAAGGACCCGCTTAATGACAATATTACCCGTCTTCTCGCGCACTCAGACGAGCCTCATGTTGCAAGTCTCTTTTCTGATTGCGGTGATCTTGACGATGAGAGCGATTATCCCAAGAGTCGTGTGAAAAAGGGACTGTTCCGCACGGTTGCACAGCGGCACAAGGAACAATTGTCCAAGTTGATGCAACAGTTAAACTCCACTCATCCTCATTTCGTTCGATGTATCATACCCAACCACAAGAAGCGTCCTAAGATGTTGAATGCCCCTCTCGTCCTTGATCAATTGCGGTGCAACGGTGTACTCGAGGGAATCAGAATTGCACGTACAGGCTTCCCCAATCGACTAACATTTGCCGAGTTTCGTCAACGATATGAAGTACTCTGCCAGAAGATGCCAAAAGGCTACTTGGACGGTCAAAATGCTGCTGATATCATGCTACAGAAGCTTGCGTTGGACCCTGCATGGTACCGAGTCGGCCGCACGAAAGTCTTCTTCCGAGCTGGTGTCTTGGCCGAATTGGAGGAGAAGCGAGATCAGCTCATTCGTACCATCATGACTCGCTTTCAATCAGTCGTTCGAGGTTTCGTGCAACGACGGATCTCCAACAAACGTCTGTACCGAGCGGAGGCCACCCGAATCATCCAGCAGAATTTCCGAACCTATCTGGATATGAAAGCTAATCCCTGGTGGAGACTGTTCTCAAGGATGAAACCGCTTCTTGGTGAGACACGGACAGCAAACGAAGTCAGGAAGCGAGATGAGAAGATCAAGGAGCTGGAGCTGAAGATGAACCAAGACCTGGCAAATCGGCACAAGCTCGAGGAGGAAAGGCGGCGGACGGAGATTGAAATCCAGAAAATCCAGCAGACTCTGGAAAGTGAACGCGCCCTGGCTCTTGATAAGGAAGAGATCTTCAAGAGACTTCAGTTTCGGGAGGTTGAGCTAAGCGAGAAGCTGGCTGGTGCCATTGCCGACCAGGAGAGTCTTGAGGATCAACTGGATGATCTGATCGCGGCTAAGAAAAAGACAGATGACGAGCTTGAGCTGCGGATCACCCAACTCGAACAGGCCGGGGAAATCATTCAACGTTTCGAGAATGAGAAGCGGGAGATGCAGGCTCGACTCGAAGAGATTGAAGGCGAGCTGGCCGAAGCATCGAAATCCTCTTCGGAGAAGGATGTCCATGTTCAGGAACTTGGCCAAGAAATCAAGATGCTTCAAAGTCATCTCAGCTTGAAGGAACGCAAACTTCAAGACTTGGAAGCCAAGCTGTTGAAGACAGACCAGGACCTTGAGGTCAAGCATGCAAAAGCCTCAAGAGACCTGGAGCAGTCCAAAAAACAGATCAAGGAGCTGCTCGAGGAGAATCGCACTGTTCGACAGCAAATATCGGAGCTCTCGTCGACGTCAACAGGATACGAAGAAATGCTTCGTCGGAAAGAAAGTGAAATGACAGTCCTCCGGAACGACGTAAAGAAGCACGAGGATGAAAAGCGCCAGTTAGAATCTGAAAAGGCTACTCTCTCAACACGTCATGACAATATGCAGCGACGCCTTCGCGAACTTCAAGCCGAGACTGACGCCATGCTGTCAGAAAAGGTTCAACTAGAGCGTGAAGCGGCTGACGTTAAGAAATTGTTGGAAGAGAAGATCTCTGAAGACGCTGAAGCAGGCGACAGCCGAAAGCTTCTTGAGCAGCAAATTCAGGAGCTCAAGGGTCAGTTGTACAAGGCGCAGGCGGATCTTAGCCGGGAAAGACAATCCCGCGACGACGTCCAGATGCTCGCCGAGCACAACCTTGCGGAGTTGAAGGATAAGTACACCGCACTCAATGAATCTAAGATCATTATTGAAAAGGAGATGTATATTCAGCAAGATACTCTACGTCGCGCCACTGAAGCCCGCGTCGCTGCTGAAGAGTCGCGGAAGGAGCTGCAGACTGAGTTAATCCAGCTTCGGGACCGCTTTACCAAGGTTGAGAATGCTCGACTGGATGCGGAAGCTGACATTGAGCGCAGCATAATGAAGCAGGCCACCGAACGTCTGCAGAGTGTCCAAAAAGACCTTGATGCTCGATCCCACCAAATAGAAGAACTCGAGGCTGAGAGGTCACGACTCGCTGTCAGAGAACAAGAGCTAATGAACGCCATTGCTGAATCCGACAACTTCCGCATCCGCCATGACCAAGCCAAGGAACGTCTTGAGCGAGAGTTGGTGACATTGAAGGGCAGACTTACCGCGTCAGAAAATGATAATCGTGCTCTCCTTACCAAGATTCAGCAGAAGAACCTTGACATAGCCAGGTCCACTTCAAGAGCAAGCGATAATCAACGCCTGCGTATAACCAATCTCCAGAAGGAGAAGGCCAAGCTGGAGGATGACAATAAGAAGCTGACCCGTCAGCTTGGCGACCTTCATGTCTCAATCACCTCCCTGGAAAAACAAAAAGAGAAGCTTTCTCTCAGCTTGGAAGATTTAAACCACGAAGTCAACAGGGAGCACAAGGCCAGTCGCAATGCTGAGAAAGCCGCATCTACGGCAGGGATTCAGCTTGCGGAGGCTAACAGAAGTCTTGAGACTGAAAGACAACTCCGCACACAAGCCCAGGCCAATACGCGCAAGCTTCAGAACTCTATTGACACTGCAAACAAAGAGATTGAAGACTTGCATCGGCAGTTGATGCTGTTACACAAGGTTGTTGAACCTGAGGCGGATCCTGCCGATTCAACGTGGGAAAAAGTACAGGCCAACCTTTCCAAGAAGGTTGATCTAGCTCAACTGCTTGAAGCCACCAGAAGCAGATTGCAGGTGACCGATGAGAAGTACAGCCGGGCTGAGAGTCAGCTGGCGGAAATGCGCCGTCGTCATGGTGATGAGATGAAGGAGCTCGATGCCCGCTATGCCTCATCGAAGCGCGCATTGCTTGAGGAGATTGACCAAAACCAAGTCGCTGGTAATCGTACACCAACCCACCTCCGGAAGAACTCCGACATTGCGAAGAAGTTTGGCACACCCACGACTCCCAACAGGAAACTCAACTTCAATGAGATAGCGGACTCTGCTCGGTCGGACAGAACCGTGGACACCGTAGGCTACCAGAAACGGATGGACATGGCGGCAGAAATCGAGGAGCTTCAGAACAAGCTTCAGATAAGTGAGATGCAGAACAAGCATCTCCAGAATCAGATTGACGAGGCTTCTTCGTCCCGCGACAGTTGGCAAGACGACAGTCGCCGCATGCAGTTGCTTGAGCGTGAAAATGGCCGTCTGCACGACCAGCTTGACGATTCTGCCAAGAAGGTTTCCGCGCTGGAGAAGAGCATTCATACAGGAGAGCTTTCGCTCCGAGACGTTCAAGCCAAGTCTCATGAAGAGCTCTACGATCTTATCAACTCGCAAGAGCAATCCCGGAGGGCTCTACTCCAGGTACACAAGGAAACAATGGCAGAATTCGGTGACTCCAAGACGCAACTCGAGAAACTCAAGCGTGCAAAGGCCACGCTGGAGGTTGAGTTACGCGATACGCGCTCCGAGTTCCAAGAGATGCAGGTTGCACGCGATCAAGATGCCATTAGCAGAAACCAGCTTCTCGAAGAATTCTCTGACCTTCAAATCCGTCTTGATGCGGAGACCTCGAAGTCAGCCGATCTGGCATCGAGTTTGAGTCTCTACAAGTCCCGCGCGGATGAGTACTTCAACAAGCTCGAGCAGGCAGAAATTGCCGTCCTCAAAGCCACTCGAGCCGAGCAATTTGCCAAAAACCAAGCCCAGGAGGCCGAGGATACTTGCGCTCAGATCATGTCTGAGCGTAAACAGATGGATGCTCTGGTCGAAGATCTGCAGCGCCAGACTCAGTCCCTAGAAGCACGGATGGAGGATCAGGCAGCAGAGCTACAAGCTGCCCTGCAAGCCAAGCAGCGTCTCCAGAACGAGCTCGAAGATTACAGAAACCAACGCGCCATCGATATCGAGGACAAGGAAACCTCGATGGAGCAGACCAGACAGAAGTATCAGAGGGAGTTCTCAACCCTGAACAACGAGCTCGAAATGGAACGTGAAAGGGTATTGAATGTCCGTGGTGAAAACGCCCGCCTGCGCGAAGAGCTCGAAGACCTTCGCAGTAAGTGGGACAACGAAGTTCTCAACAGCTCGACTTGGGCGAAAGAGAAAGCCCGCATGGACATTATGCTTCAAGATGTAACGACATCTCGGGATGAGGCGGTATCTGCGCATAACGAAGCGCAGAGCAAGGTTGTGTCTTTGTTGTCGCAAGTCCGGACTCTTCGCACTTCGGTTGACGACGTGACCGCAGAGCGCGACATGTTGCTGAAGGAGAAGAAGACGCTAGAGACACGCTTGGCCGAGGCTGGTGAAAGACTCGAAGATCTCGTCAAGGGAGAGAGTCCCTCCATGCGCAATGCCGCTAGTATGGACCGTGAATTGCTGGAGCTCAGGTCGAAACTGGCCCAGCAAGAAGATGTTTCCGCAGCTGCCGTGGGCAAAATGCGGCGGGCAGAAGCTTTGGCTATGGAGATGCAAAAAGAAGTAACTGCAGAGCGAGAGACCAATGCGCAGCTCTTTAAAGACAAGGCCGCGCTCGAGAAGCAATTGAAGGAGTCACAGCTGCGATGCGTCGACTTAGAAACCAAGAGCTACTCTTCTGGTAGCCAGGACGTACGCTTCTTGCACAAGAGAATCAAGGAGGTAAGTTTACTTTCCCCACACACGGGGATACGGCCCTAGGATTGCTGACCATCTTCGGTAAATAGCTGGAAACACACCTCGAGGAGCAAGAGACCAAGCACAGCTCTGAGCAACGGTCATTACGTAACGTCGATCGTACAGTCAAAGATCTACAATCTCAGATTGAGCGACGTGATAAGATGAACGCACAGCTGAACGAAGATGTCACCAAGACGCGCGCCAAGATCGACCGTCTCCTGCGCGACATTGAGGAACTTCAACAAAGCGAGTCTGAGGCGCAGCTCCAGGCGCGTCGAGCAGAGCGGGAGCTGCGAGAAGAGCGAGAGAAATCGCTGAGGGTGGAACGTGAGCTAGAGGGCTGGAGAGGACTCCGCATCGAACGGGGTAGCGCAATCGGACGGATCGGCGCATGGAGTGATGCTGGAAGCCGACGAGGCAGCAGCGTGTACAACTCCGGCGACATACCACAACGGATACCCAGCAACACGAAAGGCTTCTTGTAAGACTATGACGACCTAGCAGATTGAACCTGGTTCACATCTGCCTATAATTTCGAGACTCGGGCGCTAAATCTTCATCCAGGGCCTGAGCGACAATTCTACGAATATGACTTAATTGAAGCCCTGCATGGCTACGGAGTCTGATGGGAGCATGGCGTATGGGTTTGTCTTACAGGGCATTTGATTTGATGTGTCTGCACACCTTGTTGATCTCTATAGGAACCGCTGTGTCGGTCCCTAATGCAATTTTGATGATATTTGATGGGTTTTGCCTGTCACATTATACTTGCACCTGAATGATTTCTTTTATTTCCCGTCTTCAGTTCGCAGTAGTTGTACATGAACCCTTTAATAGCGCAAGCTTTTGGACCATGTTTGCCACAATCGGCTCAGGCTTATTTATATACTTTGGACCCTTGTAGTTAAAATTAGACCCCTTTTTTTATCGTACGCACCCTTGGCTACCGTTGCTCGCAATCTATTCAGCAACCTCATCACAGACAAGTTCCAAGAAGCCAGGAGTGATGACTACTTAGGAGTTTTGTTTCTAAGCTACAATGAAAGAGAAGCTTATGCCACCCAAAGATCTGGATCAGGCCAAAAAGCGTTGCTGGGAGCGATGCTTGCCGCGCGGCTAGACTTGGCGCTCGCTTGCGGGAATCCACTCGAGCTCGGAGTGTTAGTCCGCCTCTTCTGCCTCCTCTGCACTTCAACCTCTCTGTCTCGAGCGCTCACCTCGAACGGGATCAGCCCGCGTCGTTTTTCAAGATGGTAAGTTGGATGATGAGAAAGTCAATCATTTGCTTCGTTCCATGCGATACTGCCTCTAGTTATGAGGCAATTCTCCCCGAATCAACAAGCTCTTCATGATAATCCAACCCGACCTCCCCCACCTACCTACTCAAGACCTCCATTTCGCTCGCCGCATTGGAAATGAACCAACCTCACTCCTTTCCTGTAAATCAAAACATGGATAGCTAACATACTTTCCTTTTACCCAGGCGCGTAATAGCGAAAAAGCTCAGTCGATGCTCTTCCGATTCCGGGCCCAGCAGGCCGCGGACCTCGGAATCATCGACATCGGCCGGACGCGCCGCCCCAAGGCGATTACCTCGGTCGACTCGATCCCCATGTGCGAGAAATGGCGCGGCCAGGTGCTCAAGGAGATCTCGCGGAAGGTGTCGCGGATCCAGGAGCCCAGCCTGAGCGACTACCAAATCCGCGACCTGAACGATGAGATCAACAAGCTGATGCGGGAGAAGTGGACGTGGGAGATGCAGATCCGGAACCTCGGCGGGCCCAACTACATGCGCGGGTCCGGCCGGGTGTTCGATGACGAGGGTCGCGAGATCCCCGGCGGCGGGAAAGGGTATCGCTACTTCGGCCGCGCGAGGGAGTTACCGGGCGTCAAGGAGATGTTTGAGGCGGCCGCCAGACGGGGTAGGCCCGCTGAGGAGGATGATGAGGAGGCCGGAGGAGGGGTGAAGGGGCGCGGCGGGGAGATCGCGACGAAGAAGGTCGATGCGAATTACTTTGGGTATGGGCTTGATGAGGAGGATGGCACGCTGCTGGCGTATGAGAGGCAGAAGGAGAAGGAGGCCGTCGAGCGTCTGCGCAAGAAGGGCGATGATGGCGATGATGGCTGGGAGCCGCTTCCTGGAGACGCTGGGGACGGCGTCGAGTGGAGGCTGCCGAGTCTGGATGAGGTGCAGGAGGAGCTTGTGGATCGGAGGAGGAGACGACTGCTGGATAAGATCTCCTGAGGTCGGCAAATGATTCTCTCTCTCTGTGTGTGCTCTGGAGTTTGTGGTTACGTTGTTTTCCTTTTTTTACTTTCTCGTCTTCTTGTCTCGTCATGTCGTCTTGGTCTTCTCGGGGTGTTTTCGACTGTCATCTCTTGTCCATGGCGTTCTGGTTCGCGTTTCTTATCAACCCATTCGCCCTATCATCGCCGCCTCTCACATATTCTTGCTGTGTTTTTTTTATATGCGGTGCTGGTCCCCCACTGGCAAATCTACGATGCATCTAGGGGAAGCAAAAGCATATCGATGATACCAACATGATTCGTTCTTTGTACAACAGGTGGTTGCGGGCTATATTAGTCTATGTGCGAGATATGATTATTTACAGCTTGGGTTGCTTCCGTGCCAGCTTGTCAGCCTTCAAAGCCTGCGTGCGACTGATGCTAATTTCCTTTTCTCCGCCTTCCAGCAGACGTTGCTCCTCTGCCTGCAAATCATCCAGGATGAACTTGCCCAGATCCCCGCCGCGCCACTTCTGAATGAAATGCAGCGCTGCAAGCTCCGTGTTGGGTATTCCACCTTTGGACAGAAGGCCGGTCTGGCGCGCGAAGTCATTCAATAGCGGTACAATCTCATTTGTTGGAGAAGACCACCGCTGATATACTTGGGCATCGTGCAGGTTTATGTGGTACAATAGGTAGTCGGCCAGGGTGACGGGTGCGATGACCGAATCCTTGACACAGCCACACAGGGCCAATTTCAGCATGTTCTCTGCTTCCGGCACGTACGGCATGAAGACACCGGGTGTGTCCAAGACGTAGACATGGGAGCCATTCTCGCGCTCGATAATCTTCACGGGCGAAGCAATCTTTCTCGTTATACCCGGTTGGCCCCCGGTCCGTACAGCCTTGGCCTTTCCCACGCCTTGATTGCGCAGGTTGTTGATTAATGTGGATTTGCCCACATTGGGCATGCCGACCACCATCACTCGGCAGCCGACTAGCCTCTCGGGGATTCCCGCATCGTCTCGCAAGTGTTTTAGGATCGTGCCGACGTCCATCCGGGACGATGAGCTGACAAAGAGTGAATCTCCGTTCTTGTTAAAGGTTCGAATGGTTTTTTCTGCCTATGAATGTGACATATAGATCAGCCGGTTGCTCTCGAGGGAGCAATTGTAACCATGACTCACTGTTTTCTGGGCAGTCGACCCAGATTCCGCACCCAGATCTCTCTTGGTATAGACAACCAGTCGCCTCGTCTTTCCCAGCGCTTCTTCGAACATGGGGTTCATGGAGGTGACTGGAACTCGGTAATCCCGGCACTCAATGACATAGTCAATCGACGAGAGCATATTCTGCATCTTCCGCAAACCGGCTCTATGGTGGCCCAGGAAGTACGACCTGGGGATCGACGCATAGTTGGGAAACGTCTGACGGGGTACAAATGCGGCCGCCATTATCGTATATCCATTAATGTAAAGTCTTGGGATTTCGTCTCGCGTAGTAACACATGGAACTCGTTCCTGCTCATGATCAGCGAGCCATGAGGTGCAGATATCAATTGGGTTGAGGATATGGCTCGTTATCGATTTCTTTGTAGGACGGCAATTTTCTACAGGGATTGGGCGGTCAACCAGGCGGTGTAGTGCTTAATGTTACCACTTCCGAATCGAGACATTATCAGCCTCTCCTAGCACTATTCACAAGATAAATCCTCATAGCCTGCATTGTCATGGCTGGCTGGCAAGAGGCATAGACTCCTGTGCGGGTAATGGTATCGCCTCAAACACTGCTCATCTACTAGTGACGTTACCGTCTCCGAAAAGCCCTTATGTGTTGTGGGAGTTTATAGTTGCACTCTTTACTCCGTACTCCACAACGGAATCATGCGCATCGCCGCAAAACAGAAGGAGATCCTGACAGTAACAGGCCCAAAGGCCAAAATTCCAAGAGCTGAAGAGGAATGCGCCAGGACTCGAACCGCGGCGCAGCACATTCTGGCACAGTCTACCAACGAGTAATCGCGGGAATATGATACGTCATCCACCAAGCCCGGCCAAGACGGCCAACCATATCTCCCCCACAATCGCATCTTATTGTGAACCCCTCCACATATTCCTCTGTTGACAGGGTCATTGATCACAAAATGACACTGATCTCGGCTTTTCGTCCACCGTCAACTCGGGTCTCGTCCTTGCGACTCAGATCCCGCAGGCAGCGGAGATCGCCCAAGCGGAGTCCTCGTCAACGCAGTCGCGAATTGAGACGGGAACAGGATGGGGATGAGGACGATAGTCATGATGAAGATGCGCACTCTATCATCACCCCGTCAAAACATACACCCAAAGCGATTCGGGTCTTGCGTGGCTCTGTCGCAGCAGGTGGCCCTCTACGTCCCTTTCGCTTAGTCAAACAAGATCTCGTAAATCTACGCCGGAGATATGCCTCGGATTGGAAGATATTCAACCAGCTGATATTCGCAAGTGCCGTCTATGTCTTCTTCACCAACCTTCTTCCTGGCATCACATTTGCCAGCGATTTGTACGTCTTGACTGGTAAGAACTGGGGGACAATTGAAGTAGTGTTTAGCACTGGCCTGTGTAGCATCATTTTCTCATTGTGAGTATCCAACAAATTGTACACCGGGCGCAAGCTTACATTCTACATAGGTTCTCAATCCAACCTTTGACCATCCTTGGCGTGACTGGGCCCTTTTCAGTGCTTGCAGAGAATATTTACAAACTATGCGACGAGGTTTTCAAGGTGCGCAGCTCATTAGTGCGAGGATCGTTGCGCAGCGCTAAATAGCTTTCTGACAGATACCTTTCTTGCCGTTTATGGCTTGGTCACTCATACATGCTGGCTGGCTGCACTATGTCCTGGCCATTATCAATGCCCATGATTGGACCATGCGCTATGTTACGACATTCGCCACGGAGATATTCTCATTGCTCAACAGCATTATCTACTTCCACAAAGCCATCCAAGAGCTGGAACGAGCCCATGACAGTCTTTCATTCGCTGCTTTTCTGTACGCTGTCATTGGTGCTGTTGGGACAATGCTTTTAGCTATCTTTCTGTCCACTGCAGAAAGCTGGCGGCCCTTGTTCCACCGATATATACGCATGGGCCTGACCGAATATGCTGCTGCAATTTCTATCATTGTTTTTATCGGGCTCCCCCACATTGGCGAATTGGCTCATCTGGACAAGATGACTCTCCCCGTCAGCACCTCCTTCAAGCCTACCGCGCCAGACCGCGATCAGTTCTTTGTCCAATTCTGGCACCTGCCCGTGACCTGGGTCTTCGCCGCCATTGTTCCCGGGGTCATCATCACCATTCTATTCTTCTTTGACCACGAAGTTAGCTCCATCATCTGCACAATTGATCGCTACGGTACTCGGAAGCCTGGCGGTTTTGCGTGGGATATAATTCTCCTTGGCACCACTACAGCTCTGTGCGGAATCCTGGGGATTCCACCAGCCAACGGCCTCCTTCCCCAAGCCCCTCTTCACTCCGAGTCCCTCATGCACACTGAAAAAGAACAACGCACCATCCTTGTCGACGGTGAGGAGAAGACCGAAACATACGAGGTGAAGCGCGTCTACGAGCAACGGTGGTCATCCTTTCTCCATGCAGCAGCCATCCTCCTCTTCGTCAGCCCTCCTTTCATGAAAGTCCTCGGCTTGACCCCTACTAGCGTGCTAGCGGGGTTATTCATGTTCATGGGCGAGCAAAGTCTCTCAGTCAAGTAAGTTTACACCAATTCTCCTCTCCGCCAGCCCCGCCATACCCTTGAGTCTGGGGATCAACTAACCCACTTTAACAGCCCAATCCTCTACCGAACCTTTTACCTCCTCACCCCACCCTCCGAGCTCCCTCCCCTCCCCGCCACCCTAGCCACGAGCACACCAGCCCAAGACACACAAAACGACCACCACCCCGAAACAGGCAACGAAGAGGAATTTCAACCACCACAATCAACATCAACCCCCTCCTATATCCCAATTCACCTCTACACCCTCCTCCAAATTGTCATCACCGTCGTCATCTTCATCCTCACACTCACGCGAGGCGCCCCCGCCTTCCCAGTCCTGATCGTCCTCCTCGTCCCGTTTCGTCTGCTAGTCATGAAGCGCTGGTGGCCCCGCGAGGTCCTCCGCTTCGTGGACGCATGGGCCTGCAAGGAAGGCACGCCGGAAGACGATGAAGACGCGCAAGCCGAGGCCGAGGCGGAAGCGGAAACGGGACTGAAAGGTGGGGATCCGGATCTCCCTCTCGATGAAGGCGTCCTGCCTGCTGGAACGCAAGCGGGGCAGGGATCCTCCGGGGTTAGTGCCGGTAGTGGAGGGTTCGTGGGTAAATACGCCGGGACCGGGGATCTGGGGAGTAGTTCTCATTTGCGGGAAGTCGATGAGGTGGGGAGGGAGTGGCACGAGTTGGAGGACTGGGGGCGGCGTGACGAGGAGGCTGGAGAGGGGAAGGGGGGTCGATAGATTGGGTTTAGAGTAGAGTGGGAGAGAGAGATGGGGGTCTTGAAGGCAAGGGTAGATTGTATCTAGGGTTGTTTTACGGTAATGCTGTTTATGAAGTAATGTGGAGATGAGAGCGAGAGATGCCGGTAGGTTTAGGCATTTATTTATGTGATTTCCATGCGACAATGACCGTGTCTGTCTATGGCAAGAAAAAGGAGAAAGTAAATAACAGGGAGGGTATCAGTCGCCCGTTGTTTGATGTCTATGTAAGAACATGTAGAGAAAAAGGAATAGAATGCAGGATCTTTGCGCCTTTCCTGCCCCATAGGTAAGTAGTAGCAGTAGTAGTAGTAACCGAACTCCAGCATCCTATCCCAAGCACAAAAAAACCCAAATAGTGTCTAGAATCCCATGATTAAGTTATGTTATGATGATTATGTTACTCTGAGGTTATTGGCAAGAAGAACAAAGTGAAAGGCCAAATCAAGCCCGCCACCCCTGCACGAACTCATGCAACCGATCGATCACGACGCCAAAGACGGCGTTGACGCTGTCGCTGATGAGCTGCTCGAAGTGCCGGATGGCCTCTTCCTCCGTCATCTCGAGATGGAAGCGCTCCTTGACCTTGAGGACGGCCTTGTCGGGCTCGACGCGGATGTCCGGGATGTTGGCGTCGACCATCAGGCTGAACAGGTTCAGGATGAGGTTGGCGGACTTGCGGAGCGTCGTGTAGGCCGTGAAGCAGTACTCCCGGAACTGCAGGTACAGCGGGGAGGTGGTGCCGCCCATACCCTCGACCATCTCCTTGCAGAGCTTCATCATCGGGGCGAAGGGCTTGGGGTCGCGGCCTAGAATGAAGCCGAAGTCCGCGTGGAAGAAGTGGCCGTCCGGCGCGAGGAGCAGGTTCTCCAGGTGGCGGTCGCCGACGCCGAGGAGGTACGTGATCACGCAGTAGCCGGCGCAGGACTTGATGTAGGTGTCCATGGTTTCCTTGCGGACGCCTAGGGGCTCGTTGTCGTCCGGGTTGTTGGCTTTCAGGTAGGCGAGCACGGATTTGTACTTGGCGGAGATGGCGGAGAGGGAGGCGGAGGGGATGAACTGCACGGCTCCGGCTGTGGCGTTGGTGGCTAGGATGCGGTAGGGGGTGAGTTTGAGGTCCAGGTTCTCTTTCTGGAGGAGCCGGTCCATGAGGATGATGATTTGGATGACCAGTTGGTCTTGCCGGAGGTCGTCGCCGACCTTGAACAGGATGGGGTATTTGCGGCCGTCTGAGGTCTTGAAGACGATTTGCAATGGCGAGAGGGAGGATTTGAAGACGTTGGCCTCTTCCGGGTAGCAGCCGGTTACCATGATTTCGGGGTCGAGGGGAAGCGGTAATGGGGGGTCGATCTGGAGTAGTTCATGCTTCGGGTCCTTGAGGTATTTCTTGAGTTTCTCGATTTTGAGGACGCGGTTATCGCGGGAGAACCGGACGTCTTTCGCAACCTTAGTGAGTATGACAACTAGCTCGCCCTGCCGTAGCAGCGTCTTGCGATTTTCTGGTGACACCTGTTCCAGCTCTGTCATGAAGTAGTACTCTACCCTCGCGAATAGTCTGCGCTGTGCGGATAATGTACCTGGTCCAGTATCGTCGCATTCGACCATTAAGTACCAGTGTAGGTAGCTACCCAACTTGAAGTTGTTGGCGGCACGCGTGACGAGGAAATTAGCCAACGATGAATCGTGAGCAGCGTCTCCCGCGTTGCCCTCGGGGCTTTCTTCATATTTCAGAGCCTGGACAAGTTGCAGAAGGTATAGAAGCAATTCCTCGTCGTCAGCCTTGCGGAGTCTCTCCACTGCATATGAACGAACTGCGGCATTGTCGAATGTCGGACCGAGTAGCTCGAGCGCATCATCCACATCAATCTCCGTCCATTTGGGGAGGATCTCCACTGCCTGGCGCGCTTCCCCGACATCCCGCCAATTGACCGACTTGACGAACTTGGTGAGTGCTCTCTTCTCGCGCGTCAAGTAGTACCGGAACCGCCACACGAGATCCTTCTCCTCTGCCGTTAGATCTTGCGTGGGCTCGTACGATAGGATCACGTTGAGTTCATCGCGGATCTTGGGGTTCGGCTTCAAATCCCGATCCATGATGCCCGTTCGGGTGCTACGGATCAGTCTTCTGTGCTTGTCCTCACATGGGTTCCCTGTTTGTCCGACTTCGGGGTCGTATATTCTTATCACACCACTACCGTCGGCACCTTCAATACCCGGGCCGAATCGGACCTCTGGAGGGGGCTTTAGCGGAGTATTTGTGTTGATGGGGGCATTCTGTGAATATGACGAGATCGGCGGTGCCGGATATTCATGATCGGCCCAGACGATGGGATGATCGAATCGGGGAAATTCAACGTAGAGAGTGAATTTCTCGTCGTCCACCTTATCTTCATCAGTGTCTTCCCCGTCCTCTATTCGACCGTCGGAGCTTTTGTGTTTGATTGCCTTCATTCGTATGGCTCGTTTCCTCGCGGCTTCCTCCGCGTTGAGCTTGAGTCTCTCTAGCTGCCGAAACACCATCTGATCCATCCAATCAATGCGCGGTAGCTCCCCCATCTCGTGCTTCTTGATCAGCACCTCCACCCTTTCCAATTCTAGTTCTTCCGACGACGGACCCAGCGGATCGGGGGCGTTTCCTTTCCGACGCTTGGGGGGCGGTGTCGAGGGGGTCGTGGTGGAAGAGAAACCATCCGCGGCTCGATGGCGATAAATCTTGCATTTCTGTCTGCCCATCTTCAATTTCCCGTCTGCGTCAAATAGCGGGATTGTTGTTCCACCGAAGGGTACGTAATGACCATGAGCTCCTTCGCCACCGAAGGGAGATAGGTCCCAGACCGTGATCGCTAGTTGACTCTTGAGGGGGGCATCCTTAATCGAAACCGGCATTTGCAGCCATTCGTTCCATGATCGAGCGGACTTGAATGCCTTGTAGGGGGTCTGTAAAGGTACGCCCAGCGGCTTGGATTCGGACCACAATTGCACGGTCACAAAGAGATCGGAGTGAGGATTTTGGGCGGAGCCAAGGTGACGGAGGTCGGGTCGTTTGAGGAGGACGGAGAATGGGATTTCCTTCTGCTTTCCTTCTAGGGAACCACTGGGTTGGTCTTATCAGCAACTGCAGTCGGCCTGGTTTCGGACAGCGAGTCCCCACTTACATCTTGACGTGGATGGGGAAGTCCACCTGGGTGGAGACGGCAAAGGTAAATGCCTCCATCCTGAGGATTGCGAGCCGAGTGAGATCAAGTCAGTTCACCCCCCAGCAGTCTTCATGGCGAGCCTTGATCACTCAGGGATAGCGTAATTCGCGATGATGCTATATCGGGGAAGTTCAAGGTTGGGTTGGAGCTCGGAGACATTCCCGCAGTGACGATAGGCTGGAACCTGAGGCCCACACCGCCGAGTGACGCGGGGATGTCATGATCACATGATTCAGACGCGTTGCGCGTGTTTCGAAAAGTAAATCTGGTGGAATATCGATATTGATTCCAGAAGGATTCGAAGCTTGGGATGGCTGGCTTCTCTCTAGAAATTGGACTTTGATCTATTCTAAGCGCTGCGCTGAGTCCTTCGCATTTTTAGCTCTTTGTTTTGTTCCCTCGAGCCCTGCATCTTTATTCCCCACCAACGGCTGGCTCACTATCGTGTTTCTTTGTCTGGTTGGCGCGCTTCACTTGTCATATACCTTCTACCCATCAAGAGATGGCCCGACATCCTCCCCCCGACCGAACTTCAACTCAGGCATTTTCACCTGAGCCATCTTCCGATAAGGAAAATAATCCAACGGCACCCGGTAATAGCAAACGTGTTCAGATCCAAGCCATGGCCAGCAGCGCTAGAAAGCGACAACGAGGATCCACCCGGGGCACCAACACACAGGGAAGCCAATCTCAGGGAACTCGATCACAGCAGTTCCGCAACAAGGACTATTACGACCCCGACCAAGATGAAGCCGAACGACGGAGGATCAGAAAGGGTCTGAGAGACCTGACGCGGGACCTAAACGGTAGATTACCTCTCGAATCCAAAATTAAGAAGCCTATCTCTCTAATTCCATCGCCCACCATCAGACTCGCGCAGTGAATTCCTGCAAGCCGGTAACAGCGGTATCCGGTCCACGATCGAGAAGGCGAACGAGTTGTTCCAAGGTGTCAAGCAAACCTCGGATGCAACCATCGACTCCCGCCTACTGGTCAGCGCGGCGGACCTGGGATACAAGAAGACGGCACAACTAGTTCTGGGCGACGCCAGTGCAGGCATCGACGTCGACGAATTCGTCTCCAAGTGTATCACCTTCATGCGGCAGGGCCCCACCGACTCCGAGAGCGTGATCCCGAGCAGCACACAACGTCGTCGCGCCGCTCGACCCACGGATGATGACGGCGAGGATGACGGAGATGCCTTAAACTGGGACTGGCTAGGACGGGCTGCGTCCTTCTGCAGCAATTCCCGCCCGTCAGTCCCCGGATTCCTCCTGGGCCCGCTCTCGGTGCAGAAACGAACCCGTCAGCAGGCCGTGAGGAGGGTCAGGGAACGAATAGATCCCAGCCGGGCGGTGGCTCCGCAAGATCTCCAAGACAAGGATCTCGATAGGCAGGAAACCTTTAATCTGACTACAATGTGTGGCAATATCAACCAGCTACTGGCGAAGACGCAGAACAACGGCCAAGATACGGTCGAGCGACAGCTGTCGCAACTCCAAGCGGACCCCTCTGAGGAGCTGCTGCAGCAGGTGATGGCGGAAAACAACGTGGCTGATGACGGTGGTGTTCCGTTGTTTCGGTTCTGCATCAATCCACGATCCTTTGGCCAGAGCGTGGAGAACCTGTTTTACGTGAGTTTCTTGGTTCGTGATGGCTTGATCGGTATCTCAGTCGATAGTAGAGGATTACCTACATTACGTGAGTCTACCACCGTAGATCTGTAAATTACCGCTGACATGCCTTCTTCTAGATGCTGCCAAGCCGCATGTGCCCAGTGAAGCTCAGAAGAAGGGAGTCCAGAAGCACCAAGCCATCTTTACACTCGACTTTGAGACTTGGCAGGATTTGATTGAGGCCTATGCGATCGACGAGTGTATCATTCCTCATCGGGCGGAAGAAGCGCAGCCGACCGCGCAGACCTGGCGGTGATCATTTTGCAATGCGAAGGTCGGGCCAACTGGCTGTGATGATCGTTGCTTATCTATGAATCAGGCGTATGGTTGCGTTGCTTACGGATGTGGATACCCATTTGTGTTGAAAGGTGTTTTGGCCTCAAGTTTGACATCATGTACAGTCGGCGAATTCCCTTCTCGGTGTAGATATTTTCAATTGGTAGCTAAAAAGAGGCTTGTGCATTAGTAATAGCAGATTCAAGCCACTTAACAGATCAACAGATCATGTGATGGAACAACCTCTGCGAGGCGTGGAAAACGGTGATATTCATGGCTATCAACATGGCAACGAGGGCGGTGAGCGGACCTCTGAGAGGCCTCAGGCTCGTCATCATGGATAGCAGGTAAGATTTTAAACCCCCCTTCCCCCCAGAGCGAATGCCAATGATGCAGCCCGAAAGCCCTGTACACTGGGCAAGCAAAAGATCAGCCTTATGAGCAAATCCCCACTTTGACAGGCTGTAAGGAAATACCAGGTATCGTGTGGTTGGCAGTTTTGACAGTTGGACTAAAGTGATAGCGCGTGGCCGCTGATGGCCGATTGCGGCCGAGCTGGTATCGATTGACGTCACATGCAATCACGAGCTCCTGCCGCCTCAAAGGGAGCTCAGGTCTAGTTTTAGCATCTGCGTTGTCAGGCATCTTCCCTGCAGTCTTTTCGATCTGTCCATTCTCTTCTGTGCGCTCGTGCGACCCGTTAAATCTCGCTCGATTTACTACAAAGTGACGAGCCACGCGACTCGGCATCACTTCTGAACGAGATATACATTACTTGCAACACCTCTCCTGGAGAGCACATTCAGGGAATATTCGCAAGAAAAAACTGCCCACCATGGCACCTCTCTTCCCCAATAACCCGGCTGATGTCATGGTCATTCGCAATGTGACTTCGAATGTGATCACGATGAGTCTGCCGTTTGCGCGATTCGGTCGCTTCAAGTTCGGTGGACGTGGTACCTTGGGTACGCATTCTCATTTCTGATGTCGCAAGCAGTTAATAAGGATGCTCCTGCTAAATCTGGAATTGAAATATAGTCAAGATGGCGTCCGGGTCCGTTGCCGTGTTCTCTCCAGTCAGTCTGACCCAGGAGGTTCGCGAAACGGTGACCAGCCTTGGAGGCAATGTGAAGTACATCGCGGCATTGGATCTCGAGCATCACCTTCACCTCACTGCTTGGAAAGAAGCTTACCCCAATGCCGAGATTATTGCTCCCGAGGGTCTCTGGGAGAAGCGGCAATCCAATTCCAAAACCAAAGACACCATACCGTTTCAACATGTCTTCCGCAAGGACCTCGCCGGCAAGCAGAAGATTTCAGAGGAATTCGATGCTGAATTCGAAACCGAGTATGTGCACGCCCATCAGTCAAGGGAACTGGTCTTCTTCCACAAGCCCTCTCGGACGGTCATCGAGGCGGATTTGCTCTTCAATCTTCCCGCGCGCGAGCAGTACTCCAAGACCGGGGAGAGCGCTACTTCCGGTATCCTGACCAAGGTGATTAGTCCCCTCTTGTCGGCGAATGCGCCTGCCACCTGGCAGAAGAGGTTCGCTTGGTATGTGCTGTCGAGCTCGGATCGGAAGGGTTTCACGGAATCAATTCAGCGGATTGATAAGTGGGACTTCAATCGGTTGATCCCATGCCATGGAGATGTGATTGAGAGTGGTGCCAAAGGGGTCTTCCGCACCGTCATGGAGTGGTTCTTGGAAGATCGGAAACGTTCTTGACTGGACATTTCTCGACTGGACATTGAAAAGTTTCTTTTTGTGATTTCTAATAATCAACGACCTCCCTGACATCTGTGTGTGCTTCGTGTGTTGCATTGGTTGCAAACGATATCCAAATGTTGTGTTTCCCTTCTGTACTGATGCGTTGTGATGAGTTATTTGTTATCATTACTGGCTGGCCTGTGTATTGTAAGTGCTTACTTGAACCTTAATCGTCACAATAGGCCAACTCCTGAATAGTCTTCAGAATCAATCATTGGTGAATTGCCGTAGATAATGTTCGAGCGCCAGACTATGGAGCTCTAAGCCGGCGATCAGCGATAGTGTGTTCTGGAGCCATGGTTGGCTTAGGCGCATGTTGAAAGAGGAGAATGATAAAAAGATGGAGCTCGATTCGAGTCTGGGCTGCCACGACGCACTCGGTGACGTCATCATTGCTGCTGTGCTCTTGCATGTTGCTCACCCCCTTTTTTCTGTCCATTTATTTCATTATTACTCATTATTGCTGCTTCGCAACCATCAACAGGGCCGGCCGGAGGTTCAACCGTTTTCCAGTCAAAGATCGCCCCTGCGGGTGGGAACGCTATGGTAGACTTCGGGTCAAGTGGATACGAAAAGGAGACCTGGTGGAGAAATCCTTCAGCCTTAAGTGGGCTGGCTGTCTGTTATCCCCTTGCTGCAGATGATGGCTTGGAATGTGAAGTAGACGAGGATGTGATGAAGAGTGACGGGGCCGTGGTGTGTGCTGGGGTGATGCATTCAAGCCTCTGCATTGGAAATCTGGCTGCCTGACAGTCTCTCTGTACCTATGTACGTACATGTACCGAGTACATCAGTGGTCCATTATGCCGATGGTAGCTTCCAGGTACCTCGATACATTTCCAAAAGGCGGTCCAAAGTCAAGCCACCCAAACTCACCTGACGGGCGATCAATCAATTAGTTGAAAGTTTCAAGGTTCAATTTCCCGTCTTTTGGGTCCCGCCCAGCCCAGTCTTTGGGCAGACGATGTCATGTCACTCAGAAAGTACTGGACTAACTTACTACACACAACCACACACACATCGCTACGTACGATGACGTCCTACTCGATGGTGTTTTTTGTTTTTCAGGTCGTCGGTCCAGAGAAACAAATAAGCTCATCGTGCCGGACCTGAACTATATAATCCCCGAGTCCCACTTCTCTGCTCCTTTCCCCATCGTTCACCTGCAGAAGATCGCACTCATCTCTCAATTGTCAAATCGCTCTCAACGCTATTTCTCCAGTCGTTGTTCTGTTGCTGACCCTCCGCCAACGAGATCTAAACCTCCAACCGCGCTAGTCTTGTCCTGCATCACCCTTTAGCTTCATTCCACATTACCTGAGTCTCCAGTCTTTCACCATGCCTGTTATCTCCCGACTAATCTCGATCGTTTTTCGTGTGGTGGAAGTCGTCTGCGCTGCAGTACGTCTTGCTGATTGATTAAACTTTCCACCATTGAAGCTGACGAAGTACCGATAGGTGGTTGCCGGTATCATCGGACATTACTTGCACCAATACAGCGGTGATGCCTGGCCGGTGGCCCGATGGATTTACACTGAAGTCATCGCCGGCCTATCGATACTACTGGGATTGATATGGCTGATCCCATTCTCGTCGGGCTTCTTCTCCTGGCCATGTACGTACCATACCGTACCTCCTTGCATGATGCGCTTACACGCCTCACTCACTCATACTAATGTTACACAGTTGATGTCATCATCTCCTTTGCCTGGTTTGCTGCCTTCGGAATATTGGTCGACGCGATCCATAAGCTCAATTGTGGCTCAATCTGGTACTGGGGTGGTATCACCCACAACAACTCGTGTGGCCGGTGGAAGGCGGCCGAGGCTTTCAGCTTCATCTCCGCCATCGTCTGGCTGGCCTCGGCGCTCGTGGTAGGTCTCACCAACGGCTGTGATTTGTCAAGCTGTCGACTGACATGCTTCGCAGGGCATCTGGTTCACTTTCCGCGTCCGCGACTCAACCGCTCCCCGACAGTAAGTGCAGTGCCCAATGACTTTTCGTGCAGTTCTGTGTGACACCGCAAACTAACGCTGCTCAGTGGTCGTCGTCGTTTCGGTCGTTCGGCTGTCTAGACGGGATATACTCCGCACCAATCAAATCTCTGTCTGCACCGTGCACTTGTGCGACTGTCCGGACTGATTGGAGCTTGCTAAGGCTTTGCGGTCCTGATCGTCGCTGCTTTCCGCTGTGGCGCGGAATAGTTGGCTTGCTTCCAGGGGACTATGCACCTCTTGCCGCGATACGATTCGATTAGTTTCTCTTTTACCTAGTAATAACTTTCTGATACCCGGTCGGTGTGAATGCTTAATGAGGGCATGTTATGGCTTTTCACTGCTTGCTTTATGATGATATGAAGTTAACCTAATACAATACAATCTGATTCCTTAACTAAACGCGATTACTCTAGATGTTCGATGTAACATTGGTGCTATTGGCTTTTATCCATTCAGGTTTCACGGTTATATGACCAACTTTTATTTTAAACCAAGAATTCATGCTGTCTCTTAGATTATGAAAACTTCCTTTACACAGTGACGGAACTGCCCGTCCGGTTCATGTGGCGGAAAGACCGCTGAGCCTGTTGTTGATTATCCTTCTTCCCCTACAGGGGTGTCGCCTTGCTTGAGCATCATCCTAGTTGACCCCGCATCCACGATGCACGCGGCGAACTCACTCTCTATCGCCTTTAGTAATTGTTGATACTGATCGGGTTGTATTCGGAAGGTAATCTGCCGGTCTGGAGCAGACACTGGGCGAGACTTCTGGAAATCTCTGAATACCCCTAGGACAGTCTCCACTGAGGATTCGGTGGATGATTGAGGCTGCTCCGCGGAGGCAGGGACAGTTAAAGGAAGGTTAATATATGTATTCGGGGGAGTGCTCTCATGTGGAGAAGCTGGACGGCGCTGTTCCTGCTTGAAGCCTTTGGGTACGGTTACCGATTCGGCCGTAGTCGAGGTATATGGCAAGCCAAGGGGGAATACGTGTATTATATCTGGCTTTAGCTTGTTGAACGGATTCGCACCACCGAATCACCCAAAGTGTTGGGTTTAGCCTGAGCGGGATGTAGTGCTGAGGCAAAAGTACGAATTGATTGATTAGCGCCCAAGGCGTATGGATTGAGTGATTATTGATTTCCGGTGATGTCGAGACATCCATGATACCTTAGCTACGGGACCTTGTAGTTAACTAACTAGTTGCAGGGATAATGCTGAGTCAGTAGTTAGTCAGCTGTGGCCGTCATAGTTACAACTAACGACTTATGCTTAAAACTTAATCTTAATCAGTCCAGTTTGTTTACTCATGCTATAAGTCCTGGTATATGTTCTGAGCGGTCTAAGAAAACCGTTTCTATTTTATATCAATCATAATCTATTCAAGCTGGAATCCTGTTCGCATTGCAACTTGTCTCAAATGGCAGGTGATGACTAACTTTAGCATGGCGGACATTCCCCTGGAATCTGGTTCCTTTCCGCACATCCCGAAACCTCATTCATGGATTGGGATTCAACCATGCCAGGGGCGCAGCAATCAGGAGAGAGGTCAAGTTCACGATCTTCTTCTTTCGAGAAGGGCTCGCAAGACTATCCTCTGACGGTGCTGGAGCCTGAAAATGACTCCGACAGCAGCCACTTGGTTGTGATTGGGCGGGAAAGCTCCGACGGCCGGCCCGATGCAGGCACGAGGGATCCTCTGCTGCCCACCGCAACTCCCAATCCTCAGCGGCGTCAAGAGCCTGATAAATTATCATGCTCGATCTCTGGCATTTGCAATTGGATCAAAGGCCCAGCTCTGCCATTGAAGTACGAGATTACCCCGTGGCTAGTCCGCTGGCAGACGGCCCCGGCGCGGTTCATTGAGCACCACTTTCCCAGCACTCGCGCTAGAGCATCGCTCCTTGTGGCTTGCATCGCATTGTGGGGGGTCATATTCCTGTCGATCCTGCATGTATCGATCACCGGGCAGGAAGTCGCTGGGTATGGGGTTCCAGTCAAGCTCTCCTGTCATGCCCGGCTTTGGTATGCTTCCCCACCCTTTCGTTCTATCCGAGCCGAATCTCATAAATCCTTCTACAGGTATAATGCCACTGAATGCGGTCTAAATGGAGACGCCTGTCGTCCCTTCGATAACGGTGGCTTCGCATTCCGCTGTCCCGCCAGCTGTAACGATGCGATCTTGCTGGAGCCCTACGTTGTCGGGCCTGCAGAGTACAACTACCGCCCCCTAGTCATCGGCGGATCCCTTCAAGACGATCCCGCAGCAAACAGCAGCCACAGAGATCCAGGCATCTACCGCGGCGACTCGGCCATCTGCCCTGCGGCATTTCACGCCGGCCTCATCACCAGCCAGACCGGCGGCTGCGGCGTACTTCGTCGAACAGGCGAGCACAGCGACTACCCCTCCGTCCCCAAGAACGGGCTCACGAGCATCGGCTTCCGGTCCACCTTCCCACTCTCCTTCACTTTCGACGCGGACCCATCCGGAGGATCCAGCTGCCGCGACCAGCGCTGGCCACTGTTCACCTTCTCGCTCATCGCAACAACCCTCATCTCCCTCTTCACCACCTCATCCGCAGGCTTCTTCGCTGCGATCTACTTCATCATCTACTTCCAAGTCGCGCTCTCCTCCGATCCCCCCTACTCACCAAACTACCTAGAGATTGTCTCCACCGCGCTAGGCCGCTTCCTCCCCTGCGCCATCGTCGGCTGGGTCATCTACCACTTCACCGTGCGCCGCACGCTCGGCCAAGGCGAGCACACCCTCGCCGCCCGCTGGGACCAGACCGCCCTCTGGCTAGGACCCTGCTGGGTCGGCGCGCTCAACCGCGACACCTTCGACAAGATCCCGATCTCGCGCCTGACGCCGCACGATCTGCAGCAACAACCCGGGGCCATCCCCGCCCTGATAATCATCGTCGCCTGCCTGGTGCTGGTCGTGCTCACGCAGGCCCTGGCCTTCCGCCGCGAAGGCCGCCTCCCGCACATGCTGACTCTCTACGCCATCTTCGCGGCGGGCATCATCATCCTCCTCCTTGTGCCAGACATGAACCTCCGCATCCACCACTACATCCTCAGCCTCCTCTTCCTCCCCGGCACCAGCCTGCAAACCCGCCCCAGCCTCGTATACCAGGGCCTGCTCGTCGGGCTATTCATCAACGGTATCGCACGCTGGGGCTTCGATTCCATCCTCCAGACCAGTGCCGCGTTGCTGGAGGGCGCGCAATTGGGGAGTGTGCTGCCCGCTGTCGGCGCGCCTATCATCCTCGGAGCTACGCAGATTGCGTTCGCGGTGGGCCGCGAGCACTTGGTGAATGGAACGGCAGCGGCGGCAGTGGGCGACGGGGTGAGCGTTCTGGTGAATGATGTGGAGCGGTACAGGGGGTTTTGGTCGGATTTGATGGATCCTCATAATGGCGAGGCACTCTTCAATTGGACAAGGAGGGTGGAGGGCGAGGACGAGTATTTCCGGTTTGCGTTTGTGCGGTTGAATGCGCTGGGCGGATTCTGGTATGAGGATTTCACGAAGCCGGGGGTGTGGACGAAGGACGGGGCGTGGAGGGGGTGAGAGGGATGAGGGTGATGGTGTCGAGGGGGGGTAATTTAGATCGTATAACAATCATATCCGTTCTGAAGAAGTTACCATAACTCAGGGTAAATTGGTTCGTCATTCTAGTTCAATCTCAATATGATAGATTTCCTACCATCCAAGGGTCTACATACGCTATGACGACAGCGAACAAGCTGCTCAACCCGCTTATCCGAAGGCAAGGTATGCACATACATTTGACCTGACTATGCTAAAATCATCTCGTCTACCCGAACCAATTCTCAATAAACCCAGAACTCCTCGCATATGCAAAATGCACACCGATCCAGAATGTACAGATCTCAATACATCCTCTCCTGACCCGCGGAGAAGCATGCATGTATATATAACAGAAATATCGCCGGAAGTACACAGGTCGCAAAGAAAAAAAAAATAAAAAAAAATGAAGCTCACGACGGATCTACTTCTCCAAGTAGTTGTTACACCGAACCTGGATCACCTTCTGTTCGCCGCCGTCGGTGATGACCAAGGCGGTCAGTTTGCCGCCCTTGACGCAGCCCGAGTCGAGGCCCTTGGTGTAGGTTTTGATGTTGAGAGAGGTCTTGGAGTCGTGGCCGTAGATGACGGTCGTGGCTTGAGTCTCGGTGGCTTGAGCGTCGGCGTGTTTCGAGGATTTGTAGTTGAGAGATTGGTGCTTGTTGAAGAACTGGATACAATCATTGGGTCAGCAAATACAGGGTTGGGAAGCTTGAAAAGAGGGAGGTTACCTTGGTCCACTTTTTCCCGTCCCGAGTGGAGCTTGGGAGGTGCGTATCCAGATCGATGCTCAGCATGTTCATCACACTGAACGGGTCTTGTTTGTCAAAGTCCACGCCGGGAACTAACCCGCCATGTACCACGGCGACCTGGCCCATCGTGGGGATGTGGCCCACATTCAAGATCACGGGACATGCGTCGAGCCAGTCCGCCTGCTCGTCGGTAAGGTTCCGGGCCAGTCGCAGATCCTTCTGGGCCCTAGACGTCGACAAGCCGTCCATAAACTCATCGCCCGAGGTGTCCGTCATAGCATCCATTTCGGCCAACTCTTGGCGCACCAGCAGGACGCGATCTTCGTGATTGCCGCGAACGCAGGAGGCAGAGTACTTCCGGGCGAGGTCGACCACGCCAGGACTATCGGGGCCTTTGTTGATAAGGTCGCCGGCGAAGATGAGATGATCGGTCTGCTCGTTGAATGTGACTTCCTCGAGGAGGCGCTCCACTGTTTCAAGCCGACAAGGTTAGCCACTTGCTGTCCGGAACAGACGTATAAGAGCTGATAGAAGGGTAAACGCACGCTCAGTACTGCACCCATGCACATCCCCCACCACGACCAACCGTCTCGTGCTCTCCTTACCCGACTCCGGCGCCTCTTTCGCCGGCAGCAGCGACGCATCCAGCTTCTTCAACTGGATGACCCTCTCGAAACTCGGGAGCGCGTTCGTCCCGTACCACCCGCCGACCTTCTCCTCCAATTTCGGGTCCAGCGACTTCGTCAACTCAGTGTGTTCCTGCAGTCGGGGCGACAGCACGAACTCCCAGCCCAGCAGACAGGACATGAACAGTGTGGTGTAGATGATCGCGTAGCGTCGGAAGCGCGGGGCCGTGATGATGGACAGCACCATCTGCACCCACCCGGGCGTGTCTGACCGGTCGGGCGACGACCCCGAGTATTTGGTGTTGGATTGCCATTCATTGCGCACGTAGTCGATTAATGGGCGCGTATAACGCTTCACACGGCGGGAGGGGTTGAGAGCGTTCTGTAGAAAGGGAACATCGTCGGAGCCGTCGGAGGAGTAGTCGAGATTTTCTGTGTCGTGTTGGTAGTGGTGATGGGTAGATGCCATGGTTGTTGTTGATGGTCGGTCAATGGTGGTGGCGGTCGGTGATACTTCCGGACACTCGGTCCAGGGAGAGTCTAGAAGAAAGAACAGGCCGGCCGTATCAAGAAGATAAGGTAGCAGAGATTTATGAGTTTATAGAGAGAAGGTACAGGGGGTGGGGAGGGGATGATCAGAAGGGATCGTCAGCCTGGTTGGGACAACACTTTAGTAGTCTAAGGTACGCGGGCACTCGCAGGGACGGGAACAGGAAAGTGGATGATGGATCATGGATGGAGTGTGGTCGGGCGAGTCCTTGCTCGATTGGATGGGGGGTCCCGTGTCCCGCTATGCCCGGTGGGGCTTAGTGGCTTGGTCTTGCCGTCGAAGGACCGGACCCCAACCTAAACCACTTCGGGTTAGCCTACTGCTATCTATATCCCTCCGTCTGACGTTGGATCTCAACTTGACTTTCGCTCAGCTCTGTTTGATCACATATGCTAGGAGACTGTCTGTTGCGCCAATGAGCCTTCCACACATGAGGCTCAACTGTCTGTCAATCCTGATTCCGTATGATTGTTTTACCATGGGGTGGATGACATATACTCGCTATACTCGTTCTAATCTATCACAAGATATACAAAATCCAAGCCTGTGGTGGTACATAAGCACATCTATCCATACAAACATCACATCCCCCACATCAAATCATTATAGGACATGGCCATCAACCAAGCTTCACCGATACTGCTCGTAAAACTCCACCTCCTTCTGCCGCTTCCGTACTATCTCGATCGTCTTTTCATCGTACAACTCCTCCAGCTTCTTGCCGCCTAGCAGAACCTCCTTCTCATGACGAGTGGCCTCATCCTTGGTCATGCAGACCAGGTTCTTCATCTCCACCGGCACATACGTCTGTCCTTCCTTCATCCACTCCGGGTCCGGCGCGAACCCGCGCTCAGGTCGCTCCCAAGGAACCAGGCAGACGCGACTGGGTAGCCCACTGACGGCGCTCTTGCCGCGCCAGATCTCATCGACCAGGTATCCGACGTCATCTTTGCTGACCGGCAACCGCAGACCGACGAGGTTGGGGCCGTACTCGGCGCGGGCCAGACGCTCGTGGGTGCCCTGGAGGGCAGCCAAGACGCCGTCGTACAGCTTGTCGCGGCCCTTGCCCCCGATGCTGTAGTCCTGCGGGTAGCCGGCGATGGCGCAAATAACGTGGTTAGCGAGGGTATACCCGAAAACGGCGGGCATGGTGCCTAGGACCGGCAGGATGCGAGCACGGAAGTCCGGCAGCACGCTCAGCTCGCCAACCTGGCCCTTGGAGAATTCCTCTTCGGCCAGTGGGAGCAGCGTGGCCTTGCCGGGGCCGGGCTTTTCAGTCGAGAAGACGACGGGGATGCCAGTGGTCACGCCCAGGAGCTTCAAACGGCGGCGCGTGCTGCGCGAGAGCGGGTCGTCGGTGCTGAGGGAGATGTCGCCGATGGTGACGCGGGTGGGGTCCGACTTGCAGCCGGCGCCCATGGCGGAGATGACGGGGATGTCGTTGGCGTGGCAGTAGTGCAGGAGCTCGACCTTAGAGGTGATGTTGTCGATGCAGTCGAGCACAAAGTCGGGCTTACGGCCCTTGTCGCGGTCGCTCAGTGTCCACGGTGCCAGCAGCTTCTCGGCGACTGAGCCGCCAAAGAGCTCGTTGCGGCAGTCGAACTTCACCCACGGCACGATCTGCTCGAGGCGCTTGCGAATGCAGTGCACCTTGGGCGTGCCGACGTCGGCTAGCGTCGCCAGCGCGTGCCGGTTCAGCGACGACAGAGTCACTTGGTCGAAGTCAATCAGGCGGATCTTGGAGACGCCAGAGCGTGCGAGTGAGGCGACTGCGTGAGATCCGACGCCGCCGCATCCGACGACGATGATGTATGAGGACCGGAGCTTCGCGAGACCTTCGTCGGTCAGGAAGACGCGGTTGCGGGCAAGTTGTTCGAGGATGAGTTCTATCCGGATGAACGCTTTGTTAGTCCCGATGGTTTTCCTGTATTGGGTTATACACTGGCGTACCATCATCGTAATCTCCTTCTTGTGCTCGACGGGCCAGAGCTGCGCTGCGCTCGTCTTCCTTGCTCAGTTGCGAAACGGCGGAAATTCCGTAGTCTGTAAGCTGTTCATTCGAGAGTCAGCGGTGCACTCTATTATCCTTGACAGCCATATGTACCTTCTCTGCGTGGTGTTGTTCGTCGATACTCGGGATCGAGGCCTTGAGTTGCTGGACAGCTTCTTTTCTCCGCAGCGCTTGGTAGCCGAGAATGACGCCCGCCACTGCAGCGCCGGAAAGCACAGCCGTAGCAGCCAGCTGCGACTGATGGGAGCTACCCTGGCGCTGAAGCCAGGATGACATCTTGCTCTTGTGTGTCGATCTATCGCTCAAGCCGTCCCGGTGTATTCTTGTACGGATGGGTAGGTATAGACTGGAGTGTCGCAAACTAAAGCAGCACAGTCAGGGAGTGTCTTTGGCCAAGCTTGGGTCGCAATATTGCACGGCGGTCAAGTTTGTCAAGCAAGACGACAATGTACTAACCTGAGCCCGGATTCAAAACCACCAATAAGTCCTTTGCGAAGCGTTACGTAGTTTAATTCAAACTTGAAGCTCGAGTGGAGACCGTTCCAAAACTGACGTAGATCACGTGCATCCATCCGCGACCCTGCCGCTTTCGCAAAAAAACGCGGGGCGCGCGTCTCCGCAACAACTCAATTCAACATTCAAGAACCATGACACGCAAGACTCGAAAGGATGTTCTAATGAGGACATCAAGTACAGTGCTGTGAGATCTTTGAAAGTGTTTCTTTCCCCTGACTGACCTTGAAGATGGGAATCAGGGACCGTATGCATGATTTCCAGAATCCCGATGACGATAAACAACACACAAAGAGCTTTTCTCAGGACACCTTTCAAGTGGACACCACGTACGGCGTTCAGGCAGTGGACTTCATCCTTCTAAGACATGTGTCTGGAATGGAAGAAGACATCAGCCAAAGTGTGAGTGATTGAGAATGGAACAGAGATCCAAGGGATTTTGAAAGTCTGGTGCCGTCCTCATGGGGTTTGTTTCTTCCCTCCATTTTTTGGTCAATGGGTGTAGTGTTGTGCTGCTACACTTTGGAAAGGATGAGCATGCTTCTGAGAAAGTCAACGACGCTTTGCAAGTCATAGTGACATCCACTGGCGGCCGTTTGGGCTTAAATGAAAGACACTCGACGAGGCTGCTTCTTGTCATATTTGCTGTCAATGCACTAATGCCTTTTAGTCGAGCGATGCTCGTATGTTCCTTACTGCCTCAACAGCAGTAGCAACTGGCTTACAGCCACCTGTTCACTTGCGAGTATCACATTGGCCGACGCGCCAATAGCGAGGCCAAGCAACAATTCGTTATCAACAACCGGCACAACTCACCCCGAGGTGCTCTTACCGAGCGGTAACTTAGTGACCACATATGTTGCCTTCGTGCTTGAGATAATGCATCGATCAAATGCAGTCACACATAATCACGGTAAACACCATACCGTTGGCATAACCAGTAAGGCTTCCGGCCGACGGCCCAGCTCCCCCTGGACAAGAGGCCGTCGCAAGGATCCTACTGTCCACAAATTACCCAAGCAACACTCTCTCAGCTAATCAGCACCCCCAAGAGAGCCCGAGCGAGTCTCCGGACCGCCGGAGCATTCACGCGGACGTGACTGCCCTGATTGAGGAAGACGCAAAGGCTTAAACATCCAGCGACCTCCACGCTGCCTGAAGGCTGAAGAAGCACCCAAGGAACTTTGGAGTAAAAACCACTTAAAGACGAGCCAGTGCCGAAAATGAGCCAGTGCCGAGAATGAGCCAGTGCCAAAGACGAGCCAGTGCAAAATAAGCCAGTGCCAGAAATTACGCGAGAGCGACCGGGAAAGATTACGCTACCACTGGCGTGCTATCGACCTGGTATGAATCAATCGGAACCACTATCTCTGATGAGATACAAGGGCTGAAAATGACTAAGGGGGGAACACCAGGCGATCAACTAGCTGCGAATGCACCGGCCAGTACAGTGAGTACGCTGCTTGTGAGTCACCTGAGGCACGGACAACTCGACCGTCAACTAAGCCTCTGACTCAAAAGACTATCTCGTTGCTAAAGCACTCAAGCACAACAGTGGACTCTGACTCTGACGAGGGCACAAGCCGTGCTCATGTCGCCGTGCAAGAATGAGATTTAATTCTATGCGTCGATACTTTTAACAAAACGCATCATTCGGGGAGTGAATGCGCCGGGGCACACATCTTTACCCTTGCCATCGCAAGATATTCCTGACTTCTCGACGACTTCTTTATTCCCCAGGCAAGGATGGGACAGCTTATATCCTTTGCATATCGATTACTACCCCCCCTCGTGCCCTCCACCCCATTATCCAATTCACAAACATTGAGACCTCTGCACATGCCAAATGATGACAAACTAATCTAGCACTCCGAGGCAATATAATCTGCTCCGCCTGTTCGCCTCCCAAAGGTAACGACGTTGAGCATGCTCCGATGACGAGTGAAAAAAAACGGTAGTTTTCAATCTGATCAAGGCGCGACGTCCACTAGCATCACCATGCTACCAACTTCCTGCAGTCCATCTCCTGAGAGGCTGACATGCGATTTGCATTCAGCAATACTAACCCCGCAACTAACGCAGCGCAGCCCCCTAGGACACCTGCACTTAATGATGTGCACAACACTCGCTCAGAGCAAAACCTCCAATATGAGCTTCTAGCATCAATCATCGGAGTCCTTTCCTGGCCCGCTCATCTCTTCCCATTCTCCTTATCATACCCAACGCACAATCATTTCAGCAGACAGACCATGGCCCGGTGACGAGGAATTTACCAAAAGCCAAAGTTGTATGGTATCCGGCAAGCGCGCATGGCACAGTGTGTCGCGCCTACAAAACACCAAGCCTGGAAATCAGTGAGAACCTGAGAGCTAATCTGAGGGCCATGGACAGTCTGCTGGCTGATGTGTTCCTATGATCCATTACAGATATTACGAATGAGGGTAAGACCCTGCTTCGACCTGCTACACCCAATGAAGACTATTCACAGACGTTCTGGAATTGTCTCTGCACCCCCTTTTCCTTTTCTTTCCTCGGATCTGTGGCAAAATTCGCAGTATTTTGCTGTTTAACTGTGCTTCCCTGCCTGCAACGCAAAGGAGTGGTTGTGGCCTGAGGCGTCAATAAAAATAAGTGGGTCTATGGCTATGGGTTTGTTCTGCTCCTCCATTTCCAACAACAGCCGCGGTGGTGTAGTGGTATTAACATTGCAGAGCCCCCGGGGTCTTATACCTAGCGGGTGGAGTGCAGATTCTGGGTTCGAGTCCCAGTCGCGGCAATTTTTTTTTTCTTTTGCAGCTTGGTGAAGTCGTCATTGGGGCGTCATCAGTTATTCCGGCTCAGACCGTGTAGTACAGTGCATATGTTCAATGATTGGGTATACTGAGAGTATTTAAGTCCATCAAAGGCACTACTCGGTATGTTTCCTAGGTATAGACGGCTATATACAGCCTATTTTAGGCGACAAGCCCGTACATGACGCATGTTGGCCTGGGAGAGTAAGCGCGATATAGCGGTATGGCGGTACCCTGCACATATGCGCCGCAACATCTATTCCGGAGCCTCGAATCAAAGTATAGAAGGTGTAATGGTAGAGTTCGCATGGATGGTGATAGCCGCAGCATACAGGCAACGCAACCTGCCACAATTCGCATGGAAGACGATCCGCGTCCCGTCCCGGGAAACGGTGGCTCCTCCCGGAGACTTGAGGCCGAAATCCCCTGTCTTGAACAACGCCCTGTTGGCTCGGGTGTACGGCCCCCTCAGAGACGTGGCGTGTGCGTACTTGACATCGTACTTTGGGGACGTGAAGCAGTGCGAGGAGAAGAACAGGTAGTAGATGCCTTGGGCCGTGCGGATGATGTTGGGTGCTTCCACGAGCGGGCCGTCGCTGTCGTCGTTCTGGAGGATCTGTACCGGGTCCCCGACGGGCGTCACGCCGTCGGCCTTCAGCTCCTGGAGGAGGATGGGGACGGCGAGGATGGGCTTCTTGCCGTTGTTGCAGTCGCCGCCGTGGCCGATGCTGTTGGCGTCGGCTTTGTAGACGACGTATAGCTTGCCGTCGGCGTCGCGGAAGGGGGACGGGTCGATGGCGCCGCCTTGGGCGCGCGGACAGGCGAGGGGTTTGCGCTGGGGCACGTAGGGGCCTGCTGGGTTGGTGCCGTTGGAGACGGCGACCCCTACGCAGTGGTGGTACAGCCAGTCTTTGAGTTCGCCGCTATAGTAGAGGACGTATCGTCCGTCGTTCTGGTTTTGACTGTTAGGGGAGGAAATAGTCTGGGGAGAGAAGTGCAGCAGGTACGTACGCGTTGGATCACGTCTGGAGCGTAATGGTCGATGTCTGTTTCCCACCTACTCAACGAAGGCATCGCATCGTATCCATCGAGCCGCGTCCAGGAGGTAAAGTCTCTCGATGTCGCGACGGGCACATGAGGTACTTCTGAGTTGTTCTCGGCCGCATTGGTTCCATATGTGTACCAGGTGTTGTTCACATGGAGTAACCCAGGATCAGGAAAGTCCGAGAGGACTTGGATTGGACGATTTGCCGCGATGTGATAGCTGGGATCATCGTGCGACTTATTCCTCTTCACCAAGACTATGGGAACGGTGATGACAATGATGGTGATAGCCAGCGCGAGGAAGACCAAGATCAACAATCTTATGATCTTACCCCGCGTCCAGGGTCTTGGGCCCCTGGCTGATGAGCCTGATGACGACGCATTAACTGGTGACTTCACGGGAGATATGCCCTTCTCTGCACGAGAATCAAGTTGTGCAGATCTGGAGCTTGGTGGTGTTAAGGACGCTTTGAGATGGGTCCAAATCCCACTCGGTCTTTGTACCGTCTCCATTCCTACCTCTATTATTCGCCAAGTAACATCTGCCCCGGGGAGCCGGAGGAAATGATCTTACCAAGGTACCATTCATGTAACGGTAGCTGAAGCTTGACGGAGCTATCCAGCGGCATAGAACAATGAGATAAGTTCAATCAGGGAATCAACAGAGCGATCTCAATGGAAGACTACAATGTTTCGCCGGGCGGGCTTTCAGTTTCAGATGGAGGATCTCAGCGATACTGGTAATCTAATTCAAGCACGCAAGTCGCCGTCAGCATAACGAAAGAGAATGGCTTACAGTTCCCAGACGTCAGTTGGCTGAGACGATCAGCCACTTCTAGGCCCGAAATTTACTTTTTGACAGCCAGTCGCCTCCTGCTGCCGCGGGTTAAGCATCCGCTTGGATTTTTCACGGGATGAGCGCATTGATTAGATCAGCCACCACTGGGATCATGATGAGTTCTTGACCCATCGAGACCTTGAGGCCATTTGTCGCGTCAATTTGGACTTCAAATTCAGATTCTGTTGACTATTAGTGACTCTGTAGCCGACAGTGCTAGTCGACGGGTTGGCGGCGCGCCAACTCCCTTTAGCGCGTCGGGCGGGTTGGAGTGTTAAGACAGTTGCATGGAAAATGTGTCAGGGGCAATGCACATTCAGACATGGCATGAGATGTCTTCTGCTCCAAGTGTATGACGCTGTTGAATGACGCAGATCAGATACCGTAGCATTCAAGCAAGAAGCACGGAAAGATTCTCATCCAGGGTTGACTTCAGTATTGTTCCATTAAGATCTGGTAAAACTCGGTTCAGCGGTCACAGCTTGCCTCCCGCTTTAAGTAATTATCGGGTCGATTGGCATCCTTGCGCCAATCATAGAGTGAGATTGCTCCCACGTGTAACATAACCAGTGGTATTGTCATGTAAAGTGAGCGACTATCAACAGCTCAAGGTGGCGGTAGATCGAAAACACAAGATAGATAAGACTTGAGGTAACGTAAAGCGCGAGATGGTTTTAGAGCGATAAGCTGTCCCAGAAGGCTCCTCATCTTATGCGGCACAGTAATCAAGCCATAATGACTTGTCATTGTCTGCGTGTTCTCGACATTGGAGGGGCTGAAATAGATGAAGCGGGGAGGAAGTGTGACAGCAACCAGCAATCACACCAGCAGCAGCAGAAGGCTTGTTTCCTTTGCAGCCGATGGGCCAAACAAGCGCCAGAGCCAAGTCGGCCCATGGCGCGGCTTGCTGGAGGGTGACGCAACCCACTTCCGTATGCCTTCATCCGAGTTCGAGCGGGATTTGGTCACTCCTAGTCCTTGGGAGGTTCCAGAGTTGAAGAGTTGAATTACCAGGATTCATCAGGAACCTGAAGATGGTTTTCGATGTCTTCCGTGAGTCGAATTCTGAACGTAACCTTATCGTGGTCTGGACAGGCTTGCGATCACAGGTGGATCTGACAGTAGGGCCGAAAACGGCGGTGCAAACCGAGTGTGTTGTGGGGAAAGAGAGGAGAAACAGGAGGTTGTTACAACCTCCAACTGGTCAATAGTCAGGTACACCCGATGAGTTCTTTTGTCGCGAAGGGAGAAATTGACCTGTTCCATGAATTGAGTATGGTTGGAAGTAGAAACAGAGAGAGGAACTGAGAGAAAGAGAAGATCAATTTCCCGTTGCGGACGGAAGTCAAGCCTCGAGCCAGCATCGAAGGAATGAACACCTGCTGGTGACGAGACGAGGTTACAGGAGCCATTGTCTCTTCAATTGCCTCATCAAAAGACAGAAGACGAAAGACGAAGGACCTATAAGATGTGTCTGCTGTGCCCTGTCCAGTGAATGAAGATGCCTATCGGGAATCGACGCCACACGTTGTAAGAAGCAGGCAAAATCGCCGTCGTCACTCCCGAAAGTGCGGGCTCCACCAAACATCTTCTCTTTTATTTTTCCGCTGCCTCGTCGTACAGCCCGCCGTCTGGCTCGCTTTCGCTCCTGCTTATAATCCTACCTGGCCTGCTTTATAATATCTCATTTCCCTTCCTACCCCCCATGGCACCACTGCAAGATCCATAATTGATCAATTGTTCTCTGTCGTTCCTTTCCAGCGAACGCGCCATACCTCGCACACGGCCTGACGCTCCTCTGACGACGACAGCCCTCGTTGCTGGAACCTCGAACACGTTCACGGACATGCGCATCTGGGGACGGTTCCGTGGAAAAGACACCGATTAACCCTCGACCAACATTGATCTCGCGTCGGCGAAGCTTGCGCAAGAGCTTCCAGAGCAGTTCCTGGGGCTGTCCTTGGCAACGGTAGCCCGATCCAGCCGACTGCAGAGGACTCCCCCCTATTTGCGCCCGCGATGCTCACCTTTCGCAAGTCGCTTCTAGCGGCTGTGTTGCTAATCACCTTCATCGTCTTCTTCCGATCCTCGCATTCTTCCCCGTCCGTGTCACCGCCAGTGCCCGCCGCCGCCGCCGCGGCGGGAGCCTACGATAGCAGCCCGACCACAAACGACCGGCCCCAGGGGCAGAACCCCGACAGCGTCAAGCAGCAGCCCCTCACCCCTCCACTGAGCGCCCCGTTGCGCGAACGATTGCGCTTTCATTTTCCCTACGACCTCGATGGGAAGTTCCCCGCATACATTTGGCAGACATGGAAGTACACCCCGGAGTCGATGTTCTTCTCCGAAGAACTTCGTGATCCCGAGGCTAGCTGGACCGAACTACACCCAGGATTTGTCCACGAGGTCATTCCCGACGATACGCTGCGGCATTTGATCAAGTATCTGTACGGATCGGTGCCTGATGTATACGAGGCCTTCGAATCCATGCCTCTACCCGTCCTCAAAGCCGACTTCTTCCGGTACCTCATCCTTCTGGCACGCGGCGGGATCTACAGCGACATTGACACCACCGCCCTGAAGCCTGCCTCGGACTGGCTGCCTTCGGAGCTGGATCTGACGACCGTTGGGGCCGTCGTGGGGATCGAGGCCGACCCAGATCGTCCGGACTGGCACGACTGGTACTCGCGCCGGATCCAGTTCTGCCAGTGGACCATCCAGGCCAAACCGGGCCATCCCATCTTCCGGGACATTGTCACTTACATCACCGAGGAGGCACTGCGGATGAAGAAGGCCGGGCTGTTGAAAGTGGGAAAGATGGACAAGACAATCATGGAGTTCACGGGCCCGGGGGCCTGGACCGATGCCGTGTTCCGGTACTTCAATGATCCGGAGTACTTCAACATCGAGCCCGGCTCGACGTCGAATGTCACATACGAGCATTTTACCAACCTGCAAGGGTACAAGAAGGTCGGGGATGTGGTGGTTTTGCCCATCACGAGTTTCAGCCCAGGTGTGCACCAGATGAATGCAGGCGATATCGATGATCCGATGGCATTTGTGAAACATAACTTTGGAGGTCAGTTGCTCATGAATCATCGCTGCGCTTTACGATATTGACTAATACTCGTATAGGAACTTGGAAGACCGATCCGTCTCTCTGAGCCGGTGATTATGATTCACACCCACATATCGTGCTTTTATCAGCACTCCGTGCATGACACGGTAAACCAAGGAGGCTCCCAGTTAGTGCTGGCGACTGTATACCAGCAGAGTCGATCCATCAGAGATTGAACGACACAAGCTCATGAGGAGCAACCATTAGACTGCTGCTCCTCCCGAGCAACAGAAGAGTCATGATACATGACCAGACCCCACATTCAGACAGCGTCTGCTCGCCACGAATCGATCAGATGCCCAATCAAGGTCATGATAGAGTGTAATTTCATGACACCCCGCGACACTCACATAGTCTATACCGCCTGTACACTCAACCCCATACCAAGCACGTCACGGAACTATCAACCAGAAGGCGTTGGTGACCATGCCACTCACTGCAAAATGCAGTTGTTCATTCCAACGAATTCAAGTCCGTCGACAGGACCACAGAGTCGATTCTGCATGTTCATACGACGAATTCTCACGCCCACGCGCGTTGTTGGTTATGCAGCGTGTGATTGTTGGCTACTCATGTATTTATGTGATCTACCTAGTTATAGTTATAATAATGGCCCACCGGATTGGGAATATAATGAGTTTTATTTCTTCTATTTAGCGCACTGCAACCATGAACACCACCAACACCATTTGAACAAACACCCACCCCCAACCCCACAAAAATAAGACCACCTCTACCGTGTCCCATTGACAAACCCGCCCTCCTCCTGCGCATCCCTCCTCCCCATCAACCCAGCAACCGAAACCGCCTCCCTGACGCCCCTAGCCACCGTCCCACGGAACCCCCGCTCCTCAAGCACCATCAACCCGCCCATCGTACAACCACCAGGCGAAGTCCCCTGATCCCTCAGCATAGCAGGATGCAGGCCGCCCTCCTGCATCAACGCGGTCGCGCCACGCAAGGCCTGAAAAACCGTCGTCTGGGCGTCCTCCCTCGGGAACCCCATCGCGACGGCGCCCTCAATCAACGCATCAGCAAACACAGCAATAAACGCCGGGGTGGAGCCTCCGACGGCTGTGAAGGCCGTCATCTGCGACGGCGGGATGAAGATCGTGCGACCTATCGCCGAGAAGATTGTTTGGGCAGTTTGAAGGTGGGATTCTGTTGGATTCGGTGGCTCTTCCTTAAAGACGGCTGGGTCTGTGGGTGTGGCTGTGGCGCTGGGTTGGGGCACTTCAATGGCCGTGATGCTTTGGCCGACGAGGGCGGCCATGTTGGGGAGGGCGCGGAGGATTTGTAAGTCTCCTGGAGAATCGGGGCGCGCGAGGTCGAATAGCGCGGCGCGCGTCCAGCCTGCTGCTATGCTTATCAGGAGTTTTCCCTTGAGCGCGGCGCGGATGGCCGGGTCGGCGAAGAAGGTCGGGATGTCGGTTGGGTCGATGCAGAGGAGGATAGTTTTGCTGTTGCTTATCGCCAGTTTATTGGCGTTGGGGCCTTGGAGGATGGTTACCAGTGGGGTTTCTGGGGAGGTGGGCGTGGGCTTTAGGTAGGAAGCGAATTCGGTGGTGAGTTTGGTGTAGGTGGAGGAGCGGCGGACGGTTGCGGTGTAGTATTTGGGGAGCTGTGTTGTGGTTGTGCTTGTGGTATCGGGGGCTGCGGCTTGGGCTTCGATGAGACCGTTTAGGATGGCTGTGCCCATGTTTCCTGGGAGGGTGTTAGCTGTGGTTTCTGAGGGACGAGGTGGATGAGCTGGTTGAGGCTTACCGCAGCCGATGATGCTGAGCGTTTGCTCGGTTTTTGCGCTTGTGGTCGACATTGTTGTGGTTTTGCTGGAGGGGTAGGAGCTATGGTGTGCAGTCGTGTTTGCCTTGAGCAGTGAGTTCTGAATCTACAATCTGCGGGTTGATAAGTGCATGTGCGTTGACAGACTTAGATGAAAATTGTGAAGAAGAGACGTGACGAGGGGCACATGGTGTATACTTCGTCTGGTCGAGTCGGATCCACAGCCGAAGGAGCGGCAAGACTAACCGCCGCGGGTCGTTTCCGCTAGTACCATACATTACACAGTCCGTACCGGCTCTGTACACAGTCTGTATCCGAGCGTATTGGAGTAGTTATCAAGCAGGGGGCTGGATCTCATACTCCTCCTTCCCCGCATGTAGATATCTCGCGAAGGTAATCTTGTCCCAGGCAAGTGGGGCATTGAAAAAGATAGGCAATCAAGGTCATTTCCCATATTCATGCTGATAGCTAATCATGATCTACTGAACCCAGCCCGGATCCGACGCTTCACCTCCGCTTTGAGCGCCTCATGCTCAGCATTCGTTCTGGATACTGCATCTCGATTCTCCGCCGCTCTCCGCAGCAGGAAACTCAGACATTCGCTCATGCTCCCCCAGTGCAAGCACTTGTACACGGCCGGTGGAGCCCCATTCTGACCCTTGAGCTGCAGCAGACCGTAACTGACCCCATCCGCCATGCCCATCAGCTGGCCAAACTCGACCTTGGTAGTCGGAAGGTTGTCCCGTATCCGAGCTTGCTGCATGTTATGCGCCGCCACCGCACTGTCGATATTATGCGTAGCCAAGAACAAGTCCGTGGGAGGGAAGGGGCAGTCCTTCTCCCCAAACCCTTTGTAGTTCTGCTGCAGGATACCCCGCACAATCGTGTCGTAGGCCCGATCGGTGTCTTCCTTCGTGTCGTGGATCAAGTGTCTCGGATCGCTGCTCATGTACGCTCCGCGGACCAACTTGAGCCCAAGAGTGAAGCCCTCCTCATTGGCCATCTTCAAGTGCGAGGCAATGAGTTCTGGTGCGGCTTTGAGGTATGCTTGGAAGGTGTTGTAGATGACCGCCTCCCCATTGCGGTTGTACTTGCGCATCATGTCGAGGGTCAGGCTGTGGATCCCCCGAAGGAAAGCATGTTGCTCCGCATCCATGAGTAGGCGGGCCTTCTTTTCGACTACGCGACGACACACTTCGTCGAGTGCCTCGACCATCTGTGTGGGGACAGGCTCACCGGCCGCAAAGGCCTGTGTCACCTTGGGGCCAGCGCCAGTGAGTCTGAAGCCACGTTAGTGTTTGTGCATACCAGTGTCAATTTTGGAACTCACTTTGGAGCAAGGAAGTCTCCAGGACCAAGCATATCTACCGTGCGCAGAACGTCTTCTCTCCATGATTGTATATGTTCACATGTGTCTGTTGAGGCAGCCTTCTCTAACGCCTCCGTGTTGGCAAAGCGTTGCTTTGCCGTGCGGGCGTCCTGCACCGTCTCCCGTGTGTAGGTCAAGATCACCCCTCTCAGTCCTGTGCTTCTGATCTGCTGGATGGTTTTGTACACTTCAGCCTCCTTTTCGCCAGCACAGAAGTGGTCGTAAAAGGTCTTCCTGAGGAACCAGTAGATGAGTGGATTTCGTTCCACGTCAAGTAAAAGGCTGCTTGACTTGGAGAGAAAGGACAGGATAGACAAGCTGGGCCCTAGCAGAAGCGGGTGCGAGGAGATGGTCGTCACCAGCAGGGACCGCAGTAGGATCCCAGTTGGAATGACTGAGTGGGCAGAAACCGCGGCTTTCTTGACCTCGACTGGTGAGTTGGCCACCACCGTAGCAACACTATCACTACTCAGGGATGATCTCGTGGAGACATAGTGCTGATGTCGGAGGGCTAATGGGGCTCTGAATGCTGCAATGCCTGTGGTGCTTAGGCTGGAGGTTGCCCGTAGGGAGCCAGACATTGCTTGGAGATGTTCCAAAGATGATGGATGAGATCGATGATTTGGAAACAGATTCACATCGAGTGGAAGCCATCTTTATAGCCATCTTGCAGCATCTGCGGGGTGCATGATATGCCAGCGGCGACTAAAACTGATAAAGATGGAGCATGGTCATCCCAATTGGATCCATTGCTAAGATATCAGACCTCGTGAGAAATGCCTCCATGCACGTTGAGCAGCGTTCTGTCCCACCCGTGTCAGGACAAGCGCTGACAAGCCAGCCATTCCTCGGATTGACCGTATTGGCGATCGATACGGTACGGGATTGAAATACGTCTCAGAGAGGATAATCATCGGAGGAAGAGCCGATGGCACTCGAGTACAGACTAGGACTCGGGGCTGCAACCCGTCAGTGGTAGCTTGAGGGGTAGAGACGAGGAGGTTCCATGGGGGCTACTACAGAGACCCCAGCTAGTACTATAGTATAGGAGATCCTAAAGGCTTGGTCCAGGTGTTGCCGTTATAGTCACATCGAATCGAACTGTGTTGTTAAGACCATCTCTGCCAGAATCATGGTGACTCTTGACAGTAGCAGGGTCGACTCTGTGAGAGCGACATTGCTACTACAGATTAGTTTGCGAACAGTACTTTCAAGAAGAACATTCTTACCCATCTGCGCCTTGCATAAGTCATGCATTCAACCGACTTGATAAGAGACTCCATCTGCTCGGTGAGAGATAAGATAAGGGTTATTTATGGCTCGATGTTTGTGCAGGCGTTCCAAGGCTAAAGTGGACGAAGTGCGGTTGACCATCATGAAGAAGAATTGACTGTGACAAGTCCAGCATTCTATAAACAATGACTTGCTGGTCAATTGAGCATCATTCACCTTGAAGGGTCGATACCTCCATACCCCGCAAATAGCTGAGGGATTGGAAGTAGAACGAGACAGGAAGAAGAGGAGGCCGACTCCATTCGGCCCCGCATTTTGCCACGAGAAGCCGAAGACTGCAATTGCACTGCATCAACCAGCACTTCCACTTTCATTTTCACTCTCACTTCCCCAACAAACAAGGACAGCTTCCTCTTCTTCTTTTCACTTCTCCCAATCCCTTACTCTTCAAACTCACCGGAAGTCTACATCATGAGCGTCAGAAGTCGCACCGGCTGTTTGAATTGCAAAAAGCGCAAGCGCCGTTGCGGAGGTCAGTTCTAGATTCTGTCTTGGATCCACTCTGGCCCTTTATTCACACGACCACAGAAGAGAGACCGGCTTGTACAAACTGTGAGGTTAGAGGATTCGACTGCTCTTACCTGTTCGAAAAGTGGCAACCGGCGCCATTGCGATTCAAGATCTCCTTGAGTATGTGAAATTGCCCGCCTCCGCACTGAACAAGCCGGAGCAGCAGTAACAAGTCGCAGGCAAAGGACATAGATCCTCCATAAAGCGCCGAAGCCGTTGGCACTTTATCAGCGTATCCTCCCACGATGCCGATATTTTGCTATGCGAACAGTACCACCACCCTACTACTAAGCGATCAGTACATTGCGCAGAGCGCGACGATCATTCAGACGATTACGCAGCCACATTCGACGCAGGGCTTTCGCCCTTCTCGCCTCTCCTGGTTAACAGCAGCGAGTTGGAGACACAATTATTCCAATACTGTAAGCGATCCCAGTCCGAGAGAAGAGACTCAAAACCAACAAGTGCTGAACTTGCACCGCAGACCTGCAGGTCATATGTAAAGTCCGCGTCTTTCAGGATGAGCCGAGAAACAAATTTCGCTCACTCGTCATTCCCTTCTGCTCCCGCCAGAAACCACTCTGGTACGCCGTGCTCTCGATGAGCGCCAACGACCGGCGAGCAGCCACGGCAACAACCATCAACTACGCGCAACTCTCTCTATCCTACAAATCACTCGCTCTGCAGCTCCTCCGCGATTCTCTGGCCAATATTGAGGATGTGAACGAAGCTCTCATGACCTGTCTGATTTTGTGTTCCCTCGAAATCGCCTGCGGCTGTCGACCAGACTGGGTCCGACACGCGCAAGGCGCATTCGCTATCATCAACAGCTACGCCTGCGCCCTCGACCCGGAAATTCTTTTCTTCGCCCAAAGCTACTTCCAATCCCGGGCTATCTTCTACCGAACCACAGGCTGCAGCCCCCCGCGTCAGAAAAGTTCCCCTCATGGCGATACAGCATCTTATACAGCGACATTACCCACAACCACCGATCTAATGAGCCCCGAAATCTTTCCCTGGGACGTATATCCCACCGCCACCAATATTCATGACAAGAAAACCTACCAGCCCCACATCGGCTGCTCGCTGGGTCTTCTAGACATAATCGCGCGGGCCACCGACCTCGTCACCCAAAAACAACACCTCCGATCCACGCGCACCAGCTCCCTCGCCTCCGAAGGCGCCATGATGCACCAAGCGATGCGCCTGCGCAGCGAACTGAATGCCCTAGACGAGGACTACCCGCCCACCGCCTCGAACAGCGAGTACCTGGCCACGTGCGGCCGGTGTTTCCGGCTGGCAGCGGACCTCTACCTGCAACTGGCGTGCGACATCCCGCTGACGCAGCCCACGCTCCGAGCCCTGCTGGCCAAACTGCTGGACAAGATCGGACGGGTCATCCGCGAGGACCAGGAGCGGCAGCTGTTCCCCATGTGGCCGCTCTTCCTGGCAGGATGTCTGTCGACGGCGGATGAGGACCGGGTACGCGTGCTGAATTACTTTACGTATCTGACGCAGTCGTGGCCGGTGAGTAACGTACCTGTTGCACGGGAGGCGACTGAGACGGTGTGGAAGTGGCGGGACTTGAACCCGCACGACACAGACAGCGGGTTGGATTGGCAGATGATTCTGAGTCGGATGCACTGGAAGCTTGCCTTGTCATAGTCCTTCCCTATCTGTCTTTCCAAGCTGCTCTTAAGAAGCGTTATGTGATGTGTAAATGATTCAATATGACTCTAAGCGAAACTGTACGTACTTGCTGTATATACATATAGCAAACTGCAATCCATCAAATCCAACCCAGTTCAAAACTAAAGACCATCTCACAACCTCGCCCCAGGCCCCGGCTTGATCTCCGCGAACTCGCGCGTAGCGCCCAAGCGCCAGCTAACATCACCACCCGCCCACTTCTTACCCTTCTCATTCTCCTTGGAGTCAGCAGCCTTCCACCTCCAGCGGGACTCAGCCTGGCGACCTTCCTTCACCAACCTAGCCACCCACTCGCCCACAATAGGCAACATCTTAAACAAATGGCCCGAGTCACCGGACAACAGCGCAACACTCCCCGCGGAACCAGGCACAAAATCCACAATAAAATCCGAATCCGCCGTATCAGCAAACCAACACAGCTTCTTCTGAACAAACGGCCGATCCGCCAACGCGGGCAGCGCCTGCCTCAACAACTTCCGCATGCGCTCCTCATCCTCCTTCGGAAGCACCCCGTCACTCTCCCTCAGCGTCGCCGGAGGCAATGACACACCAGTTCCGGGATCAGTATTGATATACCCGCCGCCCATCGGACAAATCTTCAGGAGGTTCGTCTTCGGGTCCGGCTCGAACAGGAACCCGAGATCGCGCGCATAGGTAACGGGGATCCCGCGGAGGGCGCTGGTCTCGTCGTCAGACAGACGCACATGGCCGATGGACCAGCTCTTAGCGACGACCTGGGTGCCGAGCTCAGGAAGAAGCGTGCCCGCCGCCGCGCCGACGGCTACAACCACCAACTTGCACGAGTGCACCTGCCCGGAGTACGTGCGCACGCCCGTCACCTTGCCGGGACTCGTGGCCACGCCGCCGCGCAGCAGCTCGCGGATGGCGCCCCGCTCCGGCCCCAGGAAGAACTTCACGCCTACCGCTGCGGCGGCTTCGTAGACGGCGCGCAACGCGTTGGCGGAATGTGCGTAGCCGGCCAGCGGGTTGAAGTAGCCCTTCCAGCCTGGTAGGGGCCCGTTGAGTTGCCAGGCGATGTCGCGGGGGATTTGGGTGGAGGAGGTGATGGAGATGAGCTTGTGTGCGTATTCTGGGTGGTGTTTGATTGTTGCGTGGAACCGGTTCAGGGTGTCGGTTGCTTGTTGCGGGCCCGTGCCTGAGACGCAGTGCAGGAAGCCTGTTTGGTGGTAGTGCGGTGCGTAGAGTGGGGTTTTCCAGCCTGCGATTGCTTTCTTTGGGGTCGTTAGTTTTGGGGGTTTGGTGGGAGGGACAGGGGCTGAGAGGCAACGTACAAGAGTCAGCTCCGTGTACCACGGGTCTTCGTACTCCGCGCGCACGATCTTGTTGATGTCGTACCCGGCGGAGAATCGGCCGGGTACTTGGTCGTCGCGCTCGAATACTGAGATGTCTGTGTAGCCTTCTGTCGCGAGTTGGAGGGCCGTCGACAGTCCGAATACGCCGGCGCCGATGATCACGATGGGGTCGGTTTTGGAGATTGCCATGGTGGATATCGCTCCTCAGGCTGTACTAGGGTTCAAGGGATAATAGGTGAACAATGCTGTGGCCAGAGAGATGTGCAGTATCAGCGGTGTAGCTGGATATATACTTTGTGAAATGACGAGCACTGTAGTAGTCGGCGAGTCACATCACACCACTTCAGTTGAAGACGCAATGAGCTGTTTCTGGCGCGCATTCATGCCCCGACGCGCTCACAGCTGTTCCATGCAGTTAGATTATCCCCCCCAGGTTGACTGGCAAGTGGGGTGGGGTGCTTGTCGTCTTCGGTTTGTCGTGGGATCGTGGATTCAAGCATGCGGGTTTAGTGTATGCGATACACGAGGCTTACGGACGGGATACGCTGCCGAACATGCTCGGCGTTTGAGACGGTATTGCTGTAGGGGCGGGGTTAGTACTTGGTTAGTGCGGGTTGGCGTCGGCGGGGATCGGCAGTTAGCGTAGGCGAAACTGTCCTTGCGTCAGAGATAAGGGAGGACTTACGAGGATCACCGTGATTGTGGTGCCCTCTTACTGCTTACTGGAGGTGAAGTGGAATTCAGAGATAGGTGGTCATTCGGTTTGATTTGGCGTTGTTGTTGGCTTTTGGAGATGGTGGAGGACAAGGCACGCTCTGGAGAGGTAATATTTTGCGCTTTTTTTTTTCGTCAAAGGAACTCTCAATATGCGTATGAATAGAGCTTGGATGAGGTAACCGGATGGAGTCCGCAGAGAAAGCTATTGTAATGTACTGCATCAATGGTGTGTTGTCTTTGTACAGCCGGGAAGTGTGAATCGGTCCATCTTTTAAAAGCAGTGACGATTGAGCATTCATGTCTGAGTTGTGTTGTAGGTCGCACGGTTCTAGCAAACAGCTCCTGAGAAAGACTAGGTGAGATAATTGGATATAACTCTGATAGCACTCAATTCAAGGTATGATTTTACCGAGTTTAAACACCGCGGAATCTACGCAGGCATACGCTTAAACAAAGGCAGTGAAAAAGCTCTATTCAAATCTCTCGCAAAGACATTCTACCGACTTGGTACAAGTACATAACCGCGTAGCGACCACAGCTCTAACCTACTCATTACTGGGATACTTGAATCCAGTCAACGGGAAGAACTCTTCCTTGATGGTACGCGGGCTGGTGAACCGCAGAAGAGGCGTTGAGCTTCCTGCCTTATCGTTGGTGCCCGAGGAACGGCTTCCACCGAACGATTGCTGGCCGATCAAAGCAGCTGTAGTCTTGCAGTCTGTGACGAGAACGGTCAGTACGGATTTCGAGGCACCGCTCATCAGGAGAACTTACTGATGTAGAAGTTGCCGGCGGAATACCGCAGGGTATCTTCAGCTTCGCGAATGGCCTTCCGATCAGCAGCAAAAACTGCGCCGGTCAGGGCGAATCCACCACCACTCTGATCAACCTTCTTCAGGGTGGATGACCACTCGGTATCGGGGTAGACATAGACGGTCAGCACGGGTCCAAAGATCTCGGTGTCGAACAGAGGGTGGTCAATGTTCTTGGCCCGGTAAACTGTCGGGTGGACAAAGTATCCGGTGGAGTCGTCGTACGTGCCACCGGCGAGCAGCTCTAGCGACGAATCCTTGTTGCTAGCATCAATGATCGACTTGATCTTGTCAAAAGACGCCCGGTGGATGACAGGCCCCATAAAAGCCCCCAGATCTTCAGGGGAACCGATAGTGATCTCATCGATTTCAGTCTTCAATTTGGACAGGAACTCCTCGGCCCGGGATTCGGGGAGATACAATCTCGATGTGGCGGAACACTTCTGGCCTTGATACTCGAATGCACCCCGAAGCGTGTGGTATACGGCGCTGGTGATATCGGCAGTAGGGTGGACCAGGTGGAAGTTCTTGCCACTGGTCTCTCCGACCAGACGAGGGTAGTCCCGGTACACCTTCTTGCCAATGTTGGCACCGACCTGGCTGTACAATGACCGGAAGACGTCCGATGAGCCAGTGAAGTTGAGACCAGAGAACTCGCGGTGGTTGAGGATAGTTTGGGTGATCTGCTCCGCATCTCCAGTCACAAACTGAATGACATTGGGAGGCAGACCAGCCTCAAGGAGGATCTTGTAGACGAGCTCGCTGGCGTAGACGTTCGATGGCGACGGCTTCCAAATCACCACATTGCCCATAATAGCCGGCCCGCTGACCAGGTTGCCGCCAATTGCAGTGAAGTTGAACGGGGAGACAGCATAAACGAACCCTTCCAGGGGCCTGTAGTCCACACGACTAAAATGGGGTCAGCAACGGACTTGACTCCGCGAGCAGCATGTTCAAACTCACGTCCACATTCCATCCGTGCCACGGTCAGGCTGCTTCTCCAGCAACTCGGCAGCAAGATTGCAGTTCAAGCGGAAGAAATCAGCAAGCTCGGCGGCAGCATCGATCTCGCCCTGCCACACATTCTTTCCTTGTCCGAGCATCGTAGCAGCAATAAGTTCGTTTCGGTACTTTCCGGTCACAAGCTCTGCGGCCTTCAGGAAGATTGCTGCACGGTCCACGAACGGGGTGTTCTGCCATGACTCCTTGGCTTTCAGAGCCAAGTCAATTGCTTCATTGACCTGCGCGGGGCTGGCTAGAGGATAGTTGGTGAAGGTGGTGGCATGCTCTGCGGGAAGCGGCTGGTTGGATGCGCTGGAGGCAGCTTGTGCTTTGCCGTCGATGTATATTTGGCTCTTAAGAGGTAATTGAGACTTGAGCTCCTTCAACTTTTGCTCAATTTTGGCTCGCTCGGATGAGCCTTTCACGTAGTCAAGCTAGTAGCGCATGTTCAGTCTTTGTTCTCGGCATTCATTGTGCGAAAGGCACACTCACATTTAGTTCATTTCTAGCGGCTGGCAGTCGGAAAGGAACGGTGGCCGCACCGCGGACCTGCGTGGCTGAAGTGCGTGCAGCACGGCGGACTAGATGGCGCATGCTAGGCGAAGGCTGAGAGACGGAGAGTTTGAATGCCATTGTGATTAGTTGAGGTAGAGGAGGGAGAGAAGAAGGTGGTGATGGTGGTGGTGAGAAGGTGATCGTGAAGTCCAATTAAGATCCAGCGACCATTGGCGATGATAGGCATTCTTATTCCTCATGATTGTTGTCGACAGAGACGGTGCTGATGTCAATGGAAAGAAGTCCCGAGCAGAGAGAGTGGATCAGTTCGGGAAGCAATCCGACGATGCAGGAAGAGGAGGAGATCCCGCCTACTACTGCGGGGAGGCAGCCGAGGAGATGTTGGGATGGATGGCGGGTAGTCTAACCTTCGTCAACCACCGGCGTCAGATCCCGTTGGTTTAGATTAATAGAGTCTGGTCTTATCTGATTGAGGCAGTTGCATGCGTAATTACCCGACTGTACTGTTTCTCGGGTCCATTGGTTTTCTCGGTGCAACTTACAGCTCGCATTTCTCCATCTCTGTTTATGACTCCAGATAGAGATAGAGAGACCTTGCATCAATGGAATAGTAGGGCTAATCATTGCGCGAGAGAGCAAAATAGAGAAACTTTCTATGTAGTTGATATTATCATTTTACAATCCCTTCACTCACAATAACCTTCACGATCATATCATTAACCGAAAATACAAAGAAGCTGACAGTAGACCTTCGCAGCACAATGTCCCCGGATCGTTCGACACTACAAAGCTACTATGCCAACATATGGGGCAGTGAACTACAAAAGCACCTGGCTGGTGATATTGCAGCGGGCACAGTATCTGCTACTTTTATCTCCCCTATCGTCACCATCATCGACCGGTAAGTCGCTCCTCAGCATCGAGAAACTTCCCTCTATTAATGCCAGTCACGTCCAGAACGATTGTTGAACGGCTCGCACTGAATCGACCTCTATTGCGAACATTAGGCGCCAACACATTCTGCTCCATCTTCAGGCCTCGAAAGTTCTACGTTTCGAAGCCGTTCTTCATTGTCTGGTCCCTATACGCAGCCACATACTGCACCGCAAATGTCACTGAAAGCTGCATTGAGCATCTCCCCTCACTCACCGACGAGACCTCGACGGCAAATGTCGCAGCGACGCTCAGCTTCTTGCCCACTTATGTTGTCAATGTATACCTCGGGATAATGAAGGATGTCAACTTTGCGCAATATTACGGCCGTGCCAGCACTGCCGTCGCGACCAGTACTCGAGTCCCCCGAGCAGCATATATGTCTCTGCTATTTCGAGATAGTGTCACTATCTTCAGCTCGTTCAACCTGGCGCCGTGGATGGCCTCGTCCGTCCCCGACTCGGTTGCAACCAACCCGCACACCAAAGCCATGATCACTCAGCTGGTTCTGCCGGCTGCCGTTCAGTTTGCCAACACCCCACTGCATCTGCTCGGCTTAGACCTGATCGCCCGACCCCAGACCCAAGGATTAGCGACGAGGTGGAGTCGGGTCCGACGGGACTGGGCTCCATCATCAACCGTCAGGGCTGCAAGGGTGTTGCCGGCCTTTGGAGTAGGCTGCATTATGAATACCGAATTACGAGACCTGTTTCATCACAGTTAGCAGAATTAATACCACGTTTAGCTATAATACTGCACTACTCCTGATAGATAAGCCTGAACCCTGATAGATCGTCGAGAATGTAGTGACAAATTGTCCGACCCCGTTAACAGTCACTCGATAAGAGTTGAGATGAACAAGACTGCGCCTGCGCCCGGCTGCGCTAACCGTTGCTGAAACAACTGCAGCAGTGGGGAAGTCCTTTGCTTCTCAGGCCAGCAAAGGGCGGGGAAATAGTTCAAAGGAAGAAGCTGAGTGGGCTTATCTTCAGGCTGGCGCATGATTTAACCTCCTTTTGAGGGTTGCACTATCCTTAACTGCAGCCGCCTCTCCGCTGCCAACTACAGCCAACCATCATTGAGGAACCCTACTAGCTTGAGGATCAGTCTGGATTTGATGGCTGTGTATGCTTGGCTTCCAGTCGGACAAAAAACAACAACTCTCTACGATACCCTTATCTACCGATGTGGAGAAGCCCGGATCCCAGCGGATCCGCTGGAGTTGATATTGAGTATCGCAGGAGCCAGCTCTCAACATATGCCAGTCGTGCTAGTCGAACCGATTTCTCGCTTATTGGTTTTGATTCTCGCATTAGGACGCTTCCCCAGACACGCTATGCTTATCCCCACGTTATGAATCTGTTCCCCGTATCAATGTCCTCCTATTTGCGGATTAAATGCATGGCTTGTTCATATCTGTCAACAAGCCTCCGCAAGCCTTCGAACTGTATGGGCATACAGTATTGATTGGGGGAGGTAGGGCACTGATTGAAGACTTACCAACAACCATACGTCATGTAACAAGGGATGCCGCTCAAGATAACGCTCATGACCCCAGCGATGTCAGATTTGCAGGCTGCACCATGACTTCTGCAGACTTAGGTCATGCATACCACCCTCTTTATCTACTGGAGAATGTGCTTATACCTTTTTGAGCCCACTATATCCTAATAAACCGGTTGTGCCCTCATTTTGGGAGAGATATGGCATCACCCACGCTCTGTGACCTACATTAACCCTCACAGCCAGCACTTGCACTTATCGCACTGTATCCGCTTGGTTGCATTATCATTACTACCATTGATTTCGATATCAATATATTCAGTGTCACCATTTCTACCATTACAATCCCCATTAGAGATGACGACCATGAGCACAGATTTCGGGACCCTCACAGAGATCCCTGGTCCCAATGCATATGATATCTCTCGCGACGACGAGAAAAAACAGCATATGAATGATTCCTCGCCAGATGAAGATCCATTTGGAAATGAAGAGTGTGCCGAAGTAAAATACCGCACCCTAGGATGGTGGTAAGTCCAAGTCTACAGGTTTTGCTCGTCTCATTGTGAGCATAGCTGACCGGCTGACGACCATTCAGGCCCTGTGGAATACGTGAGAGTTTCTTACACTCTTTACATTCAAGACATATCTGACCCTCGTATCACAGTAATGGTGGCAGAAAATGTGTCAATTGGAATCTTGTCCCTCCCTTCAGCTTTTGCAACGCTAGGACTTGTGCCGTCTATTATCATCATGATCGGTGTATCCTTCATTGCATGGTACACAGCCTACATCATCTATCAGTTCAAGATGCGCTATCGTCATATTCATAGCATGGCGGATGCCGGCGAGGTCATCCTAGGCCGATTCGGACGGGAGCTGTTGGGTGGCGGCCAGCTCATCTTCTTGGTGTTCGTGATGGGAAGTCATATTCTGACGTTCACTGTGGCCATGAACACCATCACCGATCACGGCACTTGCACCATCGTCTTCGGGATTATCGCGCTGGTCATCAGCTGTGTTGGGAGCCTACCACGGACCATGGGAAACGTGTATTGGATCTCGTTTGCATGTGAGTCGCTTCCTGCTATACCTCCCATCCTTATCACCGCAACGAACTAAATGAATCGTCAAGCTTTTCTCAGCATCGCCATTTCGGTCATTGTGACTATGATTGCCGTCGGGGTCGAGAACAAGGGCCATGTTCATCTTGATGCTATCACACACTACAGCTTCAAGACCGAGTTTCTAGCTGTCAGCAACATCATTTTCGCATATGGTGAGCCACCCCTCCCCCCTTCCCCTATTGCCCAGTATTCCTCCTCAGACTAACAAACATCCAGTCGGACACGCCTCTTTCTTCGGTTTCGTCAGCGAGATGGAAGACCCGCGGGAATTCCCCAAGTCCATCGCAGTCCTCCAAGTCATCGACACCTCTCTTTACATCGTCAGCGCGGTGGTGATATACCGCTTCGTCGGGGCAGATGTTGCCTCGCCAGCCCTGGGATCCGCAGGGCCGATCATGAAGAAAGTCGCCTACGGCCTGGCGCTCCCTACCATACTGTTCGCAGGCATCGTGAACGGCCACGTCGCCGCGAAGTACCTTTACGTGCGTCTCTTCCGAGGCACGAACCACATGCACGAGAACACATTGCTGGCCAAAGGATCCTGGGTGGCTATCGCGCTGATTCTCTGGGTGATCTCCTGGGTCATTGCCGAGTCGATCCCTGTCTTCAATGACCTGCTGAGTCTCATCGTATGCTCCATCCTTTTAGCCCCAAAAGAAATCCCTTCCAAATACTGATTCGATAAATGCTAGACCTCCCTCCTCGGCTGCTGGTTCGGCTGTAAGTTCCACCCACATCCCACCCCAACTACACCCCCTCCCTCCCTCCATGACTAATGATGTCTCAATAGTCGGATTCCCAGCCATCTTCTGGTTCTACCTCAACAAAGGCAACTGGTTCGCCACGAAGTGGAAATCCCTCCTCAGCCTCATCAACCTCTGTATCCTAGGAATCGCATTCGCAACCGTACGTCCGGCTTAACTCCCTCCCTCCCTCAATCCTCAATACAAAGCTAACAAGAATCCATAAATAAAGTGTGGTCTAGGACTCTACGTCGCCGGCGACGCAATCAGCAGCCATAGCAACGGCGCTGTATGGACGTGTGCCAGCAATGGAGTCTAGAATGCTGTATCATTTCCTTTCCCTTTGATGATTCTGTTTTGGTTGGGTATGGATATAGTTTGTAGCGGAGTTGGGGGTGCAGATATGGGCTGGCCCTTTTTTTTCCTCTTTCACTTGACCTTGTTCCTTTCGTTCTGTGGCATACTTCGTTTTTAAAAAGGATTTAGCTCTCTCTTTGGTAGAATCAAGCCGTTGTTTGGATTTGCTTTTCTTTCGTGGGGTGTAGATGTTGCAGGAGCATCCAATCCAGAATTGGGGTAGGGGTTGTTTGCTTTGCTGTCTTACTGCTTTGGTAGATCCTTTTGGGCATGGGAAGAGATAGTTGGGATTAAGACCTGGGAGATGTTTAGAGGGTGGGTTTTTGAAGGTAGAGGGTGCTTTTGCTCTCAACAACAAGGATTGACACATAGTTGGGATGATGTAGGTAGTATCGGGGGAAGGTATCGGAATGATGTGATCCAAAAACTCAGAGTATAAGGTAGGAAAGAAAGTACACAGTTGGTTCAGTTGCGTACCTAATTTAAATCTGATTCCACATTTACATTGAAAGAGCTTGCATGTACATCGTTGAGTCATGAGGTATAGTCGCCACCGCCATTGCTGGGTTCATTCCAAATTTCTATTATACGCAAGATTTGTGTTTAGGTATATATGTATGTATCGAAAGATTCGATGGCCAATTTCACGGTCGAGAAAGCCAGAGGAAGGAAAAGCGTAGCCTCGTGTGTCGTATCATAAAATCATGGGACGGAGACTAGGGGCATTTGTCGAGGTCGGAGGCTCAGCAGCCGTCGCGGAGTCCGGCGGCATCATGGTCACGCCGGAGAAATCGCCCGGTATCCGTAGTCGAGGAAGATCTTCAGCACTGCAGGCGCGAATCCGAGCAAGAAGTCGGCAGAATATAGCGATTGCCGATTGAGCAAAACATTATGTATAGGATAATAGACCGAAGACCGTATACCAAGAACGCAGTTGAGGACGAGCTTTCGACAAAAGATTTTGATGCCTGGCTCGGGTGGCTGGCTAAATAATGTCATAAATCCTTTCATAGGTTGCAGCCTTAATCAGCGTCGATCAAGTTCTTCGTAGATGCTTCGACAGAAAGAAGATATATCCATGCAGAATCATGAGACATGCAGCGTAATTTGTGAAGCGGGGGCTGAACCGCAAAGGCATGTCGCTGCCATGAATGTACGCGTTTGGCCGGATAAGAACAGTGTGCAGGCAGCAGCAATGGGCCTCGGAGATAAATCCTCGTGGTTATTTGTCTATGAGCCTGACGCCCATAATATTAGTATAAGTGCCAATGTCATTGACGTACTGGCACAGAAGCCAAAGGAGTGAGGCTGCAGGCCTGGCGGCCTAGGTCGGTATGCTAAAACACATTCAGAGCCGTTTCGGGGAGGACGGTGGATGCTGAAGATGATCTGCTCACGTAGTCAAAATCGATTTTGACGGTCATGTGATTCAAAAATCGGCGAACAATGGTTCATATTTGTTCCTCATATCGTCGGAGTAAGGGGTCTGGTTCCGGACGTCCGGGTCAGGATATTCCTCGAAATTGCCGGTATCCGCGGGATGGTCAACCCTCGGGATGATAGGTCCCTTGATACGGCGGTACCAAAGGTCGTCCCAGTTGATGTCTTCGAAGAAAGGATGCGCTTTGACTCGAGCGGAGCCCCCGGAGATGTACCCTAATCGCTCCGTTGGATTAGTTTTGCAAAGTAGAGAAATAATGTTCTGCGCCGCGGGCGACATGTTCTGAGGATATCGAATGCGACCTTCAACAATCTGCTCATAGATCCGCATAGGGTTCTGGTCCCAGAAAGGAGGCTGTCCCACGAGAAACTCGTAGATAAGAATTCCCAGAGCCCACCAATCCACTGCAAGGCCATGCCCGCTGTTGTGGATAACCTCGGGTGCAAGGTATTCAGGCGTGCCACATAGCGTGTAGGTCTCGCGGTCCCCAATTTGCTTCGCAAAACCGAAATCGACCAGTTTGATGTGTCCTTCCGCGTCGAGAAGAATGTTCTCGGGCTTCAGATCGCGGTAGACAACACCTTCGACGTCATGAAGGAATTCGATCGTCAATGCAATCTCAGCCGCGTAGAACTTTGACGTGTTTTCGTTGAAGCGACGTGCGCGCCGTAGATAACTGAAAATTTCACCTCCCGGACAATAGTCCAACTATGGAAATGTCAGTGATAGCCGTAGCAACAGGGACACACCCCACAAATCTCAAGGTTCCAGATCGAGGTTCGAGACGGTAGTAGGCATGGGTGGACAGTCATACCAGCATGTAGAGATGTTGATCATCGGAGAACGAAGCTATCAACGTGGTGACAAAGGGATGGCCGGAAACGTCCGCGAGGGTTTTCCGTTCGTTGCGCACATGTTCGACTTGTTTCAACTTGATCACTGTCCGTAGCAGAAGGGACAATCGTTAGCATCGATTATCGAGTGAGCTAGACACATGAGAGGGCAGTCCTTACCGTCTGCTTTCCTGAGCATTTTCAGCGCGTAAACCTTATCCTTTCGTTGTTGCTCCTCCTTTGACTTCACGAGCCATACGCGAGCAAAGGTACCTAAAGACAGGGACACCACCACCGTCAGACACCGGCTAGGCCGCGCAAGCGATGAAGCTTAGCTTACCAGTACCGAGTGTCTTCAGCAGCGCGAAGTCATTGACATTCAGCCGACGAGTCGAGATGCCTAACTGTTTCTCTTCCGGACGGCCTGAGATGACGAACGGACTCAACCGACGCTGATGAGGCGGTCGCACGGAGGACACTATGTCCTTCTCTCTCTGGTGAACATCATCCGACGCCATTTCTGATCGGGCGGAGGGCGCAGATGCGCTTTGAAATACGTTAGGATGGGAGGGGTCGATCAATCCTGCAGCCATGAGCAGGGCAAGAGTTTCATATCGCGGATGACCGCAGAGGGAAAACCGGAGCAAAGAGGAGAAGCAATTGAATCGAAAGATCTACTGGAGCTGCAGCCTTTCTTATAAACGACAGACCAGGACCGATTGGTGGGGTGATGAAATTCGCCCCGTGGGATTATCGATTGGAGCAGGCGGGCGCAACGCGGGAAGACGTAAGTAGGAGAGAGTTTTGGCGGGGAGCTTCTTCTTCTGGTGAGCGGCGGCGGCGGGCGGGCATGCGGCACGACCAGCTAACTACGGCAACAACCACTATCTCTGACGTTACCGCCAGGCGGGGCATTTCGAAGTCCTTCGAAACATCACCATCATCACCACCCACTACCACCACCATCGCCGCCAGCTAAAACTCATGAGGTCGATTTGAACTATCGACCATTCGACTAGAGATAAAAACCAGGATTGCATGTTTGTTGTATGGACACATAAGCCAAGTACTAGTACATTGAAGCCACAGCCCCGAAGGGCCAGCAGATGAATATGGATACCATAGGCGCATGTGGAGTTGGACACATCCAGATTCTAGCTTCTTCTTTTTTCTGCTTGGAAAGCCTGGAGTGCATCCTACCCGAGTTCACGGACTGTATATAGGGTTTGAGGGAGTTGACTCGAGTAGAAACGGCCAACGACTGCGGAAACAGGGAAAGAGGATCGCGACCAGCCGAACCCTCTAACCGGAGCTCTTGGAGTTGAGAATGAGACCAACAATCAAGCTATCACTTGTCAGCATAATGTCCTCTTTGACCACCTGTGCTTGCTCTAGAACCTACCCATAGAGACCAAGAACCTCGCCGAAAATGAGAATCAGAATCATGCCGACATAAACTCGCGATTGTTGCATGTACGCACGCACACCCTGCGATACTTGTCAGCCGCTGGACGGCGAACAACAACAGCCTCCGACAGTTTGCTTACCGCATCTCCCACGATTCCAATAGTGTATCCGGCAGCCACGCCTGCGAGGCCAACCGACAGTCCAGAAGCCAAGTGCATGAATCCACTAGATAGCTGTCAGTGTCGTTTTCGTGGGGTGGGGGTTCTGCTTGTAGGACGGGCATACGTATAGAGACTCATATTCCGGGTCGGGGGCGGATCCATATCACCAGCAATGAGGACCGCAATGACGAGGCCATAGACGGCGATAATACCGGACATAACGACGGGGATCAGGGACTGATTGTTCTAGTCAGCTAAACAAGCTATACTGAGATCAGAATGCCGAGTATCGACGGAGTTCTCCATGCCTTCATGATCAGATCCGGTCGGAAGGTTCCGACACCGGAGATACCGATACCTGATTTGGCTGTTCCATATGCTGCTCCCAATGCTGTAATCGAGTCAGTCATTGCACTGGCCACATTGGTAGCAATCCGTCGGAAACCCAGGCTCACGTACATCCGAAAATCATCTTTGTAGCGGTGGTCGTTAGTGGACGGTCACAGGTCAGGGGTAGTGTTCACGCGATACTCACAGCCGATGCAATCCCTGCCTTTAGAGTGAGGGTCAGCAGCTATCAATAATCACAATCATAGTGCGAGCAGCCGCGCTGTTTTGTAGCTGAGGGCAAGCCTATCAGATACTCACAAAGGAGAAAAATGGAGCGAATTTAGGAGAGAACTCGCTGTCCGCCATGGTGAAATAGTGCGAGACACCGCAAGGTTGGGACTGGGCGGGGAGGTGACAAGAGACAGGAGGTTCGAGGCACTGAAAACAAGCAGCTGTGGAAGGGAACTGCCGGTCAGTTGACCATGAAGCGAAAGACTGGAGAAAGCGCTCGATGGAGATACTGAGGCTTGGAGTAGATTGGGGCAGCAGGTGTGATCTGTAGGTGAACGGAGAGCCAAGTACTGACTGTCTGTAGGTAGTTTAGAGGCAAGGTCCAGCTTGGGTGTTGCTGACAGAAGTTGTCTGTATGGGCCACCGTAGAGAAACCAGTTAACCAACAACTGGTCAGTTTCCATCTGGTGCGTGCCTGGTCGACCCAACAGACTACTATTCCTACTACACCCACCCGGACGGGGCCAATTCTTCACTAAACCCGACCTACGCAAGACCACTACTACTAACTAACTATTATTCCCACCCATACATACTTATTATTGCTCCTCTCCTCACCACTCCTCCTCCTCCCCCATTTCCGCCCCCGTCACTAAGTAACAACTATCTACTTTACCTACTCTAAACTTACCCCCCTCTTCCTCCCGACTCCTCCTCCTCATCTTCCCTCCCTCCC